TGGCAGGTGTTCCAGCTGTAAGTCACCTGGTCGTAGTGAGTTTGCGAGGGTTGACCTTCACATCTACAACTTCGACGAGACCGGTTTTGTGATGGGCCAAATCTCGTCCGAAATGGTCGTGACGACTTCTGATCGGCGCGGAAGGCCTAGAGCAGCCCAACAAGGAAATCGGGAATGGGTTACAGTTATTCAAGGCGTTGGGTCGTCCGGTTATGCCCTCCCTCCGTACATCATTTTCGCCGGCAAAACCCACCTCTCGTCATGGTACGAAAACAGCCCATTACCGCCTGATTGGGTTATCGCAGTTAATAAAAATGGCTCGACTACGAACGAGAGAGGCGAAGATTGGATAAAACACTTCGATCATCACACCAAGTCTCGTACGAAAGGTACTCATCGCCTATTGATCCTCGACGGTCACGAAAGCCATCACTCGACCGATTTCGAGGTATATTGCAAAGCTAACAATATCGTCACGCTTTTTATGCCTCCTCATTCATCGCATAAGCTCCAGCCTCTTGATGTTGGTTGTTTTCGCGGGTGAAAAAGAGCGTACGGAAAAGAAATCGAAGATCTCATGCGAGCACATATAAGTCATATCTCGAAAGAAGACTTTTTACCGGCGTTTTTAAACGCGTACAACGCAACTTTCACGGTTTAAAATATCCAAGGAGGTTTCCGTGGGGTAGGAATAGTTTCGTACGATGCAGATTATGTCATATCACAGCTCGATGTGAAATTACATACGCCAACACCTCCGGGTAGCTCGGCTGGTCTCCCCGTCCCTTGGGAATCAAAGACTCCGAACAACCCAACCGAAGCCCAATCACAAACAGATTATGTGAAAAATAGGATTGTACGACATCAAAATAGCTCACCAAGGTAAATTTTTGCTGGAATAGATCAGATTGCGCGAGGTACAACGAAGGTTATGCATCGGCTTGCACTTTTAGAAGGCGAGGTCGAATGACTTCGAAAGGCAAATGAGACCTTAAGTCGACGTCGCCGTGCGAAGAAAAAACAGCTACAGAGTGGAGGGTCACTTCGTATACAAGCTGGACAGGACCTACAGTCTCAACAAGAGGTTGATGGGCAGTTACATGACGAATTTCGTCAAATTGGTGGTCGTACGAGGCGGCGAATTGCGCGTGTACGGCGCTGTAGAATCTGCGGCGAGCCCGGACATAATGCGCGCACTTGTGGAAATGATGTAGAGACGTCTGAAGATAACGATTCTGAGTAGTCTCAATTGATGATAGGCGTTGTGGTTGAATTAACTTATACATTGTCGTATAAGGTCTGCCAAAGTGTGCAATTGGACCGTGGATTACGTTATCCGACTACGCATCATTACGGGCTACCATCCCCCACCACCCCACCGGCAACACCACCCCACCGGTAACCAAATTAGCAGCACCTACACTATAATTACTTCAACTTCAATTATACGGATCTTAATAGAAATCGAAGCTATTTACAAGCCGATTGCACGAATAAATAGCGAATTGAATAGAGTTTTCAATTTAGCATTTTTAGAAAGGTTACACGATACTCCACATCGGTACTACGGAGTTCCGGCAGCCGTAAAATTCTGATTCTACTACTTTTGAGGCCACGATGCCCCTTTGACTATTATTCTATAAGTACTACGCTTCAGTACACCAAAATGCCGCGCCGTAGCTGGACAGAGGACCAGATAGCTGAGGCTATTCTAGATGTTACCGATAATGGCCTGTCGCAGTACAAATCCGCCCAGAAGCATGGAGTGCCACAGCAGACCCTTTCCGACAGAATCAAAGGCAAAGGGTGGCCAGACAACCCTATACCGACCAGCAAGCGGGTTTATATAGCCCAAGAAAGCCGTATAGTCAACTGGATTATCAGACAAGAGTCCTTGGGATATGCCCCTACGCACAATCACGTACGCGCTTGCGTTTCTACACTTCTGGCTCAACAGGGCGATACCAACGAATTACGGAAGAATTGGCTCAACTTGTCTCTAGACATCCAGAAATTCGTACCAAGATGGGTAGAAAGCAGGATACAGCTAGATTCAACTCATTTACACCAAAAGCCGTACATTGGTAATTTGATATCCGTGAGAGAGAATACGGCTGGATTAAGCCAGAAAATACAGTGAATGTCGATAATGGAGGCATAATGGCTAGCTTTGGTAACTATCTATTAGTCTCTTAGGCAATTATTTATGCTAATTACTATACTATAGGCCTTGACGGGCTCGTATTGGGGAGTTCTGACGCCCAACAGAAGGCTATAATTAAGAGCTCACAGGGCCGTAGTTGGACTACCTCTATTGAAGCCACTACAGCCGATGGCCGCCTTCTAGAGCCAGGTATAGTGTTTAAGGGCAAAGAGCTCCAAAAACAGTGGTTCATTGACCAATTCCGAGAGATCTGTCCCCACTGGCGCTATCTAACGTCACCAAATGGCTGGACAGACAACCATATAGGCCATCAGTGGCTTATTGACGTATACTTGCCTCAGACGCAGCCAGCAGACCCCTCTGATGCTAGGCTAATTATACTAGATGGCCATGGATCCCACGCCTCTGTAAGTCTTCTAGTTATTGCAGTATAACTGTACTAACTGGGCTATATAGGATGAGTGGATGACTACGTGCTTTATGTATAATGTATACTGTTGTTACTTACCGGCACACACTTCCCATGGCTTACAGCCAAATGAAAATGGCCCCTTTAACGTATTGAAGTCGGCCTATAGGGCAGAAGTCAGTAAATTGGATAGAATGACGGATGCGGCGCCAGTTGATAAAGTCAACTTTATCCGGTGTTATAGTACTGCACGCAAGGCTATAACCGATAAGGTCATTAAATATGGCTGGATAACTACTGGAAATTGGCCAATTTCAAGGGCCAAGGCACTACGGCATCCAGAAATCCAGGTAGATGTTGATAAAAGGGGCACTCCACCGCCGCCACAAGCCCCTGGACTTGACAGTGATTCTACACCCCGTACGAGCCGTCAAATCCGCAAATTTGCGAACAAGTCAAGCCCACATAGCCGCTATAGGCTACAGAAGGTTGACAAGGGGGTTGAAGCCTTAGAGGCAGAGTTGGTAGCCGAACGCACTAAGGCTACGGCATTACAGGAGGAACTAGACCGCTTGAAAAGGGGTAAAAAGCACAAGTCACTGCCAAATCTGAATCGCCGTTTTATAAAAGTATCAGAAGCACTAGCTGCAGGGGAGCCTATACCCTCTAATAACCGTCAAGAACCAGCCAATAATGGGAAAGTTGTGGAAGTTGAGGATGAAGGGGTTGATTCATCAGAATCAGAGGCTACGGCCGATGATTTGCGGGCCGCTGTAGTCACACGAAGTGGTTGTACAGTCAAGAGGTGGCTATATTATTAAACTCCATAACAATAGCTACATAATGGTATAACTACGGTATAAATAGCTTCAATATGTACGCAATTATGTAAGTAAAAATGTAGTGTTTTTGCAGTATTGTGCTCAATTAACGTTACCGGTGGGGTGGTGGGGGATGGTACAAGCCGTTCTTTGGCGTGCTGGATGCTGTCTCTAACCAAGAGGGAACCCCCGGGAATCTGCCCGACGATATACGACTCTGCCTCTCTTTGGGTGGATCAATTGAGAAGGGGCTGTTCTGGAGGAACCGTTATCCGATGGTGCCCCTATTGCTATCCAAACAATGAACCGAGAGGACCCCTTGTGAGATGTATTTTCCGTCAACAGAAAGAAGCCTGCCGTTTCAACCGAAGGACTTTGCTAGAAGCGTTTCTGAACACAGCTTCCTAGTTTCATTCAAGAAAATGCACCGGGAAGGCTCTCTATTCCATATTGAGAGCATCGACCTGGAAGGATTGAAAACCGAGCCGCAGAAACTGGCCGTGGTATGGCCCTGGCTCTCCAGCAATTTTGACGCGAATCAGAGCATCCCTAAGCTGGATGAGCTCTCAGTCACATCAATATACGGGAAGTATGCTCCAAATCTGCGCGGGGCGCTCCTGCAGATACAGTGTCCTGATGGAAGTAGCCAGTTTATATTCTTCGGCGTTTGGCCTTCTCCCTTCTCATGAGCTACGCTGTCTGAGCCCAACGTGTGGTGGTATCACTTCTTCCCACCCCATAATGTGTATCCTTCGGAGGGCTTCTTCGGACGGCTTCGAAAATTCACTGAGAGAGGAGTGGCAAGGTTTCACTACAAGGATCAATAACCGTGAACCCTTAACGCACGTGGATCCCTGGGGCGACTACACATCACATTTGGCTACGAGGCAACTCAGGGACGTGAGAAATACCTGCCTGTTCAGCTTGAATACTGGGACAAGGCTCATGACCTCCAGTGTAGTGGGTTGGGCCGTGTATCTGACTGTCATGATGATCACAACAGGCTTGCGTGCAAACAAAATACCGGACAAGAAGTGACGTTTGGGGCACCTCAACATCAACAAGCCGTATCATCACACCATCTTTGATGCATTATTCTAGATATCTACTCAATTATATACGTCTTCCTTAGTCTGTACCTTAATGGGTAATAATTCTAGTAGTGCCAAAGTAATAGTGAATAATTTCCCTGGGATACATTCCGACCTCGGAGGCCTGATTATTTCATGGGTTCGCTGGTTTGGCAGGCTTAGAAGTGGCGCCGACCTATTGCAGATGGCATGAAGCGCCTCGCTACTGCCTATGAAGCTGCCTTGGGCTGACGGGCATATCGGGTATTTCATGGGTAGGACTTAGCTCAGGAAGGTGTCCCAAACGCCCATCCGTCCGCCTACCTGCCGACACAAGGGTGCAGACGTGCCCCGCCGCTCTGAAATACAAGGCATCCCCGCGATATTTGAATTTCTTGTTGCTAAATACTCACCAAAGCGACTTCGGCACATATTCAATTGTCTTCCCCTGCGACTCCTCTATTCCCTATGTATTCGATGTCAGCATCTCATTGATACGTAGATATATGTGCCAGCAGATTTCGAGATTCAGTACGATGGACACAGTCGAGTCTCTACGGCCCAATACGTAAGGCTCGGCATTCTCCAGAGGGGAAAACGCAGAGGCTAACATTCTAACGCTTCCACATTAGTGAAGATCTGTGGAAAATTGCAGTCAAACAGCTCCCTGAAGAAGACAAAGCCTGCCTCGACGTAGACTGCCCAGATAGACGCCAGATCGTCGCCAGGTCCCTCGAGCTCACCAACAACGCAAAGCAGCGATGCGAGAGAATGGCCTGGCGGTTCAAAAGAAAGAGCGGCGAAGTAGTTATTGCCAGAGACGTTCTCGCTAAGGTTGCTCGATGGATCGAGCACTTTAAAGCCGTCGGTGACACCATAGTTCAGTATGATCCTGCCCATGCGGCCCTTCCTTGGGCTGGCGTGCGGTTTGTCCTCCAGGTACCCCACGCTTCCTTCTTTGTCTTTCGTTTCGCTAATAGAGGACAGATCTGTGTCGACCACTTCGAGACACACGCCTTTCTTCTTGAGGCGATTCCAGCAATTGCCCAACAAATTTGTCGCTGTGCGCTAATGGAAGAGCTGCTTATGCCCTCTCTGTCAGACGCAGCTGAAGAGCTAAAGCGGGCACTCGTCAAACTCTATGCAAGTATTCTGACTTATCAAGCACGAGTAAAGGCCTATTTCCAAAAATCTACGACAGGTTCGCACACCGGAGTGATTTGAGGTATAGAAGCTGATCTGAGGTTAGTGCAAATCCTACAAAGCCTGCAGGGAGAACCGTCCAAATTTGAATCGGCTTTTAAGGCTATTCTCGATGCGCAGGCAGATGTGGAGCGCTGCTTTCAGATAGCAAGCGTACAAGGTCTGTGGCCCATGTGGCGCATCTCCTACCGGTCCTAACTCTTTGCTCCAGAACAACTCAAGAGGCTAGCTCAATTAAAAGATGCCTTTGCAAAGCTCGAGATACCGATAAACCGTTGGAGCGACGGGCTGGTGAAAATTACGGATAAACTCGATAGTACGTTTACGATCTGCTGCAAGCACAATAAGATTCGAGCTAAATAATACAAGGGCTAAGAAGAAAAGATATCCTACAGTGGATCTCAGAGGAACAATACCTGCAACACCATAAACGGGAACAGGAAAGCTTCCTCGAAGGAACCGGAGAGTGGCTCCTCTCGAACCCCGTTTTTAAGCAATGGAAAGAAGAAAGTGCATCGTCGATCCTATGGCTACATGGCATTCTCGGTTCAGGCAAGAGCAAGCTCACGTATGTCTATATTAACTTTACAGCTTTCGTAGCTAATAATCTTAGGTCTCTGGTCATTGAAGATGCTCGAGAGGCATTCCAGAAACAGCAGGCGCTATCTCCAGCCTTTTTCTACTGCTCGCGCAACCCTGCCGAGCCTGGTCGCTCAGACCCCGAGAAGATTATCGCAAGTATCGTCCGGCAGCTGTCGTCTGTTGGGCCTGGAAAACCAATCTTACAACCGAAAATCGCAGTCTATCAGTCACATGAGGATCAAGGGTTCGCTGCTGGTTCTCTACAGATACAGGATAGTTCCAAACTCCTACTACAGCTCCTTGAAAATTATCCAACGGCGACCATTATCATAGACGCCTTGGATGAGTGTCGCGCAGATACGAGACACAAGCTTCTGGAATGCCTCGAACACATTCTTCGCGAGTCTTCCACCCTCGTCAAGATATTCGTCTCCAGCCGAGACGATCAAGATATCGTATGTAAGCTCCAGAACTACCCCGGTTTAGAGCTCTCATCGCACCTGAACTCGAACGATATCGCTCGTTTCGTCCAATTCGAAACAAAATCTTTGGTCGCAAAACAAAACCTTCTTCGATTAAGTCGTAGGAAGGACGAGCTAAGCCAAAAGATTATCAGAGTTGTATCAGACGGGGCTGATGGCATGTAAGTATATCAGAGTCCACGGCTTATATTATACTAATAACAACCAACAGGTTCCGGTGGGCTAGTTTACAGTTGCAAGCTCTCTGCGAATTAAAGTCCGACGATGCGATCCTTGAGCGACTTGGTCGGCTGCCATCAACATTAGAGGAACTATATCAGGAGATCGCCGATAAGATTAAAGCGTACGACGCTAAGGCTGATCGTCAATATGCTGTAAACGCTCCATCTTGGCTTCTTTGTTCTCGGAGGAGGCTGAGCTCTGAAGAATTCCTCGCAGCTGTCTCAACCAGTCCCAGTCAACTGTCGACAGCTCTGACCAAATACAACGTGTTGGACTTATGCTGCAATCTTATAGTCTTCGACTCCACTCTCGACGAGTTCCGGTTTGCACATTTGTCTGTCAGAGAATTTCTGGAAACAAAAGAGGCATATGCCAGTACTGCAATCAATAGTATAGCAGCACAATGCTGCCTAACGGCCCTGATGCCCTTCAAGGAGGTAGATATATCGAAGAATGGTCTCGCCAAGGATTACGAAACAAACCGTCTATATAAATATGCAAGCATTTACTGGGCACCACATTGCCACGACGCCGCCGAGGAAAGGAGACACGGCCATCTCTCTATGCTTTTGGAAACATTTTTATCAGACTTACCTCCACGTTTGCCGTTTACTACATGGAATAGTGAAGTTACTACGTGGATTGATGGCGTGAATACATATGACCGGAAGTTGATTGATAAGCTAGGAGTCTGTCAGTCGGGGGATTCTCCCAGCCTTTTCGTGGCAAGCGCCTTCGACTTTGCTGAAGTTATCCAGATCCAACTTCGTGAGGGGGCTCTACTAAAAGGCTCGATTTTAACAAAATGCACCGTTATTACGGCTTCATTTGGATGCTATGAAGCACTCTTAGAGCTCTTAGGTTCAAAGGAAGTGAAAATTACAGAGGACGTGGTCAAGGCGGCGGCAGGGAATTATCGGAGTGGGAAAGAGGTCATGGCACTGCTTCTCGAGAAGAGGGGAGACCAGGTCCAGATCACAGAGGACGTGGTCAAGGCGGCGGCAAGGAATATGGAGAATGGGAAAGAGTTCATGGCACTGCTTCTCGAGAAGAGGGGAGACCAGGTCCAGATCACAGAGGACGTGGTCAAGGCGGCGGCAGGGAATTATTGGAGTGGGAAAGAGGTCATGGCACTGCTTCTCGAGAAGAGGGGAGACCAAGTCCAGATCACAGAGGACGTGGTCAAGGCGGCGGCAGGGAATAGGGGGAATGGAAAAGAGGTTATGGCACTGCTTCTCGAGAAGAGGGGAGACCAGGTCCAGATCACAGAGGACGTGGTCAAGGCGGCGGCAGGGAATAGGGGGAATGGGAAAGAGGTCATGGCACTGCTTCTCGAGAAGAGGGGAGACCAAGTCCAGATCACAGAGGACGTGGTCAAGGCGGCGGCAGGGAATTATCGGAGTGGGAAAGAGGCCATGGCACTGCTTCTCGAGAAGAGGGGAGACCAGGTCCAGATCACAGAGGACGTGGTCAAGGCGGCGGCAAGGAATATGGAGAATGGGAAAGTGGTCATGGCACTGCTTCTCGAGAAGAGGGGAGACCAAGTCCAGATCACAGAGGACGTGGTCAAGGCGGCGGCAGGGAATTATGGGAGTGGGAAAGAGGTCATGGCACTGCTTCTCGAGAAGAGGGGAGACCAGGTCCAGATCACAGAGGACGTGGTCAAGGCGGCGGCAAGGAATATGGAGAATGGGAAAGAGTTCATGGCACTGCTTCTCGAGAAGAGGGGAGACCAGGTCCAGATCACAGAGGACGTGGTCAAGGCGGCGGCAGGGAATAGGGGGAATGGGAAAGAGGTCATGGCACTGCTTCTCGAGAAGAGGGGAGACCAGGTCCAGATCACAGAGGACGTGGTCAAGGCGGCGGCAGGGAATTATTGGAGTGGGAAAAAGTTCATGGCACTGCTTCTCGAGAAGAGGGGAGACCAGGTCCAGATCACAGAGGACGTAGTCAAGGCAGCAGCAGGGAATGGGAAAGAGATCATGGCACTGCTTCTCGAGAAGAGGGGAGACCAGGTCCAGATCACAGAGGACGTGGTCAAGGCGGCGGCAGGGAATAGGGGGAATGGGAAAGAGGTCATGGCACTGCTTCTCGAGAAGAGGGGAGACCAAGTCCATATCACAGAGGACGTGGTCAAGGCGGCGGCAGGGAATTATGGGAGTGGGAAAAAGTTCATGGCACTGCTTCTCGACAAGAGGGGAGACCAGGTCCAGATCACAGAGGACGTGGTCAAGGCGGCAGCAGGGAATGGGAAAGAGATTATGGCACTGCTTCTCAAGAAGAGAGGAGACCAGGTCCAGATCACAGAGGACGTGGTCAAGGCGGCAGCAGGGAATGGGAAAGAGATCATGGCACTGCTAATTAGAGAACGCAGGGAAGATGTAGTCAGCAAGCTTACCGATGATGTATGCTATGCCGCAGCTACCAGTGGCCAGTATGGAGTTCTGGACCTTCTCTCTCGACTTAATGGTCTCTCGGCACGAAAGGACGAGTGGTGTAACATCGCAATTTTCTACAATGCCTCGCAATCCGGAAATTTGGAAACCGTCACAAAACACTTATTTCAGGAAATCAGTCCTGATCTAAATGATACTTTAGGCAGGACGCCTCTATGGGTTGCTGCAAGTCGGGGACATAAAAATATTGTGGAACATCTGGTACAGAGAACTGATATCGACATTAACTCGAGGAGCATATCGGGAAGGCCGCCAATATTCTGGCCATCTGCTTACGGGAACGAGGACATAGTAAAAATACTGGTGGGTGCCGGAGCGGACCCAAATGTTGAGGATATTGATGGAGAAACCCCTATCTCGATGGCCAGGAAAAATGGGCACATAACGGTGGTAGAGATACTGGAGAAGTCGGGTACATGTTCTGGAGGTAGGGCTGTATTGTAATACTTGAAGAATTTGACGTACCTTTCAGAAATTGTACTTCAGCATATTGTAATAGTCTCAACCTCATTTAGGGCCGTTGGTTTACAGTAGACTAACCACAAAGCTTAAGCAGGTGTAGGTTAAATCTCCGATCTCTGTATGCGTCACGGCTTAGCTATGAGCCTATCCCATAACCACTGCGCTCCAACGCAAAGGGATACAGGATATGAAAGTCAGCAACTATGCAGCTCGATGTAATGTTGCAGCAAAACGTGAATAGAATTAGGCCCGCTGCAGTAAAGGGAGACACCGGAGAAAAGATTATAAACCGTATGATGTCGGCGGGAAAGCTTCCTTCTCAGCGAGGGTTTCCGTCACAAGCCCGGAGCTCTCCATAGAGAAAGCGGTCTATATCGAAGCTGCCCACTGGATCTCGGCCGGAAGTAGGTGTTTTCGTCCGAAAATCAGGAAGCCGCTCTTGTAGCAAATCAACGTAGCGTAAGACAAAATAATGCCGAGCGCATCTCCAGAGTTTACCGTGTTCGCAAACGTGGTTAATTACCATATCCCGCCTCTTTAGAGTAGGGAGAATCCTGCTTGTACGCCAGTTAACGGCTCTAGAAATTTGGTTCTGAAAAGCCAGCTCATCATAAGTGCGGGAAAGGAAGTCCTAATGACCTCCGAAAGTAGGTTGTGTCCTCGTTATGCGGCCGGACCTGGCAACCCTTTGCCTTAGATCCTTGGCTTTTGAATTTTGGTTGAAACATTCGGTAATGAAATCGTCGCTGCAGTAGCTATCATGATTAACAATATGAAGACGGGTTTCGCCAGCTCTAGTACCATTGTTTTCGGTCTCTGGAATGAAGACTTTCTAGAGCCGCTCTGATGCAGTTGCAATCCGGCTAGGCTTTGTTGCTGCGTTATCCCCGGACGATTGTTCATGTTCTTCGATTAGATGGTGAGACGGAAAGCCTGTTGTAAGGGTGTCCCACAGATATTATTTATCATCAAGAACTCGTAGCAATATCCAGAGCGCGAGGAAGAAGGTGAGTTCCTCCATAACGTCACGGCCAAACAAGTATTGGGTTTTGGGCAAATGGTCTTGTATTGAAAGTGTCATGATCTCTGGAGAGTCCTGAGAGAAGTGAAGGGCGGTCATAGGGGCCTTATATAGGTAGAAATGACTGATACCTGCCCCACAGCCAGGACTTGTGTGGTTCAATGGGTAGAGGTCATATTGACCCATACTTCGTACGGTTTGCGGCTTTGCGTTTCTCCTTTGACTTAGCAGTCTTGACGGAGTAGCCTTGAAGGTCCGACAACAAGTGATCAACGTGGCCCGGTTCTATCATCACGATATTCTCCAGGTATGTGACATGGGTGATAAAATTAAGAGCAACGTTTAGAAGAGATTTGAAATCACAAGACCCGAGCGGGCAGATAGCCTGTGTAAGGCAACGTCGTCGAAATGCCCCGCCTTGTAGGCGCACACGGGCAGTGCGGCAAACCCCGCAGTAGTCAGCTAGGTTCAAGCCTCAGTACCCAACTACAACTCAACTGTATCTAACCTAGCAGACTCATCTTGCTAACCGATTAGCTAAACAAGTACAAATGAAAGATAGAAGGGAGGATTCCTCCGCCTTCTCTTTTTGTAGCATCCTAGCTACGTTAATCTTGGTGCTGTCAGCCCAGGCTGTCTTAATAAACCGGACGGCTTGCAGATACACCCGAAGTGCAGCGTGCTGGAACACTATCAGAGATTGTGGGCGTTTGAAAATGCGGTCCTAGTGTTTTCGCTAGAGAAAAATATTCACAAACACCTGGGTGGTGTCCTGCAGGCTCGGTCGAGAATGAGCACGTGTGGGTGCCGTCTTCGGCTTCGGGGCACAGATCCTCCCAAGGCGATAGAGTAATACAAGTAGTATAACGACTAGGGCCTAGACCTTCATGCCATACAGCTGGGCATGCATGGGCCCATATTGAACTGGGTAGTGTAGAAGCAGGAAACAGATTCCTCAACGCTGCCAACCGCGAGCTTGGGGCAGGCGGACCTGCTGCCGATGCCTAATCGAATGGGGCGAAGTACTTAGTAGGTAAGAGTAACCACCATCCATCTCAGCGCCTCGCTATGGTGCCAGAAGAATACAGGAGCCGGCGCCTGACGTTTTCGGCCTCCAGAAAAGTGCTCTCTCGCCCGAACTTACAAATGTATTGTCGGTGTGGCAGTGAGGAGTGAAATAGCTCTAACCTAGTTAATTCAAGTGTTGAATATAGCTGTATATCCTTTTACAGTAATATCCTTTTACAGTAATATTTACATGCATCTGCATTATTTCTAGTCTATTAGTTGTGAGTTCAGGTTACTATTGGAAGAAACATTCAGCAATTTATGATAAACGAAATCTAAGGAAAATGTAGTCTCCTATCGGACATTATATTGGCGTCGAATACGACCACGCGATGAAATCAGGTTACTAACTTTGTTTTGAATCAAATATTACGATTCCTCGGTAGCTAACGAACCATTTGGTCATAACATGAAAGTCCAAATCGAGTGAGACATGCAATAGTTCAATGATACGTGCACCTAGGGGGGAGGATGCTATAACGCAGCAGTGCGCAACGTTATAGTATCTAATTGAATGGGATTCACCTAACCAGTGGGTCCCCCTACCTTTTCGTATCACAGGCTAACTGGCCCACACCCAAATTTGTAGGTGAACATGTTAGTAGAATATACGTATGGCATTATCTACTTACCCCTACCTAAACGTCAACAACCACTGCAGAAGACCATGGCGCCGGTTATAAAGAGGCCGAAGGCTACTTATTCCGAGCTTGATGTTCAGGACGTACCAAATGCTATCGAATACGGCGCGAAACTTACAAAAGCTGCTGACCTTATGCATCCGCCTGAAAGGGGTTGAGTCACGGCATACGGTGCACCAGCAGAAGCAGAAACTCTCTTCGAATCAAGTAAAGGAGATCAGAAAATGGATTCTACTCATGGGTTAATCGGTTTTGCTCTAACGCATCGCATGGGAATACTGGGAATATTGGAAGGGGGTGTCGCGCTTGGTAAGCAGTGGATGCGTGGGTTTCTAGGCAGAAATTCAGAGTTGAAGACAAATGTTGGTAGAAAAGACTCGACTATAGGCATATTAAAGCTGCTACACTAGATAATACGGAGTTATTGTCTGATAGGCTGGCTTAACCTGACTTGAAGATGTCTGTGGATTCTGCACCGGAAGACCTAAATATTTATTTGTGGATTACATTCATGGACATGGACTACTGGTAGAGTTCTATATAACTAAGTGGATTTATGTTGTTTTGGTGTAGAAAGCGTCCATCACGGAGGTCACCTACGTTATTACTTTCTAAACACGGCTAAAGCAGTCTCGGCCCAGTTAGAAGGGTTGCGAACTGAGAAGTTAAATACGAGGCATTCGTCTTCGGGCACGGCGGGCCTATGATGGAGTCGGCTTACGCAGCCAGGGCTAGTCGTCAGGACCGAGACAGGAACCGACAGCACAAGCCACGACACGGTCATAAAATACGTAAACATTCGGTTGGACCACCTACCCTCACATATAGAGTTTTAATAGGCTTTCCGTATTCTTTTTAACGAATGCAAGTCGACTTGGGACTGTAAGTGCCTCCGCTGGTCATCGCGGAAACCAGTTTGCAAGGCAGTCTACGGAACTGAGCAGCAGTTGGTCTGGACAATTGAGAGAAATACCTTTGGTTGGATCAGAGGGCTAAATCATTGAAGTTCCGTCGCTAACTATATGATGAGAGCTTTGGGCGGGTTCGAGCAGACCGCCGCCATGATATCCCACAATTCCCAGATGTCGCAGTCGAGATGGCAAAGGGCGAGGCTACTATTAAAATTCTTATAATTAAATTTCGTGGCTTCCGATTCGAGACATCTGACTATCCTAACGCAGCACCCCTCAGACAACCTCCAGCCATGAAGTGTTCTTCACAGCTCTTGTCTTCAGGTCGTATGTCCTTTCATTGATCCTATGCTGCACCGTCCAATGCAACTTGGGCTGCAACTCACGAATAGCTCGATGCCGCCCCAAGTTCATTCTTACTCTCTTCTCCCATCCTTCTCCATCGCTAGCTAGAACATGAATCTTCACCGGCCAGATCTCCAACATCCACCACGACTTCGCATCAACCAGCTGGTCCCTCGGCTCTTCCATACAGTCGAAATGATCCTCAGTCGACTCCGAAGGGAGCACATATTGCAAATCCTCCGCTGACGGCGCCCCTTCAATCCCATACTCCTCCGGCCCGATAGGCAAGAATGTTGATCGTTGCCTCAACGGCGCTAGGGACTTTTTCTCGTACTTCTCCAACAGTGCAGGCGGAGGGCCGACAGTAGGCTTCGCGCGCGGTTGGTACACCGGCCACAGTGTGTGCACGTCTAGTCCATGGTCAGCCAGCCGGCAGGTATCGAATAAAATTCCCGTGTTACAGTTAAAACACTGGCGCAGCATCCAACGGAGCGGGATGCGCGATAGCATGTGCCGGCTTTCGTTCTTGACGGCGCCACCGCCGACGTCAGCGTGGGCGCCTCGGAACCAGACTTCGAGAGCGTCTGTGCGGAATTCGCGGTGGCGCTGGAGGGCCTCCTGCCGGGCTTTGAATTTGATTTCGACGGAGTCATGCTCTTCGTCCTCCTCGCCTCTATTCGAGTCGACAGAGTTTGGTTTCCCGACGCCGTTGGCGTTGGCAGCAGTATTTGGTTTTCTTCTGAAGCGTGTTGCTATGCCGCTGCGCTTGAGCCGGTCGAAGGGGGTGAAGTCAATGGTGCCGCGACGCTTGGGGAGGCCGGGCGTATCGTCTGGGTCATGCTGCTGCCAATGACAGACCTTGAACTTGGCGCGATGCTCATCGAGGGCCATGGCGTGGCGGAAGTGGCGGATGGAATTTGTTGGTGACTTGCTCAGGGGCATCTTGCGGGGGATGAAACCCACGCTGGCGACGCAGTCAAAGACGCCGACGAAGTAGACGCTGACGTGGGTGCAAAAAGTTGTTTTGAAATCGGAGGCCAGTTGACAACCCTCCTTCGAATCGTCTTTGTAGAAGTCGTAGGCGAAGTTGATTTGCGAACCGTTACTGGCGGGAAGTAGGCCGACTTTGTGCAACATGCCGGCCAGACAGCGGACCGTGTACGCGCCTCGGGAAAAGCCGAGCAGGCAAATTTTATCGCCCTCGTGGTAGTTCTGCATTAAGAACCGGTAGGCATCTTTGATGTGAATACCTACAACTCTGTGTCAGGTATAATAATCATGCAGCATTGCTCTTTGAAACCTTACCGAGACCACTCCCCACCGCCATGTCCATCGCTGCTCCGATGCCATTCTTCAACCCACCTTTGTCATATGTGCCGATGCCAGACTGGTAATACGTTACTTGCTCGGCGGGGGAGTGCTTCTTGAGGCACGAAACGAAACTGACGATGTTGCTGTTATCATTGTCGAATTGGTCACCCGTGCCGTCGAGACAAATTACCAGCGTTCGGGGATGATGGCCCGACTGATGAGAGTCTTTGAGAGCGCGAATGGAGCTTGGCAATCGAATTTGCTCTTCGGATTTGGTCTCTGGTGGTGGTTCCGGGTACGGAATGAAGCCTGGGGTTTGAATCGGATACAATCCCTTTCTCTTTATTTTTTCTGTGCCTTCCATGATGGAACCTAATAGAGATACAGGACGAGGAGAATGCTTTCGGATTGGGATTCCCCTAAAATTCGTTAGGTTAGACTAGACTGTAACAAGCTAACATTAACAGCAGAAAGGAAATGAGGGTATATGCGTGTCTTACAACGATCACGATGGGAATTGGCCCGATGCGCTTACACAGAGATGATCGTCACCCTTCGCGTCGGACTGCACCCGGCCATTTTCTAGCTCTTTTTAGCTCTTTCGTGCTCGACGGCTGATTTAGAGTTTCTTAACTTGCTGTGGTGTAAGCAGCCACTGTTCGGCTGTTTCTTAACCGGCTCTAAAATACCAGCCAGGAGGTATACTTTTCTGTTCTTGAGGACCTTATGGCTACCTTCACTCCTTTATACTTGAAAGGAGACAAATTCGATTCTATGCTTTTTGATGGCTTGCCAATAGTCCGATACTTAGCTTGCTACACCCCCAAAAAACTCGGTCGCCAACGTTTGTGGTTGGCGTCATTCTGCATCGGGCGTCGGGTTGTGAAACAGGCTGTGAGACGGTGTTATACAGCCTGTCATCTCCTGCCGTAGCAGTTGGACGCATATCTATTGCTACAACTATCATGAAGTGGACTGTCCGTTGACGAAAAGGCACGTAGTGTGTTACGGGATATTCCAATGAGGTCTGGATTAATATGTGTACAACAGGTGTGGTTCGGGAACGTAGCTTCAATGTTCGAGTGTAGATCAAGGCGGCCATTCTCAATCACGTGGACTGCTTGTATCAACCAATCGAGCATATTTCTCTCTGCACTATGATAGAACATATAGAAATAAATAATTTATAGTATTAAAATGGTTACCAAACTACTACCCACGCACCAGATATCATCTTACCAGCCAAATGCATTGTTACAGTCTAGTATATTTCAACGAATACCTCGTTGTCATATGTCCACAGATATATAGTCAATAAAATACATCAAATAGGATACTAAGTATAGAACATAGTCGCAAGGTGTGGAGCTTTAATCCCGAGAAACGATATGCCAGGTTTCAGCGCCATATGCAACTAGTGACACTTAGCTGTCTTCCTGCCGAGACCGAGAAACATCATCGACCACTACTTTCGTGTCTTGCGCCCGATGACAAATTACCTATCCATTATATGTAAGGCGAAGAAAAGGAATAATCTGGTGGCTGGCTGGCTGCACGGTGCTACTTATGCTGTCCTCCAATGTACGTCAGCATTGAAGCTCCCCCTCAACGAGAAGTTTCCTTGGATTCTTAAATTTCCCTCGATCAAGCCTAAAATAGATCAATTATTCCGTTGAAACCACCCTTCTTCCTGTAATCGTACATGTTCAACTAACCATGCCGTCCCAACTGAAAACCCTGATCGGTACGATCAAGAGGAAGCCCACTAAGGCATCCGATGGAAGGTCCAACGATATGGCTGCGGCGTCGGTGGGAGCCATGAACAACGAGAAAACGGGCATCATCCACGACTTGACGCATCTCAACTTCAAAGAGAGACACACCGTCGCTCATGCCCTCACGACCTTGGCGTCTGGAGAGCCGATGAATGACAAGGACAAGCTGCTCGAAGAGGGTGTTTCCATGCTTCAGGGACTCCCACCCAACAGCGGCCTCAGCGAAAAGATATCTGATGGCTTCATCTCCATGCTCTGGTCGGACTTACCTCACCCAGCTCCCACTATGGCCGGGCCAAGCGCCAGGTACCGCCGCCACGACGGTGGCGGGAATAACCCCTGGCATCCTGAGATGGGCAAAGCCGGCGCTCCATACGCGAGGAATGTCCCGCCCATGAAACCCAAGGGTCCCAACTTGCCGGATGTCGAGTCCGTCTACGACGCTCTGTTGAAGCGTCGGGGCCCCTTCCGCGAGCATCCGTCTGGCTTGAACCGGCTGTTCTTCTCGTTCGCGACTGTCGTCATCCACGAGTGCTTTCAGACGTCCAGGACGGATCCCTTCATCAATGAAACATCGAGCTATGTCGATCTCAGCACCCTGTACGGCAACACCGAGAAAGAGCAGAAGCGTGTGCGTACGTATCAGAATGGCACCATCTACCCTGACTCGATTGCTTCGGAGAGGATCATGATGATGCCACCGGGTGTGGTCGCTGTCTTGCTCATGTTTTCGCGGAACCACAACAGCATTGCCGAGAGCTTGTTCTCAATCAATGAGGACGGCAAGTATGAGCCATGGGACAGGTTGGACGACGAAAAGAAGAAATGGGAAGTAGTGTTATCATATCCGACGATCGAGTATTTAATGGCTTACATGTAGACTGCAGGCAAGATGAGGACATCTTCCAAATCACTCGCAACATCAACGTCGGCTTCTTCGCCTCAGTGGTGCTAAAGGACTATGTAGCCTCCATCCTCAACACCCCGCGTGCCAACTCGGAATGGTCTCTAAACCTAGGCAAAGAGATCAAGCAGTCTGGCCAGCGAGTTGAGCGTGGCAGCGGAAATGTCGTCTCGGTCGAGTTTGCCGTCCTCTACCACTGGCACGCCGCCCTGAGTGCTGCCGACGACAAGTGGATGGAAGAAATAATCCGACAGCAGCACCCTGAATTGAAGTCTCTAGAGGATGTGACTCCTAACATGTTCGAAAAGGTCATGATGGTGTATGGCCACAAGCTGAAGGCTACCCCGGCCAAAGATTGGACGTTTGGGGGGTTTGAGAGACAGGCTAACGGGAGATTCAAGGATACTGATCTTGCCGAGCTTATCAAGAATGCAATTGAGGAGCCTGCACATGAGTTTGGTGCCCATGGTACGCCGCTTAGTCTGAAGGTGGTGGATATCATGGGTCAGCTGCAGGCTAGGAACGTGTTCAATGTGTGCACGTTGAACGAGTAAGTTCTCAATTTTACTGGTACGTTGGCGATCGATTTCAACGGATAATTAACTGTGAAGCAGGTTCCGTCGATATCTGAACCTGAAGCCATACAGAAACTTCGAGGAATGGAATGAAGACAAGGAGACGGCGCGGGCGGCGGAGCTCCTCTACGGGCACATTGAAAATCTGGAGCTATACCCGGGCCTGATGGCTGAGTGCACTAAGCCCGCCATCCCGGGAAGCGGAGTCTGCCCTGGCCAAACAACCGGAAGAGGCATCCTAGATGACGCCGTCGCACTAGTCCGGGGCGATCGATTCCTAAGCTACGACTTCAATAGCAACACCCTCACGCACTGGGGCGCGGCATTCCTCCAAGAACCCGCAGCCGGGTCGTACGGCGGTGTGCTACCCAAACTTCTATTCAACGGCCTGCCCGCTGCATTTACCGGCACATCTACCTACGCCCTCTTCCCCTTCTACACACCCGAAGCGGTGAAAGGCATCCTCAAAGGCAATGGCATTCTTCCAAAGTACGACCTACAGCGCCCGGCCAGCGGCATGGAAATCATCAGCATCCAGACGCAAGATGGCTGCAAGAAGGTCTTTTCCGACCGCGACAACTTCCGCGTCATGTACCAGGCCGCGATTCGCAACTGCACCGCTGGCCACGATTTCATGATTGGCTGGGACGACGCTAAGAGGCATGATGAACGGTCGAATATTCTGCATAAGGTGTTTTTCGAGGACGGGTTCGAGAAGAATGTGACTGATTTCTTCCGCTCAAACGTGAAGAAGCTCATTGAGAAAAACTCGCTTTCTTTCTCCCAGAGTAGGAAGTCCATTGATATCGTCCGTGACGTGACCAACATCACTCCTATCCTGTGGCTAGCGGACCGCTTCGCCATCCCGCTCAAAACACCAGAGACCCCCAAGGGATTAGTGTCCATCTTTGAGACGTTTACTGCCTATCTGGTTATGTTCATGTACCAAAGCTTCAACATATCCCCCAAGTCCGAATGGAAGCTTCGCGAGTCCGCCATGAAAGCGGCCGATGCCCTCCGCCCCGTCTTTGAAGCCCACCTCAAGACGCAGCGGGGCATCAAGGAGAGCGTCGTCGACTGGTTGGCCAAGGGGAGCTCATTCGAGGTCGGCCCGCATGCGGATCGTATATACCACGCCCTCAACGACACCAAGCTGCCTATTGGTGACTTGGTGGGGGATTGTATCGGGATGGGTGCCCCTGTGGCGGGGAACTTGACGCAGCAGGCTTCCCTGCTGATTGATTTGTTCCTTAGTCCTGGGTATGAGGTGTATAAGGATCGGATTGTCGAGTTGGCGCAAATGGATGAAGCCACCTCGGAGCGTGAACTACAAGGTTTTGTGTATGAGGGTATGCGGCATGCTGGCGTTGTACCTGGATTGCCCCGCGTCGCTTCCAAAGACGTGACGGTCGTCGATGGTGTGAGGGGACCGGTGCACATCAAAGCCGGACGCACGGTTCTGATCGCTACTTCGAAGGCAGCTATGGATCCCGTCGCGTTCTCCGAGCCAGAGAAGTTGGACCCTCATCGTCCGATTAAAGACTACACTCTTCTGGGCCATGGGTTGCATTTCTGTTTTGGAGCGAGACTGGTAGGGTGTTCGCTTGCTGCTACATTGAGGGAGGTGTTTAAGTTGAAGAACTTGCGTAGGGCGAAGGGGAAGCTGGGTAGGTTCACAGTTGTGGAGCATGATCTTGCGGGGATTAAGATGAGGCATTATTTGGATTCCGGTTCGAAGGAATCACCTATTCCTACTTCGCTTACGCTGGAGTATGATGCTTAGATTTTGGGGGGAGGAGACGGTTTCCGGATTGTGTTTTGCTGTTCATAAGTGGCGGATATCAATTACTTTGGAAAGATAGGGCAGATTGATGTTTGATATCCTGGCCTTGTGGTGATGACTACGCCCACTCTCTCGGCTTTCTGGGAATACGAACTGGCTTCTACTAGTCCACCACTTGAATGTAAGTTCATGCTTGATAATTACGAGATAACTACATCAGAGAAAAACAGTTACAAATTGAAGTAAGGTCGCATTACGGAGACTTGCATGAACTTGACAGCCTTTCTCCCCTTTTTGGCTTTATTCTACCGTGTAGTCGGAATGACGGGGTCTTAAACAGTGGTGGCTGCAAATTTCAGGCTGCCCTCCTTACTCTCCTCAAGTTCAGTTGAACAGTTAATACGCAATAAACCACTGGCATATTCTTTTGGGGATGGACATTGTGTCAAATATGTTCTACTTAGTGTTTACAAAAAAGCGCCACCGATGGCACCGACGTTATGCGTGTTTGCGAGATAGCAAACCTGCAGAGTGCCCCTTGCAAGTTGCGTCGACATCGGGTAGCAGCTATTTGATTCATTTCCACCCTTACTCCTTACATTACTGACGATTGAACTCAGATTCTCTCAATTTTTGTTTGCCCATCCCCAGTATATGGTCTCACCGCCCCTTTCTCGCCGTTTCAGGAAAATACAAAGGAAAGAATCACAGTCGTGGAAGACGTCCTCGCACCAGAAGATCGGCATCTCTCCCTCTTGATTTGCTGCATCGTATACCCCGTCATTGCAACCTTGGCGGTGTCATTGTGGACTTCTATCCGCGCCTGGGCTAGGACGATCGGCTGGGATGAGGTGCTATTAAAAGCCGGTTTGGTGAGCATAACACCGAAGCTCCAGCGTCTTGCGACGACCATACTCACGTAGCCCAAAATTATCTGCCTGGGTTTTGCCAGCATCAATACATACGGTACATTCGTCGGGTTTGGATAAAACACTTTCGGAGTATGGTATGTGCAAAGTGCTATGTCGCATGGTCATGTTTAATATCGATATCTTGTACTCAGCCGTGCTGGTCTTGGTCAAGAACTCAATTTTTATCCTGTTATTGAGCCCGCCGGTACGAAGCAACGATATCGTATCGTCATTTATGTCAACACGGGCGTCATCACTGCCAGCTTCCGGGTCGTTGAGATCCCGAACAGGTGCCAGCGTTCCCCTGTCCAGGATAAGTGGGAGGAAGACGATGCTTTCTGGAAGAGCGAAATGCGCTTCGAAGATACCCTTGTCGCGGTTAGAGCTACCTCGACAGTGTATTTCATTTGAAAGACTAGATTGGCACTATCTTCTCTGCACATGCTATGAAGGACGTTTATGGATTTCTGAGCAAAACTACCGGCTAGCGTTGTTATGGGGCTCGGCTCTGCGTCAGTATCAACGCACATTATACGAAGCATCTTGACTGACGGATTGTGCATAGTGCTTCGATTTGAAAGTTGGTTCGGTTGCCGCACAAGTTCAATAATCAGCGGGATTCATAAGACTATGGCGAATAAACAGGGCCCACGCAAGCTTTAAGCATGACTTAAGAAGCCAGCCGATACATTGAATGTATACAGGCCGACAGAGTTTCATGATTTGCATTGTATTCATTCAGCTGTAGAATTATGTGGTCTATTATCGAATGTGGAATAAGCGTGATAGCCGTACCGCTCTCTCCTATCTGGCGGCCCTATCGTGCGTGGCGCCGCGGCCGGAAAGACGATGTTGACGACCCGCGATGAGAGACAGACTAGCTTGTTTCGTGACTACAGAGGAACATCAGGGTTTATCATTCATTCCGTTGCACAGGCTCATGCTAAGTCCGGGTGATACTTTGGTCAGCGATAATAGTCGGATCGACTCAGAATCTAGATCTCAGAATCGCAACATGCTTTTCGCGGGGCCTGGTAACCAAAGTCAGCTCCCAAGAACCATTGCCGCAAGCCCCCACATTGATGGGCTATCGTGAGCAAGACTAGATGAGGGTCGACATCGGTAGTGGTGCGTGGTTCATTTGAAGACGAGTTGGCATCCTCATAGAAGTCATTGCGATGACACCGTTTTTCCCGAGCTCTCCAATGGCAAATGCTGGATAGTTAGGTATTGCAGAAAATCACAATATTCGATTTCCTTCCAAGCTCCAAGTACTTATTCACACATGAAACCGCAACTGCATCGATGTTGAAATTTTCTTGAGCCTGACTGTGACAAAAGACGATGCAAGATGGTGATCTTGAGTGGCTCAAAGTGCTCTGACGATAACCTAGTGCCACAAGATGCGAAGCTGAACTTATGAATACTACAAACACATGATGATCAGCACCCGATAAAGGGGCGCAAATTGATTGGTCATAAATGGCAGTGCTGCATGGCATTCCTCATCCAATCCTACCACCGACCGCAATCTACTCATGACAGTCGCAATGATTTGATTCGGCGGGTTACTCGTATGGTGTGGCACATTGAGTCAAACCATTGCGATAGATCATTCCTGCGTGGCAGTGCTGGCATTTAACCTCCGGTTAGGCAGACAACAACATCCACGACTTTTGTCTTCGTTTTGCAAAGTGAACCAAATTCAATAAATTATCAATCACATGCGCTAGGATCGAATCACCCATTTCTACTGTCATGCATACACCTTAAAGCTGGAAATATCGCTCATCGTGTGAACCGGGATCCTCTGTTATATCTGCACTCGACCCTTGTAGGCTAGAGCCATGTCGTACTCGACAATGCGGACTGCCGTAGTCCAGACTACCATCTTGGCAGCCCTCACCATGATCATCTCCCATCATATCCACCAGCATGCGTACGATGGTGTGTGGGAGGATGAGGTTTTCAAGAATTTCACCCAAACCTTAGCACTGGTTGACAAGAACATGACCAAGTCGACATCGTCTTTCAACGGCACCAGCGTCACCAGTGATACCTCCCAGTTAAATAGCACTTCCTCCGTCAATGGCACATTCAGTGCAGCTTTCGAAGTTTCCAAGGACGAGCCGTCATTCTACATGGTACGGCTCCCTCGAAAGATGCTCGTGGTAGCATTGCTGTGTCCACTGCAGTACTACTGGCATATCTGGTTGGAGCGCTCGTTCCCCAGCCGGCCAAAAGGGGTTGAAATTGTGAATGAGAGGGAGAGGAGTGAAGTTGACGTTATCGATGACAGGGAAGAGAGAGTGGTCAAGAAATGGATCGCACAAGGAAAAGTGCGACGATCTTCCCTTAGCTGGTGGAACACGTTCGTAAAGTGGATCCTCCATGTCATCATTGCCCATCTCTGGTACGGCGCCGTCTACCACATCGCAATCGGGCTGTCGAAACTGGAATCGCCCTCTAGCATATTTGCGATATTCGCGCCAGTAAGTCTGTGCTTGTCTCGTACAAGTAGGCTATTTGCAGGAAACCCTCGATGCTAACATAATTCTCTCAGTTCAGACTGTTTCTCTATTGGATTGGCATGATGTTCTCTATTTCTCCCTTAGCATCGCTCGTTGCATTTGTCATCGTCCCTGCATCGCGACGCACCACGTTCATAGAAGGCGCCGATCTGCTATGGACTACTTTTGTTGGCGCCTTCTTCCGTCTTGTCATCCCTTGGATGGTAAAAACGACCTATGCGCAGGACCTGATGGGAAATTTCACGGAGGGGATGATGACAAGCGACGAGAAGATGAAGAAACTACGTGCGCTTGATGAGTTGTAGACGCGGCTTGCAGGTAAACGAGATTCCGCGAGGAGGACCAGACGTTAGTTCCGTAAATCGAAATTGTGAGTTCGGAAAACCCTCCAAGGGAAAAAAGAGCAAATGAAAATTGAAACATATATTTTCAAAATAATTAAATGTAGCTTATACGTGCTGGTTATCCAATAACTTGCGAAGTATGCTGCTACAGTCAGTGACATTTTTTCTGGCTCCAGCCCCATTTTGAATACCCATTAACATATTCATTAAGACGCTAAATGGGCATAACTTAATTAATATGTATGCTATCTACTAGGAGACGAGTGTAAATCTAATTATAATGCGTATAAGAACCCTTTGCTCTACGAAAATCGCGTAATCTATCGGGGATCGACTCGATTAGCCTCTTTAGTAGTGTGAAGTCTAACTCTAACCACAGTCCTTAATCAACTCTCTAAGAAACGCATAACGTACCCCACAAGCAAGTTGGCCACTTTTTCTTGGCACCGTATGAACAACTTCAATAACTTAACTAAACTAAAAAATAATAATTCAAACTAACCGGAATCCTCTTCCTCGTACGTATCTTTATCATTCTCACAAGTACGAGCATTATGTCCGGGCTCTCCGCAGATCCTACAGCGCCGTCGGCGTGGTTCGGCCGGTCTCGTACGACGACGACTTACACGTATATCATCCTGTAGCTGCTGTTCAATATCCCGTTGAGACTGTAAGTCCTGAGCGTCTCGTAAACTAAGAGATCCTCTATCTTGTAGCTGTCGATTTTTAGTCCTTCGACGACGGCTTAGCTCTTGATTGACCTTCCGAAGTGTAGTAACCTCATCCTCAAGTAAAACTAACCGATGTAACGAGGCAGAGGCACATAGGTACGAATCAAGGTTGCATATCAGTGCATCTCTATTGTTGAATACTAAACTAGGGAAGAAAGAGAAGGAAAGGGTTACAAGTATGTCTGGCCGTTCTCCTATTATAAGGGGAACGCGCTCGTCCAGATCAGGGCAGGCCATGTCAGGATGTCCCTGCTTATCGTCCATGTGTCAGTCGTCACAACCGATGTATAACAGCCGTCGCACCACGTGAAAATTGGTCAATAGCCGTAAGTATTGTCGTCGGGGAGCTATTCTGATGCTGTACGATTCTGTTTTTAACGTATTCAGACTGGGATTGCGCCTCGGTTGGGTTATTTGGAGTCTTTGATTCCCAGATTAAGGGGGCGCCAGACGAGCTCCCAGGAGGTGTAGGCGTATGTAGCTTAATTGTTAGGCAACCTTGGTGGGCTTTGCCAAGACCACCAAGGTTACCACGTGACTTAGCCCTTCGGGACTAAGTCCAACCTTCATGCTCCATAGGACTAGATAGAATGTCGTGCTTTTACAACCTCACAAATCTTTGACCACCTTTGCGTGTAACATTAATATCCAGCTGTGAAATCACATATTCCGGGTCGCACGGAATAAGTCCTGTCCCCCTGAAACCTGCCTGGATATTCGACTTAGTTATAGTCGTACGATACGCCCTATAGAATGCCAAAAAGAAATCCTCCTTCGAGATATGGGTTATATACGCCCGTATTAGGTCTTCAATTTCTTTGCCGTAAGACCTTTTCAAAGCCCTAAAACAGCCTACATCGAGAGGCTGGAGCTTATGTGACGAATGAGCAGGCATACTAAGTGTAATAATAGTATGCTCTTTGCAATATAGCTCGAAGTCAGTCTAGTGGTGGCTCTCATGCCCGTCGAGGATAAGAAGACGATAAACACCCTTCGTACGATCCTTCGTATAGCGATCAAAGTGCTGAATCCAGTCTACGCCTCGCTCATTTGTTGTCCAACCGTTTTTGGTTACAGCGATTACCCAATCGGACGGGAATGGGCTATTCTCGTACCAGGATAAGAGGTGGTTTTGACCCGCGACAATAATATACGGCGGGATAGCCCAGCCGGACGAATTAATACCCTGGATTACTGTAGCCCATTCTCGATTGCCTTGTTGGACTGTACGAGGCCTTCCGCGTCGTTCAGCACTTGTAACTACCATCTCGGATGATTAAGCCCATCGCGAACCCTGTCTCGTCAAAGTTATAGATATCCGTCTCTTGGATACCATATTTCGCAATTGTATTTCGTACGAGCGTAAACCACGCGCTATACGCGTCAGGATCTTCGCAATAGGCTCGTTGGTAGTCGATTCTTCGATTAAAACGCGTCCGAAGGCCTGGTTGTCGTCGTAGGAAGTTCGAGGCCCAGTTGACGCGGACGCGTCCAGCGCCACGGTCACGGAGCAGTCGGTTAGCCATAGCTTCAACACCATGGAGCCGGGGAGGAAATGATCGCGAATCTAGGTCAAGTATATATTGTATGACCGCTAACTCTTCTGATTCCGTAAGCTTATGACTAGATTGTCGAGTATCGCGTCGAGATAGTAGTCCGCGTTTTCGGTTAGCTAGAGTTGTACGAGGGACATTGTAGAGTTGGGCAGGGCGTCGGATGCTTAATTCGGGTTTCGATTGAAGCGCCTGACACGCTAGAATCATGTTGCTTTCTTTCCAATTCGATCCCATCTTGGTATGTGTAAAGATGTTAATTAAAAGGTTGTTCGTACGGTGCCAAGAAAAAGTGGCCAACTTGCTTGTGGGGTACGTTAACCGGATATATCATTGGAAGTTTTGAGAACTAGGGCTTAAGCTCGTGAATCTTCAGAGTAACTTAGTGTATGAGAAGCGTATTTGGAGCCATATAATCCGTTGGGACGACTACAGGGCGCGATGCAAATTACCCTCTGATCAACACATCAGTGTCCTTAACATTATTTAGTTTTGGTATTTCAACAATTTCTCTCCACATAGCAGCCTGACTGATGATAAACTCATATATGCAATATCACTGCATCCTTGTGCCCTCGCTCGGCTAGTTACTGTAACGCACCCAACCGTTGAATTGCCACCAATCTCCAAACCGAATCTAATAGCGACATCGATATCAGGAGCGATACAGACACATGATAACATGGTCAAGCGTATGTAAAGAACAAAGGTTTTAATCAGCAAAGATCAATGGCCATCCTTTTTCACAACTTTGGGCTTATGAATCCTGTTTGATAAATAAATATTGAAGAATAGAGCGTGCTTATCGTGTCACGACATGAAGATGCAGGTACTAGAGTGAAGGAGACATACACTACGTTAGCCGTTGTTATAATTTGAAATTCCATTGTAGACCCGATACCTATCGCTTCTGCCTGGTGGTTAGGAGTACTTGTTCAGCAGCTCCTCGACTGGTTGCACTGTAAATTTTACTGGGCTCCGTGCTTTAGATAATACTAATGAAATGATCACCTGTTACTGGTCAGCATGCACATGTGTTGTCGCAGGGGTAGCATAAATAAAAATGACGGACGTTCCGCTCTATGGTTGCCGTACCCAGTTCACATATGATGTTTACAACCCACAAGCTGTGTATATTGGGGGTTGGCTTTGAAGCTGAATTTTGGACAAGGTATGATGGGTTTATTTCAGCTTTGCCCCAAAATAAGGAGTCCGTAGCAGTTGAAAAACTTCCTGCTCCTTCATCAAATAGGCAGGAAATAGCATTCTCAGGAGTAAGATTGGAGGAAAGACGGGATTCATTCCTTCAGGTCTTGCGTTCGTATTACAAGTCAGTGGGTAAAATACCCGTGAAATGAACACTACAAGGGTTTGATAGCTTCGAACGCCTACTTATATACGTTATTCAAGTATTCCATCATACTTGGAATTTGACTCTAACCAAGGCCATTTCTTTAACCGTTTGTGTCCCGGAAGTACCAATAAGCCGCTACGTATGATTGCAACTCTGGTATCATTGTCCTCGTTGGATTTCTGTGCCGTTCTATTCTTATCAGGGGGACAGTTGCACATTCGATACACTTCAAAAGGCTCCACTTGGACGGTAAAAAATAGGCCGTAGGATTTAATCTAGATGCGACTGTCATTATGAGAGATTCAGTGAACGAATCAAATGAAATCTTTGTTAGAAAACGTGGTTTTAGGATGCAAGCGCCCGCTAAGCCAGAGGCTGAGCATCCACTCCGACCCCATAATCTGGGCTAAACTTCCCTCCGATAGTGGCTCTTGGCGTTGGATTATGTCTACACTTCGCTTATTGGCTCATACGCGATGTAACGGCACAGTATTGGTGATATTTTTTGGCGCTTATGGCCGGGAGGCCTCGAAGGAGTCAGACTCTTATTTCAACGGGCGCGAGAACTTGGGAATCGCGTGATGCAATCCGATTCTGTCTCTCCTCATCATCTAAGATCTTCCCTTTTCTACACTTTACTACAACTAATTCCGATTTTCAAACTGTTGATTCATTGATTGTGGAAAACATGAGTCAGCCAGGTCAGCAGTATTACGGCCAGCCGCCGCTACAACAAGGTGGAGGGACGCCGTATCAATCTTATGGACCCCCCAGTGGTTCATCACCCCACCCTCCTCCGGGGCAGCCGGGTTATCCACCACCTCAACAAGGTGGGCCTGCATACTGGCAGCAACACAACACGGCTGCTTATAGCCAACAACCGTCGATAGGCTCGCCCGGACCTCCAGGGCAGCCACCATACCAGCAACAGCCTTACGGCTACTCTGGCACGTCCGAGGGCCAGTATCACAGCCAGTATTCAGGAGGGCCGCCTCCACCACAGGGCCAATATCAGAACCAGCAGCAACTTGCTGAGCTTCCTGCACAGGTTCCCCAGTATTCTAGTGGGCTACCGGCTCCTGGTCAAGCCCTGTACGGTTCCCCACCACCTCAGGGACAACAGACTCCATACCAGAACCAGAGCCAACTCCATGCTCCTCCACCACCTCAACAAGGTGGACCTGCATACTGGCAACAACAACATACGGCTGCTTATAGCCAACAACCGTCGATAGGCTCGCCTCCACCTCCAGGGCAGCCGCCGTACCAGCAATATGGAGCTCGTGTCAGTACTTCTCTTATTTCTAAACAAGGTGCCACTAACAAAGAATCGCAGCCCCCAAACTGGCAGCAGCAGCATCAACAACCGATGCCTGGATACGGCGCTCCGCCAACCCCAGCATCACTAGGCTATGACGTAAGACAAAAAGAAACTTACGGATACCCCGTGAACGTAGAGTCCGACGCTGTGGCCATCCGCAAAGCCATGAAAGGCATGGGCTGCGACGAAGCAGTCCTAGTCAAAGTCCTCACGCAGCCCAAGTACAGCAACCCGTGGGTGATGCAGCAGCTCATCGCCAACTACAACGAGCGCTTCGTGCGGGACCTAGTCAAAGACATCGAAAGCGAGACGCGGGGCGACCTTGAGACGGCACTGATGGCTCTAGTCCGCGGCCCCCTCGCCGCCGACGTGCATCTCCTCTCCAAGGCTCTTGACCGCGCCGGCACTGATGAGGATGCGTTGATGAATGTGCTGCTATGCCGGTCTAATGCCGACATCGCCGCCATTATTGCGGAGTACAAGCGCATCAAGGGGCGGGACCTCCTCACCGAAATCAAGGACGACGTCGATGACACGCTGTTCAGATTGTACAGCATGGTGCTTTCCGCTACGAAGGCTGAGGACTCGGTGCCGCCCAGCCCGCCCGATACGGACCTGAAGGTGACAGAGCTACACCGCGCGACTGAAGGCGTGATAGGGGCAAATGCCGTCATGGTTGCCCAGATCTTCACGAGCAGCAATTCGGCCCAGATCCGAGATATCTCCTACGCATACCAGAGAAAGTATCATCGATCACTGCGCGATGTTATCGAGAAAGAGTTCAGGGGTGATATGGAGGATGCGCTGCTTTACATGCTGGAGGTGGGCGAGGACCAGGGGCGGGCTGATGCGAGTAGACTTGGCGAGCCGCTGCGCAAGACGATTCGCAAGGATAGCTTGTTGATCAATCGGGTGCTGAGGCTGTTTTACGCGCCTCTCGAGGTCGATCCCAGGGATGGGGTTCCGAGGCCGCTCAGGTTGGAGAGGGCGAAGGCGGCGTATAAGCTAAAGTATAAGGTCAGTTTGAAAAGTGATATCAAGGCGTTTTTGAAGGGGGATTACGAGGACTTGATTTTGGCGCTGCTTAGGGAGATGTGACGAGGGTATAAGACTCGACTTTTCGAAAGGTGATCGTTTCGGCTGCAACGAAGTTCACAGTCGCGCCTTTTCAGTTTTTTGAGTTTAATTAAAACCATCAGCAAGTGATAGCTATTTCATTCTGGGGAGGAGTTTTATCTGGTAGCATGAACTTGTGGTCCTGCAAATTTAGAATAGACACTGAACACCGGCCCGTCTATTCCCATGTTCCCCCGATCCCTTTATGTGCTCTGACATGTGATTACATTAACTGCCCTCGCGAGAGAGTCGAGTCGATCGATGACGATCTATCCCATGTTCCACTAATAATCCTGACGAAACCCGTCAATCCCGAAACCCTCCAGAACACCTAAATCCAAGCAAACCGCCCTCGTGAGAGGAAGAACCAACAACTCTAACATCCGTCTACACACCTCTGTTTGGCGCCGCATGCAAAAGTCAATCAACCGCCGTTGTCGCGTTGAAACGTTTCCGAACACGTTGGGCACTGCCCTCGTTAGTGATGCACGCGACGTGGTCCATGCTTGCGACGTGGGTGCTCAATGAACCAGTCCGAGCCCGGAAGAAAAAATTGGGAATCCCATTATTTGGGCTTTGGGGGCTTGGGCTTGGGCGCCCCTGTGGTGTCGTATGAGCCGCGAGCCATTCTCGTCTGATGGATCTGACGATGTTCTTGGGGGCCTTGTCAGCAGCTGTGGGTGGAGACTGGACGCATCTGGCGAGATCTCACCGGAGGTGTTGTGTTCAATGATCGAAACCAGCAACTGGTGAAGAATGATTCTCTTGGGCAGCTGCTTCTATACAAGGTCGGAACCGACACACCGGCCTTGGGGTTGGTTGACGATGAAATTTAATGAAGCTGTAGACTTGGTGGCAGGTAGAAACTAGGCATTGTTGTTGGTCATTTGGCACAGTCGAAGTTGGGTTGATGCGACATACCTTCTTCTATACTCGGGACAAAACAGAAAAACTGAACACTCAAAACAGTTTGACTCGGGTCACATAGTCACAATATGTGAGGCTTCTAGAACGTGTGGAACATTCGAACAAGAGAAGAATGGAAGAAGAAAAGAAGAATCGAAAAATAAATTTTTCCTCTTGTCTTGTTTGTGCCATATCGCTCGTCCGTGCTATCGTTACCCTGGCCCCTTGAAGATCACCACACTGTGGGCTGGATGATCTTTGCACAACGATTTTTGACTGAGGCCCAGAGCCTCAATAAAACACCACGTGTTTGTATGTATGTTTGGCATGGCCTGTTAATTTGGGCTGGCAATCCGCTGTCACTATTTTATTTCTTTGTTCCGAATATCTGGGGTTAATTGGGGCCGAATATACCGACTTACAGGGGTTGCCAAACCAGGGTGGGATCGAGATCGCCGAACTTCTCAAAGGGGAAGAGCTTTTTGGATCCTATGCACTTGGCGGGTTTCCTGCAATCTGCATCTGGTTCCTATTGGATTAATAAAATTAGAAACGTAGTTTGACTTGACTTCCAACTTTCCAGATCAATTCGCTGTGCTATTCCGTCTCAATTGCACAATCTTGTCTACTTCCCCAAGTGAACTCTTGATTAGGTCTATAGTCGGCGTTTTGCTTCAGTAGCACTGATGGTACAAGGGATTCTTACGAACCGTGGACAACTCCGACTCAGGATCCTAGTCCGGCTCACCTTTGCAGGATGCTGAGACTGGCTTGGGCGTCGGTGGAGGGCCGGGCTTAGGCTTCTACGATCCCTTTCGTTCGGTGTCCTTGCCCATGCTGTTGGGTTGGCGTGTTTCAATACCCGAACAATGTGTGTTGATTTCTGATTGGGTCTAATGGGGCCTGATTGTATCTGCACTTCATACCAATGGAGGATCGGGTGGGTAAGACAATATCGAGGGGGAAAGGATATGTATGTACAAATGACTCTGTCCTGGACGACGTATGTTGATGAGCAATACATTGTATCTCACTAGGACCGTTCGTTAAACGAGTCTGCTTTGTTTGCTATCCAATACGAGGTTTCTGGCCTGTGAAACAAACGTGAAGAACATAAAGGTTGTTCAACTCCCAGCATCGAGACAATGTCTCCAGCTAAGGGGCTATTACGAATAGAATGAAAAGTCCATCCTACATATCGAATTATCCTCACCGGTGAAATGCATTGCATTTAAAACGTTGTCTTGGCACAAGTCCCTGCATCACATCTCACCGTTCCCATTGCGTCAACTCCGCGCCCTTACTGACGTATGATTCGTTACCAAAACAACGCCTCTGTCAAAGTTATCCCTGCAAGTCTGGTTCTTATTTGCTTCCACCTTCCCCGACCCCTGGAAAGAATTTTCCAGAACGAACATGGCAGCCTGGGATGCTATGACACTCGGGATCATGTCTGATGCTGATCTACCCACTTGCCATCCTGGAGGCACGGACTAGTCGCAAGTCGTACCAACAACACATTGGACAACGCACCACCAACCTTGCCAACTGTTTTAATCTTTCGCAACCACCAACACCAGGTCCGTGACGAGCTGGCCTTTTGGGAAAAACACTTCATCATCTTCACCCTTCACCGCTCACCGCTCCTTTTCCTTTTCCGCGCGAAACTGTCATTTCGGCCTTGGCGACATTACACCGCATTTTTTTCTTCGATATATTGTCACAGAGCGGTCAATGCCTTGCGGCCGACTCTCCCACCTGCCGCACCGAATTCCACGTGGCATTTCCTTGGATGCAGGGTCCCGAAGCCAATTTCGCTGAAGTCGGAATGATGACATGATTAGGGGTTGGGTTACTTTGTTCTCGGACCTCTCTCTCCTTTCCAAAATGTTGGGTTATGTACCTGAGGTCATCACGCGTCGGCATGCGGGTGATGTCACTCGATGATGTAAATGGGCGCAAGGAAGAGAGAATCAGAAGGAAATCATTCATATGAAACGACATTGTATGCAATGAAATCAAACTTTGGTATTGATGGAATGAAAGTATTTACATCATTGCATATGCCAAGTAAGCCGCTACTGCCAATGTGAAATCATCAGATGACGTCCAATCCGACAAGACACAGCATTTCATTGCGAGTGGCTAATTCGGCGAAGTGGTTAGGCAGTCTAGAAGTAGGAAGCTTCCACGAGGAACCCAACAGTGAGCTGCAACTTGTTAGTGCATCTGTTCCACCCAGTGTACATGAGCAACTGTATCTTACCTTGGCATGCTGCAACACATGAGGAAAACTGACAGTCGACACCGTATCCGACGCAGAGTGGATGTACGGGCTCGAGTCCTTCATATTCTCATCACAGACATACGCAGCTGGAAACCCGGCATCGCGAGCCGATGCACTACGTACAGAAGTCAGCTAAACTCTCCCACTGAGTTGCAAGTAGTCTGAGGGGAAGAATACATACTGATCCGAGCAACCATAACCACACTTGTCCGTCGACAGGGGCAGCGAGGTGTAAATGGGCACCAGCTTCTGGATGAAGGCCGTCAGGCTCGAGTCGACGTAGTCAGTGTAGACAGCGATGACGTTGTTGGGAGAGTAGCCAGTCATGTCTTGGTTCATGACCGCGAGGACGTTGACACCGTTTTTAGCGTATGATTGCATGATATCGCGGGATCCGAGGCAGCCTCCTTCCTCGCCTGTGTTGGGAGACGTCAGCGGTTGAGTTCAGGGGGGGAGATAAATGAGTGGGCTTACCGGAGTAGAAGTGGAACTCAAGCGTGTTGGTGGGTGCGTATTTGGCTGCGGCAAGGACGCGCAAGGCTTCGAGGATGACGACGATGCCCTGTTGTGTAATGGTTAGGAAATGCAGGTTTCCATGTCGAAGGCGTGTTCACTCACAGAAGCGTTGTCATCAGCACCCGGTGCCTTGCCCGACGTCGTAGAGCCAATGCTGTCATAGTGAGCAGACACAATAACAACGTCATCAGAGGTGCCAGGAATGGCCGCAATGACACTGGGCTGGTTGTACGAGTGCGTGAATTTCTTCACTGTGATCTTAGAGTTGGTCGAGGCGACGCTGACAACCGTGTCATACATCCAAGTAGCGCTTGTGGCCGCGTAGGAGCCCCTGTAGTAGCGATTATAGATGTTTGCCATTGCGTTGAGCCAGGTCGATAAGTTGCTCTGTACCAACTTGGCGATGAGAGCATTTGCTTCTGTCTGATGGGAAGCAGTGCTAGGGAAGGCCTGGACCGTTTGGCGTTTTACGTCACTGGTGAGTCTATCGACACGCAAGGTCTCGAGTGCCTGCTGAGTGTTAAGAAGGAAGAGAGCCAATGTCGTTCGGGATGAACTTACCATGGTATCGGTGATATCCACGAAGCCGACATGTTGCGATATGAACTTCTCAAACTTCTCCTCTTCCGTCACCCAAGTTCCCGCGTCATCATCAGACGTCTTAATCAGTCGTAGGCCCTCAGCCTGGCGAGTCGGGACATTGTAAGAAGCCACTGCACCTAATGCAACCGAGGCATTGAGTATAACGCTGCCGAGTAGGGCAAGCTTGAGAGTTTGAACCATCATGAATGACTTGTTCGGGATGCACAGATGTCGATCGCTACATCAGTTCTGTAAACCTCAAGGCCAGGAATGCTATTTGAACTTCACGAAGAATACTCATTTTAGAATATCAATCCTTCCCGCCTTCTGCATCAGGCATGCAAGTGCCAAGGGCCCAGTATTGTAGCTATACAACATCGCAAAGTCGTCCTTCTTAAAGGAGTATAGCGCATGCTAATGAACTGCCCAGCAAAGCACAACGCCCGAAGCCAAGCTTTCCGGGCACTGCAAGTCGCACCTCCAATGCCGGGTTCAGCCTATTGCCAAGCCGCTTATCTGAACATCAGAGTAGCGCGGGCGGCTGCGAACATAAATGGACGGAGGTGTCCAATGCCGGACAGTCCATAAATGGAACAACTGTCGCATTCGAGAGTGTGATCGCCTCTTTTGGGGATTTGTTGGTAAATAGTCGTTCTTGGTTAACGGGACTGAAAACCACGGGGCCGCCGTTTCTCGACGGGTTTAGGCTTTGCGGAAGTAATCTTACCTAGATGGATCCGCAAAAGTCTCAAAGAATAGTAGAAAAATAGCATTGCTCATCTTCGTATCTCTGCATAATTTAAATATCTTTCATGCTACCAATTGTGAGCCAAAGCTGTTATCAAAAGATTACCAGCCCTGGATCACTGTATCAGAAGCTGGAACTCCTGTTCACAGAACCTTACCGGTATCTCAGATTCCAACTTACTTGAGGAAACGCTTTCCCATCGTTGAAACAAGATCATCGAAGCCCGCAAAACAGAGACAGGTAAGGTCGCGATACGCGTGGTCACTACGGTGTCTAACAATGCCTGCAACTTTTATATAACGGTGGTCTGGTGATTAGATTGCGAGGATTCGACTCGGAATCGACAAGACACGCTTAACTCGTATATATGTCGAGAAAGTATTCCATAACTGTTAAGTAACCTCTTCCAATGTTTGCTAATATCTCTTTACGTGCCATAGATACTTTGCAATATACTATGGATTAATGAAATTGATGACATATGAGCACGTTACGATATAGCACTTGCACCGGCACGGCGTTATTGCAGTACACAGCAAGGGATGCACTTGAATCGCCGGAGCAGTTTCGCTGTACTGATCATAGCTGGTCTCGGGATGCCTATAAATAATACACCTAATGCCGATATAAGTTTGACTATTCTTCTGCCCCTGCTAGGTAGAAACGGCCATGCAGAAGTAAAGCTTAGAAGCGGGGTCGATATTTCGCAAGCCCTAGGGGCTCGTTGCGGTACGTGCATACATTTGGTATTATTCGACGTCCTGAGCGAGGATCTCCGTATTGAGGTGTCAATCTTTTTATGGCACTAATTGCCACGCTACCCCGTCCGTCATACATCCACCTACTCAAGATCGAGCCCAGCAGATCGACCGACCTGATCCAATATTCTGTTCTAATGGCGGACTTGGATCAAGATGCAACTTATACGGCCTTATCGTACTCATGGAGGTAAGACGCGAGTGGGACAGGTAGAGTGGCGGGCGCGCTGGGCGATGTCCTGAAGACGAGTACGAAGAACTCGTGGAACATCTGCAAGAGCCAGCTGGGAATGAGCGTCGACAGCGGACCTATGATCAGCAGAAAAGCCCGGAAAGTTCAAGGACGATTTTCTGCGACGGGAAGAGGATGCAGGTCTGCCCGAACTTTTATGATGCTCTTCTTCATTTAAGACAGATGCGCCCGGGTGCTTACTGGTTCGATGCTGTGGGACACAGTGCTCAGGTCCAGATGATCAGCAACATATACCATTCTGCAGAGTCGGTTCTAGTCTGGCTTGGTACTTGCCCTACCATTCTACCTCGAGGCATTAGCCGACTCAAGCGTCTCGCGGAACTTCGGGACTGAAGGGTTTCAAGTCAGACAAAAAGGACATCAAGGAAGCATTGGAACCGTATGTGGATGAAGCAACTATGGTAACGGCGTTCAGAGTATTCAGTGTACCGATCCTAAAGACTTAGCCTTCGCTGGACTCCCCTCCTTCAGCCCGAGTCTCAGGCAATCGACGGATTTCTCCAATCAAGGGCCAACACCTGCATTGCCTCAGCGGTAGGGACTCTGGTTGCTCAAAAAGGATTTACGGTCAGCCCTCAAATGTCTAATGTTACAGGAACTTATGTACGAAATTTAATGCAGATGTGGCCCAGCCTTGTACAACGCAGGACCTGTTAATCAACCTGGCAACCTGAATTTCATCCTAGCCCAAGAATATGGAGCTCCTATCCGTCATCACCCGCTCCCAAGACCCAAAGACAAGTCCAACACAACCATGGAGGCATCAGCCGATCTAACGTTCACTAATCTACCCTCCTGGATTCCCAACCCCGTGCCCTGGGCCTCCCGAGTCATCGAGACCCTCTATTCCTCGGCTGCTCCGTTTTCACGGCATGCACAAATCTCAAAAACCAATCCTAAGATCTCGTCCGACGGGACTATTATCTTCCTCTGTGCAGCAAAACTCAGTCCAATTGAAAACATGCGCCGCAAGACGCCACAGCTGATCAAGGAAACTGGCATGCCTTTCTGTCTTTTCGCGTGACTTCCGCTCGAGTACGGATATACAGGCCAAACCTGTCTCCGAGCTCTAGCCAATGTCCTCATATGTGGGCTGTGTGAGGGTCAATATCCTCCCCCACACAACACGAATTGCTAGCAGAATTATGTTACAGTCTCTAAGGTTGAGTCGATAACGAGTCCTGTCTTATACAGGCCAAGGGTGGGATGACCCAATGGCACGGAGACTACATCCATCCTAGTAATACTCCAGGAGCGCCTGGCCTCAATTCGGGAATCCTACCAAGTCCTCAAGGACAAATTTCCGAAAATGCCGTGGGCTGTTCCCGGGAAGAAGGCAAGTGAGAACGTAAAGCAACTGGCATGCCAACATGCTCATGGTCAACTGACGAAAAGTCTTCCTTACCGATGATGGGCTTATGGGGTTCGATCCTGGGTTCATGCAGCAGGGGAATGTGGTGATGCTGGTTAAGAGGCGATTTGTTCTGTATGTATTTGGACATATTAATGAAGCACTTGAGCGGAAGGCGCAGAATATTGTTCACAAGCTGAAGAGGGCAGAGAAGGATAAGCTGGAGCGAGAAATCCATGGCTTGAGAGGACGGATGCGACATAGAGACGCTTTGATTCTGGTTGGGGAGGTTTATTTTAAGAGTTGCATGAAAGGGAACACGGTGAAGTAAAACGAAAACAAATTAAAAAGACTGGGCATAGTATAGTCATGGATGATGTGCAAGGATTTGAATCTGTACAGTATACTGGTCCAAAGAGTGGGCTTGAGAGAGGTGGTTTGAACTACCTCATCGACCTTTCAGATAGCGGCTTAGACCTAGCTACCGCGTATGTGCTTGCGCGTTATACTACTTAAAATTCTAGCTTGGGGACACAAGCTTATAGATGTCCGACCTCCATACAGTTATTATTAGAAAAGAACCACCACGGAATGACAAGTGAGGAGTCATGACTTGCACCAAAAGCATAAGTTTTGTGTTTAATTGAAAACGGCAAAGATTATACTTCCTCGTCTGAAGCTTCATCGCCATCACCCATATCTCCCTCCATATCCCGACTCCTCTTCAAGTCTGCAAGAACCGCCTCCAGTCTTGTCTTGAGACCCAGGTTTCTAGTCTGATTGACTTGGATCTCCAACTCAGTTATCTTCTCACGAATCTCACCCAATCCTTCATCTCCCTCGTCGTCCACTTCATCCTCCTTCACAGCATCATCCACCACAAGCTCCGGCCCAAATGCCCGCGCAAAATGCCTCGCCATACTCGCATCACTGATAGCAAAAACAACATTCATAGGCCCCCAACACTCATCCTTCACGGAACCCCCAGCCTTCTTTCCTTTCTTCCCCCACCCTGCTGTGCCCGTCCCCCACCAGCACCACCTGTACCACCAAGCAAAACCTTCCTCCACAACCTGGCAATCTCCCCTACCGGATTTCCATACGCACCACAACCCCACGCCCCTAAAACCACACTCCTAACCCCCTTCATCATCAAAACCCTCAGTACCCCCCTCATCTTCCTTTCCGCCATCTCCCGATCCTTAGGTTCCGCATACCTCTTCTCGTCCCCTGCGTCCCCTCCGCCTTCAACATCAGGTAACCTGATCATCCCCGCTGTAACTACATCGATGAAGAAGCGCTCCTCACGCGGTAGGTCGGGATACCCATCTCCCCAGCCCCGGAACACGAGTACGTCAGACGTGTACACGCACCCTACTTCGGGAAGGCGGTAGAATGACTCCCGTAGCGAGGGATAGAGAGTCGTGCGCATGCAGAGCGATTCTTCTTGCGCTGTGGCTCCGGTTAGGAAGCCGCCTCCGGGACGGAGGGGGGAGGCGAGGTTCAGGACTGCTACTTTGGACTTCTTGCCCCGGAGGCCACGGTTGAGGGATACGAGCCTGTGGGCGGCTTGTAGGGTGTCGCACATTTGGAGTGTGACTTGGGGGTGTTGATGCTGTTGCGCAATGTTGGGGGTCTGGGACGAATGCGAGCCCGAATCCGAGACTGCGTCATCGGGGGGCTTGCTGGCATTTGTAGATGCATTTTCAGCTGCTGGGACTGATGATCGCCACATAGGCGGATCAGGAATCAACTGTGCCGTTTCGACGCCTTTTCGTGCCCGAGCGTGAGATTTGAGAAGGGCGGGTATGTCTTCGTTGATAGTGGCTTTCGCCCTCTTTGCGCGTGCATCTCGGCGGAATGCCGCGGGCGGCAGTCCTCTTGATGGATTCACTCGCCCCATGTTGTGGCGAATGCTAATTGGATTTGTAGAGTGATAAAATTGTTTGCCATTTCGAAACGCATGGAAGATTAACAACTTATACAATGGCAGCTCCTCGAATAGTAGTATCCTGAAGGGTCCTCATTTTTAAGCGCTGTTATAGCTTAGCATTACCTTGAGGGCGAACCTCGAGTTCCTGTACGACTTTAGCACTGCGAGGATGGATCCCTGCTGATAGTGGCTGTAAATGTCAGCTGTGCAGTCCCATCCCGCAGCTGGCATGCCTTGCCCCTGAACGATCAGCTCCACAGCTAGCGAGCGTCCTCTGGAATGCAGTGAAACGAGTTCTCGGCGCTTCTTTTGAGATAAAATCCTATGGCGCATCTCCAAAATACTGTTCGTGCGTAAGACAAACATGTTTTACAACACTTTGATGTTTTGATAACTTTTAGAACCGCATCCTGGCTCACCAACACGGGCCCGCAGTTGGTTGGCTCATCAGGGATGGTGCTCTTCGATGGTTTGCTGCCACGGTTGTACATATAAACCTCCCCTGAATCTAGCGAGTCTCAGTAACGAGCCTACATCTATCCGTAGTTATTCTCAAAAATGAATCCACAACTGCATCGGAGAAAAAGAAGCAAAAGAAAAGCAAGTACACGAGTTAATAATTGCTTTAACTCCGAGCTTTCTCGGTAGGCTCCGATCCCCGCTACTAACGGCCGGTAACAGAGCCGCTTTTCCTGGGGAAGTGGCGCCGCAGTACTCTTCTCGCAGTGGGGTCCGAAAATGTTTGAATGACGCGGTGAAGAAGAAAAAAGAAAATCCTGGAATCCATTGTTCTTTCCATCATTCGATTCTCATCTCATCTTGAATCTATCGAGACGACGAAAGACAAGATGTGAAAAAGACAAACCCTCAAAAGAGCGAGGTGCGCCATAGTGGAACAACAAAGGCATTCGGGATAGCCTTCACGCCTACTTGAGTCGCCTCAAACCGTTAACTAGCCCACCAAAGGACATGAACGACTGGATTGATACCTGGGAAAAGGTAGTCCTCACTGGAAAGAAGAAGAAGATTGGAGAGACGATCAACTCTGACTCCTGGGGAAGAGACCTTCTGAAGGCCCTGTCCGGGATATGGCCTACATGGACGACAACCTTCAGCATGACACGCCAATCAGATATGGTAGCAGACAGACTCGACGTCGGGGACATTGCTGCAGAGATGCGACGAGCTGCACTCATGAAGAACGTCGTGCTACCAGCAAAACGTGCTGTGAGAGGCTCGTTTGTGACGTTCAACCAGGACGCATGTGACGAAGCAGAAGAGACTCCTCTCACTCCTACAGTGCCTCGCAAGACTACCAATGGCAGAAGGAGTGGAGGAAAAGCAAAACGAAAAAGGGCAGAATCGACAACAGTCGAGGACAAATCGGCAAGTTGGTGCCAAGCGTGTCTAGGCGAGCACCCACTACAATCATGTTGGTACGTGTTCAAGGAAAAAAACCCCTACTACGAAGAAGGCAAAGAAAACAAGACTGTTGCAAGACTTGTTGCCCACAGGATCAGGACAGAAAAGGGTCTGAAGGAGGAAATAGAGAAGATCAAGAAGGAAGCAGTCAACAGTTGACTAGCTCAGTTCGAGCTCAAGGTGGGCAAGGTGCCAGCGAGCTTCCTGATAAGGAAAGGGAGCACCTATCCCCTGAAGAACTCGACAATCCTTGATTCCGGAACAACTCTCCATGTCTTCAACGAGATCAGCAGGTTCCAGAATTTCCGAACGCCAGCCACAAGAGACGTGATCTACGCAGGCAAGGACATAATGAAAATTGAAGGATACGGAGACGTTGATATTGAGGTACAGGGCGACCAAGGACCAAATATACTGAGGCATCATGATGTGGCCTGGTGTAGAGGGTTCGCCTGTAACCTCGTATCTCTTCGACTGCTTCGACGCAAGGGGTACTGGTGGGATAACAAGTATCCGAACAACTCATTACGACGGAAGGACAATTCTCTGGTGTATCAGATCACAGAGATGTTTGACCAATTCGTAATAGAATACTTGCCACTGGAAATAACCCCACAAACCTTCTTTACACGTCGCAATCAAACATTTCTGCTACAAAAGGTAAGCCAAAACTGACCACAGCAGAACGCTGGCATCTTCGTATGGGCCACCCAGGCCCAGAGGCACTGAAGCACGTGGTTAGCCATTCAGAAGGAGTCAAGGTCAAGGGTCTCTTTGGCCCAAAGACTACTGAGTGTGATGGCTGTGGCACCGCCAAGACTAAGCGACAAGTATCCCGGATTCCAAAGGAACCGGAAACAGAACCAGGAAGCTGCATTGCGGTGGATTTCCACGATCTCGAAGAAGACGACGAGGGCTTCTCAAGACTGTGTCTGTTCACCGACAGATACTCCGGATACTCATGGGACTATTACATGAGAGACAAGACAGCAGAGTCAATTATTGAAGCACTGGATGATGTTTTCGGTATCCTCGAGCGACAATTCGACATCAAACCACAGTCAATCGAGTGCGACAACGAGATCACACAATCCTTCAAAGTGAAGGGGTGGCTCCAGGCATGATATCTCAAAGTCAAGCCCTCTGCTCCACATACACAAGCCCAGAACGGTGGTGCCGAGCGCTTAGGGGGTGTGGTCAAGGAGAAATCGCGAGCTATGAGAGCAAGCTCAAAACTTCCAAGCTTCCTCTGGAAAGAAGTTTACCAGGCAAGTGTATACCTGTACAACAGGACTCCTAAGTACTTGTACAATTGGAAGTCACCATATGAGCGTTTCTACACCTACGTGGCCAACAGGGACAGGACCACAGTCACAGCAAAGAAGCCTGACCAACGACATCTGAAAGTATATGGTTGTAAGTGTTACGCACTTACGACAGATACACTTCGGAAGTCAAACCGCATGAAAAAGCTGAGCCCGAGGGCATGGATTGGATACCTTGTCGGCTACAGCTCTACAAACATCTACCGAATTTGGAATCCTCATACGAATAAGGTGATCAGCACACGAGATGTTATCTTCAATGAGGAAGAGACCTTTAGTGGTTCGCTAGAGACACTCAAGGATGAGCTCCTCGGTATATCAACAGAGGAAATGGAGGCACTGCTTAACCAAGTTAGGCTCAGGGATGCCAAACAACATGAATCAACAGCTGCTAGACATGCTGAAGACGAGTGTATTTACGAAGTTTAAGACCAAGATTCAATACTTGCGTTCGAGCAGGGTGATGAGGACGAGGACACAAGGATAGCAACCGATGAAGCCGCTGAGCAGACTCATGAGCCAGCTCAGGAGGTGACGACCTGGGCAGGGATGCCTGCTCAGGGAGGGTCCGAAATAACTGAGCACGCTGGAGGGACTGATCACCCCTATACTACCGCAGGCCTTCGTCTGACAGATAGGCCTCACCGATGTGGCTATGAAAATTCAGCAGCGGCGGATGCGGGAACTAACAGTTAAGGACTTCAGCAGAATGGAAGATAACCTTGTGGGAGGAGAGGTTGACTTCCATCTTGACTGATAATAGGATTGTTTGGAACAGGAAGAATGACCTAGAGATCTGGAAGGCAGTATGTCAGCATGGACCTGCGGACAATGCTGAAGGGGTGTGTCAGATAGGGCACCTGGTTCCTACGTTCAGAAATAATATGGCACTAGAGAAGACTATTGTCACTTAAAGTTCAGAAGGCGAAAGGAACCCCTTTTCCCAAAAGTAACACCAAAGTTACTGTCCACTTAGGGGTCAGACACCTGAACAATGTACCTCCGATATGTTCTAAAGAATCTATAAAAGACAGAGCAACGGGAGGAAAAAGCTCGAAATTTGATTTGATCTTGATTTCATGATTCTTGTCAGGGGCGTGAAGGTCGTGACCCAACCTGTAATGACCGTCGGCCCCCGAAATGCAGGTGACAGCTGCCACGTAAATCAAACTGTCGGATCGATGGGAGTTCCATACCTCATGGACTCCCCGTCGGCTCTTCCACCAAACCTGAACGCAAAGCAGTCACCCAGTCTCCGTCACAACGATGGGCAGCAGGTCCAACATCACCGAAACCAGCAAGATGCCTCGCATTGTCCCGCCCACGCCAGCGTTGGTGCGGATATCGATATCAATATCGACCCCGAGTATGTGAGCCCTCACCCGACAGACGGAGACGATACCGCCATCTCGAGGGAAGAGACCGAGACCGACTTCCCCGAGGGTGGGCTCCAAGCCTGGCTCGTAGTCTTCGGGTGCTTCTGCGCCATGCTGTCCGTGTACGGGCTCATAAACAGCGCTGCTGTCTTCGAGTCGTACTTTTCGGCCAGCCAGCTAGCCAGTTACAGTCCCTCGGACATTGGCTGGATCTTTGGCTTGTACCTGTTTATTGTGTTCTTCGCTGGGGTTCAGGTGGGACCTGTGTTTGACCGATATGGACCGAGAGCACTGGTAGCTGTAGGTAGTGTGCTCACAGTTGCGAGCCAGTTCCTCCTTGGATTGTGTGAAGGTGGGCCAATAGCCTGGGAGGAGGTGCTGAAAACGGACTTCGAGACTAATGGATCGCGATGACAGGATACTACCAAATCATACTCACATACGCCGTCCTCGCCGGCATAGGTGGTGCGCTGCTCAACGTGCCCGCGTACGGCGCCATCGCGCACTACTTCAAAAGACGCCGCGGCTTCGCTACCGGGATGGCGGCCACAGCCGGCTCGGTCGGCGGCATCGTCTTCCCGCTGCTGTTCCAGGCCTTGATTCCCAAAGTGGGCTTCGCTTGGACTACACGAATTATCGGGTTCATTCTGCTGGGACTCGCAGTCCCGGCCAACCTGCTCATTAGGTCGCGTCTACCGCCGAGCGAGAAGATCGTTTCCGTATTGCCAGATTTATCAGCGTTCCAAGACCTAAAATTCACTCTTTGCTGTGCTGGGATCTGGTTTATGGAGTGGTGAGTTTTGAACAAGATCCAGAACTGCACAAGCCAGTGCTAATATGGTGTGTGTGTGTGAATAGGGGCATCTTTATCCCATTGACCTTCATCGTCTCATACGCTGTCGATCAAGGCCAAGACGAAAATTCGTCCTATACCCTCCTCGCCGCCCTTAATGCCGGCTCGTTCTTCGGGCGATTCCTCCCCGGTCTGGTAGCAGACAAGATCGGCCGGTTCAACGTCATCATTTCGACCATAACCCTTTGCATGGTCTCAATCCTCGGCCTCTGGCTCCCTGCAGGCAGTTCCCAACCGCTGCTGTACGTCTTTGCCGTGGTCTTTGGCTTTGTCAGCGGCAGTAATTTGTGTTTGTACCCCGTGTGTCTGGGCCAGCTGTGCGATTCTAAGGACTATGGTCGGTTCTACTCGACCGCGCTAGTAACGGCCAGTGTGGGCACGCTGACCAGTCTACCTATTGGAGGTGCGCTGAGGGCGGTGGGTACCGAGGAACAGGGCTGGCAGAGCGTTATTGTGTTTTCGGCGCTGTCGTATGGGATTGCGGCCAGTTGCTTCGTAGGTGCGAGGGTTCTGGCTGTTAGCTGGAATGTCAAGACGATCTTTTAGTAGAGACGGTTGGCAAACAGATCTAGCTTCTGCCGTCCCATGAGATGATTTTTTCGGGGCGGGTTATGTTGAGGCGCAGGACAGAGCCACCCAGTTGATAACGTTGTGAAATATGATCAGGTATCCTGATGTATGAACGAGGTCAGAATGCAAATTACCAAACAAATAATTATACAGACAGCTATCGAATGACACGTCAATATCGCTGCATTGCGTTTGCGATTGATGGTAGAATGAACAATAAACTGACAGCATTGATCGTCATCCATGTCTCATCTCGATTGAGACCAGGCCTTCCCAGATTGGTTGAAAACCAGTTGAAGGCTGCCGTCGCAGGTTTACAGTGGATGGAACTGTGCACCAGTATTTGTTGCTCTCAGTCTTAAATCCTTGCAGCGGGGCACAGGGTCAAGGGGGTTAGCCACCAAGATCAGCGCTAGCCCCTCAACAAGCCAGGCGGCAACCAGGAGCTTGCTTTGATGTTGCCGCATCTTGGCATTCCTTGTACCTCTGCCTCCAAGTTTCAGCTTCCACCTTCTTCGTCTCTTACAGACAGACTTCTTCTTCGCCTTCGCCACTACCTAGGTGCCCAGTATTTATATCCCGACGGCGATTTCCGATCGATTTCAACCAGCGTGCCTGGCGCCGCCTCCAAACCTTGTTTCAGCACAAGCACAAAAAGCACTCCACGGCTGATGTTGTCGACTGGGCAGGGACCCAGACGTAACAGGTTGATGTTTCCGACACAAATTCACGACAATGCAGCCGGCACGATCCCAGCAGCGTGCGCCGGGCAGCTTCTCGCCCCTACCGGGCAGTGCCGCTAACAGCATTTCCTCACAGGCTGCGGCAGCTGCGGCCTCGGGCTTCGCAGAAAGATTAGATCGACGAGACCGCGAGCGCGCACCAACACCCACGCTAGGCTTGAACACAGGCCGACCACAGATCCGTAGGATAGACACATCATCGAGCGACGACACGACCCACACATCGCAGCTATCTGTGTCCAAGACTCGTAGCCCACGGACCCCGGTTAACCTCGTTAGCCCCCCATACGGTGGCAGCTTCACCGCGCACCCAAATACGTCCAGTAGCAGCCTCAACTTCTCCAGACCAACTCGATCGAACAATGAACGGACCGCCTCGCCCTTGACGGTGCCGCCCAATCGCCCCGGTGGCGGCCACCACTCGCGCAAACACTCGCAGACCCAGGGCTTGTTCGAGCCCACCCTACCGAGCACTAGTACCTCGAACCTCACCCAGCTGAGCATGGGAGATCGAAGTCCCTCTGGTCTGTCTGCCAGCCAGATAGCCGCCCAAGCTGCCATGCATGGAATGCATCATCAGCAACACAACCGGCACCGATCGCAGACAGTTCCCTTCCCCGGCAGTGAAAGTCAGGATCCCACGAAGCGGTTGGGATCTCGTCCGGGTTCTCGGCCAGGTCATTCCGCACTGAGTCCACCAATGCTCAGTCTCACCGAAGCGAGTGTCCCCCGAGAGGGCGGTTTCGGGTACCAGGGATACCACAATGGGTTGTCGGGGAACCACTCAGCGGCAGCGGCAGCGGCAGCGGCAGCGAATGTTGCGTTTCCCAGATCACCGCAATCCTCACCTGGCTTGCCAAGCCAGGAACAACAGAGCCCATATCCGCCCTCCCTCTCCGTTCCTGAGAAGCCCGCCAAGGCTGAGAAGTCCAAAGTGAAGCTGTTCTCGCGGCCGAAGAAGATCGACATAAAGGGAGAGACCAAGGAGAAGCCCTTGCCAAGTCCAGGGAAGATTGGTTCAGCATTGGCATCACTGCAACGAGGGAACTACAGCACCGCGAGTCTGGTTGATAACCAGTCTATGTACAGCCTGGCTAACTCGTCATCCGCGACCATCCGACCGACCGATACGCCCGCAGAGAAAGAAGTCAAGGAAAAGGAGAAGAAGCATCACTTCCTGTCGCGGCAAAAACATAAGCTCAGCAGCAAAGACGACTACCACCTCCCACTTTCCTCCGCAGCAAGTAATTCACGCCCCGTCGATCCATATGCACCCTCGAGTCTCTACAACTTCAACCTACCACCCAGTCCTGGTCCCAACAGCACGGCCTTTGGGAAGTCGGTGTCCGGGCTTGACTTGCGACATGGAGGGCGCGCGCTCCGTGAAAAGCGCAAGGAGGACAAGCTGGGCATGACGCATGATAACGAATCTGTATTCACCGTCAACAACTCGGAATGGCCTGGTCCAAACTCGCTTACGCAGACCACATCGAATCCAACCTTCTTCGGCCCGTGGGAACCCCTCGATGGCACGAAGTACGGGTTGAACAACATGACACTAGACGATGCCTGGCCGTACCTGAAGGCGAAGCTTCTCGTCATTTTCGAGGGCGAAGATTTACGGCTACCCGTCGAAGACTTCAACCGCGTGGTTGCCATGCACATTCAGTATTGTGTACAGCGACGGTCGGCACACATCATAATCGAGGATCTACGAGAGCTACTCGGTACGGGTTTTGCGTCACTGGATCATACACTGAGGAAAACGCCCGAGGACAGGTTAATTCCAGCGTTGGTGGAGTTGTGGATTTTTACTTTTACAAGCATCTTGCCCTACATGCAGGCCGTGTTTTTGCCACTCGACCTGGAGTTCGCTGGCAATGGGACACTGAGTCCCGAGCAAGCCCGCGAATTCTGGGGAGGTGTCTTGGCCAACTCCCCAGCGTCTGGCGCATACCTCAACGGCCACTCCTTCGAACCCACAGTTTCCCCAGCAGGCACAATCCTCGACATTCGCCGCCTCGTACTTCTTGCATACCGCGATGCCATGATCCTCCCCCGGTACGACAAGCTGAAGACGATATTCAGCCGACTGTCCCTCGAGCATCTACCCAGTAGTCTCGCAACCCTAGCTCTGGCCTCCCCGCCCCCAATAAACGACGGCGTCATCAGCACCAGCCCGCGCGACAGTGATCCGTACACCTCAGCAACAAACATCCCTAGTTCTGTCAACCGCCCGGGCACAGCCATGTCCCTCGACCCCTCCGTCGCGTCCTACAATTCCTCGTCCTCGACGCTTCTCAACGAAGGCTCGAACCCCAGCCGTTCCCGCGCAATTAGCAACGTGTCGTACGGCAGTGCCACCTCGGACCACTCCAGCGGCCTACTCCGTCCATTTACGCCTCAAACCGCACGGGAAGGAGGGTTCAGCAGTGGGAGGGACATACTAGGCAGCGTCCGTGAGCAGAACGTAGAGGACAGCAAACAAGTCACCGACATGGTCGGCCGCATGCTGCAATGCATGTCTGTCCTGGCCTCCGTCGGATCCTCGGGTCTCGACCCGTCAACCTCGGCTTTGTCTAGTACTGGTGGGGGTGGGAGTCTCAGCACTGTCTCAACTGGCAATTCATCGGCAGACGAAGGGGCTAGGATGGTGAGCGAGCTGGGCAGACTCCTAAAGTTGAACTGGCTAGGTCGAGGACGCACGGGCCGGAATCGACGCGGAATTGTGGGAGGGCGTGTTAGGAGGGAGGATAGCGGACAGACCGGTCTTGGGATTGCTGGCATGGGCAATACGGTTTTGAGAGAGGGGGTTGGGGCTGCTGGGTAGGGACGGTAAACTGCCAGTCCCTTCAGTAATACGATGATCTGAGCAGCCAGAGGGACAGGGAAGCGAAAAGTAGAGCTGGTTGTTTTGAGTACAAACGCCGGAGTTTTGTTAGTCCAGGCTAGATACCCTTATCCATTATCTCCTTTGCGATCCAAGTGTGCTAGGAACTTCTTGTGGGAGTAAGGAGACTGGGGGGCATACGATACAACACAGGGGGTGGGGTAGGGGGCGCATGATTAGATGATTTGATGGGATGTCCCGAGAAATTGGACAGGACAGGATAGGCGCTATGGAGTAGACTATGAAAATGCGACGCGATGGATTGAGATTGAATGATGTTGTTTCTGCGAATGGTATCGCACAGAAAATGGCGTAGTACTGAAAATCAAGTTTATAGATGGGTAATGAATCCAACAGGATCAATTCTACCAAGGCTGTAATGAAGTTCGCGATCTACTATATGTGATGATTACCGAGGATGTGCGTTCACAGATGATAAGAGGACTTAGGAGATCACATATATTGATGCTATCATTTGTAGAGCTCCGCTTAACAAGACGAACTCGAAGCGAAGCAAAGAAGTTGGCGCTACATGCAAAAGGTGTCCTGTACCTGTAAATTCTAGTATTTCTAGAAATGAACCTGTGAAACCCACTTGTTAGCCACCTGTGTAGAAACAAGCATCAAATAAGTGGACAATGGCAGCGGTCTAAATCAGACATCCAAGGAAGTATTGCTACCCTCATCTGCATCCCTGTAAAAGGCTCTTTTGGCGGGAGCTCGAGTGGAAACTGCGAATGTAGGAATGTTTCATCATATCGACCAGCCATTGTGCTGTAGAAAGAAAAAGTTGGACTAACCTTGAACGGAGAATAGTAACTTGTATGAAATATCACTGTAGTCCCAAAACAAACTAAGTCGGATATGCTGTGAGATTAGTGCAGTAGCAAGAGAAGTTGAGCAAAGCCGTCGGGGCATAACGGCGAAAGTGTGATCCATTTGGGTGCGTGAAGAAAATGATTTTCGAGCCTTGATAGAGATAGTTTGGTTAGCACAACAGTTCCAAATAATGTAGAACTGGTCCAGGTACAAATTCTCCCCATTGCCCAGTGCACCATCTCAGAAGAGAAAAGGATGCAAATAATGGCAGATCAGACAAGGTATACTGGCAAGTAACAGGCGCCACCGTAGTGGTCGACCCGAACAGACGGAGTTTCTTCATGGTCGATTCCGTTGGGAAAAGAAGACAATGTTGTTAAGATGTCATCCTGTGAAGGGGAAAGATTTTGCGCGTGCTGGATAAGAGGAAATCGACGAGCTTCTAACTTACCAGATATGTCATAGATCCTCGGCAACGGTGGCTGCTGGAAGCTGTTTAGTGTTCGCAAGCATGATAGCCATTAGTCAAGCAAGCCATGATGCAGTTGTGCTCTCCGGCCCGAGGGTGAAGGTGTTCAGTGGTGAAAAAGTGATAGTGAAGGTAGAGAGGCCAATTTTAAGGCTTCAAATTTGTAGGCAAAAATAAAATATAGTGGGTCCTCTGAGGTGGAGCAGGCTTTCTCAGAAAAATCAGGAAAGCGGCCCTTCGTATTGCCGACTTGGAGGAGCCGGGGCTTTGCGCGTAGATTAAACCGATGGCTCCACAATGGGGTGCTTCAGATGAGGTCGGCCCTTGGTTCTTCCGGCATTGGTCTCATGATTGAATCCCTCGGTGAACCAAAAATAGACTTTATGAGAAAGGGAGAACACTGTTTGCGCCTATATCAATACTGTACAGGTTGTTAGCTGCGTACCTGGTTTCTACCGTGTCAATTCCCAATATCTGCCTTTCTTTTAATTCAACTTGGCGAGGTTTTCCCCTCGGGGTACTCAGAACTTGCATTTTGCATATTGCCGTTCTACAAAGCTGTGCCTTACAGCCCATTTTCAAGAGGTATTTCTTGAGTCACGCAGCCACTTATCTGAACGTTTCAGAAGTCCGGTGGACATAGAACCCATCTCTTGTTCTTGGAACTAGACCAATCTATTCTGCATATGAATTGACATTCCCACGTTATTCATTCGTTCTTTGCAGGAGCTCCCATCGCACTACCGCATTAGAGAGGCGTCTAGACACACGAATATTCATTTGGCCAGGATCTTGCGAATCCAGACCTGGTCCTGCCAATCTTCCGCAACTCTCCCGCATTTGCAGCTGGCAGAACTGGAGTCAAGTTGCGCCAACTCCCGCCTCCTCCACACGTCAATCAAGCTGTGTGTTGGCTGGTTTCCCGTCCCCCGTCCCAAGAAAACCACATTTATATTGTTTTTTCCCTGCAACTTCTTGGGCAGTCCGACGTTCTGGTGCAACGGCATATCAAATTGTCCAGTCCACGGGAGTATTTGGGGGATCTGTTGCCAGGATCCGCGACTTGTCGACGCCTCATATTCGCATCTTTGGTGCAACATCGTCACCCCCTGCTTTCTAGTCCTTTTCGGATTTTCTTCTACCCTTTTCTGTCTGCATTTGGACAACTGTGCAACATCGAAACCATCTGGCATCTCTCAACCTTGAGAAGTCTATCTGATTTGCGCTCTGATTCTCCCTCATCCCGCGCCCACATCAATCTATGAGAAATACGGACGGTCAACTGAGTTGAACGACGCAGAGAAATTATTTTCAGACGTCTGGTTAAATTTGGCCCACGAGAGAGGACTGAATAGTCAACATAACCAATCTCGCTCTTACCACCACAGCGCCAGTCGGTCGGAAGCATCCAGTTTGGGAGTCCAACATTTGGACTCGGCATTGATCTTCCTATCGTCCCCATCTAACATCTGGACCAGCTGGCATCGGACCTTGCACCTTGCCCACTGTTTTTTCTGACGGCGCCCGGAGACAATTATTACTCTGGGGCCCGAGACCACTTCTGGACCTTTCCCTTTTTTTTTAGCCTGTTACCCGCCATCCGGTAAACACGCCCACGCACGTCTTTTGCGATCGCCGCCGCTTGCTCACGACTGCCGCTCGATATCACGACCACGACCACGCGCGACAGGCACTGCCACCCCGATTTTTTTACCAAAGACGACACGATACCACTTGTCGCGCGCACTGCGACAGCTTCCTTCGTTCATCTTGACCGATGGACCTAACGTTACGCAATTTATGCATCTGATTGTCTCGATTGTCACTCTGTGGACATCTGCGATAACAACCGCGCATCACGCCGTCCGCTCGAGTCGAACGACATCGCGAGACCCAATTGTTGCGACTCGCGAGTGCAGGGCCGCCGCGACAATCCCCTCCAGCACCGCCCTTGACACCATAATTTGAGCAACGTATGAGATAGCGCGAACGATTGAGCGTCGATATCCACGTGGGTGGGTAATCGACGAACCGACCAGAGATGATGGGCAGTATGCAACCCGGGCAATTCCATCCAGGAATGCAACAACACGTCCATCCCGGGCACCCAATGGCCCCGGGTATGGCTCACAATCCAAGTCAGCCAGGAGCTCAGCCGGGCATGCCACCCCAAATGGGCCACATGGTGTCTGGACCTGGAGGACAATTCAATCCAGCCGTTATGGCTATGCAGGGCGGTAATCCTCAAGCGCACGCGATGCAGCATCTCAACCCCCAACAATTTTCTATGACACCACAACAACAGATGGCCAGTGAGTTGCCCAGCGGGCGAATAGTGTCGATGGTGGTGATGGTGGTGGATGACGACGTTGGATAAGCTAACACTGAATTTCGTGTAGTGAGTGCCAACCCCGCGATGATGGCGCAAATACGACAACAACAGCTCCAGCAGCAACAGCAGCAGCAGCAGCATCAGCAGAGACAGGCGCTGATGGCACAGCAGGGCATGTATGTTCCAAATGGTATGCCAATGGGCGCTGGGGGTATGGGTGGGATGAATGCAGCGCAGTTCGCGGCTATGAGAAGTAACCCCCAAATGATGAGACAAGTCGGTCTACCCCAGCATCTCCAGCAGGGGCATCTTGCTCATCAAGGACAGCAATCCATAACGCCGCAGCAGGCTCAGGTAAGCTCGGTTTTCCGAAAAGGGCTCGTTCTTCTGGCTGACATAACAGATCATGCAACTCATGGCTCAACAGCAGGCTGCGAACAACCAACATGGTAACCAGTCTGGGCATCCACAACTCACGCCACAGCAGATGCAACAAATGCAACATGCGCAACAGGCCCATATGGCTGCGTCTATGCAAGCGCAAGCGCAGCAGGCACAAGCCCAGGCTCAGCACGCCCAGGCAGCACAAGCCCATAATCAACAAGCTCAGCAGCAACAACAGCAGCAGCAACCGCAACAGCAGCAGCAGGCTCAGCAACAGGCTCAGCAACAGGCTCAGCAGCAGGCTCAACAGCAGGCTCAGCAGCAGGCTCAGCAGCAGGCTCAGCAGCAGGCCCAGCAACAGCAACAACAGCAACAACAACAACAAAACCAGGCGCAACCAGGTCAACCCCAGCCTCAACCCCAACAAGGCTCTCAACAGGCCCAGCCGACCACACAAGCTCCTCAACGAGCGCCTACGCCCGCTGGCACTCAACCCAACCAACCACCAAACCAGCCTCAAAACCCCGCGCAGCCAGTCCAACCTGGACAGCAAGGACAAGGACAGGCTGGCCAGCAGCAGCAGCATGCGCAGCAGGCCCAATCTCAACAGCCGAATCCACAGCTCTTGCAGGCAGTATCGCAGCAGCACATGGCGAACAGCATCCAACAAATGCAACAACAGCAACGGCAAATGCAGCAGAATGCTGAGGATATCAAGGGTCAATGCATACTGAAACTCGATCAGTTCAAGGCTCACCTGAGTTCTTTCCCGGTTTGTGGGGACTTCCCATAGTAGTGACAGAACGCATCTGACAAAATATCTTAGGCACATAACACGAGGGATGACTTTCCATACTGGCAGGAATTTGTACAAATGTTCTTCGCCCCAGTAGGAGTATTCCGCTACTCTTTGCTCATCAAAGATAGCAATGGCGAACAGACAGACAAGCAGTACGAGATGCCGTACGCTGCGTTGCCGAGATTTCTTCATTCCGTATTCTTGAGTGGGTGCGAACGGTTGCAGCTGGTCGCGGACCACAATATGGACAAGCATCTACCCAGTGGCCACTTCATTGAAAACAACAAATCCAGCATGGTATATTGGTACCCTGGCTCTCATGTGGTGCAAGAGGGACGCTTGAAGGCCCTCTTTGACAATGAGCAAAGACTCGAGCTGCTTGAGTTTGTCACGACGAACCACACTGAGTATATCGAAAGGGGTATGGCCGTCCAGGCAGCCAAACCATTCCATAACTGGGTGAAGGAGTGGCACAAGCTAAATTTCCCAGACCCGAAAGGGTCGCCGGAGATGCAAAAGAAGGGCAAGACTAAACAGATGAAGTCGCCCAATACTGCGCCACCGGATTACGACCTTCCTGAATCGTCCATCAAGGCTTCCATGGGTGTTACCGGACAGGTGTTTCAGTTCCTGGAGATTGTCGAGGTCATGAGCACAATGGCGCCACTTGTCAACTATTGGCAAGTAAACCAGCAAAACAACTCCGGGATTTCAGCGTATGGCGCGCTAAACCAGTACGTGACGAGCGTCATTGACGGTTCTGGGCCGCAACCCGTGATGAATGGCCAGCAAGCAGGCAATGCCCCAGCTAACCCGCGGACACCGAGCTTCGGGCAGTTCCCAATGGGCACCTCTCCGGCGGCTGCACACCTCCAGCTACCAGGCTCACCACATATCGGCAGCCCGGCCCAAGCCCACATGCAGGCTCCTGGGATGGCTCTGCAACAAAGCCATCAGGGCACAAGTTCTAGTGGGCCCAGCGCAAACACGAGCCCGGCAAGCAACAAGCGCCGACGTCCGTCTGGCGTTAAGGCTGAGGACGACAGCAGTGCACCCACGCCTGCGAGTATGAGTGGAGCGCAGGTTAATGGTGTCGCCAACATGGGCAAGACGAAACCGCCAACGCCAAGGATGCAGAAGCGCCAAAAGGGTAACCCTGCTTAGTAGGCACCTCGCTCATATTATGCGGTTTATGAGGGCCAGCCATCGTCCGCGAAAACACGAACGAGCCTACCGTCGCTGCCCTTGCTACAGCTGCCGACTTTCTAGGGAGTATGAGGCGACGAACACTTTGGGTGCATGCGGTTGAAAGGACTGTGGTGGGTGTGGACGGAGTTTCCACCCCAACCCGGCGTCGCAACTTGCAGACGAAGCTGCAATGAAGACTGGACTCTCCAGGAACATCATTAACCCCAACTAAAATTGCCGTCAATGACGTGCATTATATCTCATCACGCACTAGCGAAATAGCGATGCTCTAGGACATAGTGTGAAGGATCTAACCTCTGCTCGACCCGCTTCAGACGACCTCCAGCCTGCGCTGATGGAGATGGATTGTTAATCTGGATATGGACTTTATATTTGGCTTACTCTTTTTCATTTACTGTTACCCGGCTCGACACTCGATATCATTCCACCATTGGGCCGGATATCTAGGCGTTTGTACATTGTCAGGAATCGCGATTTGGAACGGACGAGGCCTCGAACATTTCATCTTTTTGACGATACAATGCTCGAATTGCGCATGGAAATAACCAGTATTGCTTTATCCCCAAGCCGGCGTGTAAAGATGGAGGGTGATGGTTCTAGTAATGTTGGGACGTTGTGTCTCTCGGAATTAGAGAGGCGCAGTGACTCTATGTACGATATTTTACCTGAACTAAGACGCAAGACAGCGAACAGGTCTTGTATCTGTCATTATTTACATAGCAACTCTAGTCAGGCATGGCGAGAGAGATGGGGCGGGGAATCAAAAAGACTTGACTTGATTACCAGATGGGTTTATCTGTGATGACGAGTTTGCTTGACAAGTCCGTCCAAGTATGAGTGAGTAAAATTGAATAGTTCTGCGGCACTGGGTGATTTGGCTACAAGCGTGGTGCACTCAGACCCATCGGATGTAGCAGCGGCTTTGACGTAGAACACATGACTTGAGTGGTAGTTAATCAGCCACATAGGCAGCATTTGTCTCGTCAGATATGCCTTTTCATCAAGAACGTAGGGTATTGCCAACTATTGTTCAACATGTGCCAGTCAGCGGCCTCACGCATTCTCCGTGCCAGCCCAAACCTATGTAAGTATTTTAACCGTATTTCTCCTATGGACAATCCTATTCTGCCACCGGCCCATTATTCATGGACTTGACACAATAGCATCAGACTTGTCGAAATAGCCTATCGAGGCCATCAGTATCGGAGACTATTCATGTTCACAAGACCTGTTCTCTCCATAGGCATTCCCTGGCATCCAAGCGGCGCTGCAGAATTTACCATGGAGTCCACCACTTCCTACCCCAACAGGTTGCTGCGTGACCCAGACGGTCCAGCGCGCATCCTGGCGTATATCTGCACGGCCTCTTCTCCACGGCCAAATCCATCCGACCGGGATATCGAGTTAACACAAGAACAGCCCATTACTGACTGTTTGAAGCCTACCCAAACAGAAGACCTTCCTCGCTATTACCGCCCCTACTCCAACTGCCTCTTCCCACACATAACGATCATCGATACCCTCTACCTCAACACCTCAGCCTCCTTCCCCGCCCCTCTATCTACCCTCATTACATCCATCTCGGGGGCCGTGTTCCGACGACATAACATCACAGTCAGCGCCCCCGATATGAGACTTAATCTCAGAGATGGGGAAACAAGCACAACGGCTTTTGGGGAGATGGCGACTATGAGACGGTGGATGGCGCCCGTAAGTGATGTGAGGGAGGAGGAGTTTAGGGCGATTTTGAGAGGGTTTACGGCAGTGGGGGGTGTTGGCGAGGTTTTGGTTGTGCTACCAGTTAGTGAAAGGAGGATGGAGCGGGGGGGATAGAGAGGTTATTTGGGATGTTGGAGAGGCGATACAGAGGGAGATTCGGGGGAAGAGGTCGTAATTGTGTGGAAGGAAGGGCGGTAATATTAGTTACGGATTGAACAAGATAGCATTTTACCACTCCGTATCCAAAAGAGAGAAACCGAAGGAAAGGGGCAGGAGAATCATATAAACCGAAAGCTAAAGTAACATCAGAACACCATCCCTACATGATATACTGGACCCAGTCAAAGCCAGAACGAAAAGAACTTGGCGTCACCCCAAAGCCACCCTAACCACCTTGGCCATATCCTCCGCAACCAATCGATGTACATGCGTAGTCGGATCCAGAAACTGCATCCAATAAAACTCGTCCGCCCTCCCCTGCACCTGGCAAAGTTCCCAGTTATCCGTCCCGGGCACGGCCTGCTTCGAAGCTCCATCACAGATGTCTGCGCCCGGCGTCATGAAATGAATCCCATCAACCCCGCCATTTTTCGCCTGTTCATGCATGTTGATCATGAATCTAAACGCATCATAATAAATAACCCTCTCTCCAAAAGCTTCTAGACGTGTCTTCAACTGCGAGTTCACAGACCGAATCACACCCCCATACTGCTCTACCGCCGCCGCATCTAGCCCAAAGTAAGCAGCTACCACGGGCGCCACGTGCCGCGGGTAGATGTTAGGCACGATTACCTTTCTAGCTCCAGCATCAAGCAGACTTCCGACGTTATCCGCAATCCGAGTCGCGAGGTCAGTAGCGAACACGCGATTCCCCTCATCGGCGCCCGCGCCGAAGAAGATGTGTGGTCGGGGATTCATCAGCCACGGCAGGACGTCATTGTTCCCGAACCAAAAGAAATGCAGCGACTTTTCTGCGTTCTCCTTGTTGAACCCAGGCGAGGTAGTGTAATTCAAGATCTGTTCCGCTGCATCAGGGGCTTCCGCATCGGATTGAGTGAAGGAGTTGTCTACGGTAACGCCAAACTTGGAACCTCCCGCCGCGTGGCCGAAGGCGAAATTTTGGTTTAAGGGGAGGCTGAGAAGGGTGGAGAGGTACGACGCGGCGATGGGACCATTGGTCCAAGTGTTGAAGCCGTAGATGAAACTTGGATTGCCCGCAACGCCGTGAGCGGAGGAGCCATTGCCGTTGTCGGAGAGATTATCGCCGAAGACTACGAGCTGGGTGAACTGGCTGAGTCCCTGTGATGAGGCGACCTTCAAGTTCGAGGTGGGGGCGTTACTCGAATTTGCGGGAGGTAGGAGCGTGGGCTTGTCAATGGTTGCGGTTGGGCCTGCGAGAGGAGTTGGCGTGAGGATAGGGGCGCCGGTGGTTTGGGGTTCCTGTTCGGTGAGGCTTGGTTGCTGGATAGGGGCGTCATGGGTTGGGGCTGGGTTAGGAGTCGGTAGGAGAGTGTTCGTGGCATCTTGGGAGCAAGCCAGAGCGAAGGCAACGCAGAGAAATAAGGTGATGACGAGCATCTGGCACGGAGTTCGCAGGAATTCGGTTTGGGATAAATGGAAACACTGAACATGTGCACGAATGAAACGGAGATAACGACAGGAACGGCTAGCGCTCAGTTGGTTGGTAAAGAGGAATGAGTGGTAAAAGAAGGAGCGACTGACTGTTCAAAGAGACGAATGAGAAAAAGAGAGATAAGAAACACAATGCGTTGAGCAAAGTAGCAAAGAACAGCATCACCTACACAATTCTTGCCATGCAAGGAATGATATATACCCAACTCGGCCGTCACTATCCATTTCACATGTGAAAAACGGATAAGTGTCCAGGATAATAGATCAGCAGAGGCTAAAACAGCGCGTTTGATTGATAGACATGCGTCAGTCAATGGCTCGAGATGATGGGGGGAGCCGTTGCTGATGTTTTGCAGTAGCGTGACCGCCGTTGGGAGACTAAGAGCGCCACACTTCAACCTCTTTCCCGATGTACCTGCATTAGGGCCATTGGTAAGATCCATAGTTTGGGGCTCACGGATGTTAGGGATGAGATGGATCTACGGGATGCGATAGGGCTGGGTCCACTTAACTTCAGATGTGCGCGGTGCGTTTCGATGGTTATTTTGGTGTAATAGTATAGTAGTGCCAGCTTCATTGATGATGTGACAACCTGGTAATAGGGGTGTCTAATTTTTGTTTCTATTAGGATTTAATTAATATTTGAGCCCACGTATCTCGTGTTATTAGCTTTCAGGCAATGAATGCTTAAAGTCCGCATGGCCTCTATCTGCTCCTCCTCTCCTTAAAATCTGTGAATCCTGACAACGCGAACGTCCGGCTCCATGTCAGAACCAGTATCTATAACAGGTAAGTGAACAGCTATCTCCGGGAACAATCCACTCTATTATCCCTCTACCAGAATCTGCAAGAGCTGAGCTTGGCTTATTTCTCATAGCCGTGCCGCTCCACGCATGAAACTCATTTGCCGTAGGCTATTTCTGACGTGTTGCTTCTTCATGATCCGCTGACATATTCATTCCGCGTATTTCACAATATCTTTCGCAAATTCGAGCCTGTTTCGTTATGCAGTCGAACATAAAGTACGCATGTTGGAGCATGGTTGGCGACGCATCGAATAGTAAACTAGAAAGCTGGTGACAATGGATGTAGGCTCAGGCTGCACTGTTTGAGTTGAACTGCCGTGGGAGTTCATTTGATGCGTGCTATCAAGGGCCGAGTGGAAGTATGATCTGTGATTGTGCCGAAGCCACGGAGACTCAAGTATATTCCCTCACTTGATCTGTGATACGTGATATATGCGAAATTTTCGGCAGTCGGATCTGACACCCCCTTTCCAGGCCCGGAACATCCGAATGAGGTCAATAAATATACGGGTCCTTTGTGAAACCTGCAGCCTAAGATTTGTATAAGACGAGAAATTTGGCTAACAACATGGTCTGGGGAACCTACCTAACTCCATTCCTGTCAATGCTGTAGACGCAGCGGGTATACTTATAATTAAAATCAACCCTCATCATATAGCATAACCGAAATCCATGTTGTGATCTCATTTCGTTCTTCCCGGTCCCATCCCTATCGGAAACTGATCTTGCCACCTATCCCGCATCGGTGTGTTAGGAGTAATAGGACTAACCGGAGTCGTCCCCTCCAACTCAAATAATGCCACGGGCTGTCTAAGTGCCCCAACCGATAGACTCGCTGCGCCCAGTTCATGAACTTTATGTCCGTCGAGCTCCTGAATAGAGGGTTCTTCTTCATCGCCACCGCTTCCAGATACGTCCGGCTTCTTTTTCTTTTTGGACAGTTTGCCGGCGGGCTCGGTCTCGGCGCTCCGCCGCCGAGAGCGCACCCAGAGAAAGAAGACTGCAAAGCCAATTATGGCGCCGACGGCTACGCTGACCCCTATTCCAATTTTGGCGCTTGTGCTGAGTCCTCCTTCATCATCTGTATTCGGAGAAGCTGTCGCAGCCCCTGATGAGCCCGAGGAAGATCTTGATGCCGTCACAGTGATCAGCGAGGCCACGGGGTCTGAAGTTGATGACGCTGCTGACGCCGTCGTCGAGGTCGGGACAGTCTGTGAAGTGGACGTGGGTTCCTCGCTAGGCGTCGTGGTAGAAGGCGCAGGAATATCTGATGCCTGGAAGTTGAGCTGGAACAGGGGCGCGTAGACGGTGAAGCTCGATAGGTCATTGTTGGGGATCGTAATAACGGAGAAGTCGGTGAATGAACCCGAATCGCACACGACGGTCGAGAAGGATGATTGTGTGGCGACTACTATGCAAGTCGCAGCATAGGTGTTTAACGTTTCGATGCTGGAGGGGGAGAATCCACTGGCATTATATCAGTATTTATACTAGGCCAGATGCTGGACTGGGAAGAGTCTCAGCTTTTACCTAGGACAACAAGCCGCCGCCGTCTCCCCCTCCGTCATCGAAAACTCCAAACCCCAGCCCGTCTTGCCACCCTGCGTCGCAATCGCCGCCGTTGTATACCCAACTGGACACGCGATCCCAGGCGAATAAAACCCCCATCCCATCATGACGCCCGGGTCTGGAAACTTGCTGGAGCGTGGCGGCCAGCAGTCAGTATAGTCGTGCGCGAGGCTCTTCTCGTTGCACGTCTGGCCCTGCCACCCTGTGCTGCATGTCGCGCAGCCCAGCGCCATGGCGTACGAGCACACGGGCGGCGGGGTCCACGTCGTTGTCAGGGGGCCCAGGAGCGTTCTTGGCGAGGCCATGGTGTTGGCATGCTATATAGAGACAAACAGCAGCTGTAATCTTGGAGTTATTACAATGTAACCATGTTAATAGATGAGTATAAGAATGTGAACTTTATTTCGTGATACTAATATCGAATATTGTCTGGTGAAGATGCGAAAGAACAAGAATGTGGAAGGTTGCATACTGGATATATAAAATGCGCAGGTACTGTGGAAAAATAACCCATGATGAATGCAATGACGATGCTGCTGCACATGGCAAATCGACATGCGTGTGCAATATCGAAGAAAGTAACCTCGGAAGTGACACGGGAAAGGTGATTGGTGATTACCCTGTCGATCCAAACTTGATTTCTGGAGATGTTGGGATGTTTGGCGTGCTTGGTTTCCTTTCATCCGCTTGATGCGGTTAGAAGCAGTTGATCGACCAAATGAATGCATATTGTTGGCTCGCTTATCTTCCCTCATGGTGTGGTACTGCGGTGTTGTGTACGTTTCGTGGAGCGAATCTTCTCGTTTCTGATAGATGATAGTGGTAGTTGTACATCGGGCTGTCTCGAAAGCTAGGACGAGGCCTCTAATTGTTGAATTCTACAGTCGACGTGCTATAGTTGGTACTGGTCCGTTTATGTCTCACAGTCACCCAGAGATAATCCTTGTACAATTCGTAGTCCGACGCATTCTTGTCCTTCTCATCTACCCAAGAGCCCGGAAGGTCAAAGGTTCACCGCCACGGTCAACGACATCCAAAAGTTTGGAGTTTTGTGTTTTGTTCGAGGAATTTCTACAGGATACAACACCGGTTTGAAAGCAATCAAAAGAAAATAGGACTGTCATGGGACTGTTTAAATCTGTATGAAATATCCAGCATACAGCATAAATGATGGTTCAACTCTCTCTTGTTCGTCAAAAAATGTGTTCTTCTTGGAAGGGATCTGCTGTGCTCCTGATCAGGCCAAAGGTTAATGTCCTATGGCCTAGGGCCACAGTGGCTTCCGGCAGTGGCTGTGTACACACTAACTAGCTAACCTAGCATGTTCTCAATGAGTGCCTAGGTCGCCAGCCGCACGGACCATCCAACCGTGTCTATAGATATTACTGCCTTCCCCCCACCGTGTTTTCAAAGTTGCACCCAAGTCCAATGTCCTCTTTTCCTTTTTCAACATGTCAGATAACGAGGACGTGGTCATCTACCGGTGTTATTGCCCTCCTGGGGTGAAAAGAGTTATTGCTTCAGGAAACAGTGCGTTTATTGGAGAAGTTGACGACTCCACTGTGTTGAAATATCCACTGTCGCCAAATGATGATATGAGTCGACTCAAGGCGGAGAAGAAACTCTTCGAAGCAGTCGGAGAACACGAGCGCATCATCAAGCTCAAGGGCTCCTCAGCCATGGGTCTCTATTTAGAGCGTGCTGTGAAGGGTGACTTATACTTTCAAGGAATGCTACTAGCGCACGACGGGACGGTATTAGTTGACGGTTGTAGTCGTGAGACTACTCGATATTACCGCCCTCGGTACGACCCTGAGGATGCAGACACCAAAACAGATATCTTCGCACTTGGGTGCACGATTTACTTCATTATCATGGGCCATAACGTATTCCCCGACATTCAAGATGGAGAAGAAGGATGGCGTGAGAAAGTTGAAGCCCGATTTACAACGCATCAATTTCCCGACAACATGCATGTATGCGCAGAGATTGCCTGGAAATGCTGGCTGGGCAAGTACGAGTCGGCGGCGGACCTTTTGTCGGACATCAAATCAGTTGAAGCTGCTCATGCTGAGGTACACTGAGTTCTTATAGCCCTCATACCCTTCAAATGCATCTTAATATTATTATTATTATTAAATACGCCGTAGGCTCGAAGCCCCCGGTACCTCTACAAGTGCTCCCGTATGTCAAACCGTGCCCTAATGGCTGGACTAAATACATACGCTGCTACGTAGGTTCGCTCTATTAGCGACCGTGTTACGTCCACCACAATACTATGTTAGTTCTCACCCTACTAACAAAGCCCCCCTGAGAACATCGATATTATCCGGGCCTAAGCGCTATCCGGCCAGTCCTGAGTAGCCACCTTGTGATAGTCCCGCTGACTACTGGTTTCCCCGTCGCCGTTGCCAGGTCTCTACGTGTATGCAGCGGCCATGGTGCGATAGTGGCCCGCAGGCGCTCTCTCGATTCTTCCAGCAGGCCGCAAAAGAGGATTACGTGCTCTGCCGTCTCGGGGGCCTCCCCACAGCGGCGTAGCGGCGAGTACACACCGAAGGCTCCTATCTTAAATAAGAAAGCTGATAGTCCTATTTTTCCGGTCCTGATCTGGCATAGGGTAGACGCCTCCGGTCGGTTTAGGTCTGAGTACTTGCCCTGTTTCGGCATTCGCATCGAGGGGCCCTCCGGCTCCTCGGCGATAGCGCGTCGCTGGCGGTCGTGTTGTGCTGCCCCGGAGAGCCATCTCTTCTCCCAGGGATGCAAGCCATGAGCTTTTCGAGATTTGCACAACTAGTGTCCACTTTTACAGTTTAAATACCGATCGCGGCTTAAGGAGAGATGGAACGATACATGTTCGTACAGCACTGTAGCTATACAAGCTCCCCTGCGTCAGGGTCTGTTCAACCTGAACAGGTAGTTGGAATCAATCCTCGCGCGACATTTGAGAATATTCGAGTTATCGTACAGCCCAACACCCTATGCTAATTTGGCAGTATAGTGCAATGATCTGTAAATGGCCCCAGGCCGGTACTTGCTTTAGAAGCTGATGAAATCTTGCTTAGCTGCTGTATGCGGATCCGCTCGGGGTTGGGTGATTTGGTGGCAGGCTAGTGCCTGACCCTGTAACCGAGCATGTTTGGACACGATTATGGGTCCCTTCCAGAATAGATTTGGTCTCGGCGTAATCCTCTGCATCTTGAACAACCAACTCACCCAATACAGGCCGGGACAACCGACCATTAAGCCACCCACACATCCACTACCAAGCTCTCTATAGACATAATATCTCTCTATAATACAAATTTAGTCAACCGCACCGCAAAATAGGACGTGCGACTCGAATCGCGCCAATTCCTTCCACCCTTGAGACGACCTACAAGCTACGACTGATCCCAAGCTTTCCAAAAGCTATGGCAAAGGCGTGTTTCCAAATGGCTACCAATCTTTTTATGAGCCATATGACACCGGTCAAATCTTTAATGGTGTGACTGAGGTGTTGGATGGCACGACGCCAGAACCAGGGCCGGACTACGTGATGCCCGCTCAGTTCTTTCTAGCAGAATGCCAACGCTTTTAAGAACAGATATAGGACGAGGATGTTAGGATCGTGGACGCGAAACGATGGTCCACAATTAGAACGTCAAAGTATTGGGAGCTGGAGATGGACTTCAAACTTAAGAAGCTAGGTGAATATCTACACGAGGCTGTGGTTCCCTCGACAAAATTTAGTAAGCGACCGATCGGCTTGGACTCGGATCTCGGTTTTACTCAAACTGATATTGATGGAATACGGTGGAATATACCCTACGAGGAGTACTGGGATAAAGAGGTGGAGGTTTAGGAGCGTTTGATGGCGCTGAAGTAGTAGCTGAACTGGGAGCTTTGAGAAGCTCGCCAGGCTGAATCGCAAACGCAACCTTCGAGGCTTAAGTGTTCATAATGGCATAGCGAAAAACGCTCCCTTACGAACGCCGGGGTGAGAAAGCAATGCCCTAAAAAGCAGGCCACCAGATTATCGGCTTTAAATACGGTACAGAAATTAGTTATTAGGTCGAATGCCGACAGATCCAGGAAATAACCCCCGCCGCTAGCGGCCGAGTGAAAGAGACCCAGCCTTCTCAGGCAGAGAAATCGCCATACGATCTTCGCCCCCGTATTAAGACTAATCAGTCCTCTAAGGAGACACGGTTACGCGCCTAGGATCCCAGCTTAATTTAACTTTCCAGTGGTCTAAGACATTTACACGACTAGGATATTATATATCGGGATATGAAACCGGCTAACGTCCTTATGGAGCCTGTTAGAGGCGGAGAACAAAAGGAGATTCAAAAATGGACATATAAATGGACCGACTTTGGTGACGTAAAACTCATTGAAGACCTGGTCTAGGGTGTCTCCAGATCCCCTTTTTTCTATGCGCCCGAAATGATAGATAGGTAGTTATACGGTTCGAAAGTCGACATCTTCTTTTTATTACCTTTCGTCGCTTGGTACAGTCCTTATAAGGACGAAAGACTAAAAGAACTGACCTCGTCATGTTTTGACGATGTGAAAGAATGGGTGACCGATACCATTTACCCTCATCTGATAGCGAACGCTGAATAACAATATTGGCCATTGCTGGAAGCGATGTTTATGCGATATCCTGAAAACCGCTGGAGTACAGCCCAAATCTTGGATTTCATATCCCAAAAATTGCGTAACGGGCAAGTCCTCTTGGTCGCGGCAGCGGCACCGTATTGGATAATGGAGGGGAGAAATAATCGCAAGAGAAAAACGTCGTCGCCACCGGCCATAACAAATCCGGTGTCCATGGGCTCGGACGACGAGATGACTACCGAGCGACTTACGCAGACGGGCCCGAGACTACCCAGCAACGATTCAGTGCCGTATGTCGCCCCTTGATCAGATACCGCTAGCAAATCTTTTTACACTGCTACAGAAAAACATCCAGAAAATAGCGCGCCTACGACACCTAGACCTCCGCCGTCTCTTTTTGGCCTGACGTCACATAAACCTATAACGCCTTTCAACCGTGCCGACCCTGCTTTCAACGTATCTACTTTTCAGTTACACTTGTGCCTTGTATGCAGTTATCATGGCCAGTGAGTCTTTAATAGGAGGAAGGCATAATGACCAAGGTAGTAGCAGATGAAGTGCTTCGTCTCTGTAGGAACATCAGTATGACACGATGCATTGGGACTTGGTAAGACACTCACCGTTGTTCATATAACTGCCAATTTTCAGCCGGCAATGTACGGTCATATAGGGTCTTTTCAATCATTGAACTATACTGTCGATCAGTGAAAGTTCACACGACGTGGGTGCTGTATTACTGTGCTGGGGAATATCCTTCTTAATCGAGAACTTCTGCATTGTGTTATAAGGCAAGGAATATACCGTTAGCGCTAGGAGTACTTAGGAAACGAGGCAGTTAATAGCCTCTTGATCTGGCAAAGTCTGCAAGCATCATCAGTCCGAAATGATCATGCTCGAAAAGCTAAGATATACCCATTTAAATGTCAGGTCCCTCCCTATTCCAGTGGAAGCAGAAGCAGAAGCAGAAACAAGTGACGGACAGTGCTTTAGTGAAGAGAATTTAAAGCATAGAGTCGTCTCCCGAGGATTGGAAGAAAAGAAGACCTCGGCGAAGCATATCAGAGACTACAGGAATTTCTTGATGACATGCAACCTGAAACCAACTCCGCCAAGAGAATCCGCAATGAGGAAGGCTCGGGTATTAAGGAAACGTCGTTCGTTCTAGAAGGGCGTTCCGATAGCTAATTCGAGGAAGTATTAAGTCGGCATTAGACACGAGCTACACGCTAGACTACACTAACATAGTTATTTATCCTTTAGAAGTACGAATACCGTGAGCCAGGTCCGGCAGACCTCGACTTGAATCATACCGAGCCAGAGGCTAGGAGACTGGATGAGGAACATATCACCGCTGGAACCAGCTGGATTCGATAATATGACCGGAAACCGGGATTACGAAGCTACCGTCGAAGAATACGTCCAACAAAAATCTAGAGACGAGCGTTGGTAATAAAGAAATCGCACTCAGGCATAAGGTGCAGCTAATGGATCAGGACACACTGCTTGACTTGGTTGGGAAGATGCCAAGGTTATTCGGGAAATTTTGGCCTTGTGAGTCAAAAGAAGGCAAGCCAGCAGAAAAATCTGCGAAGTTCAGTGAGCTTAAAGAGGTCAGCCGGGTCGCTTTATTTCGTCTCTTCTGCGATGACCCTTGATAAGGATATCTGTTAAGCTCCTAAGGTCAAGCGATATTTTAGTAGGTAGACACTTCAATTCTCAAAACCACCCCCACCATTATCGTTCGCATCTGCAGTTATTAATTGACCTCCATTTTTACGAATTACACAGGTGCATAAACCAACCAATACTGATACTACTAACACATGATTCGCCTTCGTCTCGTTGCCGAAGCCCACCCACATAAGAGGCGTATCGTGGCATAAGCGGCACGAGTTTCCAGATACATATGCTCTTATGTAATCCCGGCTGGCAACATCTGCCCTCTCCAGGTTTCTCCTAAACGGCCTCACGCTGGAATGATATGTACATAAACCAAGACGGAATGCTCGCTTAGACAGCTGGGAGAGGATGTCGAGGAAAGTTCCCAATGAGTTGGCCTATAATTAGGCCAATGACAGGGAGCATGGCCTTACACACGACAGCCAACCACGTATCCACATATACAAACATGTCCCTTTCCTTGATTCGGAATATTCAGGGATTAGGAAATAGCACCCTTGCTTTCCTCCCCTTCGGCCCGAGCCCCCGTTCATTGCCGGAGTAGAACCAGCGCGTGCACTTGGGGCCACACCAACGCCCAAAGGATCCTCGAGTTTTGGCACAGCCTCTGGCCGAGATGGTTAGGGCACAATGAATAGAATGGTAAATTGAACATCCTTATCCTACCCTTGCCTGTGACTCTCGCAGTAAGCTCGATGATGGCTGTTACAATTACGTTTAGTTCTTCCTGACGCCCGGATGGAGGCTCGAGGGTGGTGCTTGTTGGTGCGTAGACTATTATTGCTGATTCTCTCAGACAGCCCAGATTATCATTCGTGTGAATCTTTATAAGATATGTGATTTTCTCTCATACCTACTGTTGTGTCCGGGGAACGGCACTCGCCCATGAACATCCTGGCGCCTTTGCCATTACCATTCCTTTACACATCTCGATCTACCACTCAGCATTTTTAAGCTCTTTCTAAAGGCAAACCTGAGCAGAGTTGTTCAAGACAATGTCTTGCCTACCTTGGAGCTAGCGAGGATGGCAATCAACTTTACAAGGCTGATCAAATTCATCTATGTCTCGAGCGCTTACGCCTGCTCGTTCCTCCCAAATGGCCCTGTGGAAGAAGTGTATCCGATCGTCAATGCAGATCAGGTCTTCGAAGACATTTTCAGAGGGCGTCAGAATAAGTGGCCCGGATACGCTTGGCCGTATGCTCGCGCCAAGCATCTTGCGGAATGCCTATGACACGACCGGTTCCCGACCTTGCCGCTTCTGATACTTCGACCCACCAGCATAGGTCCTGCCATTGAACAGCCGCATGAGCTATACGGGTTTCAGGCATCCATCCCTCTCAATAATTTCTTCTCACGTCTGCTGTCGGCTTCAGGCGGAGCAGTTGTTCTCCAAGCGGCAGCAGGTTCAGCCTCTGGTGGCAATATTCTTGACGAAACCCCAGTCGATTTGGTAGCCAATATCATGCTCCAACATGATCAGATAGGAACCGAAGGAGTGATACATGCGTGCAGCCGAAGCTACATTCCAAAAGACTTTGGATTCTTTCATCGCCGAGGTCCAGCGAAGTCTTCCGAAAGACCACCGAGAAAAGATGCCAGAGATAGTCTTCACGCAAACCCCAAACGACCCGATATCGCCTATTGCTCAGTTCTACCGGATGGCCCATCGGAACTGGGATTTCCGTAATGGGAAAAGCGGATGCCTAGAAATGTTTGGACCCTAGGCATGAACCTCAGTCAGCATAATGCTACAGGGTTCACGCAAAAACGTATTCAAAGAATCCTACGGACTATCGAAACCTCAAAGACAAAGTTTAATAAATCGAAGATATAATTGTGAGCGTTCATCAAATACATGTCTCCCTTTCCTAACGATGAATAGCCGCGCCTGTGCGATGTGCCTCGACATGAGGCAGTATGATGGAAGTGGTCAGAATTTCACCAGATCACTGTTGAATCTATGGTGGTTCTTTACGCTGACCAGTGAAACGGGGTCAGGCGGTCAGTAGGATATACCTACCACCTAACACACTGAACAGACGGCTCCAGTACCAAAAGATCCCATCTGTTGGTCTTATCAGACAAAGATCGTGGTACTGGTTATAAGAGCTTCGCTCTTATACGTCTGGTGCGCGAGTTGGTCGGATGTGCCCCTGAGACTCTCGTCGGAATGATTCTCAGAACAAGACGTCTGGCTCTGGAAGTCGAATTGAAGCTCTAGCTGGCACTAGATTGCTCTGATCAGAGCAAGATACAATCCTCTGTCATTATCAAGGCTAGGATGAGGGCAGAATAATAGGGTTTCGAAAGTAGTGTCTAAATGCATATAGAAAAGAACCGCATGATTGAAGATCTCGCTAACTAGAATCGAAAACAAAAGTCAAGTTGATTGAATAAGATGATGAAAAAAAGATGCGTGAAGATGGAGAACTCGTGTCCTACTCTGCCTCTGTGCCTCTTACAGAAGAGAAAATAAACTTTCTCTTAGCCCCGTAACCTATTTCCCTGATGTCCGGCCTTACCCCGTTACACCAGGCTTACATGTGGGTGCGTAAAATCGGGCAACAGTACATATAGGTGCTTATACTTTGCCTTCTCGTGACACTATGTCACTATGTGACTGGGATTGTGATCGCACAAGATCCACGAATCCCTCCTATCCTATCTAGGTATGTTCGCGTACAACTCTCAAGTGTCGTTACATTGTAAACTTTTGAATTTATAGGGCATATCAGTTGAAATCGTCCCGCACGCCGTAGCTCTCACCTTAGGTAACAGGCCGGGAGCACGCAGCTCTACTGCATCGCATGATCGATCCTCCCATCAACTGTGTGGTACGCTGTTAGAATGGTTGCAGTCTCGCAAAGTATCATGGTCAAATGCTTTGGTCACTGTATCGTAATGGTGTCATATAAATGTGAAATTCCATAATGTTGATTTGGCCGCCAGGCAGCAGATTTAAAGCGGGCCGTCTATTGTAGCCGATGCGTTAAGTCATTTAATCTAACTAAGCACCTTGGAGAGCAAACAGTCTGGAGACAACAAACTGCTACCCAGCTTCTCGCGACTCGCCACCTGGTCCAGGTCTGGTCTGTCATGGCTCCCAATCCAAGAGCATCACAAGTATCGACACGAAGCCTGTCTCCATGACAAACCAAGATCACTCAAAGGTCATTACGGAAAATCCTATTGGGACAGGCCTAGACAGCTTTCGTGCTTCGTTTAACTCGACCTGTGGCAGCCGAGGCATTTCATGCTCGCCCGACTCGCTTGACCGACTTGACCATGATGGTAATTTGTTCCGGCTTTATCTGCCTACTCCGCTGACCCACGCAGACCTCCAAGACTTGACTCTAGATCTCCTCGTGGCGCTGCAAGGTCTTCGAACCCCACGACTTCTGCCCTCCACCGGCAGGGGCAAGAATCTTCTCAGCGATCTTACTGGGCTCAATTCCGCCGTCAATTCCAATCACTTCGATTTCGACCGTGTTTAACCTCTACTGAATGCAGCGCTCACCAAATGCCCTGACGGCGAGATCTGGGATCAAGTCTACATCGCCGTTACCGAATCCACCCCTCCTCCCCGACCGGCTGCCTCCTCCCTTCAACAGACGCCATGGCTTTATAATATAAGCAGCCCCGCAAACTCGGCAGAATACCGACAAGATGTGGACAGAGTCCATAAGCAGGAACTTGGTCCTCTCTATGCTGGCCTTCGTCAATTCCGCGAGAAATTCTGTGGGCGCGTACCTGGCCTGGAGGTCGCCTCGAAAGCCGTGTTTGAGAAGTGCTTGGAAGGAGATAATCCACCGTTCAAGGAAGGCTGGGTAGGATGGCCTAAGGATGCAAAGCAGGATGACGTTTTGAGTTGGTTTGCTGGCAGAAGTGAGAAGCTGGCAGGTTTGGGAAAAAGCTACAATTCTGCCCTGACAAACCAACGAAGGCCTTTAGCACAGCCAAACAAGCCTATTCAGGGCTCCACGGGAGAGCGCAAGTTAAATATCGGATTCGTAAATGATTCCCAGGCCAGAAAAGACTCCCATTGCCACTGGCGGCAGATCCTCGTCCCCGGGGAGGTGAAAAGCAATCCATCGGCCAACATCGCCTCCAAAGCATGGCTTGACCTGGGCCGCTATGCACGAGAGGTGCTCACTGCTCAAGATACCCGCCGTTTTGTCCTGGGCTTTACTCTTTGTGGATCTCTTATGAGGATATGGGAATTCGACCGACTCGTGGGCATCGCCTCTGAACAATTCGATATCAACCAAGATGGACCACAGTTTGTATTCACCATCCTTGGGTTTCTGTGGATGACCGAGGAAGAGCTTGGATTTGACCCTACAATTATAACAAAGGCTGGCCAGCGTTATGTCCACATCCAACGGAATGGGCAGACAGAGCGGATAGTGATTGAGAAAATTATGAAGCGGGCACCTTGTGTCGCCGGCCGAGCTACAACTTGCTGGAAAGCTTATCGTGATGGTCATCCAGAAGTTCCGTTAGTGATCAAGGATTCATGGCAGTACACGGAGCGCGACGAAGAAGGCGAGCTCTTGAAGGAGGCCACAGACAAAGATGTGGTCAACTTGGCTCGATATTATCATCATGAGACGGTCTATGTCCGGGGGGCAGTTGACAACATTCGGGATAATATCCGGGGGGGACTGAATATCACCGAGGCAACAAACTATCGGCCAGAAAGATCCGTACTTCCGACAAACGAAAGCGCAGTATCTACTCCCCGGATAAGTCGGAGTGGGTACGGTGGCACCAAAAGGTCATCTAGTCAAACTGGAGCTTCTTTGCCACCTGCGAAACGATGTTGTTCAGCATCCCCAACCAAGGCAGGCTACAATCCCTTACAAAATCGGGTTCACCGACGGCTTATTCTCCGTGATTACGGAACTCCAATCTATGAAGCACGCTCTCGGACAGCTCTGTTTGCCGCGTTCGAGGGCAGTATCAAAGGACATCAATCTCTACATCAGGCGGGTCTCCTTCATAGGGACATCTCAATTAACAATATCATGATCAATGAGGACGAGACCAACCCCTCCTGGCCCTCCTTCTTGATTGACATGGACCTTGCCATTAGAGAAATACGAGAAGGCGCGTCTGGAGCGAGGGGCAAAACAGGCATAGAAAGGAGGCATTCCCGAGTGGCGAGAGATGGAAGAAGGACGATGTGCGACTGTATTTGAGGATGAGAGAGGTCCTTCGCAAAGCTCAAAAGGACACTAAGATGATAGATACGTAGTATGAGAACGGATTGGCTCTAACAGGTAAAAGGTCCTATAATCGTCCAAGAGCGGTTTTGAAGAAGCAAGATCCCGTAGAATCTCATGCAGGAACGCCGTTGCAATTATGGTGAATCTCAATACTTGTATATTTAAACCATTTCGATATTACGTGCACGATGTTTTTGATATGACCTGTTCCTATAGACCTCGGCCTCCACTTGCAACACCGCCTTCTTTCCGGGATGTTTAAAACTGAAGATTAGCTGTTCTGGCTGAACGGCCCTCTGCCTGCCTTGGCTAGAAGCTGCTTGCCTCACTCGCCAAGGCCTCCTCTCAACTTCACCATTTTAACTTTACTTTGTTTCAGACGAAGGCACAGACCCCTCTTATCAATGAGTTCAATTAGTGCGGGGGCATCCAAGAGCGAATCTAAAGGCATATATACATCAAAAGAAATGTTGATATGTACAACTCTAGGCAGTATGGTAACCTATACTTTGGATGTGGTAGGCTTCAAGACGTTAGACGAGCGTTTATGGTTGGCGCGTTTTCAATAAAATCTCAGCTGCTATTCATTGAGGATGCTCTTCTTTGGCAATTTCATCCGTAGTCAACAAGTTGTCAGCCATCAAGTGACGCGCCATATTTAACATGGCACCCGAAGAACAACTACCGCTCGTGCAGATAATTGCTAGATTTGGAAGGCGATATGCTCTAGGCCCTACCACTCCACCGAATTCAGTACCATAGCGTACCAGCAACCCAGCCGAACACATTTTATATGCTGAACACAATTCAGATTCTCTCCAGTGACGGGACTGAATTTTATTGCACATAGCTTCACACCACGGCATCAAGTATGACATATACCACACATAATTGTATCTCGAGACGCTAATAACCATTGGTCTTACAGGGTCTTACAGGGACAGGGCGGAGTCTGGAGCCGAGTTTGCATCAGGGAGTAGGTGGTGTGGAAGCGGTTCAATCACCTGTTCCCTCCCATACAATGCAAATTTTCACTGTACCTCGCTGCTCAACAGATGCTCCGTGAATTGTGTCACATTCGAAGTGTGTGTGCTTCTAACCGACCATGGTTGTCTTGTAGCATCGAATCTATAAAGGCACCATGCTATCCTATCTATGTCCAATGTGGATCATCAAAAACATTGCCCTCCTCTCTATACTCCTGACCGGCAGTCCAAAACCATTACATTTCCCATCGGTCTAAAAATCGTCATGCCTTCCACGATTTCAAAGTGTAAACATTGCAGGACTGAGGTGTCCAGCACCCGGACTGAGTGTCCTAGTTGTGGAAAGGCGCCCCATTAGGCACTAATACACTCCTTACACGAGACGTGGCTGACATCTGACAGAGACGCGTTTGATAGTGTTCGTCATGGGATATTGGGATCATTCTTGGTTGAGCTAGGCGCACATCTGCATGACATTTGTTGACATCTCTTCCAAACAGGCTTATAAAATCGGGCTATGATGTGTGTATCTGATGAAAAATCCCGTAGATTAGGTGGCTGTCCAGGAGCAAGGTCCTCCCTACACAATTGCAGAAACCAGCCTGCAGGCGGTGTAACCCTCCTCCCTCTATCGGTATCGCTGAGAGCTTGTGTGGATCTAAGTGTGGCCCTAGGCCCCACAAAAGTGGAAATAAAGCCAACGCTGTTACCGCGTTACATAGAAACCTAGACTTATCATCAATCAATCCACGAATCAACAGATCTGACCACACAGCTGACTTGGCACGAATTCCATGAACTTGACATTCGTGACATGAGTCCAGTGCGGTAGATCGACCAGGATACTCACTTGTCCCAACTAAGCTCATAAACTCCCAACCGCGGTGGTTTCAATTGCGAAGATTTGCCGCAGGCACCGATTCGGCTCAATCACTTCAGCAGCTCTGTCACTGCTGCTACGTTTAGTTTCGACCTGACTCACCCTTCATCGACATGGCGCAGGAGCTGCGCGAGGAAGGATGTTTTGCTAAAACATATGAACGAAAATACTATCACCGCCACGGCACCTTCATCAAGCGAACTCTACGGCCTCGGGAGTTTCGTACTGGACATCTCGGTCTCCACATCCCGCGGGTGAATAAAGAGAGGCTTAGGAACGAAGCGGAATCGTTGAGATTTATCCGTCAGCACACCAATATTCCAGTCCCAACTGTATATTGCGATTTCGAGGATGACGAAGCCTATTACCTGATCGAGGAATATGTCGACGGGGCTAGCATGTCAGATCTCTCGGAAGACGAGAAAAAACTGCGCTTAGAGCTCAAGACCCATCTTACCACTCTCAAGACCCTGAAGTCCAACCGAATCGGGGGCCCGACAGGGCTTGTGATCCCTCCGTACCGGGTCATGCGACGCACGGATGAGGATGCTTGGGCTCTTCGACCGTCAAATTCGGATGAATACGTGTTCTGCCACAACGATCTATCTCAGCAAAATGTCGTTGTCGACCCGTTGACTTTAAAAATTCAGGCTATTGTTGATTGGGAATACGCCGGCTTCTTTCCATCTTGTTTCCAATGGCCATTTTATAATCGTCTTGGCCCTTCCTCTGCTTTGGAAGGAGAGACAGATGACTCTTTCGAGCTGCTCGACTTTCTTCAATCTCAAGTCGAGGCAGGGCAGGTGTTGGACCAAATTGACCGTCAAAAGACGAGGGACCCACTCGCTATAGGATGAGGTATTTTTGGTATTTATAAGGTCTGACAGCAGGTCGGTGACCTAGCCACGCAAACCAGCTTAAATAAATAATGCTAAAAGCGCCTAGAACTTAAGTATATCCTTGGATGTCGATACCATTGGTTCATTCGACAACGGCAAGGCCCGACTATCGTAAAGTAGCCTCCGAATTGCGCTTGCCACGATCAGATCCCAGAACGACAATCACGGTTCCCGCGAGCCTAGAAACGGGTTCTGTGCCCTCATCGGGGTCCCACAAGTACATCGTGAAATCATTGCCGGCGGAAATGGCTCGTACAACCAGTTTCATTTGCCTTGTAGCCACTTTTTTAAATCGTTCCTTCGCCCTCGTTCGCTTCTTTTCTTCCGCCCCGTCTAGATGGCTGTCCTATCCAATCTCCTAGAGCCTGTTCGAACACATTCACATTTTTGGCCTGGGCAAGGGCAACGGATCGGACCTACCTCTATTCCGAGGCCTCTGCCGACTAAGGACGTGACAAGATGTTGGAAGAAGAGTCTCTGGGTCGTCCTAGGTAGGCGCTAGCTAGCATGCTCAATAACCTAAGTGATACCGTCGCGGATTTCACCGAGGCCGTACGGGGGTTCGGGCACAGGTTAAGCTGTTAAAAACTGGATATCGCTCGGGTTTTCCAGGCTGGGCGTGCTCTTGCCGTAGGGGTGAATTTTGTGGCGAATTTGATCCCTTGTTGTCCAACGGAATAGTGTTAAATCAAGTTATCTCTCAATATTCTGCCACATGTTATAACTTTTTATGGATTCTAGGTCAATTCTCGGATCCCTTGCCCGCGGTCCACGTAAACTCTTGGCATTCTTGTATCCAATTCCTTAGAGGTCTCATATGTGGTCGACTGGGCAAATTTCCGTTCGTACCATGCGAATTCGATCTGTTTGCAGCTCTTTTCGTCGATAAGAGGTACAACCTTGCAGAGATGTATTCGTCGAGGAAGCTGAACGCTAATTTGAAGGAGTAAATGATATTCTGTAGGTATGAAGTCCTAACCGACGTAGGCAACATGCAGCATCGAAGCTACTCTTGAGAAGCACATGTTCTTAGCGTTGCTTGTCCACTTCGAGGCAAGATCCCTATAAATAGACGGACTCCCGGCATTCCTATTGATTATAGCTGTGCAAGGCCTGTAGCGGGTACTGGTGATTACGTTTCATACCAGGACTTTGGCCTTCGTCGTGGGGCATGGCTTGATCGATTGTATCTTATAGCCAGGCAATGACAGAATTACGAGCAGGATTCCGACTGGTAGTAGATACAATGGGCAATATTGAAGCTATATCGATTCGCTGGTTAAAAAGGGGCAAAGAAAGAGATGATTTGGTCACCATCTAGGTAAAGTGTGTGGACTCTAGCTTCCAGAGTTGACGCGATAGTCGTTATAATACCTGTTTTAGCGCGACCCCGCCTCTGCAGCTGTCATCTATGCGAATTTTCTCGCAGATACGAAAGTAGAGACTTTCAAACCTCAACCCCACGAAACGTAGCTTTAAAATCACATAATTTCGCAGTTCAACCCACGATAGATATACGATTCGAATTGGCAAAGTCATCAACTGTTAAGGGGCGTGGTGTGCATCCTTCCGTCCGGATTTCACGGCTACCGAGCTGCCCAGAAGAATCCTATAATGGTCAGGGACCCCTACGAGAACACTAGTGCTGCATCAATAATCTTTGCCCCTGCGGAACCTTATCCCAACGTCGTGAATCGACTTCGAGCGGTTCATCGTCAAACCAATACGACGTGCGCTTAACCAGGTAGTGCCAAACAAACAGGTATAGAGTCATGATGGGGACAATAACAAGGATGGGATCTACTAAAATAACCAAACCTAATTGAGATGGAATTTCACGATGATATTCTGGCGGCGGATACCGAGTTTGATTGCTGTGCCATTGAGGCCAAGACAGAAATAGACCATGTTGGACCAGGTTTCCCACACTTGAATTCACATTTCTAATGAACAAAACAATAAAAAGCATCATTTTCTTGGTTTTTCATAAACGAAAAGAACCGCTGTATCGATATGCTGTGCCCAGGACAGGGCATGAAACCACTATTTCTGGTTTATAATGTGATCCTGTTAAGGAGCAGTCCCATGAATGTGCACTTCAGGACACATCAGCTGGTCCGACCTCTTGTCTTCATCCCCTTCGAGAGTAAATTAATGTATATATCTACATCTTTCCATTTACGTTCGAAAGAATCAAACCCTCTGCTGTTACTGACATTGTACAACAGATCCCAAACACGTGTTTGCGCTTTTCTATCTTTCATTTCTAATAACTCGACGACTATGTATTAATCGCTCAGTCTCCGTTGTGTATTGCTTGACAGCTTCTGGATTGTAAGCTACTCTCTTAAGTCTCGTGTTTGGCCTCGTGTGTAATCGAAGGTGTTGTCGCCAGTTATCCTTACGATTGAAAGATTTGGGACAATATTTGCAGACGTGCATTTGTTGCAAATGTACGCTATATAATGTTATTATCATATCAATATTTTATATATAGTATAAATACCAACCTGGTGACATGTCTCTTTAGATGTTCAGAGCGTAGATATCCCTTTGTCCAACACAGTCTCGATAGGCGCACGTATGGCGGTGAGACTTGGTCTTGTTCTTGTCGACATTAGCAATATGCATCAGCCCTGCTTTTTCAATATTGCTTACAAATGTCGGGTAGTTGGCATGGAGATGTCCAGAACTGGAGGTTTTGGGAGCCGACTACTACAGATCGTGAAACTAGGAGAACAGGAAAGAGGTCTTACCGTACCCCCTCTCCCCCCTAAAGATGTAAAATTTTAGGTACCTGCCCCACTGGGGGGGATACCAAATGGGACCCCCAAGCCACATCGAAAGGCCTCCAGTGCTATTCCTCATGCTCGCCCAAAATCGAGCTTGGTGGGGTGTGGAATAGGACCTGATGCTCTTTTGGACCACACTCCTCCATTAGCACATCTGGCAGCCCGATATCTAGTACGGCAGTGCAGTGCTACATTAGCGCCTTCCAGCCTCATTAATCCTTGTACTTGGACACTTACCTTGAGGCTCACCACAATCGGCCCTGCCAATAAATCCTATTATGTGGTGGTGCTAAAGTTAGTAAGGAGGTTTATCTTGTCCGCCTATCCGTACGTTGGGATTTATTGGGTGCATATATGTAGATGTGGAAATGTTGTGGTATTAGGGCTAACCGAGGTTGCCTACTTCCCCGTTTATAGCTAGCAAGCCTGGAGAGCTTCATCAGACCTAAGTACATCACCCTTTACAGCTTCTCCCACAACAGGAAATTATCAACACTGTGTCACGCATAGTCTTTTATGTAGTGGTGTACCGCAAACTGCACGGAAAACTGAAAAAAAGCAATGGACTGCCTCTTGGGGAGCCTTAGTTCGTAATAGATATTATTAAATAATAATATTAAATACGCCGTAGGTGTTAACCCTCGGTACCTCTACAAGTACTCCCTTAAGGGGCTATAGATGATATAGCGGGCCCTTAAGCCGCGTCGGGCGGTTATACAGGTAAACTTGTAGCCAAACGACTACTAAACCTCCTGTCCCTCCCTAAGTCTGTGCTACAACCCCTGCCTGAACTACCGATAAGCGTGGTAATGTGGCACTTAAATTCGTCCTCAGGGGTGGGATGCTGCTGATGTGCAGAAGATGCTCGACTATTTTTTTGTCGCGACAAGTCGTAGTATCTGCTAATTGGGGTTCTCGTCGAGCGTATACATCTCAACCATACGCTCAAGTGGATAGACCGTAACGTGGTCTAGACGCTCGCAAGAATCGCGGCGAGGGGGCGTGCTGCGCGCCTTCTATCGTGAGGGGACGGGTTCGCCGACGAGCGTTATCGGATAGGCGAGGTCCGATAAGGGGTCGGATTAACGATTCGAATTCTGGACCGGCTGTCGAGTTATATTCCGCCGACGTAGTGCTTGACGGTCGACTGGCTAGGATGCTCGTAATCCTAAACTGCACCAATCTCCCTATTATCGCTAGGTAGGCGAAGTCAACAAGGTGGGCAGCGCGCCGTAAGGGTTGACTAAACCCCCTTGTGTGTCAGCTGCGGGATTCGAACCCGCGACTCGTCACCAACCCAAGTGGGCGAGGCTCAAATCGGGACTTATCTACCAGCGAAGTGACCAACTACACCAGCCGACAGATATTATTATTCTCATACTGTAAATATCTCCAGAACATCCATCGTGGGTAAGAGTAGATCTTTTCCAGGCCTAAGGGTCTCGAGACCAAAGCTAAAAGACCCGTCAGTACTATCCTGAGAACGGGCCCTTCAGTTCTGCCGTAACACAAACAGGTCCGTGACTGGAATGAAAAGGCTTGCTAACGAAAAGAAGGAACGATCCAGGGATATCAAGCAAACTGCTGCAATAAATGATGTGCGATAGGCCGTGGGTATACCTGATGAAAAGATCCGGAGACCTAAGGAACTTCATCCAGGAGCCGAAGAACTATGAAATACGTCCTAGGTAGTAATTGAGGTGATTCTCCGATGAGTAGGCATTTTTAATTCGTGAGAAAATTATTGAAAAGCCGGAATGCCAGTTATCTATGCGTTTCTCTAGCTCGGCAAGGCAAGGGAACATGAGCTTTGCCAGATCCCAGAAGCTCATACCGTTATCCGAGGCTCACTCAGATCGGAAGTCAACCCTTGTAAAGAATCTTGTCGGATTTTGATGGCTTAAAATTTCAGAGAGGAGCTGGTTTGTACCTGAATTTACGCAGCGCAGATCCAGCAAAAGTAGACTTTGCGCTGTTCAAATCGAGCCGGATCTTGTCGTGAGAGTAGATGGGCTATGCAAATTTGACAGGGCAATCGAGCGGCAGAATATTATTTCAGGTCTTTGCGACTTTGATTATGATCTAGAAGCCTAATATTATAATTTTATGCGACAAAGTTACGATTTACGTGGCGTTGTTGTTCCAAGGTCCTTTGTCAGTATCCCAGTAACATTATTTAGGAGAATATGTTTGGCCCCTTCATAATTCCTTGAAATACATGTGTAACTAGAGACATAGTAGGGCAGATGACTATCACATTTCCAATATTGATCTTCTTCAATCTTGAACCTTATTACTTCCCAGCCAGCTACCCAAATCCTCCAATATAACCCCCTATTTCCCACCCCCCATCCCTTCCCCCCCACAAAACTACTCTTCGCCACAACCAAGTCTCCCACCGCCGCAATCGGTACACCGCCCATGATATCAAAAACCGCAACCTGCGCGCCGAAATCCCGTCCAATCCAATTCCGCAGCTCAACCGCCATGAGCGAGTCCACCCCATAACTCGACAGCGGCTTCCGTAGCTCCACCTCGTCGATTGAAATGGACATGGTGCGCGCCAGCTTGGCGGTCAAAGCGCGTATCACGATCTGTGCCCGCTCGTTGGTGTCGGTGGATTGACGGAAGTGCAGGGCTGCTGAGTGATCGGGATTGCTGGAGTTGGAGTTGGAAAGGGAGAAAGTGGAGTGGGGGGCGATGATGTGAGAGAAGGAGGCGAAGAGGGGGCGGTCGAACAGGGCCGGTGGGGATTGCGATTCGAGGAGGAAATTGGCGGGGTGGTGGAGGCCGATGAGGAGTTGGGTCTTTTTGTCATTTTGCTGTTGCTCGGGGTTGTTTGGATCGCAGTATATATCTAGCAGCGCTAACAATTCCTGGTCATCAATCTGCTGCATGTCATTTGCGTTACGGCGGTTGCGCTGGTATGCTTCCGTCTCGGCGATGATGCCGATGTTGCGCATCCAGCCGATGTCGAACGAGACGGCCTTTTGACCGTTGGCAACACGATACCGAGCTAGGGCATCTTGGTACGAGCAGCCGGCTGCGTAGTTGGACTGGCCGATAGTTCCACATACGCCGCTGAGGGACGAGAGGAGTATGAAGAAATCGAGATCCTGCGGCAGGGAATGGTGCAGATTCCACGAGGACTGGACTTTGGACTTGAGGGTTAGCTCCCACTGCGCATGGGTCATGCTGTCGAAGATCGCGTCTTGGAGGTCCATGGTGGCGTTGATGCAGCCTTTGATAGGGGGCATGGTGGAAGAGCAGTCTTGGAGGACGCTCACGAGGGAGGCGAGCGATGATACGTCACATTTTGGGGTGGTGATGTTGATACCGAGAAGTGTTAGCTCAGAGACGACTTCGGATGCTGTATTGGATGCTGGACCAGATCGGGAGGGTACGATGAGGTGTTTGGCTCCTCTGGCCGCCATCCAGCGCAGAATAGCTCGACCCAAGCCGCCAAATCCTCCTGCGACGACGTATGATGCATTTGGGTCGAACATCCAAGTCCGCCGTTCTACCAGACGTTGCTTAAGTAGATGTTAGCTACATGAATCAAAACCTCGGGTTTTCAAAAGGATAAGGGTTGCTTACCGGAACCACATCAGAAGGATCCACACCGATAACTGTACGCCCCGTATTCCTGCCACTCTGCACGTACCTAAACGCCTGCTCAAGTTGAGATGCAGGATACACATGCAACGGCTTCGGATGTTCTATCTCGCCTGCCGCAAGTAGAGCCATAGTATTCCTCAACAGCCTAGCCGTCAGCTCCCGATCCGACTCCAAGACATGATGCAAATCGACAGCGGAAAAGCTAACATTCTTGGCAAAGCTAGCCATGGGTAACGCCGAGTTGGATTTGATATCCACCTTGCCGATTTCGATGAACCTCCCATATGGCGCCACACACTCCCACGAAGCTCGCAGTCCGTCGCCCGACAGTGAGTTGAGTACAACGTCCACACCGTATCCCTTGGTAACCCGCATGATCCCCTGAGCGAACGACGTGTTCCGACTATAGAAGATGTGGTCCTCTGGTATGCCGAACTGATCAACGAGAAACTGTTTCTTCTCGTCGAAGCCAACTGTAGCAAATATCTCCGCCCCTCTTAGCTTGGCAATCCACATCGCCATCTGTCCTGTACTCCCGGCAGCCGAATGGATCAATATCTTCTCTCCCTTTTTCAGCCGTGCAACATCAATAAATGCGTAATAAGCCGTAATTCCCGGTCCAATGATAGAAGCCGCCGCCTCAAGGGACAGAGCACCCGGGATCTTGAGCACGATAGCTTCGTGCGCGCGGGGGCACGTCCGCATGCACCCCAGAGAAATCATGCACACCCTGTCGCCGGGCTGAATGCCAGACGTGCAAGAGGGCCCGACTCGGGTGACTACGCCAGCGCAGTCAGCGCCGAGCTGCTCGTTTGCATCAAGGCGGCCCAGGGCGACGAAAACGTCCCGGAAGCTGAGGGCCCAGGCTTTAGCCTCGATTTCCACCTCTTGGGGGCCAAGCTCGGAGTCGTGTTGGGTGTCTTCGACGAATTCGAGAGTGTCTAGAATTCCTGGGCTGTGGACTGAGAGAGCTAGTGGGGGACCTGGAAGCCAGAGCTTTTTCCTTAACTGCGGGTGGAGAAGCGAGCGTAAGGTCGAGTTCAGAGTGACATCTTCCACGACTCGCCCGGAACTGATTTGGCCGTTGCTGATGATATATTCGAGTTCCTGGGATGAGGACTCGAAAGCTGATTTAAAAGCTTTGATGACGTAGTGCGCATACTCCGCGGGTGTCTCTGACTGGGATTCAATACTAAGTGTGACGATGTGCTTTTCGAGTGACTCGGATCGCATGGATCGCAGCAACCCTTGAACGATGCTGTATTTTGGATATTGTGAATCCTCAATGCTGACTGACGTGACCCACAGCAATTTACCTGTCCGCTTGATAAGATCTTGGAGGCCCTTGAAATTGTGTTCGGATATTCCGGCGAGGAAAGACTTGTCCGTTTCTAGAAGCGACACCACAATAGTCCCTAAGGTCAGATCTGTCGCACGGAACTGGTCCAGAGATAGGATCTCGGCTCCTGCAAGATGAGTTGCAATCGACTTCGCCAGTTCGTTTTGAAGATCCGACAGATCGTCCACCACCAAGAGAACCCCTGAACTCGAATCAGCCTCAAAGGTCTCTTCACCAGCGGTCGTTATCATGATACTGAAGATATGACACCCGTCATCCTCATAATCCCTGAAACACACATCATTCCCCGAGAACCCCCCAGCCCTCAAACACTCATCCCACTTCCCCTCCTTAACAGCCGGCGACATCTCTCTCCACTCCTCCACGCACCGCCACCAACCCGGCACCAACCCAAACGCAAAATTGGTAACTACGTTCTCCGGCGCCACTGCCTCGAGCACGACAAGTTTACCTCCAGATTTCAACATTTTGCGCACGTTTCGAATCGTAGCCATCAAGTCCTCGGTAGCATGCAAAACACTCCCCGCAATGACTAGATCATACCCGCCCTCTTCGAACCCCTGATCTATGGGACTGCGTTCGAGATCCAAAGTCTTGAACCGTATCCTCTCTCCTAACCCCAGCTTCTCCCACTTATCCCCCGCCTCCTCGAAGAACGTCAGTGAGATGTCGGTGTACGTGTACTCCTTGAACCTCAGTCCACCGCCCTGCTTCTCGAGATTCTGCAGGCTGGTCAAAACGTGCGACGTCATGCCGCCCGTCCCAGCGCCTACTTCGAGAATGCGCAGAGCAGGGTTCTCATGCGAGGCGAGTTCGAGAAATTTATGCAGCCGAAGATCGCAGATACTATCGAACATGTCGACGTAGAATATCGAGGCGAGGTTTGAGTCGAAGATGACTTCGAGGGGGTCAATCACGCCGGTTAGGATGGGGTGTAAGTGCCGCACGACAGCGGTGAAGAGTTTCCAGGGAGGGTGGAGGGTTTCGATTTGTTGGAGGAGAGATTCAAGGTCGGTGTCAGTGATTTCGGTGTTGATGGTTTCTGCCCCTGAGCCGGAGAGTTGCTTGGCGTGGTGTTCCATCCAGACAAGTTGTCTTCGCAAGTTCTCTGGGACTTTCTCTCGGTCTGCTTCGGATAGTTGCTTCAGTATCCGGAATACAGCCAGATTAAGTAATGTACCGAGTTTCTGGTGATGGATGATTAGGTCCCTCTCGTCCTTGACGAAGGTATTGGCACCACACGCGAGCAGGAGCTGTTCCGGATCGAGCAAACGTAGTTGAGGTTTCCATTCAATGCCGTATAACAGCTTTTTGGCGGCAATCTCCCCTTTTTCCTCCTTCGGAACTGACGCTAGTGTCAGTTTTTTCATAGTGCATAACGTCGACCCGTCGTCAGCCAGGGCGTAGATGGTGCCTACGGTACTCTCCTGGCCAGGCTCGCCGCTCGAGTTGGCAAGATATCGGACCGAAGAGGTATAAAGCTGCAGCCACCCCGAGTGCGCGAACCATGCATCCTGTAAGCGAACGGGGATGCTCGTGGGAGACCAGTTCGACAGTCCCTTCGTAGTGCTAATCCTCAGCGCATGGAAAGCCGCATCCAACACAGCAGGGTGAACGATACTGGACGTATGATGCTTCGCCATCGAGACACTAACACGGGAGATAGCATCCGTCTTGCCATCCCAGCGAATATCCTCCAGAAGCCGGAACCAATCACCATATCTAATCCCATGCTCAGCGGAATCTTTATAAAACACCTGCGCATCAATAGGCCTCGTGCACGATTCCACCGCTCACGCATACTTCTCACGCACATTCTCATCCTCCAACTTTGCCTCCAGCCCCCTATCGACTTGAGTGCTCTCTTCACACTGAAGCTGGACGCTGGCTCGGAAACACTCGGTCCATCGCTCGTCAGACCGTGCGTAGATCTTGATATCGGACCATGTCGCTTCTTTTTCGTAGGGGTTCTGAACGGGTCGCAGATGCAGCATGGTTTCGGTCCTGTCATCCCAGGCCTCTTTAACAACAATCGGGCTCATGAACTCGGCTTCTTTTACGTAGAAACCTGAGATAGTGCGGCTTGGAGGGCAAATTTGTTGGACTGCTTCGAGGGCCATAACGATCATGCCTGCTGCGGGATAGATGACGGTGTCACTGACCTGTTATGCAACAACCTTGATCAGTATAATTCATCATGTAGTGTTGGTAGATGATAATAAGGAAGGGGGTGATATTGAGGAGAACTTACAACATGATCCCCCACCCAGGGCGTAGTCTCAACGCTCAAGAAATTCCTCCATCTCGGCTCCAGAGGATTCCAGTCATTGAAACTCCAACCAAGCGTCTCCCCAGTCACCGGCTCTCGAAGTCTGAAATCCTTACCCAGCCTCGATTCCGCCCAGTACTTGTTTGAATGATCAAACGGGTACTCCGGACAATCCACCAAGAATGGCATGGGCCCCTTCTCGCTTGTATGCTGGTTTGCCGCCGTAACCGAAACAGCATGCCCAAGACAATACAACGTCCCCACGAGCTCGAGCGCTGTCTGCACCGCCGGTTTATGCCGGTACAGCACCGAACTATACCGAGCCAATTTCTTGTTATTATTAGATGAAGTTCCCGCCGCAGCAAGCGTATCTAGCACCGGCCTCTTCAGTGTACAGTGCGGTCCCACCTCGACAAGGTCGGTGATATTTACCATTCCTATCTTGAGCCACAACGAACGCTGAGTGAGGGTTTCTATAGCGGCGGAGAAGCGGACGGGGCACATCATGTTGTCTACCCAATATCTAGCCACAGCTAAATCGGCGAGACGGATGCGTTGGCCCGTTACGGAGGAGACCATTGGGATTGATGATGGTTCTTTGCTCCTTGCTTTCTTGAGGGAATTATGTGCATCATTCTCGAGCGGTTTCAAAGATCCCATGAGTGATAGGTACTCATCCGCGATGGCCGCCATGGATGGCGAGTGGTAAGCCACCCCCGTTTTGAGCTTGTGCGCGAATATACCGTCCTTCTCAAGTTGGGACTTGACGGCATCGATGGAAGATTCTGAGCCGGCTAGGGTGCAGTTCTTAGGGCTATTGATGCATGCAATGGTAATTGACTCGATAATTTGTGGCGAGTTCATGTTCTCCAGGTAGGAAGAAACTTGGGACTCGGGAAGGTTGACTGATACCATGGCTCTAGGGGAGGAAGTCGTAGTTCGCAGTTTGCCGGCAAGCTGGCCGCGGAAGTAGGAGGCTTTGCAGGCTGATTGAAGGGATAAGGCGCCTATGGCGTAACTATTGCATGGGATTTAGTACGGTAATTCTTAGTCGCTGTGTACGGGCTATGATTCATGATACTCACGCAGCTGCAATTTCCCCTGATGAGTGTCCGACTACGGCCTTGGGAACGACACCAAAGGTTTTCAGCAATTCTACCAAAGCAATCTGAACAGCCGTAGATAGAGGCTGGCTGTATTCGGGCTTGTCAATGTTTTCTCTATTGCTGAATTCGTCTGCGAGCTTGTAAGCAAACTCCGCTGCGCATCGTAAGCATTTCTTACGTACCGAATATCGACCACTTGCATCCCAAACTCGCATACACTTCATCTATACATCGCAATGTCGCCTCAAACACGGGGTACTGAAGAAGCTCCATGCCCATTCCCACGTACTGGGCCCCTTGTCCTGTGAAGACAAACGCGAGGCCGGTATCCGTCGAAGTCCGGATCGATCCAGGGGCTTCCAGTTTTCCCGCATCTTCGTTATCACCGCTGGGCACAACCGAAAACGTTCGCCATAGCATCTGACTGCGTCTCTGTGCTAGAGTGAAAGCCAGTTGGTCGAGCTTGGCAGGGTTGTCTGCAATTTTCGTTTTGAAGAATGTCTCATAGCCCTGAAATGTGCGCTTGAGGGCTTTGGAGTCGGCGGCATTGAAGACCAGGAGCCTGTGAGGATGCGGTTCGTGTATAGATGGGACGGTTGTGGGAGTGTTAATACCATTCGTGCCTGAAGTAGAAGACGAGGTTCCGTCTTGGTCGCTGGCTATTCCACTGGTGCTGGCAGTTCCGTTGCCACAACACTCCTCTTTGAGATCGGAATTTGCCTCAAGCTGAGCATTATCATCTGCGCTTGCTGTTCCACTGAAGTTCAGTTTTCCATTGGCCCCGGAAGTCCCATTCGCGAAAAGGGTTCCGTTAGTCTTAATAGTCCCCATGATCTGATCAATTCCATTTGAGATGAGTTTCACATTGGTTGCATCATCAGCAACACGAATGGTGCAATGGTTTCCGGCGATTCCACGATCTTCTAAATAATGGAACGCGTCGTCCAGGATGATATGGGTGTTTGAGCCCCCAAATCCAAACGAGTTCACCGACACTCGGCGTAAGCCCTCATTTGGCCAGACTATATTCTCAGTCGGAACCTAGTTTGGGGTTATTATTTTGGACTATCTGATTGCCATCGGCCTGGTTTACGTACCTCCGTATGATAGAAATCAACATCAATAGCAGGGTTGATTTTCTCGAACAGGGCATTAGGTGGGATGATGCCCTTCTCCAGTATTACTGCGACACCATTTTGTTAACATCTAATCCCCATGGACAATCATCTAGTTTTAGCGCTTGTAAGAACTAATAAAGACCTTACATATTGATTTGATGACACCAGCTAGACCACTACATCCCTCAAGATGACCAATATTGGCTTTGACGGACCCCCTATAGGGGGAGGTATACAGTCAGCACATGAACCACAACAGTTTTGCCTCAATAATACTTACACATAGAGTGGAGCCTCAGCCGAGCGATAAAGCCGGAAGACTCTACCAATGGCTTTCATCTCGATTGGATCACCAACCGGCGTTCCCGTTCCTAAGCTCGTCTGTAAGAAACTAGCCTGGGTTTACCCCCTGACAATTGAACTGACCATGAGCTTCAATATAACGAGTCAAGTGGAATGGTAAGTTCGCCTTGTCGTAAACACGTCTGATCAATTCTTCCTGCGCCTCAGGGCTGGGCTGCGTCATCCCAGGTGTGTGGCCGTCCTGGTTCGACCCCGTAGAACGGATCACAGCACGAATCATGTCGCCGTCTCGTAGAGCAGCCGACATGGGTTTGAGGACCATGGCGATAATACCCTCTCCTCTGGCATATCCGTTGGCCCTGTGATCGAAACTATAGCATTTGCTTTCTGGAGACAGGAAGTTGAGATTGGAGAGTAGGAAGAAGCCTGCGGGTCCGAGAATCAAGTTCGATCCAGTGACTAGGGCCTGGGGTATTGATTAGTGAATTTCAGGGGATACGATGAAAGAATATAGATTTTCCTCAGGGATGTATGGACTCACTGATGAGGCTTCATCGTGTCTAATAGACTGACAGGCTAAATCGACGGCCAGCAAACTGCTGGAGCAGGCAGTGTCAACGTGGACACTGGGTCCACGAAGATCGAAGAACCAGCTCACGCGGTTTGGTAAGATGGAAGCGAATGTGCCCGTAATAGCTTGACGTAGTGTGTTCTCAGGATCCTGTGACACCATTCTGGCGTAATCATCCGTCATGGACGCGCCAAATACTGCAGTCCGTGAACCTTTAAGGCTCTCTACGGGAATACCAGCTATGGATGAAGGGTCAGAAAAGTTCTAAGTTGCTCGTTCGAGTTATTTGGGTCCATCTGACCATTTTCAAAGGCACGATAGGATGTCTCGAGAGTCCATCGTTGCATGGGGTCCATTGACGCAGCCTCCTTAGCGGTGATGGAGAAAAAGGGGGCATCGAAGGCGCCTGGGTCGTCATTGATGAAGTGTGCGCCACGGCAGTAGAGCTATGGCCATATTAGTCATTTTGGACACAATCTTGGCGCGTATGTCAAACAACGAACCTTATTCTGACTGTTTGGTGGAAACGCTTCACTTTTGATACGTGATTCAGGCCAGTTCGTCATCAGGTTCTTTCGGTTTTCCAGTGTCTCCCACAAACTCGAGACATCCTCGACATCCTGAGGAAGCTTGAAGGAGAAACCCACGACAGCAATATCGTCCATGGTCGGTATCCTATATGACAGGTATTCTAGTATATTGCTGTTGCTTAGACCTAGCTAGAACAGAGAATTGATGTGCTTTTATGCGTCTTTTTGCTTTCAGCACCTCAGTGTCGAGACTGTATTTTGGATGAACTCTCAGTCTATGAACAAACCACAAATTAGCTACTACGAAGGAAACGGAGACTGGTATTAATATGAGGCAAATATTCAAGACGTAAATGTTGTCATCGGAAGGAGCTCTCTCATGGCGTCGGTGTAAGCAAACACGCTAACAGAACAACCCAACGCAGTAAGCACCCTTGCGTCAAGGGTTTACTCTGTTGATCACAAACGCCTCGCTACAAAAAGAAGTGCCAATTGACGAATCAACAGCATCGTCACACCACGGTTGGTTTATCTTACCAGGAGACGAGGTTATCCACGAATCAACACCAAATTGCGTCACTGCAGCTCTACCATGACACCGAAATATAGTGCCGGCAACGAATCGATGCCGCCGTCACAATGCATTGATTCATCGCGCAGGGTACACATCTCAGATAATATGTGATCAAGTATGCGTAGGGTCAGCCCTGTCTGGATCTAGACTATTGATAGACCTTCGTGCACCAAAAACGGCCTATGGGCCCAATACCAAGCTATCCTTCGGACGTTGGAATTCGCTGCCGTCGCACGGAAAGCGTTCTCCGTCTGGACGCGACGGATCAGCGCGGTGCTTCTTTGTCCTGATTCGGCACGCTATTCGGCCATAAATAGGACCGCCGCTTGTGACATGCCGGCTACTTTTAGGCAGGTTGCTCGAGGATTCGGATCCTCCGTCAGTCATGAAACCTTGGGGGAGCACGCACTTTTTCCTTGGTTTAGACGAAGTGGAATGAGTTTTCCATACTGATGCCGTAAGAGCCGAGCACTACCATTCACAATACGTTGGAATTAAGCTTCGCATTGCCGCAGGCCAATATCCACCCGTTGCTCAAATACCGCTGTGAAGGCGGGTTTATGCTTCCCGGCTCAATTAAAGTAGCAATAGACTGGGGTTTCGAGTATCGGCCTGCCGTTCAGGATTAGGGGTAAGCAAACTATGCAACATGCTGCATATAAGACGCAGTTGGATCCAAAAGATCCCCACTGTGTCTACTAAATGTGGGGTTGCACTTTTCCCAACAGCGAGCGACCTGCTGGCTTGGCTGTCGCTGCTTGCATAGAGAGACGACCTAGGCTTCTTTTATACAAGTATATACTGTGCTTGATAGAGTCCCAGATGTTTTCAAATATTCTCTCTTGCCGTTGGCTGGGAATGGGAATGCTATTTACAGTAATAATACCCACCGAGGCCGCGCATAACAACACGACCAATCAGACATAACATCGATCCGAGGCTGGTCCCCAAATTCAAGATATCACCAATCGACCCAGAAGAGCGGGATTGTGATGAATGAATGTACAGCACTGGAGACTATGCGAATAGTTACCAATCCATCGGTGCCTTACCTTGAATCACGAGAGTAAGATCCGAGCAAAGATAACGCGATAGGAAGGTCTCCACGATAGTCACCTGAAGTATTACACGCTTTAATCAAGTCTAGTCCCTTAATACGATCATTAAGGCCAACACAAGGACTCAAATAGGTGGGCCTCGAACCACACAACGGACCCTTCTCGTCCCAAAGCTATGGTCGCCGAAATTCTGAAGAAGACAACCGGGTAGATCATATCGTCGTGGACCCAGTTTTTCTACTGCCTTGGCGCTGCCATAAATTTCCGAAGGACCTGAAGTTCTAGTTGAGGAACGGGGTCGCCAAATATGAGGTTCCTGTGTTTGCATGGCAGAGGGACGAATGCAAAGGTAGGCCAGCAACACCACATCGTCGAGACGCGGATTGAGCTAATATAGAACTCGAAGATCTTTGAGATACAAACGGGTATATCCGCGTGATTGAGGGCATCTTGCAAACCCATCTAAAAGTCATGCAGCGAAGATCCGCCAGGTCCTCGGTCGGGACCACGAGTTCTTCTTCGCCAACGGCACCTTGCCGACATCTCCCGACGCCGGTCCGTATTCAGCATCCGGGCATCTTCAAAACATTTACAGAAACATCTAACTGACAAGCATGCACGAAACCCAGGCGCTGAAGCTATAACCGACGAATACTTCGGCTACGTCAGCTCCACCATCCAAGAACACCGCTCCATGCACGCCGACCTACTGGACCTAATCCGCAGCGAAGGCCCCTTCGATGCCCTAATGGGCTTTTCCGAAGGAGGGGCTGTGGCGGCTCTACTATTAGTCACCGACGCGCGGCACAGCGTCGCCAGTTTCCAATGCGCCATCTTCTTCAGCGCCGCGCCGCCATTTGACCCTGACGATTTGCAGAAGGGGGAGTTGCGGTGGGTCAACGCGGACACGGACGGGGAGATAATCAAAATCCCCACGGCGCACATGTGGTCAAGAGAGGGGGACGTGAATTCGATAAAGTCGCAGCACTTGGTTGGGTTGTGTGAGCGGGAGGGGAGGGAGACGTACGTGCATGGATTGGGACATGATGTGCCGGGGGCTAAGTCAGAGAAGGATTTAGCGGGTGCGGTTAGGGTTATTGAGCATGTTATCGAGAATGCGAGGGGGAGACAGAGCGCTAGGGCGAGTCGGATTGAGAGGCAGATGCAGGCGAGTTCAGCCGCTGTGGGGGGACTTTGAGGTTACATTGACCCGAGTATGTTCAGTTCGTACAAACGTGTTTCGATGCCGTCTCTCTTAGCTGTGTCCTCAGGAGTGGTTTAATCACTTGTAGATTTGCGAGAAATAGGAGTTGGTCCCAGGGTAAAGGTAGGAAACCGGTCGACTGTGTGCATTTCAACGTAGTTATGAGCACTTACGCAACGCCTGAGCCGTCCTCTGCAGTGGACTAAGCTAATGACTAAGAAGGCCAAGGATCAGCACTCGGTCAGGGTTTGAGAGAAGCACATGTCGAAGGAAAATACGACACCTCACTGCCTTTATTCCCGGACCAGCTGTTATAAGGTGTGTAGGGGGTGGGGGCTTCAGGGGTATAGAGCCGTCGTACCATCGAAACCCCGCCTCAGAACACCAATCTCGGTTGTGTAGCGGGGACTTTAGAAGTCTATAGGCGAATCAAATGTGATTCTGGGCCATGTTCTTAGTTGACCAATTGGAAGCATTGCCTATCCAAGCAGCTGCATCCAGCCTATGATACGTACAGTAGCAGCACACGTATTTCAGCCAGAATGGATAAAATGATATCGAACGATCGAACCAACTGGCCATTTCTCTCCGTGGCTGGTAGTCCATCTAGTCTACGATGATGCAGTCCTTGATGTTCATCTTACTGACATTAATGGCAATCAACAAGTCCCTGAAGGGTCTTCACTTATCTTCATTAATGAATAATTTGAGGAAACTTCTGGCAAATGTCATGATACAAGTTCTGATGGGTATTATCATATCATCTACTGAATGACCAATGCACAGGTTTCTATACTCCCTCCCATCACTTATATATGGCCGGTCAGAGGATGCCAGACTTCTGACACGTCGCCACCCCAAACTCTCCGACTGAAACGCTTACGTTACAACTGCGGCTTGAGTGCATCCCATTTTCTTGGTAAGGTCCACTTTCTTGCCATGTGCAAAGTTCTGCCGCTCAGCGTAGCAAGCGGCTGAAGTTCGTCCTGTCCTTAATAATGCGTCATCATGTGGGCAGTGGATACCTTCACGTCTCCATATGGTCGATCACGTTGAAGACTCTCATTTCTTCCAGGCTGATTCGCTCGTTTATCAAGGGTATGGTTCATACCCCAAATTCCAGATGCTGCAAATATGGTTCTGCAACGCTGGACCTGCAGGCGATACGGCTGGTCCTTTGGAACCCGTGAAGGGATACCTCCTTTTTCTCTTTTCTCCTTGTGGTTTCTTCAACGGATTGCTACCCTGCCCACTTGGCCTACGACGCTGGCGATCAAATGCGCCAGGGGGCCTATGCGTGATCCTTTCCCAGTCGCTACCTGCCTTCCGCGACCTTGTCCAACAAACGAACGATCTCGCGGCTTTTCTCTGGAAGAAAATTAAGACGCTTTGGACCCTGGAGTTGCTCTACGGCTATAATCTACTCACTGGGACTACTACTTTTGTTTAATAGAACGAGGCCCCGTTCTTGTCTTGCTTGAACGCATTCAAAACTGTATTCGGACTTCTAGCCCCAAAAATGGATCAGCTCCCCTATCTGCCCCCAGAGCAATTGGAACTCATCCTCAGCGGCCCCGCCCTCGCTCCACCCCCGGGCGTGGTCTCCAACTTCGATAACCCGCCCAACAACGATGGCCTTGCTCACGTCGTCATTGCCTTGTGCACGGTGGTTTCGACTCTCAGTTTGCTGCTCCGTATTTATGCCCGGGTCATTCGGCTGAGGAAGGCTGAGATTGAAGATTGTATGTGGATGCTCGCCTTGATCGTACGTTGGATTCGACGTAATGCTGACTTGAACATCAAAGATATGGTGTTCGTGGCATATGTTCGTCAACCTCAATGAACATCGACGGGTTGCGGCAAAGTGCTGACGATGCTCTCAACCACCAGGGCACTTACATAGGTTTCATCTACTGTTGCTATGATCTCATGGCTACGTCTGGCTATTTCATCCACCAGTGGGACATCCGCCTGGGGGACTTGATTGGCATTTCCTATGTAAGAAGTCCCGAACTCAAGAAAAATTGTGAAGGAGCTTCACAGGATAGCAACTGACCAAGACCTAGATCCTCCACATCGGCGGCGTCTTCTACTCGGTCACCCTCCCTTTGCTAAAAGCCGCCATCCTACTAGAGTGGGTGCACATTTTCGTGCCCATGCGTACACGTAATGCCTTTTGGTGGATATGCCATGCCGTCGTGGTGGTCCAGCTCATGCTCCTCGTTGCCTCTGTTTTAGCCCTTTGCTTTACTTGCATCCCCTACGAGAAGATATGGGACTTCACCATCCCGGGGAAGTGCCTCGACAAGTCCAAGGTGGAAATTTCTTCGGCTTCGATCCATCTCGCTTCCGACGCTATTATTCTCTGTTTGCCGCAGCGAGTCATTTGGGGGCTGAACATGCCGATAAAGAGGAGGTTGGGTGTTTCGGTTATTTTCTCGTTGGGTGTGCTGTAAGTTACGACGGTCACAATTCTTGAATTCCAGGCTGCTCATGCTAATATGTAAAAAGGGCCTGCACTTCCGCCGCATTCCGCCTAGCCGTCACAGTCTCCTACTCCACCGCCAACGACGCCATATACTCAGTCGCTTCGGTGATTCTATGGGCCCTCGCCGAAATGACCTGCGGGTTCATGGTCATCTGCCTGCCCACCGCGCCAAAGCTTCTCGTGGAAACCGGCACGCTCGCCCGGCTCAAAGCCGCACTGCGTTCATGGACCAGCATGCGCATCGGCAGCGGCGCGTCCTCTAAGAAGTCACACACCAATCCAGGCCAGTCATCATCTAGAGTATCCATGCCCAAGTCACCCGGACCGGGCACGCTGTACCAGAAGATCGATGAGGATGGCGTGCCGCTGGCGAAGCTGGATAGGTCTGGCTCGGCGAGTGAGTCTACCGAGGGGCTACGGGAGTATCCAAATCGGCCTGTGGCTACTATTGTGAGGACCACGCAGTTTGTCACAAGGGAGGATCATGTAGATGATGTTGGTGGGAATGATGATTTCCATCGTCAGCATCCGTGGCACGACAAGTAAATCTCTATGAGTATTTCTGAAACTCTACAAAGTGGTGTTTATGACAGTCAAAAGTGTTAAGATGGAATTTGTTTCAATGGGGTTTGAAAACTGTTCTCTAGTCGCCGGTTGATCCTACCTGTATTGTATCAAACTAATGGAATACATATTCCGAGGTTCATTTTAGTATCAGAGTAGATGGAATTGCTTTTGATTCACCCTAAGGCGTTTACTTTGGTGTATACGGAGTGAGAATCGCGACGCGTTAGCTGAAGGTTTGCCGTTCCATCGACCTGGGAGTTCGGTTCGGTATCATCATGATTACCCTTCTCTGGAACAGGGGGTCCACAATGGCAGGTCTAAGTATTGTTTGATGAGACGTCGTTGACTTCAACCCAGCGATGATTGCACCTTCGCTTATGCAGGTACTCGGTGAGGAAGGAAAGGCAACATCATTTTTACTCTTTTGCCGATACGCAAGACCCCGGTGCCGAAAATGCGAGGTGTAAGGGCATTCATTTATGCGTCCCCCGCTCCCCTCCTGGTATATTAGCCCATTATGGCAAGTAATCTTGTGGCGTTGCTCTACTGCACCGTGACCAGTCAACTCAGCACCATGCCAGAACGTGGTCGGTTACAGGGGTGCATCGTCTGACGCCAAGCTTGGCAAGAAAGGAACAAGATGCAATGCCCTATCAAATTAGGAGGATTGGAATCGGGCCCCGTTCACGCTAAGTAGTTCGGATTGGCTCCCCAGATTATAATATTCTTGAACTCAAGGGAAAGAGGAGCTTCCCGGCCTGAGATGGTCGTACACAACAAAGCTCTTCCGGAAACCGCACATCGCCGGTTCTTTCTCTGTACACTGACTAGAGTGTGTGCGCTCCTCAGTTAGGTAGACCAGATCCTTCCGAAATGGCGCTTATGGATGCAGTGTCACTGACGGCGAAATACACGGCGGCTGTGTTTGCGTTCTATGTGAGTGGAACTGCAGTTTTTATCTTTTCTCCGATTAAATGACACGACATTGTTGACATCGGTATCGATCGCAAGTGGCTGGTGGCCTTTAGTTACCGACTCCTACTCCACCCTCTGAGAAACTACCCAGGGCCATTCATCGCTAAGTTGACAGACGGCTACGGCGGGTTTTATGCTGTGGCGAAACGAAACCACTTGGTCACTCAGCAGAACCACCAGAAATATGGTAGGCTACCTAAGGAATACTTGACCCACTCGTCATAATGATTCTCATGTGTTATCGCAGCTAACAAATCACAGGCCGCGTAGTGCGGTATGGCCCCAACAGGCTCGTCTTCAATTCGGCAAAGGCACTACATGGTAACTCAACGAATCCTCTGAAACCGCACAGGATACTCATCAGAAGCAGATATCTATGACAATGACAGAGTGGTCAAGTCCCGCGTCTATCTGGTCACGCTTGGCTTCACCGGGACCATCAACGTCTTCAGCGCCATTGAAAGACGGGTGCACCGAGTTAAGCGCAAGCTCATAGGCGGCGCCGTAACAGAGCGCTCCATGCGTGACTTCGAACCCACAATGGCCAGCCAAGTCCATACCTTCCTCGAACGGATTCTGGCCTCCACTCAAGCCTCCCAGCCCGTCAATATATCAGCCCGCTGCAAGCGGCTCGGGTCGGACATCGTCGGCCTGCTCGCCTTTGGGTTCCCGTTCAATACCCAGACCGAGGAGACCTACCGCCCGCTACAGCATGGAATCGCGGCGTCAAATGCCCACAATAATGTCATGATGCAGTTCCCGCGACTGGCGTCATTGTGGATTGCGTATCCGTTGCATCTGTTGAATTATGCCCCCCGTAAGGCAGCATTTGCCATGATTGAAACGTTCATCACTACTCGTATGGCAGAGGGTAAAGATGCGAGGCACGACTTGTACTCCCAGGTCGCCGACGAAATCCCCCCTGCTGAAGTCTGGTCGGAGGCTTTGTTCTTCCTCCCAGCAGGTGCGTCCCTTTGCCCCTGAGACTGTACCCCAAAAGGCACTGGCCACTAATCATTGCAACGGGGAATAGGAGGCGACACAACCGCGACGGCCATCAGCGCCCTCTTCTTCTACCTCTCCCGCAATCCCACCGTCTACCGGAAGCTCACCGCCGAAATCCGGACCACTTTCACCAGCGGGTCCGAAATCCACGGCGGACCCAAGCTTTCCGCCTGCACGTACCTACGCGCCTGCATCGACGAATCACTGCGCATCTCCCCGCCCGTCAACGGGACACTCTGGCGCGAGCTTTCCCAAGAAGACCCCAGCCCGGAAAAGCCCTTCATAATAGACGGCCATGTCATTCCCCAGGGCACCCAGTTTGGCGTTAACATCTACACCCTGCACCACAATCCGGAGTATTTCCCCGAGCCGTACATCTTCAGGCCTGAGCGCTGGCTAGAAGGGGACGAGGCTGAGAAAAAGAGGAGAAATGATGCGTTTGCGGCTTTTTCCATTGGTTATCGTGGGTGTGCAGGAAAGGCGATGGCGTATTTGGAGAGTAGTCTTGCGGTGGCGAAGACATTGTGGTATTTCGATTTTGAGAGGGCGGCGGGGCCGGAGGGAGAGTTGGGGGCGGGTAAGGAGGGGGATCTGAAGGGGAGGCATCGGACGGGCGAGTTTCAGTTGTATGATATATTTGCTTCGGATCATGAGGGACCCAACTTGGTGTTTAAAACAAGAGGGGATCATTGGAAAGAGCTTGTTAAGGGGTAGATTATGTGGGGAAAGTGCGGGATTTTGTTTTGGAGATGGGAGTTTGAGGTTGAGATATTGTATCCAAACCCTGTGTCTGGCCAAATTCTGACTTGATCTTATCTAACGCATCCTTTTTGCCGACATAGGTCTTGCGCGCTGCCTTGGCTCTGTACTTGACATTGACAGCGAAGCTGCAAGATCCCGAGCTGAGAAGCGGCATTCATGTCTGTGAGAACAGCAACTCACGCAGTATGTACTATTTGCCGTTGTACATGTGGGCCCATCCTATAATATTGAGACATCCATCAGCCGTGGGCAACCTATCCTTGACTTGATGAGTGATCCGCTGCGAGTCCCAACGCAATTCTGAGGGTCCGTCGAGATCGTAAAAGGGGGTGAGGTAGGGACACCTCCTTTCAGCTGTGCAGTGGGCGAGTAATGGTTGGTGTTGACGAAGACGATCGACTTGGTGTCTTCAGGGTTCATTAGCTTCTAGCAGGCCATGCCGGTGACGGGAACTTCGGCGGCGCAGTTTGTGCTGGCTGCGGTGCTCTTACCAGACTCTTCAAAAGTAGCCCCGTTAGCGAGGAACGACAAGAGTATTGCGATGAGGAAGAACATGCTAGTCATTTTGTCGATTATTTGATGTTGACGTTCTTGCATGAAGAGGAAAGACCGTCGTTATACTGATTAGGGACGCCTGACAGGAAATTCACTGTGGTTGTTGACGACACGTCGCTGATCATGCCGCAAATTAGAAGCAGTCTGGCTAGTCAATTACCTGCGCCTCGTTTGCCGCTATATGAAATTCACGAAAGCTGCTTCTCACTGTAGTCAATCTTTCTGCCGGGGGTCTGGGACATATCATTTCCCGGAAGTGAACAGAAGTACCGAAATACCAGGACTTAGTCATTACGCCTAGATCGAGGTCTTTGTTAATAGCGAATGTACATCTTCCGCTTTTCAAAACGAATCATTGGTGATGTGCCCTTTGTATTCTTCATTGCCTCAATCGGATGGAAATAGTTGCTTTCATTTCTGGTATCTATAGCATGGTATATCACAGACATTTTCATGGTCGCTAACAAATCGCAAGCTCTCTCATCCTAGTTCCCGGGCCCCTACTATAAAAAGGTTGCCCTATATCTGCACGTATCAAATATTAGCTATTTTGTCTGTACGTCACTATGTCTATTATGGCTAACGATATCGGAGTGAGTCACTTGGAACGAGATTGCAAAGTCTGCATGAATTGTAGTGAGCTCGTAGTTCTTGGCGACTTGTCAGTTAATGAGGACGGAAACAATCGCTGATAACTAAAAGAATCGCCAGACTGGACTTACTATAGTCATCATAGTTGTGATAGAGGTGGGAGCTCGAATATGCGAGGCTAGGCCATGACTGGGAGTAACAGAGCCACAATCCAAGCAAAGAGCTCGACGAGTCTAGGGAATATTTAAGCGAAGCTGCAGAGACCCCCAGCAGGGCCGCGCCCAGCTTTCTGCAACCCTCTTTCTTCCAGTAATAACGACAGACGTGGGACAATTCGAGGCCTAACCTGAAAAACGTCTTGCAGATTTCTTCGAAAGAAGGAAAGATATTGATTGCTCATCGCGGGCGATAGTCAGTGTCTAGCAGGGTCGAGACATGCGCTAAATCCGGCCTATATCTTATATTCTCCAGTCATGGTCTGCGCAGACATAGCATACGTATTTGGAACCATTGTTTCTGTCAGTATTCTTACTATGTTATAGACAACGAATATATCAGATCTCATATTTGAGATGTTATTCCAACAGGGTGAACTAATACGCACCACGGCGAAATTCTAGAAGTGGTTGATTGGGGACTTGTTAACTACATCAATTATCTCATGTTACCACGTGGTAGTCTAACGACTACTAGGTAGTAACGTGTCCCCCTAAGTCTTTTGAAAATTACATGTTTGCTAAGTGTTCGGAGCGCACTCCAAGTCATTGGCCTAATGGTAATGATATGTTAAGTATTTGAGTCTAGTAGCAGACTGTTTCGCACAAATTTGAGTCACGAATCTATGTGCGATATAAAATAATTGTGACAAACTGAAATTCTAAAATTTTCATTTGTTATATAACGTTTCTGACAACATTCAGCGCGAGCTTTGTCTCCACCATGGAACAATCGACATGCTCCTTCGCGTTGTCCGGCAGCCTCCTACCAAGTATGCGCTTCGAAATATAATCCTTTCCGTGTTTCAAAAATTACTTCGGCTGCTGAGGATTTGCAGGTGCAACAGCACTATTAGTGTTAGTGTTACCAACGGCATATGCGTAGTTCTCATGATTATTATACCTCTTGAATATCTTCGAAAAGAAACCCCCAGGTCTTTGCTCTGCAAGACTTTCGCGCCTGGCAATAGATTCGGGGTCTGTAGATCGCTTTTGCTCGTGCAAACTGTCAAAATTGGGACCAATTAACTGAATGTGAAGTTTAGTATTTATTTACAATCAAGGGATATATATATCGGGGGTTTCTAGGACTGACGCTGTTACTTCCTGTTGAGTTACCCATGCTGTCGACATTACCAGCCTCGGAGGCGCTATTGCTCCGGCTACTCTCCTCTGTGGTTCCTGACATGCTGTGACGATTTGGTCCTGCGTGTATATTGGTTATAGTAGAGTCGTCGACTGATGTTTTTGCACTGATTGCTGTTCAATATATGAGAAGGCTTGGTCTGCTCTCTATATACTCTCACACTTCAATTTAGGAGCTCAAGAAGCCCGCGTCATTGACTTCTTTGAAAAGGTTCCTATGATGTCATGGCGTCATGGCATCATCGACTTCATTTTAGTTCCTGCCCGGACCACAAATCCAATCCTTACATCCTTAAAGTAGTGTTTTACTCTGCACAATCTCGCAAGTTTAACAAAATGCACTCGAGATTGCATAACACGCGCCTACCTCTACATCATGCTCATTAACGTCTAAGCCACGTCGTGTTCAGTGAACCGGATTGGCTGACATCATTAACGGCGAGGGTCGAAGCTTACATTCGGCCAAACACATGCTTCTTTTCTCCTTAACTACCCTTTCCTACATATGATCCTGAGCAATTTTGAAGCTTTCTCGCATAAAAAGCGCACTAAATCAGAGATGTAATGCCTCCCGGTAGTAGCTTAGAGAATTAGGCAATGAACAAAACTTCATTGGTTAACAGTGGGCCCTAACCAGTTCCCAAGACATCCAGATCCTACTAACAATGATTTATCTGGCGAGACTTCCCATTGAGTGCCAAAGAGATTGCGGATTAATAACGTTGTCTATACCTTCAGGAAGGGACTGTGTAAAAATAATGGTCGTGGAGCTGAGAGTGATGAGCCAAATGTATTTGTCCGAATACACCTCTACATCGAATAACACTGGGTTTCGGCATGTCTATGACCAGGTTTAGAACAAGAACCAAGTTGATCTCCATAAACAACTCCACTATACAGGTTTGTGCAGGGACTAGAAAACAGCACAATTGGGTATGCAATATTTGTCTCTGGATGTGCATTTTCGTACGTCTTGGGGATTATTCAGGCACGAGCAGTGCCAGAAACTACTAAGACCTTACAGTCGAGGGCATCCATTCTCTTTGATAATTGCGTCGCTACCGAGGTATAAGTTCAATTCTTTGTCAGACCCCACGCTGAGCAGTCTCTAGTCTCATTAAAGGTGATCGACCATTGTGCTTCTAGTCAGCGAATATACCTAAAACTGAACCTGCAAAATTATCCATGGTCTTTAAAATACATACCATATTCCAGTATAAAGGATGTGGTTTCTATTACGCAACTCAAGTAAAGAGATCTCGAGCCCCCTATCCGTATCATGCGATGTCACTCCCTTTCATTAGTACAGTCCATGAATACTGTATTTAGGTCAGGGACAGGCATCGTGAATTCCCTTGATTTCTGTAATAACGTATACTAAACTTCGCTATATTCGCTAGCTATACTCTTTTAAACAGCTGGACCACATACAGTGTACCTACACGTAAGACCAATATCATTAAGTATATCAAGAGCTTGGAGATTTCAATAAAGTAGGTAACTTGGTTTTCATACAGGAGTTACGTGCCGCTGAATCCGTTTGAAGGATCAGAGTGCTACTTCGACGTAGTGCCGGGCAGTCGTCACAGCTCCAATCTGCGCTTGAAATATTGCGGCGAGAATGTACACCTTGATGTGAGGAAGGAGATAGTACCCTTTAACTTAAGCTCGTCGTAAGTAAAGGCCGGCACGACCTAAAACAGATTGTGGAGGTTCTGTTGATTTAAGACACGCATGTCTCATAGTGACTAGTTCCTAGAAGGTCGACGGTGCGGTAAGCGCCTCGCAACTTCATCGCTCCATCTCTTGATATGAACAACACGGGATCAGCAGGCATCACATATTTTGGAAACCTCGCTAGGATGGTGAGAACCCAATTTTGGGACGAGTTCTGCAGGGACCGAAGGGATGGGTTGAATTTTGTCCGAGGTAATTATTACATTATATTTGCTGGAGCAGACTGCCCCTCAAATATCAGGGATGGAGAAAATAGCAAGGCGCACTAGATGATGCCCGCAACAAGAATTCCGCCTTCTCGACTCTGTCCGTAGCAAAGAGAAAGGCCAAGTTGTAATAGTTCCTAAGGTTGAGAAAATTCAGGAATAGTATTATTATTAAATACGCCGTAGGCTCGAAGCCCCCGGTACCTCTACTAGTACTCCCGTATGTCAAACCGTGCCCTAATGGCTGGACTAAATACATACGCTGCGTCGTCGGTTCGCCCTATTGGCGACTGCGTTACGTCCACTACCATACTACGTTGGTTCTCAACCTACCAACAAAGTCCCCCCTGAGAAGATCGATGCTATCTGGGCCTTGAAGCTGTCCGACCCGTCCCTAGCAGCCACCTTACAATAGTCCCACTAACTACTGGTTCTCTTGTTGCCATTGCGAGGTCTCTGCGAGAGTATAGTGGCCGTGGTGCGATGGCGGCCCGTAATCGTTCCCTCGGTCCTTCCAACAGCCCGCAAAAGAGGATTATGTGCTCTGCCGTCTCAGGGGCATCGCCACAGCGGCATAGCGGCGAGTACACGCCAAAAGCCCCTGTCTTGAATAAGAAGGCTGCTAGTCCTATTTTTTCCGTCCTGATCTGGCACAGCGTAGACGCCTCCAGTCGGTTCAGGCCGAAATACTTGCCCCCTTTCGGTATCTGCATCGAAGGGCCCTCCGGTTCCTCAGCGATAGCGCGTCGCTGGCGATCGTGATGCTCTGCTCCGGTGACAGGAATAGTAACATTCTTTTGTCTGTAAAGGTGCTTGCCTTATTAAAAGTTCCATAGCCCTGAACCATGTGGTGAAAGCTGCTATGTACCTTGTAAGGCATGATGTCAAACAATGTAACTTGGAAAAATACCCTAATATTTGTCTACCGTGCCTGAAAATAAATCCTTGTTGTTATGTTCCAGAGACGTACGCCACATGGCTGACGAGATGCACAACACCATACATACTTCGTTCTATTAGATATCATTTCAAGGTAGGCTTTCTCCCATGGCACGTATGTATTAATGCTGTGCTTCCACCATCCGCGAAAACCGATATCGCGACAGTGATTTCCAGATGAACAAAACTTATATGCCAATAGTATCACTCAGATTAAAATAACAACGTCCTCCTCGTCTCGGAAGACATATTGTACATCCTGCCCAACGTCGACACCACCAACCCATGATGCTACGTCTTCTTCATTATTTTCACCATCATCATCCAAGAAAGGAAGGTCGTGGCCTTGAGTCAAGAGCACAAGTCGCCCCGACGTCACCTGCCTGAAGGGGCTCCGTTTGGCCAGAGTCCGGCACTGTCTCATTCGGTAGATCCAGTACCGTTGGCGAGGCCCATATGTGGGTGTACAAATGTCTTCTGGTTCACAATTTGTCGCCCTGCCGGTTCCGTTCTCGAAAGTCTCTGGTCTCTTGGCAGCTTCAATGCTTGGCCTGGTCAGTTCTAACCGATAATCTAAAAATGTGCACTGTGTGATATATCTGTCGAAAAGCGACGTGATATAAGGGACCCTAGAACAGCTTCTAAAACACATCCTCGTCATCGCATGCGTTGTCGGGCTTGAGAGTTGTAGTACATTCATCATCCCGGTCTCAACATCATCCTTTTTATGACATTCCAGTCTACACTAGCCGCCGGATGGAGCTTGCCGCGGTCATAAACAGTTTCCACTAGTATATGATCGGATAGAAATGGACCCTACCTCAATGGTCTGCGCTCATAGCCAGGAACTGGTTCACCCTAAAAAGCTTGATCTGGTCTAATATCAAGCGGCACTGGCTACGCCACCATCGTGGACTGGTTTTCCAACCAGCACAGGGAACATCAGGGGAATACCAGGATGAATGGGCTCTGTCTACCATTTCAAGTGTGGAAGTTGGGTTACTCAAGTGCGGTCTTTCGACTCCAGTCGACTCCATCTTCTCTGTGACTATACAAAGTATAAGACAAAAAGCGTTTGTTGAATGGATAACGAAGGTGGTGGACTTACTTCGCAAATTCATCCACACCATTGACGAGTGCCTTGAGTCATAGGGACATTTTCGCTCAGGCCAGAGCAATCGCAGAGAAAAATCACTTACTAGCATTTTCGAACATTCGATGACTTGGAGGGGCTTCTGTGAAGTCTCAAGCTCTCGAAAGATCAACTCGTCGAGAGAATGCCACGAAGTGTATGTATAAGATTCGCATTACTCCCCTCTGTGGTTTGCACAACCACTATTCAGGATTGCCTTGATTCGAAGTTTTCCAGCTCGGTCATAAGTCGGGTTTTTACGTCAAATAGAACAGTCCTATGCTTTGCCCATGACTACAACGAGAGCGCCATGACACAGGCGGCAATTGCCAGGAGCGTCAAGGTCCTAACTTGGGGAACCTTTGTATGTTTCTCCCTCTAGTACATTGAGGAAGTCTAAAAAACGCTTCTACCATTCTATTCCGTTCGTACTGGTCTAGCGCTATTGAGTACCCGCGAGGGCTTCCTACCTCTGCCAGAGAGCCCTTGGTCCCTGATGGTCTCTATATTACTGGTCGACCTAATAGTGTACCGTTTTTTTACTTGCTCGAACATAATTGGAAGCTTCTCTCGGAATTGGAGAAGCGCATATTCATCGGAGAGAAACATCTATCAGCTGACACTGGGTTGCAAATGGTTGGTTTAACAATTGTATATAGAAGATGTTTGGCATGTCGCATTGTCGAAATTAAAGTACCACACTACTAAATGCCACATCAACATAAACATGATCCCTCTCGCCCCTCGCAATAAAAGCCTGTAAACAAACCCTCAACCCCTCATCATCCAACTGCGCCAACACCGTAGTCCCGACTCTCGGCCCGCCCGCCCGCCTAGACCGACCATGATCATCGCCAAACGACCAAACAAATTGTACATTCTCCATGCGTATCATCTCGCACAACTGTTCCTCGGCGGTTTGAAAATGCGGCAGAAACCTTTCTAGTCCCAGTTTGGGGATGAGATCCGCGATGCGAGCTACGAATTCGCGTGTGCTTGGGGGCTGGTCCGGGTCCAGGATCATGAAGAGCGTGTTGTGCGCGTCGGATGTGTTGAAATGGATGGGGATGGCGATCTCGCCGAACTTTAGGGGTTTGGTGGTGTAGTTGAGTTTGGATAATATGTTGCTGGTCATAGGGGGCTGAGGCGGTCGGTCTGGTCTTTGGGGTACCGCACTGTACTGGTAGGGCCAATTCTGGACTGCATCTTGGGCTATGCGTTCCGTTTCCATAATTTTGGGGAGTTGACTCACTGGCCTGAATACTTTCCGCATGACAAGCGAATATAGGTTGTACGGAATACGATTTTGGAAGGCCTTAGATGTTGGTTTGGGCGTTATTTTAGTAGTGATGTTAAATTCTATCGCAGCCTACAACTCATTTGTGTATCTGGAAAGTTTTAGGAGCCATCATTACTTAAATAACTATTATTTTGAATGGAAATAATGTTCTGACATTCACGGTCATGTTCCCTTGGGATTCGTATTAGATTCACTCATCGTGACTCATTGCTGTATCCTCACACAAACATCTGACCAACCGGGTTTCCATAATTACATTGATTTGCTGGGATTAGTTGACTGGATGGTGCTAATTAGATTGTAAAAATCACTTAGAAGGTGGGCGACTTGGCGCAACAAAGTTCCAACAACGCTGTTCAAACCCTAGTCCGATGTACAGCTCGAATTATTGTGACTTCATATGCGCACCGTTTATAACACTCCCGCGGTGTTGACAATATTGTTTGGTTTCGTCGTTAGATGACCGAAGCTCTGAAGCTCTGGCGGCTGAAATGCGGGGCGTATGCTCTGATATCAACAATAAGACCAACAACATGCTGAAAGTCTTCAGCATCATCTCAGGTTCCTACAACTGAGATGTGACTTACGCGAGTCCAACATTTTATGGGTACTCTCTGCCCTAGCTAGTATTCTTCTTCCCCTTCGCCTTGCTTCTAGCATTCTCAATATGGGGACACGCTTTGTAGATCTACAACTTCTATACGACTTCTGTGGGGTTGTGGCAAACCTCTTAACCCTATTGGTTTTTCAATGCTCGCGTTGCATCTGTCTTCGACAGCCCGTGATTAAATTCGAGACAACCCCGTGTTGAGCTGGTTTCGCAGGCATTATGAGACACCCTTGATGGACGCGCTGCTTTCGATAGTATTGGGGCTATGGAATTTTATTTTTGCTTCTTTCATTCTTTTCATATTACGGGATGTTGGTCTCGGTGGGCTAATTCTTGGTTTCGGGATTTCAGGCTCTGGCGGCCTGGAAACCATTGCTGTTCTTATATTTGACTATATCGACGGTGTCAGACTTTTCCCCTCAACTTGTGGTGCTTCACCCTCGTATGGCTCTGGCATTCGATTCGACATAGAATCCCATGAAATAAGGCGGGCGCTACGGACCGTTCAGAGCTGTACATGCAATGGGGGGGTTTTCAGCATGATTCTGTTGCTTTGCAGAGAAAAAGGAAAGTATCTTTCGGACGAAGGAAAGCAAGGTTGAGGTGTAACAATACTTCTTCTTATTGGCCCCATTTTCTCCATGGGCGAGATTTTTTCAGCTAATGTAAAGTTATGTAGAGTTGAAATGGTCCAAGATTAGTCTTGGGTGGGTTGTGATAGGAGGCGATAGCAGAAGCTGACAGACGTAAATTAAAATATTATTATTATTATTAAATACGCCGTAGGCTTGAAGCCCCCGGTACCTCTACAAGTGCTCCCGTATGTCAAACCGTGCCCTAATGGCTGGACTAAATACATACGCTGCTACGTAGGTTCGCTCTATTAGCGACTGCGTTACGTCCACCACAATACTATGTTAGTTCTCACCCTACTAACAAAGTCCCCCTGAGAAGATCGATATTATCCGGGCCTAAGCGCTATCCGGCCAGTCCTGAGTAGCCACCTTGTGATAGTCCCGCTGACTACTGGTTTCCCCGTCGCCGTTGCCAGGTCTCTACATGTATGCAGCGGCCATGGTGCGATAGTGGCCCGTAGGCGCTCTCTCGATTCTTCCAGCAGGCCGCAAAAGAGGATTACGTGCTCTGCCGTCTCGGGGGCCTCTCCACAGCGGCATAGCGGCGAGTACACACCGAAGGCTCCTATCTTAAATAAGAAAGCTGATAGTCCTATTTTTCCGGTCCTGATCTGGCATAGGGTAGACGCCTCCGGTCGGTTTAGGTCTGAGTACTTGCCCTGTTTCGGCATTCGCATCGAGGGGCCCTCCGGCTCCTCGGCGATAGCGCGTCGCTGGCGGTCGTGTTGTGCTGCCCCGGAGAGCCATCTCTTCTCCCAGTGGTCTAGGAGGGCGGCCGGGACTTCCTTCGCCTTGCCTATCCACTCGGAGCCCCTAGCCTCCTTCTCTATCGTGTACCCCGCTGGTCTGAGCGATTGTGACGTCCGCTTCCGTCTCGCCGGCGTATCCTGTCGGAGTATGTGTGACGCTCTCGCGCTAAATTAAAATATACTATTCAAAATTCACTTACTTCGAACTGTATCAAAATATTTTAATGTGTTGTTCGTTACCTCGCAGGCAGTACACTACGTACCTCCTAATACCTCTACAATCTTGTTTTGAGAAGAACATCGAGTTTGAACACAGCCACATTTCTATTTACTATACTCACATATAACCTAGTCTATTTCATTTCGTCGGGTGATAATAGAAGGCCGACTGGTCCTACCTTAGTTCGTTTCATACAAAGAGTTCTTCCATGATCATTCATCATCCGCTAAAGTCAACTAAACAAAGGATTCCCATTCCACTGATTCTGGGGCTCTTATTGTCCTGTTACGACACGGATCTTCACATGAACCGCATGATCCCGATATGGTCACTCCACATGATCAACACCTGTCGGCTCATAGCAATACTCCATTGGGAGAATCTAAGAAGATAATATTTCCTGGCTGCAACGAACGATACAGGCGTGCCGATTCCCTTCTCTTGAGTTTGACCCGGTGCCACGAGACCCATGCATCCATCATGTTAAATAGCCATAAATAAAATAGTACAAGCCAACACAACTGCAATATTAGATGGGGTCTCTCGCCAGCGCTGAAAAAGTGAATTAGCCACCGAATCAGTTGCTGGTCCTTGACCTCCAGTTTCTTTACTTGGATCCTGCTGAGAACCACCAGTCTGACCCGAGTTCTCAGAAGTTTGATTCGCCGGAGTAGACACTTGGGTGGAATTTTCCCCATTAAGTTGATCTTGAACAGTTATGGCATCTCCGATGCTGATCCAGTCAAGCTGAATGCCTCGTTAGCACAATATCGTCTGTAGAATTCCATTCTTGCCGCGGAAGGTTCGCTGATGCTGACCAGAATGAAGTTTGGGTTGCGGTTGTATAAACCTGTGCAGATGTTGACCTGCGCCATAATTGATGCAGCGGAGTTGGTCGTTTCTGCCGCACTCCTATCTGGGATTAGGAGACCGGATGTGTTGGTGTCCAAGAAATGGTTGACAAGGGACATGCGGCCTGCAGGGGACGCTCCAGATGGTCGATCGATATTGCATTGTGGGAAGACTGGATCGGTCGTACTTGGATCAATTAGTCAGAATTTGGAATCCCACCTTTCCGGATGGAGAGATAAAGCGTCTGCAGGTATCGAGGCCAAGCTTTTACATACTCGAATGGTGTTTCACTGGTGAAATCGCGTCAGTATGGATGTCGAACAGAGCCTCTAGCTGAGCATCTGAGATGATCTGAGATGAGGCCACTTACAACATGAATGAGTTAAACTCATCCAGAATGTACGGCACCGATTTATCAGCCAGATAGTCTGCATGAATCATCAGCCAACAACCCCACGGCTTCCCCCTTTTCGTCATGCCCACAAACCCATAAACACGACCAACCTCTTTCCACTCCCCACCATCTCTCCCAAAGTAGGCCAAGTATCCAACGTCAAATTCCCCGGCGGAACAAACGCATAAACATCCACCCCAGCCCCCTGAAAAACCTCATTGAACTCTATACCCGTCTTCTTATCCGGGTTAGTAAGTAACAACGTGATCACCTCCTCAGGATTACTATCCAAAAACGTTTTGACGGTGCCCAAATAACCACTCAAAGTACCGGCATCTTCGAGTAAGCAGAGAGTATGGCATAGTTCAATCGTCCCATTGCTGTCGTGCGTTTGGATTTGCAGAAAGCGTATCCCGCTCGCGAGTTGACGGTCGATGGGCTCGAGTTGGTTGTCGGCGAGGCCCGTACCGACGAACGCGCTGTCGTGCGAGCCGATGAAGGTTATGTTGCTGTATCGGCGATCGCAGAGAGCCGCGTGGCCATTGCAGGTTGCGGCGGCTGCTCCTCTGGCCAACACACCCACCAGGAGGAATAGGGTGAATAGTTTCGACCGCGTGAGTTCGCTTGGACGGATCATGTTGAAAGTGACTGGCCAACCCGATATTCGACCATGTGAAGGATAGCGAATCGAGGTTCTTAAATTTGAATTTCTAAGCAACCAGAAAGGTTGACAAGCTTATTCAGGACCACCGCTACGCTCCGGCCCGCAACACGAGGCGATCTGCGTTGGGTTTCGCCATCCGAACTTTTGAAACCATTCAGCCAGATCATCCAAAGTGCTGCTCGGTGTGTAATTGCGTCATAGCACTGCAACTCGTAGTAGTAACAGGGAGAATTTGAACCGTCACTAATCCAGTATACCTCCGTGGTCAGGGACAATCCTGTGCGTCTAGCACTGGAATACTGCCCACCTGGCCACGGTGGACTGGAGGAAAGCTTAATGAGTCTTTTCGACCTTCAGTCAATTTGACTTTTTTTCGAAGCACGTATCTATACTTTACATAGTATATATGGCCTGATTTTGGCTGACGTGGTTCTGATGCATTTAACCTTTGTAAGATCCGGACCAATCAGGGCACATATTATCGTAATCTTCAATATGTTGAAGCCATGACTCGTCCTTTGAAATCAAGTTACAGACTCGAGAGGCTAATTTCTACGTCGTGGACTGCGTACAACTATGCAGACTGTATTATGGCGTTGAAGACCAAATTATCAAGAAGTGGATATACAGCCTGTCCAACAAGCTATTCAGCAGACCTCGATAATTGTTGAGGCTTTCAGGCCGGTTGCGAAGGTTTGGCCCCATAAACATAACCTTGACGAGACGAAGATAAGGTGTTTACGATGTGATGCACAGTAAGGATTTTCTAAAAGGGGGTCCTTGGTTGATTGCCAAGTGCCGAACGACCGCGATTGTGCCTGATGATGGCGCGCTCGGTTGATTGCTTTCAGTGGTTGATCGCCGTCAACTGACGAAGATGGGTTTCTGCAGCGCGATTTACGCCAAAGATCCGAAAAAGAACAGACACGATCGATCGTAATTAAAATCTAAAACACTATCAGTACACAAGCGGAAGCGTCAGAGGGCGCATAACCCGTGCGCAATACAGCATGTATTCGTCGTGGTGGTGGTGAGCTACAGATCTGCAGAAAATGTAGGGCTATCTAGATCACAGCGGCCTCGGACATGCGCTGAACACCTGACAACTGTAGAAATAATGCTTAGTTTAAGGTAAGAGGACATCACTTTTTCGATATCGTGATTCCATACAAGAGCTTGGCCAATTATGATTTTCCCTCTTAGAAGGCCAAGTATATCCGTTTTGAGCGATGTGTTTCGATGTTTCAAGCGGCACAGTTCATTTTCAGGTTTGAATGAGAGTTACATCGCATACCGAGACTTCCCGGCTGGTGCGCAGCTGGTATATACACTACAGGCAAGCAACGGTCCAGATCACGTCAGCACCAAGCCTCTCTGAATGAAAGCATGCATGCAGGACATGGCTACCAAATTATCGGCAGCAGCATTGATAACAAATGGTGGCAAACAAAAGAATAGCTGGCGACGGCTTAATAGATAATAGATAATCAAATAAAGTGTGTCTGTTGCGCCGTCCGTCATCTTTGAGGTTGTGTGTGCTAGTGTTCGTTTCATGAAACATCACATACACGCTCTGCAACCCCTGATACTTGCCGCCAACCTGGACAACCGCCCTCGTATTCTGGGTCAACCACGTGCCGAACCCATACTCCTCGATATAGAACGGCAACCCCTCATCAGTGTGACCATACACGTATAAAACGGCATCTGGGCCTTCGTTGGTCTTTTTCATTTGTCGTCGACCTTGTCGTCGAGGACTACGATGGGGGCGGCTAGCCCGCCCTTTATGGTGCACCAAATATTGAAAGGTGCCCAATTAATGTACGAAGTTGATCGCATTGTGGAGTTTATTTGCTAAAAGCACTTTTTGGCCGGTTGGTAATGGTAGGTGCTGGTAACGTAAGGGCTGCTGCAGCCGGAGAGTTGTTCTCAGACCACGACGTCCAGATATACCAGGATATGGACCGAGGAGCATACTGGCTCGCCCGCAACGCCTCGCTATCCATATCTGTCCAGGAACAGGACACCCTACTCCTCCACTTCCGGAACTAGCTCCGATGGTACAACCTCGCAGTCGAAAAAGTCAACCTGTCGGCTCAACCGCGCAAATCATCCAACCTCAACAACGACATCCTTTCCGACATAACACAGATCTTGTCCCGATATACAGACCACCGCAAAGACATCCGCTTCTTCGAGGCAGCAGGCAATAATTTGCTATCCGTCATCCGCTCGGGCGGGTCTATTCTCGAGTACATGAACCAAGACGGCCTACTGCGCGCATTCTACGAAGGAAACGCCCTGTGCACCGGCCCGGCGAGTCAATGGCTGGACCGCCTCGTGGCCAAGATCTCCCGCCGCTTTCCGAAACTGAACATCCTGGAGATCGGGGCAGGGACGGGTGCCATCACGTCTTCGGTTTCGAGGGCTCTGGATGGGGCGTATGCGTCGTATACTTTTACCGATATGTCGAGTGCGTTCTTTTTGCCGGCGGAAGAGGAATTTGGAGAGTAGGCTTGAGGTGTGGTCTTCAAGACGCTGAATATCGAGAAGGACATCGCGGGACAGGGGTTCGTCGAGGGCGGGTATGATGTTCTGGCCGTTATGAACGTGCTACACGTTTCTATTGACGTGAAGGCGACGCTTTCCAATATCCGCCGGCTGTTGAAGCCCGGTGGGTATCTCCTCGTGGGCGAGCTTGTGTTCACCGATCTAATCTTCAATGACATGACGGTGAGGACGCTTCCCGGGCGGTGGATAGGCGCTGAGACAGGACAGCCTTAGGGTCCGTTGCTTACTCTGGAGCAGAGGGATGGTGCTTTGAAGAGGTTGGGCTTCGCGGACATTGATACTACAACGCCGGATATCAGCTCTTCGCTGCCCATTAGTATTTATGTGGCCCAGGCAGTGGATGATCGAGTCACGTTGCCGCGCGAACCGCTCGCCGTTAAGGGGCATCCCCCTGGCGTAAGGGCAAATGCGCTGGCTATCATTGGAGGAACCACATTGTTTGTTTGCAAACTCAGCCGAGAGGTGTCTGATATCATTGCGCACCACTTCAGGTTTTCCAAAGCAAAGGGAGACAACTGATTAGCCAATTGCTCCCAGACATGGACAAGAATAAGCGGTACAACTCGAGACTGAGGTATGTCTTCATGACGAGCGAGGAGATCATCGCAAGCCAGGAGGCCACCGATGCCGAAGAAAATGATGTGATAGTTACTCCGCGTGCCTTGCAACCTTTTCCCACTACGCCGAAGAAGGTAGACGAAAACCCCGTAAAGCACCGCATACCTGGCCCGAAATGGAAAGCGATCATGCTTACGATAATGCAGAATCTGAAGGCAGAAATGGTCGAGACAAAAGAACATATGTCCAAAGAACTAAAATAAACCTACGAGCAACTCAAGCAGGCTCCGAGAAGCCTACAGCAGATCCAAGGGGAACTTAAGCAGACCAAAGACCAGCTTCGGCAAGCCCAGGTAGAAGCCCAGGTACAAGGCCAATAGACTTAGGAACTACTCCAGACCACTAGAATTATCCATGAGTAGCAAAGCCCCAACCGTCTTTTGCCGATGTTGCTAGGACACCGCCTAGAAGCATACCGTCTAACGTCCATATGCTGCTATCCTGACTTACCACCTATTGCCACTCCCTAATACTCTATTCTATACACTTAGAACATCAGCATAACACCAGCCCGCTTATATTCTATTTCATTTAGATTATCATATCAATACTTAAAGATTATAATAATACGATAGGACTTTACTAATATATCGTGACATTTACAGACAATCCCTCTAGTACTCAAAGGATGCGACCATAGCTATAATCTCCTTACCCCTTTAAATTCGGAGATCAAAACGCTACGGGGTAGCATCGCCCCTAAGAGTCTAGCTAGGATAATGTACCTACTTCTACAAACTTAGATAGGTAGCTGTGGGCGGCACAGGCAAGAGAGTTGTATTAGTGATGATGATGGGACTAACTACCAAAGGCTGCAGCTATGGAAGGGCTACCTATGGACAGTTGTCCTAAGCGCTGCACCCAGCACATAAGCGGTGTGCCTGGGGCACGCAACTATAGCTTATTGTTTAGCGTATACGGCTCTCCCTACGCAGAGAAATACTAGAATATTATCTAAATATACGATACAGAAGTTATCGAGGAGTCCTCGAAGTAAATTGTGGATAGCGGCAGCCTTAGTTAGCTTGAATAGTGTAACCAGACACGTATAGTGCTTTAACCCTACGGTCGAGTAGTTTCATCAGATATAGCGCCAAAAGAAGTACCGATAAGAGGACGAAGCGATGCTGGAGGTAACGTAAAGTAATACCATTGAGGGGACCTAGCCATTATGCCCCTAGAGAATATATATAATTCAACAACTGCACCAATAAGTTCCTGACGCGTTGGATGTGCGGATTGGGCTTACGTTCGTCACTGTGACAATTTGTCGCAGACAAGCTACGTCGATAGGGCAGTACTCAAATGTAAACAATCGGCAGTATGGTTCGCAGACCTCCCAGCATCTGGCTTCTCATGCCGTCCACGGGGACATGATAACGGCACTGGCTAGTACCATATGGCTAGGCACGAACCGGATAATCCGTGTCTGAATCTAGTCTTACGTGCCAACAATGTTGAATACCACTGTATTGGATACAGTCATTGTTGTTTCACCGGTTCCTCCAATTATCGCCTTCTAGATGCGGCCACAGCCGCATCCCGACTGATCAACAAGCATTTAGCTGTACATTACGTCTCCTCACATGCTAGAAATAACCGTGGACAAGCCGGGGACCTGTTGATTTTATTAAAATTCGCGTTCATTGAGGTCTAGTATTCCTTAAGTCATCGCGCGTACCACTAGAAATGAACTAGAAGTGTCATGACCCTGACCACTGGCAGTACGTGGGCCACTCCACGACTCAATGTTTCGCGTCTACAACCCAAACCCTGGTCCTAGCCGTAATTCATCGCGTGTTGCTGCCAGTGACCGTCGCATCGTTCCGAAAGACCAACCGTAAACGCCAATGGGGTATGAATGAAAGGAGTAGCCAGGGGGGGTTACACCGACTTGCCAAAGGTGTTCTCGCCCGAGTAGGTGATATAGAGGAAGCTAGTTGCAGAGTTAGCATACGATTACGTCATGGAAGAAAGGAAGCAGTCGACGTACCCATCCTCGTCCTTGTGCTCCTCGTAAATGCTGCTCATCAGCGCAGCGGTCGGTGGCAGGACCTCATCGACGAAGATGAAGATGGCCTTCTCGGGGGAGAGCTTGATGCGCTTGCGGATGACGTAGACGAACTGGCCTACGGTAAGATCGGCAGGGACGAGATACTTCTTCTTGTCAATAGTAGCGATATCCGACTTCTCGACCTTCTCACAGATGACCTACAGACAATGTCAGATGGCATAAAGATAACGGAGCGGCAAAGCCGAAAGGGGTCGAGGCCCCAAAGTTTAATGACGCGTAGTGACGACGGCATTGAGCGATCGCCCGACGATAAGTGGTGAACCTCACCGACGGCGAACATGCCGTGACGATGCAAAGAAGGAAACAATACTTACAGGAATGCGGTCGGCATATTTCTGTCGGATGCGCTCGGCCTCAGCCTTGCGCTTCTCGAAGGGGTGCTCATCCTTGAACTTGGATCGCATCTTGGCGGTGGATGATGGTAATGGATACGTTACAAAAGAGGTCGGCAGCGACGATTCGACGCAGGCGACGATGATCCGAATGGAGTTGGGGATCAAAGAATAGTTCCCGCAGTGGTGTTGATGAAGTTGATGTAGGTCGCGAAATGGGAAATGGGGTGGACAAAGTGGAAGGAAAGAGAGGTTGCTCGCAGATAATTGATAATCAGAGAAGGTTGTAGGTTGACGTGGGGTGGAAGGCTGCCTGACCAAAGGAACACAAGAGGCAGCTGGAAAGGCAAATTGCGGAGGCAAGCGCGAGTGGTCAAGCGGGGCAAGCGGATTGGGAGGATGACTGGATAACGTGACGCACTGACCAGGTAAAGCCGAAAAGGGGTTAGCTGGGACCTCATCAAGAGGTCACTCTCGGTCAGTCGGTGAAAACTAGCAACAAAGGTTTAGATAAGTCACACCTTGTATGGACTCATCAGTTTTGCTGACTGCATTATTAATCAACTTCATTTATGCACTTAACAGCGCCTCCTCAGAGTCATGCTGACCTTTGCAAAAAGTGGCCACCCTCTGTACCCAGTCATCGCAGTATCCATGCAGGGTAGCAGGTGATGGCCCAAGCTCCAATCCAGCAGGTCGCGTCATAGCACATCAGCTTCAATCCCAATCCATTTAGATAACAGCAGCAGCAGCAGCAACAACAGCGCTGTCGGTTCCGATAAGGGCTATGCTTGATGCCCAGTCATGAAGTTGCTTGCTGAGTGGTCTCTGTTGAAGAAGCGGTTTTGGCCTCAGGATGTTGTGCGAGTGTTTGCGACAGCTTCTCTGACGACTGACTTTTGGCGCCTGTGGTTCCTTCCAATTTCATGAGCTTGTGCTAATTGATGTTGCGGCAGACCCAACAAGCCTCACACTGCATCCCACTGTAGAGTGCTTCAGTGATTTTGTTGTCTTGCAGAACTTTGGGAAGGACTCAGCCAGCGTAAGCAACGAATGGCCCGTCCAGCCTTCTTGCTCCTGTGCTATCATCGTGCGATATACCAGGACAGTTATTCCGAAGCTTGGAAATTGCCATTTCTCTCCGGGATCGCATGCATCGCATCATAACATCACCGCAATCCTGCACTTGATTCCCAGGGCATCGTGCATGTTTGTTAGTTGCAGGGCATCGATGCACCCCGCTACCCATGGTGCCAGCCAAAAGCACATGATCTGATCGGATAGCTGGCCATAGAAAGACAACAGCTGCTCAGCCTCGCCGTGGACAGGGTTACAGATCCTGGACTATAACTCATTGCAGCAACTTCTGTCAATATCGTGGACATTTGTTGAGCCATGATGCAGGTATCGGACCGGGCGACGAATTAGATACGGTGTGGTTTGGTCCCATGCGGCAAGATATCCATTGTTGGAGGTGGTACAATGCTGTATTGCTGAATCCTACAGCAGGATTTTTTAAGCGTACTTCGTAGGTGAGATCCAGCTACTGGGCTGGGTACAAAGGGACAGCTCAAGACCATCGTGGGGCTTCCCAGAAGCTCGTCCACCAGAATTCGGTCTCCTTCCCTCTATTGCACCCACGTTGGCTCCGGATGCACTTTGCTGTCACCGTAATGCCGTCAACCATGCGTATTCTCAACTTCATTCTTCTCTCCACCACGGCTTTGGCCGCATCCCTCACCCCAAGGGCCTTTCACCCCACGAAATGTCTGTCCACGTCCCCGTTCTCGACCCCAAAGGCCATCGCGTCCACCTACGCGCAGCTCATCGGGAACTACTCCCCCGCCCTAGCTGACTCCTTTCTAACCTCCAACTTCACCGACACCTCAGACTCTATCAACGCACTGGCCGACATAATCCTGGGGTCCGTCACCTTCCCGTCCAAGGAGGCCTTCGAGACTTCTCAAGCGAACTCCCTCAAGATCCCGCTCTTTGTCACGTCCATCAATGCTGTGACATGCGATACGCTCGTCCTGCGATGGACACAGACGTTTGGCCCGTCGAATCAGCCCGTGGCGGGGATCAGTATCTTGATTCTGATCTGGGATGAGGCCAAGTGGAAGCTCAAGACGCTGTACACGGAGTTCAACAGCTTGACCTACTTCCAGAATACGGGTGGGAACTGTGCAAGGCCATCTTAAGTCTCGGGAAGTGGTATCTCCAGACAGAGAACGGCAGGTGTGTTGGGCGGTGCTGACCGGTTATCAACTTGTGGTGTTCAACTGGGGCATGCAATGGGACTTGGCATGAAGATGCTCACGAAGGGGTATACTGGATTGATGGGTGTTGTCTCGTGCGCCCTTGGTGGATGCCACAGCTACTTCGTGTGTCGCCATCAGCACAGCTTGACAGTCGTGTAGTCGCGACACTTCGTAACAAATTCAACCGGGCCTGTTTCTCCTCGTGCTGTCAAAATGTAGTTTCTGCGTTGTCTGTGCGAGTATGTTCACGCAGTGTTCGGAATGGTCCATTGGGCAACATGTATCATAGCTATTTTGGAAATCAAGTGGTGATGGACAAAATGATTACTGCTGGACTCAAGTACTTCATTCTGTTGCCCATCGTTCGATGGGTTGTTTCTTTTTCGAGAGCTGCATTGTGACATTTCTTAACCAGACCAGTTCCTGGCCAGTCTTACTTAAAAGGGGCAGTTAAATGGTAGCGAGCGATCATTGAAACATACACCCCTTGCGGAGCCCCAACGCCTGTGTCGCTGAAATTACGGTCACACTGACTTCAATTCCGCTATATTTCCCACCTCTCACAACCTCCTTATCCATAGAAATTTGTTTAAAATGTGTTGACGTTCCATTCGGGCCCGCGCATATGAAAGCCCACCCGGTTCAAGTGGCTTCTTCGGGCCAACAAGACGCTTCTCCCAATGGCCCTCACCTCAGATTTGTTTCCTGTTTCACGAATCGGGCCGCATGTCACATTTCGAGCTATTGTGCCGCCATCGTATTGTCAAGTGCGCATGGCTCGAACACAATTTCGACAGGGCGATTCGACACTAACGTCCCACACCTACATCCGGGACACCCCCACATGTGGGATGCCCTACAAATGACACTGTATATTATAACCATTAACTTCAACCTTTTTACACTTATTCTAATGCGAATACAATACAGCTTTAACCATCACTAGGGTTTTCAGACTCGCTAGACTCATCTGTACTATCCTCAATTTCACCAGCCTCGACTTGAGCTTTCCGAATAGCCTTGATATTAGTAAACTTCGAATTTGGGCTCGTCTTGATCTTCCTCCGCTTCCTAGCCCTACTAGCCACAAGCTCTGCCTCTATTGCCTCAATCCTTCGCTGTGCGATAGCTAATTGGTAGTCCTTCTCATCAAAGCCCTTTTGAACTTTCAGAAAGAGTAGCCGCTGGGTATTTGGATCACTATCAAGCTTGCTGAATAAGCTGAGTTGATCTTGGAGCTCATCTCTCCTCTTAGGCGTTGACCAGGCTACTGCTGATGTCTCTCTAACGCCCAGTCCTGACTACTAGAGTGCCCTTTGCAAGTCTGACTAGGCTGTTTGATTGGTGCTGACGTATTCTCAAGGAGGAGGGGGCTCAGAAGGGGTCTAGCTATGCTCGAACGCCAGAGACCAGTATATTTCCATCCACTGATAATGTTCTTAACGGTCAGTGCTGCTAGACGTGCCTTTCTATAGCAGAGGATAAAGTTTCTCTTCCCTACGGCAGTAGTAGTATCCCATTGGTTAAGGTAACCAAGCTCTTTCTTATAGGCTGCCTTGAGGGGTCCAAAGATTGACTGATCGAGAGGCTGGAGAACGTGGGATGTATGTGGCGGTAAGAAAAGCAAGTGTATCTTGTTTATAAAGCAGAGGTACATAAACTCTGTCGTTTCGTGGCTACTATGCCCATCTAGGATAAGTAACCTAGTCTCTTCAGGGTCCTCTGATTAAGTCAAAGCAATAAAGATCTTTTATAGCCACTCGATAGCCGTAGAGTCTGAAGTCCACCCATTCTCTGTTGCTGTAAACCTCCAGGCTTCGTATGGAGTCAAGTCCAGAGGAAACTACTGCTTCTGGACAGACTTCCCCTTGTATGTCACAAGTGGGGGTAGTGCAGTACCAGTCGCAGAGATACACTCTGTAAGATGTTCAAGCTCGAGATCCAGGCTGTTTCTTCCGTATAGAATGAGTCTCAGATGATCCTAGAACAAGACTATTTGATCCTCTACCTTCTAGAATACCTGTCTCATCCGTATTGTATCGATTCGAGTCCTTAATAGCTTTGATCTCAGGGATAACGAGGTATTTGAACCGTTGCCTGATCACATTAGCTGAGGCTCCATTAGTACGCTGGGAATCGATAGCTCTGCTTCTCTGGACCTTGACTGAAGGGTTCCTCTTGATAAAAGCCTGGACCCAGTTCTTTCCAAGTGGTTCGGTGTCTCCGTGGATCTGTAGGATACGCTCGGCGAAGTCTTTGAGCTGTTGATGGGTTGGTGGGAGGCCTAGGGCAGCCTGGATTCGAACCCATTCAGCCAGATGAGATTCCTGGGCTGGAGAGAGCCTCTGGTAGTCAGCGAAGGCTATATCTCTTGACTGGGCTCCCTGAATCCGTCGTGAAAGAGTAGACCTTGGGACACCATGCTCATATGCTGCTTTTCGGAGGCTTTGACCGGTAGCTATTGCTTGAAGAGCTCGATAGATATCATCTTCGGTATATTGACTCATATTAGTGTAACGAAGGCGTATGTAAAATTTCGTAACGATCGAATCGATATTAGTAAAGAAAAAAGAGGTTGAAGTTAGAGGCTAGCGGTGTTGATGAGGCATTTTTGGGTGTCCCACATGTGGGGATGTCCCGGATGTGGGTGTGGGACGTTAACTAGAGGGCGCCGCGCAATCGATGCGAGCATCGACGGACTGCTCACCCCGAGGCAAAGCGAACATGATTGGACCAAATAACATACATCAGAAAAGTGCCACCATATGGCAGGTCTTCCTCGAAACTTTCATATGCCAAGGGAGTTCGTTATCGCCAAGGATCACCGTGATGTCCCGCGCACTAATAAAGGCTTCACCCGTGCAGTGGACCGCATCATATGAGAGATGCATGCATGTGCCCTACCGATAGGAATTCGTCCACAGATCCTAAGAACTTTCCAAGGGCGACATACTTAAGGATCTTCTTATCCGAAGGTTTGCGATGGCAGGATCGAAGTTCTACCATCTATGTGTGCTGGGAAAACGATCTTCATAACCATTCTCAATATTCACGGGAAATTCTGAGGCCCTTTTCCTCACTGACCCATTCAAAAACAGGTTCGATGATAGCAGACAAGCTTGATTGGGCCGCCTCGAGGCAACATTTCCAATGTTGAGTTCAACCACGAGACCGAGTCAAAGCCCGAAACAAGCACGTTCATCCTATGACAGTTAGCGTGGGCATCGTGAATGTGCCAAGGCTCGCATTTCCCCACGGTCTAGAGAACACTTGCGCCGCAGGGGACTTCGTTCAGTGACGGCTTGCGCGCGGCTTACGAGCTCGCACTGCAAGAACCAGAGCCTTTTGAGTAGATTTCATGGCGGAGTAACAAGGTTACATACGAGACGAAGTGGACAGGAACCACTGCAAGAAGACCTAGGTGGGTTGCAGAAATGATCGGGGGCCAAATCAGGTCTATTCACTGGGTGCCAATTTCTAAGCCTCATTGTAAAGCTGTTTGTTGTTTGACAATATCTAGCCTTATGGCCAGGTCCGTGCATTGCGTGACATCCAGGCAATTCCAGAAGCAGAAGGACATTGTGGGCAATGCAGACAAGAGTTGTACGAATGATGATGATGATGAAGACGGGACTAACTCCCAAAGGTTGCAGCTAAGGGAGGCTATCTGGGGGCAGTTCGCCCGAGCGCTGCACCTAGCACACAGGCGGTGTGCCTAGGGCACGCAACAGAAATTGTTACCACAATAAATCACAGCCTAGAGACTGTCTAGTGGCATTTGTGTCGCGAATAATAATGGGACATACTTAAGGTATATGTACTTGGCACCAGGATGGCGGACCGGAAAGATAGAGACGCCAACGTAGCCGCTACAAACAAATATGTCCGAGACCTGCCTGCACTGACGCCACTAGAAGAGTAAAACAAGCGAGACAGGGTAGTATTTGAAGAAACAGAGACCGAGCAGAGTATAGCAAGAAGTCGAAGTGCAGGTGTTGGACATGTGATAGTTATGTACTAATATGGGCCCACAAGTCTGCATGATTAGATTCTGCAAACAAAGCTGAATCGTTTGGGGCATGTTGAGAGAGCTAGTATATTTACAGTTTCAATAACCGGGGCTCGCATGGCGTCATTACCACTATTATTGTAAATTATCTCAATGAAGCTCGGTAGATTTTGTTCAACACTTTCAGGCTTAGCAGTCCAAACCTCTAAAATCCACATGAAATGATGTGGAATTGACTGCATCCACTCGAGTGTTTATGCATATTCACTCGTGGTTCGATCAAATCATTCTTCCTCGCTCTGGCCTAAGGTATCTACAGGCAAAGGTACATAGCCCCGTGGAACAGAGATATCGACCCAGTTATTCTCGGTGATTAGGTAATCTGTGATTATTCTGCCATTTATACAGCGTCTCGTCCTTGTACTTGTGGTTGATTATGAAACCATGGAGCGACTTTGGGTTGCTCTCTACCCAGTTGTACGTGACGACATCGGTGCTGGCAGAGCACCGCCGAGGGGCTGTTCTCCAAGTCCTTTCGAGCCAGCGCGACATAGACGGAGAAGTGGCGCCACAGCTACGCAACTATTGACTGCCTCAAGACAGAACCAACAGAAGGTGTCGTTACAATGTTCAGTCTCCCGAAGGTGGAGGTGTGCCGGCCTACACAGCGTACAACTGCTTTCTCCTGGGTCACTTCGTTTGGGACGTATTTGAAGTGCTGGTAAAAGTAAACCGGGAACGGATCGGAACGAATATCAACGCCTGACCTCGCCCCTGCATCTCCTGCCGCCCCTGCTTCTGTCCCTGTTCAGCCTGCATCCCTTCCTAGTAAAGCTGTGCCTCCTCCCAAGTCCGCCTCGCCTCCCGCCAACATGGGTCTATGCAACTCCACCAGTTGATCCCAGCTTCTCTCCATGGCTTTGGAATATCCACCACCGGCTACCAACGTGAAGGAGAAGGTGGCATCGGGGTTTCACTCGGTTTTAGCCCGCGTCCGGCCTTGGTAATTCACGAACCAGAATCTCCCCTCGTATCCATTCTACATCGTAACTGTCTCACACAAGAGCTCCTTCAATCCCATGACTCACGGTGGGAAATCTTTCATGAAATGCGGAACAGCGATATATAACCACCCTGTTCAGCTGTATCATAACTGTGAATTCTGTTCATACCAGCCATTTGACGTAATGCCAATGGTACATACTGCTGACGCTCACAGTCATTTACTGAAATCAAAGGACTCACTACTGCGGTACAACAGATTCACACCAGTGATGTGATATCATGCAAATTTTCAGCAGTGATTGGTAGAATCAGGAATCCCTCCCAGTAAAGAGGTATGCATTCATTCCTTTCCCATCTTACAACGGTGCTGGTGGATCACAGCTCATCACCAGTTATCCTTGTACACTACGCGATGAAGCAATCTATTGAGGTTGTACATCATCAGTTTCCACATCTGCTCTCAGAAATCGCAATTGAGCTGCTGATCATGTCAAAGTCGTAGTTGCTGTGGAGGATCGGACACAGCTCTTGGCCAAGCTTCTCCTACGAATTGCATCCAGAAAGGCTCGGGGATGGAGGAATTTGAGCTTCCTGTTACCCTTGTATTGCTGTTCATCGAAGACACGAGTCCAATGCCTTATTTAGCTCTGCAATTTACTCTTCGCATCCCGCGCACACAGAGTTTCAAGGAAAGCTTTCGCCTCTTGTGGGCAAGCATCATGTCTTGGAGAAACAATGGAGCTACGGAAGTAACGAAGCTGTAAATTAGAGTTATACTACAAATCAAGCTATGTATAACCCGAAAACAGTGCGTGCTCAGCGGATAGAAGACCGCTACAGCATGTGGATTTATGGTAGTAACGATTCGACTTCAGATGTATGTCCTGTTGGAATATACCACCATTAGAAAATCCAAATTGTTTCCTGAACCTGCCTGGCCGCTCAGCAAGGCTTATGGTGCTGCCATTCGTTGCTCGAGTTGGATTGTGAACCCTATTCGACCAATCTGCTTTCGTCAGCGCGCATGCATCCTTACTACAGTACTACAGTATCACCTGCTTACCAGTGGCGCGGTTAAATGATTTTATACTAGCCGTTGCTATGAAGCAACAAGCCTATTACTGCTCATAACAGTCTACTTACCTTCCACGGGAGTACCTCTGCCCAAGCTAACGGCCAAACCACCGGTATAACCCATTGTACCTCGCGGTTTCCGAACAAGAAATAAAACATACCGCCACCAGCAGAGCTGCCTGCTGATTCTCATCGAATAACATCCCCTTCCTTATCAATCCCCTCCCCCATCTCTAAAATATCGCTGCCGCCCAATACTCCCGCCCCCATGCCCGTCGTCGCCTTCCGCCCCGCAACCCATACTTCGTGAAATTTGACGCTCTTATCGCTGCAAGCGACGACAATACAGCCCTCCTGCTCCGTCCTAGTCTTATTCCTCCCCCTCCTTCTCGACTCGTCCTCACCCCCCCTATCCATGCCCCCCGGCCCTCCCGGGTACGCGACCGCGTATAGGGCCCGCAGCGTCTGGTCGTTGCCCATCTTGCCGTCGTCCCATTTCACCGCCGCCACTTGTCGGCATTCGGGCCAGCTGAAGACGGCGATCCGGACATTGTGGTCGGGTTGCGCGAAGCCGAATGTTGCGGCTATTTCTCGTCTTGTCGTGCTCCAGATTAGAGAGGTGACTTGGGCTGAGACGGAGATGGTAGCTAGGGTTGCGCCGGAGGACGTGTGGAAGAAATGTATCATCTTGTCGTTGGAGCCGCCGCCCGTGGCCAGGAGGTTGGGACGCCAGGGGCAGAAGGCGATGGCTTTTACGGCTGCTTGGTGGGGCCAGACCTGGAGGGCGTCTGAGGCGGAAAAACTGCGGAATTCGGGCGCCAACGGCGAGATGATTGTGGCAGGTAGAGGACTGATGGTTGCGGAGTGAGGCCTGATTGGGTCTGAAGAGGATTGTGTCCAAGTCGGTGACCAGGGATTGGTCATTGCTGATGAGGTTGGTGAAATAAGACGGGGAAGCTCCGGGATCCTATCTGTGCTGCGCGCGCTTTGGGCAGCAGTGCCAAAGCCCGGAGCTGGAGTATTGGAGGTGGTGGATGTAACTGGACGACTGTTCTCTCGAGATTCAACGGGTTCTAAGATCTTATCCACGCTGTAGAGACAACACAGATTATCATTGCCGCCCGTTGCAAACTGCTCGCCGTCCGGGGACCAAGCCAAGCCACAGACCTGTTGCGTGTGGGGTTTGATGCGGGCGAGCAGCGTCACTGCCCCTGGCCAGTTGTCGCGAGACACTTCCTAGGAATCGGGCCATTCGACGGCGTAGTAGTAGACATCGCCGCCCTCCTTACCGACGAGCAAGTCTTCATTCTCGACTAGAAAACCGGGATGGGATGGGTTTAGGGATGGACGCTTCGTGTCGACTGGTCGCCAACTAAGGCAAGCAACGGGGGAGTGATGGTAGGCGTTGAAGCGAGGCATTGGGGCCTCGTACCGAGGAGGTAGGCTGTCGAACATGGACAACAGGCTGAGCGACCCTACCTCGCCGTTAGACCGGCCCAAGGCAAGAATAGACTTTTGACCTTGGTTGGATGAAAATGCTAGAGAGGTGAGCCACCATTGATGAACGGGATCCCTAATGCCGGGATGAAGGAGCATGACACCTGATGGTTCCGACCATCCATACACTGCGTTGCCAAGCCCGACAGCAAGTGTATCGCTGGTCTCAGAATATGCCATCATGGAGCAGTAGAAGTCGTCTCGGAGGCCAGGAGCATCGAGAACCTTGAAAGGAGCATTGGGGAGGATCACACCTTCAGCATGGCGCTTTGGCGTGTGATCCTGATTCGACCACTCGGTACCAGTCCAAGTCGTCTTGGCGATGTTTGGTCGAGTTCTGATCTTGCTCTTGCAGCGAGGGAATGTGGAGTAGCCGTCGAAGTCGAGAATGCGCTGGGCTCGGTCTATGTTGAGAGCATAAGCAAGCCGGCCCTCGTGCTTTTCTTGCTCCTCCTCAGACCTAGGACGAGCAGAGCTGAAAGAAGTGGTGTAAAGAGGGGCATTTGTTCCACTGGCGATGTATCGGCCTCTGCCACTGTCGACCGCTGATCCGCTGGGGGCAGTGCCGCCTATTGTCCATACTGCTCCTACGCTGATCTGACGAATCGGATCATTCAATCCGAGCAGTGTTCCTCCACGTATGTCAGTGTTGTCAGACCGCGAAGACCTGCGAGTGCTTGCAGTAGGTCTTCGGCGATGTGGGCGGAAGCAAAATGCGTCTGGTGTGGCCGCCTCGTTCCGGATCAAACGCTCCGATGTAGATAGTTCGTGAGCCTGCTTGTTCGTCCGAAATCGATCTCCCACAGGGGTAGAATGCTCCCTGGATGGCACAAAGCGGTCGGGATATTGGGATGATCCACCTCGCTTGGACGGGGTTGCCCCGACCGACAATTGCCTTCGTGACACATTTACAGCGGTGTCGGACCAGAAAGCCGAGGGCAGGCCGGGACGTGGGCTTCTGATTCGAGGTAGAGTAACTGGTGTCGTTGTAGAGGTATCATGGCTGCCCGATTGGTCTTCATCGGATGGAGACCAAGTACCATCACCGGCGACAATGTCGGCGATGCGTTCATGTTGGATGGTGCGGGAAACTGAACGAACAGTACAGCAAGGTTGGGCTTTTGGCAGGTCTGGCTTGGCGGGTATCTTAACTTTAAGTCGTAGGCCCCCCATGGTAATAGTAAACGAAAGAATGCTGGACGGCTACTCAAAACTGCCACAATCGATGCGGCCTAGGGAAGAGAAGGAGGAGATGAAAGCATTGGGAATGGAGGCAAATGACAGTTGTCTAATCCCATCTTGCGGGAAGGTGCCCTTTACGAGCCATGCAGCAGGCGCGAGTGTCAGGCCATATCTCAAGGCAGGTACTTAGCACGGATAGGGAAAGGAGTGACTTATGTGCCCGAGAGACGTAGAAAGAGCATGCAAAGGCATGAACCGAACATGCCGCGCGATTGGAACTTCGTTCTTCAAGTGGTTGATGTCGCTGGCTCGTTGTACTGAGAAAAGTCCTGGAGTCCTCTATTAATTATAGCTTGCATACTGCGATTACCTTTTCGGGGGATTAGTACAATGCGATAGGAATGAAACAAATGGGTATTATGGTCTTGGAATTAATCGAGGTACTCAGGCGCCAATCCGCCTTTAAAGTGGTTAGCATTCATCCCCGACTGAGACCAAGTATCAGGCAATTTCCTGTCGCTTCTCATGTGGCATCGTACTTGGAGGACATGGAGACACATTCCCCAATATCGGCTTGTAAGTATATATTTTTCTGGGCAAAAATAGAAGACCTAGTGACTGCCTTCGTGGATGCCAGCTAGAACAAAGTCTAACCCATCCAATAATCTCGCTTGAGGGCGTAGGCCCCTGAAAGGCCAGCTATGCCAAAGAAATCCAATAGGCATTTCCGCCCGTTGCATGCCACCCTTTTGACTCTCAGATATGAACCCGAGTCTTCATCCACCATAATCGTGTGTGGTAGGCTATGGTGAGGGATCTTGGTAGCAATAATTACCGTTCTTGGTTCTCGTACTACTAGTCCATGGACGTTGGCCTGCCACCACCAACAGCAGAATATCAATAGTGCACACAAACACAACCACCACTAAAGAACAGCACCATGTCTACGACTTGAGAATTTCAGCCCTATTCCATGGTTGGGGCCCGTGACAAGACCGACATGGAGACCAGCCCCTTCTGGATGATTCCCCGATATTCATACGTAATCAATAACGATGCCAAAACGGTGAAGTTTGATGAAACCCCTCGCATCTTGGTTAACTGCGCTGTCCAGTTGAACGGCAGTACTACCTCCTCATAGTTATGCACCTGGGTGGCATCGAGTATCATGGGGAGTGCAAGCCCTCCTTTGCGAGCTGAAATAATTTTAACCCGATGCTAGTCATAATTAAGACCGCGATCCCGTATAAAAGCCCATAATGACGGGGAATCTATTCACAGAACTACTAGGCAAAGTAGTGGGACAGTTGTCTAAAGGCCTTGAAAGCTAGTTCTTAGTCAAATTGACGAGGAATGCGTCAAGGAACCAAGCACATTATCTTCTATACACTGCACATCATTGACAAGGGGAAATGGATTGAAAATAGGCACACAAAGGCTGAGTCTCCCACGGCGATAGCTGGACCCCGGCGAGCATTTGACCCGAGAGGTGTCGACGAAGCGCTGCCTAATATTTTGTTGATGACACGAAAGAGTCAAACTCAAATACCGGAAAAGGTGTCGCAGTCAACATTAGAGGCGATAGCCAACCGGGCCCGCTGAACAAAAATTCGGCCACCGAATTTGGACCACCTATTCTTCCGAGCTACTCTCGGTCCGGGGAGGTATTGACAGAGGGAAAACACGTGGCGTTGTTGAGGGTTTCCGGGGTTTCTCAGACACCGAGGCGAACAAGATATTCGTCTTCATCACAAGCATGAGAATGAACACTCCTGATTTCCCCAATCTCAACATCGACGAAGAGATTCGGAAGCTTGGCAATGGCGAACGGAGTCAAGATTGAGTAGGAAGGAGATCTTAATTCGCAATTTACCGTTGGAGCGTGGCGTGCAATGAGAAGACAACAGAGGAAGAAATTTTCGACCCTCAAGTGGCTTTTGGAGCATGTTGATAGATTGGAAAGGAAATTGGGGGGATTATACCTTAACCTGAGGGGACATTGGAATTTGGCAACGTGATGGAATGAAACCGAGGGTTATTGTCACCGGTCAACCAGGGAGTTCAAATCGCGTTATTCATTTGCCGCCTGCAATTTACATTAATTGCAATACATATACGAGGTTTTCTAGTATGTGAAACGGTACGTTATATTTTGCATACTACCCCTAAGATCATCGGTGGCATATGTATCCTTGAAAGGGGTTGAACTGTGGTCACTTTCAATGGCCCAAACCAAGGTCAAATTTTGGAGCCATACCGACTTCTCTGTAATGTTAGTACTAACTGAGAAGGACAAGATGTTCGCCCATAACAGCGGGGGTTGAGATGGTAAAGATACTGCATTCCTGAATGCCTCAATTAATAGTCATGATATGATAGTCCCGCATTGAATCTATAATGATACAATCAAATTTTCGTCTGCGTTGCGGCATGAGGTTTTAATTTATTTGTCGATATTAAAATGGTTCTAAAGTAGAGGTTTAAGGCTTTTACTCGGAACCTCTCATGGAAAAAGGGGGGTTGAACCCCCGCGCCTCCAGGCCGTTAAAAGGAGGGGCGAGACGAAGACAGTGTAGAAATGACTATGTAAACACAGTGCGTTATCGATAGCGACCAGACAATGAATGACACCTGATCTCGAGCTTTCCCTCCAACAAGGCTCAATGTCATTCAGTTCATCAATGTCCTGAGAGAAACCGGAAAAGGCTCCGACATGGCCAGTGTATGTAGGTCCACGGTCGCATTTACCGCACCAAGTTCTCCTGCTAACCTGCAAGCTGGCAGCATGGCATAGCCCGTACGATCCGAACGCGCACCGACGAACAACGCGAACAGGACCTCGACAAGATCGCCAAGTACCGCGACCTTGAGACACAGATCCGCATGCGCGTCAAACAGGGTAGCAACAGTGACAACGACAACGGCAGCTACGCGGACCCGGTGCTCTTCCAACTGACAACCAAACTCCTCCGCCTCAACCCCGAGTACTACACAATATGGAACGTGCGTCGGTGCTGTCTAACCTCTGGCTTATTATGCAGACGGTCGGGTGGATCATCGCTCTCGAAGGCGTCGCCGAGTACTTCTCGGAGCGACACTATGAGACCGTCCTCCGGCGACTGCTTGCCCTCGTCCTCGGATTCGACCCGGCCAGACCGAAAGTCCCTGAGAGCTGGGAGGGATGGGAAGAGTGGTATTTCAGCTGATGACGGGACGGGATCGCACGACACCAATACAGGTAGGACGCAAGAGGCAGAGGCAACGGGAGCGGATACGCAAGAAGAAGATGACACAGAGGCGATTGGGAAAGACACGGGCCTTCTGCAATCAGAGCTCGCGTTCACCATCCCGCTCCTCCTCGAATTTCCCAAATGCTACTGGATCTGGAATTACCGGTCCTGGCTGCTCTCCGAAGCCATCTCCCGTCTACCTTCCACCATCGCACGCCAGATCTGGGAAGCCGAGCTGGCCCTCACTGCCAAGATGCTGGCCAAAGACCGCCGCAACTTCCACGCCTGGAGCTATCGCCGACATGTCGTTGCGACGCTCGAAAGCCCCGCTCTGAACGGGTCCAGCATGGCCGAGACCGAGTTCGCTTATACCACCAAGATGATTGGCGCGGACCTGTCGAATTTCAGCGCTTGGCATCATCGCAGTCGGCTAATTCTCCGGGTACTGGACGAGAAAGATGCCGATGATCAGGCGAGGAAGGCGTTCTTGGAAGAGGAGCTAGCGCTCGCGAGGGAGGGTTTGAATGTCGGCCCTGAGGATCAGAGTTTGTGGTACTACCACCAGTTCTTGATGTCACATCTTACGGAATATTCTGGGCGGGTAACGATTGCACCGGCACTGACGGTGGAGGAGAGACGGGCATATGTGATGAAGGAGATTGAGGAGATCAAGGATCTGCTTGAGGATTACGATGATGTGAAGTGGATCTACCAAGGGTTGCTCGATTATACACTTGCGCTTGGCAGTCTGGGAGGAGAAGGTAAGGGCAATGAGGCGGAGGGTTTCAAGGACGACATGCAGGAGTGGCTTGCGAAGCTGAGGAAACTTGATCCCATGAGGAATGGGAGATGGGATGACGTCGAGAAGACTCTTGAGGGCTGGTGATTGACAGCTCTTTATATTACACATGATACCAATATCTACATGATTCGGGGTGTATTTACGTCGACTGGCGTTCCGTGCTCCACCTGGCAGGAAGCTATAGAGGTATCGTCCCATTACACTTCCCAACCATCGAACTCGCATTCTGACCCACTAAGCCATCGAAGTAGGCCAACAGAGTCTCAACGGGCAGCATGTCAATCAGCCCCAGGGTCGGATTGCTCGACTTCAGAGGCTGCCCCCCAAACAGAACCCGAACATAATATCCACTCCTTTTTGTCGCAGCATCAACGTTCTCAGCCTTCTTCCAAACCTCAAACACAACCTCGCTCCCCATCCCAGGCCAAACCATTATCTCCACCTGCAAAATGCTCAGCACCCGACTCACACTTCCATCATGCGCCACATTATGCACATAAATTGGCCCTCTCTCCCCATTTTTCTCTCCAGCTACCACAGCCCTGAAATGCGCCGCCAGCTCCGCGATCCAAACCCCATAATTCCCTACACTGGCAGCCAGACTCGAGTTCGCGTCCCGGTACAGCTGGCTGTACTCCCACTGTCCCATGCGATAGACCGCATTGGCCATATCCTGCGTGATGCAGGTGGTGCTGCTGTTGGCTCCGTTGATTAGCTTGCAGGGTAGGGGTTTGGAATGGCACTGCCGCGCAGACAGGTTGTCGTAGTAGTGGTCAAAGCTATCGTGGAAGCCGGTCTCGGTGTCGTCCACTGGAATGCCTGATATATCGTCCAGACTGGCGTACAGGTCCTCGGCAGCTGTTTGGTGTTCTGCCCAAGCGGGGTTAGAAGCGCTTTTGATGTCGTCCCAGGTTGTACTGCCAACGGCACAGCTGTATTGCGGCTCCAAAGAATCAATCCCCGCGGGTTGGATGATGACGGCAACAGCATCCGTCGTGTTCCACATGCCCGCGATCACCATCCCGGCCACTTGACTCGTGATCTGGTTATTGGTCACGCGGTAGACGACCTTGTTCCTCCAGCTCTCCGGATCTTGCGCAGCTTCTTCGCGACTAGGTAGAAACTCAAGCAAGTCATGATACGTCCCGTACAGATCCGCGCCGTGCGTCCAACTATCATCCAGTCCCGACGCGCTGATCTGCGGGAACTGGCAGGTGCCCGTCCACCCCTTGGCTTGGAACGGGTTTACGGGCGACATGAAGCCGCTCCAGTACGTTTCTGCGCCTCTGGCTCCGTTTCCTTTCCCCTCTCCGGTTATGAGAGGCAAATGCTGCCCAAAATAAAACAATCCCTGATCATCGCAGTTCCACGCGTACGATTCCACGGGAAACGAATTCGCCGCGTAAGGGGTGCGTTTGTGGTGTCGGTGGATGACTTCCACGTACGACAAGGAGAAAGACGAGTTAGGGACCGGATACTCGGTGTGTCGCACGTGCGGCATATTGCACCAGTTGTAAGTCCCGTATTCGGCGTCGGGGGTGGTGGAAGAGTTGAAGATGAAGCCGTAGATACCCGTGCCGTTGAGGGCCGTAGCTAAATCATTAAACTGTGTTTGGGAAGGGGCATGCCAGCGCAGGTCTACTTCGACGGCTGCGGCTTGTCCTGCTGATGATGACGATGATGTGGTTAGGAAGCCGAGCAGGATGGGGATGCTCTTTAGTGAGGTGGGGGGGAACATGGTGGGCAGGAGGACGAAGAGGACGGATAAGCTAAGGAGGAGGGAGAGGGAGAGCCTGGTGATCCGGGCTATGGTGGTTGAGGAATACATCCATGCTTATTCCCTGGGGGTTTGAGGTTGCTCCCACGTGGTGGAATTGGATGCGGGTGTGGATATTCACCAACAGTCCTGCAGTTGATGATGGCGTGTTTATTCCCGAAGATGGGGTACCATTGAATGCACTTGAGGTTAGCGAGGGGTATTGCCGTTTTCTGTACCAGATTGTCAGGTTCCTGGGTCACGGGTGGAGATGCGATATCCCAAACTGCCAATGACTGGTGAAGTTTTACGCTACGCTGATCAACTTCCAGATACTTATCGCGAAAAGCTGAATGAGTTGATATGATAATGCCGGTTTTTAGCACGTTGCATAAGAAAGCGCCCCGAGTGGCTGAGTCCAGGGGGCCACTTGCGGCAACCAGGGGTCGATCCGGGAAGTCTTTCCCCTCTCCACTGCTCAGTACTTCCACATTACATTGTGAACTGCGCTTCTTCCTGACATCATTTGTCTCCAGCTTCATTCAGCATACGCGAAGTACAAGTCTAGACTTCATCGTTCAATGAAGCGAGGTTTAGGAATTTTGTCCTTCATTATTGCTGTCTGAAACCTCATCACCTCCTGTGGTGCAGCTTGGGTTCCCCTGTCAGCACTGGATTCAAAATAGGTGAGGTTAGGGACCCAGCTTGCCTAATCAATTACGATATCGACTGCAACGTTGTATGCGGCCCTCATAAACTCTAGATCTGTCGCGCCTGCGGCAGGAGTCTGGACGCGCCAAGTCACCAGGCCGACAATTCGTCAGGTCATCGGAACCCAGAAAATGCAGCTGCCAGAAACGCGACATCATATGAACCACTGAAACAATCAGGAAGCATTTCGGCAGCCACCCAAAGCTTGGCATGACAAAACATCGAAGATATGTATCTCCGGAAGTTACGATGGGAACCGCCTTGGAAGGTGTTCTTGGAATGCAGCGGACGCGGACATTCACCGTTTCACTGCGCGGCAAGTGTTGTCGCGTGCTGCCGGCGGATTCGCTGCCTCGATCACCCCGGCACCTATCCGCGTGATATTGACTGCAGGGCAACACTCGGCGATAACGACGCACGCTAGACATCATCACCCGGTGACATAAAGGTTCAGCAAGAGCCTTGTTTCTGTGCAGGAGATTCGTGTTGTCTTCCGAGGTTCACCAGACGTCATCGCTCGTTACTTTGTTATTGCATTTCAGACCTAGACGCCGTTCTCGAAGTATTCTCACTCAGTAATCAACGCGCCTTCGAGCAGGCTGTCGACGAGCAGTAAGAGTGATGAGTACACGATTATCTTGGGCAGCATGTGGCCTTTCATTCATGTCGATGGTCGCGGGCGGTGGAGCACAATCTTTCACCAACGATTCGGACCTCAATGCAACCACGGCCGCAATCAACGGGATGATGTCCTTCTATAACACCACCGACGGACGCTGGAATACCGAAGCACCCTGGTGGCAGAGCGGCATCGCTGTACAAACCCTTGTGGACTTCATGCAGCTGACGGGGTCCGAGGAATACCTCCCCCAAATCTATCACACGATCAATATTCAGAGCGCGCCACTACCCTGGTGGCCCGAAGGCGGAGGTAACTTCCGCGCAGACAGCACCGACGACACAGGCTGGTGGGCCCTGGCCATGACTTCCATGTTCGAGCTCACAGGAAACGTGACCTATCTCAAGATCGCCACCGAAGACGAGGCTTACATGTACAGTTACTGGAGCAGCACCCCCTGCAGCGGGGGCATCGTCTGGGATATACCGTCGAGAACCTACTACAACGCCATTAGTAATGAGTTGTACCTAGAGCTAACGGCGACTCTGCACAACCTCCTCCAAGGTGACACCCTCTACCTGAACCGCAGCCTACAGGAATGGGAATGGTTCAAGAACAGCGGCATGATCAACAGCGCCTCGCTCGTAAACGACGGGCTCATGGACGGCGGTAACAACAACACCTGCGTCAACAACGATGGCACGACGTGGACCTACAACCAGGGCGTCATCCTTGGCGGTCTCGTCCAGCTCTACAAGGCTACGGGCGACTTCACGTACCTTGACACGGCCAAGGCCATCGCCGACGCCGTGATCGCGAGCGCAGAGCTTGCCCCGGGCGGGATTTTGACGGAGCCGTGTGGATCCGTTGAAGAGTGCGAGATTAATGGTTTCGCATTCAAGGGGATCTTCATGCAGCGCCTTCAGAAGCTCGATGCCGTGTTGCCGGACCGGCCATACAGCGGCTTCATACTACAAAATGCGAGGTCCGCGTATGGGATGGACCGGGCGGCGACCAGCGGGTTGGCATTTTATGGCAGGTTGTGGCAGGGGCCGTACGATGAGGCTTCGATTGCGAGGCAGGAGAGTGTTGTTCAGCTTTTTGTTGCGGCGCTCAAGTCAGGAGTGGGCTTGGAGGATTTGTTTCCTCATTAGGGGGTTGGCACAATATCACCATTGGGAGCCAACTCTGCTGGTTCTTCGCCAACTGCTTTTGCAGAACCTGGTTGGATTGTATGGCTTTTTGGACGGCTCTGTTTGGAGGATTTGTTACCCTATTGGGGTCTGGCACATCATCTTTATCGGGCAAAGTGGATGACCAAACAGACGGCGCAGCCCAGGGTGTAATGATGTGGCCGAGCTGGACATTCCAGATATGTGTAGTAAACTAACATGACCTAATTCTTCCACCTAGAATATCCTGGAATTCAGGATATTCCATATATATTGTTCGGGTACGCTCTTTATTACATCATCCACTTGTCGTGAGTGAACCTGTTGCTGTCCTGCCACCGATCAAGTTTACAGACGAGTTCGCACAAGGCCTCGGCATCGATGGAACTTCTGTGTGCGTGTTTTGATTGTCGTGGAAGTGTCAGTCAGCCTGCTATCAATGGCTGCTACAACTTGAGCTTGGAAATGCTGGCAAGGGCCGCAGAGTGATTACTCCCCAGCAGCTGCCAATTAATGCCACATTCACAACAACCCACCGAGGCTTTCATCCCATCGCAGCAGCGGCTCTCGTGCATGCAGTGCAGACCCATTCGCAGCTGACTTCTTGACTCATCGGTCTCCTACTTAGTCTCTCTCTCTCTCTCTCTCCCACACACACTTATAGCTTCAGGTTCATTTCATATGCGAAATAAATCAGGTAGAAAAACCTTTCATACCTGGTGCCCTCTAGCATATCGCGGGGGCTCCTCCTGGGGAATAGTCTGACCCCGGCCCTGCCCTGACCTGCGGGATGGGTCTGCCGGCGTGGGCGCGCCGTTCTCGTGCACCGTATTGCACAGGTCTTGGTATGGTTGCGCTTCTTTCCTCACCAAGCTTGCGGTCCCTGGACTTTAGACAGGCAGGGCTAGCGGCCATGCGTCTCTTCTAGTAGTCTGCGCTCCGCCGCAGTCTGTGACTGAGACGATATGGCGGATTCGAGCAAATTGCGACACGACCCTTAGACGGAACGGACTAAGATGCTTGATGCGCTCATACCTTTATTACATGCCTATAATCATATCCCGTGAAGCCAAGCCTTGTATATTTTCTAAACTCACGATTTCCTCATAGTACTCTTCGACACAGCGCTCTTCCGCTCGAAGGAGAGAGGCCACCACGTCGTCTTTCCTGATACAGTGTATCATAGCAACGCAACAGTTGATACCGTAGTGTTTGCTGTTATTATCACTCTGGGCCTAATGCTTCTCCTGGGGCGCATGTGAGCGCTGCAATTCGTGCCGGATAATGTGAAGAGTTTGGGCATAATCACCGTATTCGTATTGGACTTCACGGCGCTGTTGTCGAGCGCTACGGTGGCGAAGCAGCTCGAGGTTTTGATAGCTACTGCGGCGTAATTCGGAGGCTGTATTTCTTCAAGGATGCCTGTGTTTGCTAGCCAGGGTCTATTATTAGAATACTGCCTGATTCTGTGCCAGATACGCGGCGGCGTTGATGGCGTTTCTGCAAATGGGAAATCCGTTGCAGTAGAAGATGTTCCGAGAGAGGGATTGAGTGGCAGATTTCTATCAATTTATCCCTTTGCCACATATTCTGGTCATAAATTAAACATTTCTGGACCAGAACGGCATTGCCGGGCCGGTCACGATGCTCTTTGAGTTGGCTTCTTCCGTACGGGTGGAATTCTTGTGAATATATGCATATGTGGACCTGAAAAGGATAAATGCATTAACTCGTCGCGTGCTCGACTTATCAAACCTCCCCTGGGCAGACCTAGGGCAGATCTACACAAGCCACTTGAATCAACGGCATATGCAGGGCCTGCCTGTTGTTATTGTTGTTGCGGGATGGCGTTTTCTTGCGCCCTTGCAGACGAGAGGGCGCTAGGAGTGTCTAATTTTCATGCGAATGAGCTGATCAACATTGTTTGCACGAAATCTCGATGTCAAGAGCGTATTCAGGCCACTTGTGCGTATCGTAGGAGATGAGTTGGTGGGACCGCTGTTGTTGGGCAGGAGAAGCCAATAAGGCAGCAAACTCTCAGGGAGTTGCCCTATAATAACAGTGTCACACATGTACATCTTGTAGTAGCATTCACTCGAGCTTGAACCTGAGTTGTTAATGCGGAATGCCAGAGGTCTATGATCCGCGACCGAAAGTCAACTCTGGGGTCTGGTGCCTCACCATCGTGGCCACTCTTTTTCTGGGACTGCGGATATGGTGCAGGTTGATTCGTAACCGCGGACTGTGGTGGGATGACTACTTCTTCATCATCGCTTGGGTAAGTCTTATTTCCTCAGCGCCATCATATCTAACTCGGCACGGAACAGGTTCTTTTGATGGTCACGGCGGGTTTGATCTCCACGATGCTCGAAAAGGGTTACGGAAGAAGACTTCCGATAACCACGATGGCAAAGCTGGCTTACAATCTTTCCCTGACCTTCAACTACCTCTGCGCGGGGTTTGCCAAGACGGCATTCGCTTTGACCCTGCTTCGCATCATCCAGGGCCGGCTGCGATACCTTATCTGGGTCATCGTTGCGTCCGTCGACATGTTCTATGTCATTAGCGCGATTGTAATTTGGGCCCCGATATGCAACGAAATGGGTCTTGTCCTCCCGGGGCGTTGCTGGGCGCCGATTACGGTGCCCATGTTGGCGATGGCCTGTGGATGTAAGTCTTAACGGAGGGTAGTCGTCTTCATGGCCACGGTAATCGAACGCATGATAATCACGCAACATGTGTAAACAGCGTACTCGGCCCTCCTAGACGTCGTACTCGCGTTTGTCCCCTGCAAACTGGTCTGGAGGACGCAAATGAAGAAGAAAGAGCGGCTTGGCGTCCTCATCGCAATGTCACTCGGTGTATTGTAGGCCAGGCTTAATTCTCTCCTGTTTTCGTCATTCGCGGATGTTAATACGCCGCAGTGCCGGAGTCGTGGCGCTCGTCAGAGTCGCCCTGATAGGGATGATTTTCAACAACGTGAACCCCAATCCCACCATGGAGGAAGCTTTGAAAATGACGTGTAAGTCTTCCCACCGCACCCAAATTCCTCCATAGCCTAACTGGATATTCTCTTAATCACGGTTTTCCAGACGCGATCGCGGGCTCGTTCCTTCCCGCACAAGGAGAACCGGCCGTGACCATTATCGCCGCCTCCATCCCGGTCCTCCGCGTCTTGGTCCGTGACTTGCACAAACAGCAACCGACCCGGAGCTGCCCAAATGTGCCGGTCAGAACAAGCCGCAGGAGTACCAACATTAACAAGGCCGCGTCGTGGTCCAAGACTTCGGAGGAGGGACTGGTGGACTTGCCGGCGTTTCGATCAGAAGCGCGTGGTATCGAGCTGCGAGACAGCAACAAAAACCACGTGCCCAATGGAATAATTTTACAGACCGTTCATGTTGATGTACAGTACCATTCTAACCCGTTGGATAGAAGTGGGCGTAATGTGAATTGAGCTGGGATGCGTGTGGAAGGGGGGAGAACTGAATCTCGTTGTAGCCAGATTGCTGGCGTACATGAGAAGGATAGATTTCCTTCAAGAGTAGTTCCAGGTCCATATAGAAATAGATGAAATGCGGGAATGAAATGTGGTTACTCGAACCTGACTTCGCAGAGCTGCAGCTCGGTGTTTTTGTCAGGTATGGGTTACCAGGGATAAGTGTTCACATCAGTCAGCTACCGTGAAGTCGCTAGCGGCTTATCACGATACATGAAGCCTTGGCTCTTGGATCGAAGGCGAATTGAAGACTTTTCCTTCAGGGCTTGGATCTAGAAGAATCCGATGTGCGTAAAGAGTGGCTGTCAAGTCGCTGAGGACTTTCCAAGGGCGCCCTCCCATTCTGACAACCCCATTTCGCGGCCCCAAACAACTGTAAAATGGCTATGCGGCCGCACAAGGTATACACCATGCTTTTAGAAGCGCATAATGACATTCGAATCATTTTGGGCGAATAGTGGTTGTCAGATGGGGAGGGCGCTATGAGGATTGTTGGGAAAGGTTGAACAAGCCCACAGCATTGCCAAACAAGCGTTCTGGGTATGATCTTCGCAGGCTATTTTCGGTTACACGCTCCACTTTCCCCCCCTCGAGGTTAATGTCTTGGTTTCTTGGTGAGTTTAACTGAACCACGAACTTATGAGTCAGAGCTTTTCTTTTCTCTGCTTCCTACAATGACGCTTCGCCTCCCAAATATAGGTCAACTGGCCATATTTCTCATTGCTGACAGAGTCAACACGATATCAAACGGGCTCAGGGAATTGGGAGCCAGACTAAGCCAGATTGGACTCAATCGCCATTCCCGTTCGAGACAACGAGCTGAAGCCATGGATCAAACTAGACCAACGCCGGAGATCCTAGGCATGCAAGCTGCGCTGCTGGGCGGCAATCAGATTTGCTCTACAATCGTGTCTTTTCAATTGCTGCCTAGTTTTCTCCTATTTCATAATCTTAATCTTTTCTGTTTTTAGTTCTAAAATTTGCAACGCCCACAATCGTTTTGCTGCTTTCCAACCTGTCGCTCGTTTGCCATTAGACCATCCTCACTTAATCAACGAATATCTCACATTTTCTGGTCGTTACTTGAGAGTATCACTGCCTTGGACCCAAAGATTTTCACGGCCCATCTCGAATCTGACTCGACAATCCCCAAAAGATTCAAGCCCTTCGCCCTGCCCCCGACAGATGGAGCAACCCCGAACTGAAGAGCGGGCTCAGAATCTGGCAGTGACTGCACCAGCACCGAGTCAGCCTCAAGCACAGACAGAAGCAACCCAGACAACTCCCACCCTTTCCCAAGCGCAAGTAGGACAACCTCAAGTCCCCTACCAGCCCTACTACTACCCAGCCCAACCTTACAACACAGCGCGCCTCATACCCTTCAACAAAACTTGGCACCGGACTAAGTTGATCGCCACTAGTGCCTCCATCATCTTCTGCGTAATCATCCTCTCCCTCTCGCTCTCCACCTCGCTCTCCTCAAACTACCAATCCTTCTTCTTCTCGGCCTTGTGGTCCGGCCCCTTCGTCATCTTAACGGGCCTCTGGGATGCATCGGAACTCATCACCATCTGCGCGCGGCGCAAGACCGCTAACCGCGGGATTCACCCGGGAGCCCACGTCGGCGTCGATTTGTGTGTCTGGCTTGCGGGGGTGATGTGCGTTATCATGCAGACGACCGCGTACTATGATGCGGAGTATGCGTATCATTGGTGCGAAGACAGCGACGATGCTGAGTCGGAATATAGCTTTCACTATTATTCGTGTGATGAAAACACGGCGTTGTTGGCGAGTCGGTATTTACCGATCGCGAAGACGATTTTGGCGTTTTTGGGGATGTTGACGTGAGTACCTTTGCATTCCTTTGCCTTCATTCAGAATCGGCAAGAAAAGAGAAGAAAGGCTAACATGAAATAAGTCTCCTCCACTTCGGTATATTCGTTCGCGCCTGTGTGGAGACCAACACACGGAACAGGGCTCGGGGGACGGTTATTAATGGCCCCGTGTCTTACGCCCAAGTGCCTGTGCCCGTATACTACCCTGCGCCTGCTCCTGGCGTTCTGGGGGGTCAGTACCAGTACCCGGTGGTGCCACAGAATGTGTATATGCCAGCACCCGCATCACAAGGTACCCCCGCGATGATTGAGAAGACGACGGGTGCTGAGTCGATGCTGAGGAACATTCATTTGGCTGAATACTACGCTCCTTCGGTCCCGTTCGTACTTTCTCCCACTACGAAGGTATAGCCGGCGACAGAGAGGAGAGAGGAGCCTACTATGGCGAGTGGGAGTGTTCAGTCGCCTGTGTAGGTTGAATTATTTCAGGTAAATTTTTGGCTTGGAGTTGCGCAATCACGGAAGCATAAAAAGTGTTTATGATACCCACGTCGTCCATACACTGTTTCATTTCAGGTTGTAGGTAATAGAGTTAATAAGCTTGCGTTCGAGACCACCGCGACTCCCGTCAAGCCATGTTTTCGCGACTATTGCCGTTCGCATTCACACATTCGGGCCAGTGACCTTTGTGTCAAAAGCCAACCCCCCGGTGAGATCAATCGTACCTGCTACCGGAGCAAATGGTGTACTTAATAGCACTGTAATAAGATCATGCCGTTCTCACGTCAAAGCCATTCTTTCGCGATTTTCCATCAGAATTCGCACCTGTCGGCCTTTGGCAATCCGCTATGTTGTCAGCCTTAATCGGTCACTGGCACTCTGCCAATATCAACTTCATCACTTTGAGGCCTGTAGCCTGGGTGGAGGACCAGCGTAGAGTAGTTGACTCTTTGATCGCATTACCGTACTTACCGAATAATAACGCATTCGTCGATAAGTTGGCTATATAACTAAAGTAATGACCTCGCCGGCAATGTCTTTCGAATCCGAGATCCTGACCAGGCTATTCAACTAAAGTAACGTTTTCTTTAGTATAATCAAGTGTAAAGTGGCCGATTTCATCGTAGATCTCAAACACGACCATGACTGAGTATAATACACACCAAGAGCCGAAAGCGGGTCACGGTAACCTGTAAATTAGATGAGATAAGATAGGGCTGCGAGGGTGCCAGCCAGCTAGCTAGCCAACCAAGTTTTCCCAATATACACAACTTGACCCCCTATATGCACTCGCATCATAATGGCTCCGGATGGGTCGATATTTTCCGCTCTTTGGTGCGCGAAGGACATACGGCTATACACGTTGGAGCGCTGGTATCTTCCGCTACTGTTGGGTTATGGGGAGTGTGTTGCTCGCCCCAGGCACACCAGCTGGCTGCTGGGTGCAGCGACAGGGCCAACCTCCCATAGATAGCCCTTCCGTGGCTGCAGATCCGTGGGTTTTAGTCCTACCTCATCATCATCATCATCATCATCATCATCATCACCACCAATACAGCTCTCTTGCCTGTATTACCCATAAATACTAATGATGACACAACTGACACTCTTAGTAAACCTGTAGGGTTATCTTGCACCCCTCACGAAGTTATGAACAGGTTTTAAAAAAGAGAGATATGAATAACAAAGGTTTATTGTTGGGGCTAACGTAGTCCACGGTCCAATTGCACACTTCGGCAGATTTTCGTACGCTACCACTTTGACCTGCGGTTTTTCACCACATAACTATGGTTAGTTCTTGGAATGAAAGTGATATGCTTCTAGCATTATATGCGCTTCAATCTGATCCAAAATTAAGTGTACGTCGCGCTGGTCAGATCTATAACGTACCTTTTAGAACCCTTGCGTATCGACGCGACGGTAAAACCGCTCGAGCGATTACGCGATCGCCAACGCAAAAGTTGACTCCTTCCGAAGCCCAATCACAAACCGATTATGTGAAAAATAGGATTGTACGACATCAAAATAGCTCACCAACGTCAATTTTTGCTGGAATAGATCAGATTGCGCGAGGTACAACGAAGGTTATGCATCGGCTTGCCCTTTTAGAAGGCGAGGTCGAATGACTTCGAAAGGCAAATGAGACCTTAAGTCGACGTCGCCGTGCGAAGAAAAAACAGCTACAGAGTGGAGGTTCACTTCGTATACAAGCTGGACAGGACCTATAGTCTCAACGAGAGGTTGATGGGCAGTTACATGACGAATTTCGTCAAATTGGTGGTCGTACGAGGCGGCGAATTGCGCGTGTATGGCGCTGTAGAATCTGCGGCGAGCCCGGACATAATGCGCGCACTTGTGGAAATGATGTAGAGACGTCTGAAGATAACTATTCTGAGTAGTTTCAATTGATGATAGGCGTTGTGGTTGAATTAACTTATACATCGTCGTATAAGGTCTGCCAAAGTGTGCAATTGGACCGTGGATTACGTTAGTTGAAGTCTTTATATAGTGTTTTCTAGATGCAGCTGGTAGTAGTGTACAAGGTAGCGCCCTACACTAATTCCCGTACCCGTGCCACACCCCACTTATTTCGGATTCGCTTGAGCTCACCACCAACTTGGCCAGTTTTTCGACACTTTCAACTTCAACCTATCCTATCTTCGTCAATTCATTAGCTTTTTCCAATCGCAATGGACTCACAGCTACAGTAAGCCGTCCTCTACATGCAAGAGCATCCTCAAGCCAAAATTGCCAAGATTGCGCGAGAAAGCGGCGTAAACGCGAGACCCTCCGATACCGCGTCAAGCAAGCTGGGAAGACTAAGAACCACGGAGGACTCAACAAACTACTATTGTAACTGGGTAAGGCCGGACATCAGGAAAATTGGTTATGGGGCTAGGAGAAAGTTTATTTTCTCTTCTTAAGAGGCAGAGAGGCAGAGTAGGACACGAGTCCCCCATCTTCACGCATCATCATCCTCATCTTCATATCATCATCTCCTTCTTATCTATATCTTCACCTTCGCTTTTCAGTCAGTTATTTAGTTATTTAGTTATTTAGCTTATCTTTACGTTCGAGATCCTACTATTACGATACGAGTATCACAGGCATATCCGACTAACTCACGCACCAGACGTGTAAGAGCTTCACTCTTATAACCAGTACCACGATCTTCGTCTGATAAGACCAACAGATGGGATCTGTTGGTACTGGAGCCGTCTGTTCAGTGTGTTAGGTGGTAGGTATATCCTACTGACCGCCTGACCCCGTTTCACTATCTGAAGCCGAAGAAAAGGCCCTATGTAATTACATCGACTGCCTTGATAGGATCAATCTTGCGGTTCGCGTAGAATTCGTTACCGACGCTGCAAATACGATATTAAGTGAGAGAGTCAAGGTTCTACCAAATCAGCCACCACCAACAGTCGGATCAAACTGGACTACACGTTTCCTCAAGCGCCATAGCTACTTCCACGCTTCCCAGCAGAAACTCCATTCAAACCGCCAGACTGCTGAAAACCTCGACAATATACGAGAGTATTTTACACGGCTTGAGAGAGTCCTCCGGGAAGAAGGAATCGATCCCTCTGATCTCTGGAATATGGACGAGACTGGCTTCCGGATTGGTGTTGGTAAGGATCAACTTATCATCACTAAGCGCAAGAGGGCCCATTACTTCGGCCTACCAGAAAATAGAGAGACAGCGACAGCTATTGAAGCTATCTCTGCTGCTGGCGACGTAATACCAGCTTTCCTCATACTCACGGGGACTATCCACTCGGCTCAGTGGTACGCGCAATGTGAAGGTCAACCCTCGCAGACTCACTACAACCAGGTGACTTACAGCTGGAACACCTGCCATGGCAGTGCCAGATGGGAAGCCAATCATAACCCTTGTAGGAGCCCCGCCAAGCGTGGACGACTTAGTCGCGCTCCCTCAAACCTAAGTTGTCATCTTCTTTCCTTCGCTCCTTAGAGTAGAATCTTCGTCGATAGCACCTAATCGAGGTCTCTACCAATGCGATGCAACCCAGGTCGTGACACGCAAGACCTTCATCCAGATACGAAGCTACGGCCGGTCGATACAGGCTATTCGAATCACGAGATCTCTCTCGAGTGGCTTATGCACTTCGAACAACACTCTAAGAAAACGCAGAAAGGTCGAAAGCGACTATTGATCTTAGACGGCCACCAGCCACCATACGAAGCAGTTTATCCAGTACTGCAACGACCACGATATTATACCCTTCGGCTTGCCCCCCCATCTTACTCATCTCTTACAGCCACTAGATGTGGTTGTTTTTCAGCCATATTGTGACAGGCTGTGCCTGATATGGGATCCGGAGCTGCAAGGACCGTGCGTCCGGATCCACCAAAGGAACCATCGAGGGCACACAAAACATAGTCCGTGTTCCCGGGACAACTCGCATATTTTACTTTCCTCCTCAGTTAGATAATTAACAGTATTTGGCCATGTTGAGCTGTATAGTTTCGCAGTGAGCCCGTCACACATATAAGCACTGGCATGCGAAGTCCCTCGATCAGCTAGTACGGGATGGATGTACCAATATAACCAAGCTAGAGTTCCTCTCAATTATCGAAGATGTACGCAAAAAGACCTTCAAAGCGAGTACTATCCAGTCAGCCTTCAAGAAAACCGGTATATATCCATTTTACCCTCATCCAATACTACAAGAGATTGAAGAACGTATACCAAAGACGCCATCACCACCACCAGCCCCTTCATCTTCGTCATATGAAGGCACACCTACTACTTTTCGACAAATTAATAAAGTAGCTAGCAAGATTACGAACTGTCTTACTGATCCAGAGCTTGGTATTAGTTCAGATCTAGCCTATCGACTTAGTCGCTTTGTTAAAGGGTCCCTCGTTAATGCGACCGAGCTTATACAGACTAAGCGCGATCTTAGCCGTACAAAGTACGCCGAACGTATATCAAAACAACGTCGCGCTACGAAGAACTATCATCTTCAATCTGGTGGAGTTTTATCCGTTGCAGAAGGTAGAGAGATGGTGAAGAGGAAGGTTGAAGATGAGGTAGCTAAAGCACAGAGAGTTCTCGCCAAGTATCATGAAGGACTACGTAGAGTAGCCAAAAAGAGCTTTTCTGATGCCACAAAAGAAGCTAGAAGACTTCGATTGACAGGCAAATTACAGCTTACAGATGTCTTCGAGACAGGCCTTGGTTGGCGGTTATTACGTAAATTCTAATTGAAGGTTGAAATCCGTCGAAAAACTGGCCAAGTTGGTGGTGAGCTCAAGCGAATCCTAAATAAGTGGGGTGTGGCACGGGTACACCTTTTGGGACTGAGAGGTACACTGGCGAATTGTATTGTTTCGCGTGCTGTAGTTCCTACAAGAATACTATACCATGTAGAAACCAACCTAGATGATCTGGTTATTAAAGGTCTATAACCTTGGGCGTGTAGTGAAACGGGGTCAGGCGGTCAGTAGGATATACCTACCACCTAACACACTGAACAGACGGCTCCAGTACCAACAGATCCCATCTGTTGGTCTTATCAGACGAAGATCGTGGTACTGGTTATAAGAGTGAAGCTCTTACACGTCTGGTGCGCGAGTTGGTCGGATGTGCCTCTGAGACTCGTATCGTGATAATAGGATCTCGAACGTAAAGATAAGCTGAATAACTAAAATAACTAAATAACTGACTGGAAAGCGAAGGTGAAGATATAGATAAGAAGGAGATGATGATATGAAGATGAGGATGATGATGCATGAAGATGAGGGACTCGTGTCCTACTCTGCCTCTGTGCCTCTTAAAGAAGAGAAAATAAACTTTCCCCTAGCCCCGTAACCTATTTCCCTGATGTCCGGCCTTACCCCGTTACAATAGGTTGTAGTATCCGCAAGCCCGTTCCTCTTGCTCTCGCTATCACCAATTAAGTGCGCTTCGAATATTATGAGAAGTCAGATCGACTTGAGATTTTCATCATGCTTTGGAAGAAATTAGCGAATGAATTAGCTTCTGCACTTGACGCATGTCGTCGCCCGTTGGCGGGCTGTAGTTTAAAAATCGGGCTACCGAGGAAAATGCCGAGGCCGACCCCGAGATTTGAAATTTGGGAATATAAGACAGATCGTCTGTAGCCCGTATTCAATCCTGATTCATTCTATTTCTTAAGTTTTCTTGTAGTAGACGGCACAACATGGAAGTCCTCGCAGTGAGCCATGCTCTACCAAAAGAGTACAATTTCCAGGGTCTCAAGATTAAATCATCGATCCTCCACGACCCCCTGACAGCACCAACCGACTATATCGAGCTCGATGAAAATGGAGTCGTCGACAATGCCACGGCTGCCCACGAAGGCCCGGTATACGTCATGTTCGCCGAGAACTACGATTACTGGTGTTCCAACCTCGGTGTAGAACGTGCGTCCTGGGACTGGTGCCACTGGGGCGAGAATATCACCCTAAGATACAAGGGACAGGCTCGACTTGAGAATGAAATACAGTTAGGTGACATCTGGCGAATCGGCGACTCGGTCCGCCTTGAAGTCTGCGGATCCCGAATACCATGTCAGAAACTCTCCTGGCGTTGCGGACAAAAGGATTCCTGGCTTCCCACCCTAGCAGCCACAGGTCGTGTCGGCGTTTATCTCAGAGTCATCCAAGGTGGCCGCGTCCACCCAGGAGATGAAGCGCATCTAGAAGCACCTTCGAAGTCCAGAGACACGGTGAACGTGGCAACCATCACGCAGGTCTGCTACAGTGCCTCACTCAAGACCAAGGATACGCTAGACATGCTGGCTAAGCATAAGCTGCTCATGCGGCTGAACAAGTTATTCGTCAGTCAGAAGTTGCACTTGATAGAGGACAAGCTCAACCTGGAGAAGAACGGCTGGAAAGGATGGCGTGATCTTCGGGTGTTCAAGGTCGTCGATGAGGGGTGGAATATTAAATCTTTCTACTTCCAGCCCCTCAACGACGACGAAGACAAATCTCTAGCCAACTACCAGCCTGGACAGTTCCTCTCCATCCGTCTCCCCAAGGGTACTATACGTAGTTGGACTATTTCCGATTTCCCCTGTCGAGATGGACCGCAATATTACCGGGTCACCATCAAGAAAGGGGGTGTCGCATCAACGTGGATGCACGACCACTGCACCCCCAACACCACCCTCCCTGCCCGCTCCCCCGCTGGCCGATTTGTCCTCGACTGGGCATCGGGCATCAATCCCCGACAAGTCTACATCTCGGCCGGCATAGGCATAACCCCCATGCTCGCCATGCTTCGCGCCCATGCCCTGCACCCGAATTTCCAGTCGACACCAGCGCTGATAATCCATGTCGCCCAGAACGGGGCCAGTTTCCCCTTCCAGGAGGAAATCGCCAAACTTGGAATCGCGAGGTCGGAGAAACATATCTACTTCACCCTCCCTCGCCCCTCACCTGACGTCCAGGGCGTCCACTATGACCACGTCGGCCGACCGAGCATGGAGGCCCTGAAAGAGGTGCTCTCTGCGCCCTACCAATGGAACCCCTTTGGCACAAGCGACCAAACCGTCCCCTGCAAAATGAGCAAATGCTACATCTGTGGCCCCGCCGACTTCGAGGCATCCATCAAATCCTGTCTACAAGAAATCGGCATCCCACCACCATTGATCTTCAGCGAATCCTTTTCCGCTTCTGGGGCTGCTCTTGGCGAAGTAAAAAGGGCGAGGGTCAGGTTCGTAAAGTCAAATAAGACGGCGACGTGGGATAGAGAGGCGCCAGTGAGTTTGTTGGAGCTGGCAGAGTCATTGGGGTTGACGCCCGATTATGGGTGTAGGGTGGGGGCGTGTGGGAGTTGCAAGGCGAAGTTGAATTGTGGGAGTGTTTCTGGGGGAGTGCAGATGGATGGGTCGGTGTTGACTTGTGCGGCTGTGCCGGCTTCAGAGGAAGTGGAGATTGATATGTGAGGGAGTCTTTCCGTAGCTCGGATTTCATACGGATCGCGGGTAGTGGTGAGACTATGCTATGGCGATAAGTCTGATGTTTGAAATGATATAGTCGCAGAAGGCTAAGCATCACAGTTTGTAGAGTTCTGACGCTCTTATACGACTCAACTGGTGTTCATTTGATGTTATCTCCTCTCAATTATATGTATAATACACAGAGTAGGGCAGGCCGGCCTACCTCAGTAAGACAGACCGCGCGTAAACCTTAGAGGTTTTGTCTCCGTAAGCTTTCCCTGATATCGCTTCACGGTACAAACAATAGCATTCCGATGCCGCTCGCTCACAACATGACAAGACTCAGACACCCTAACCACCATGTAACTCCGCGCCATACATCTGATTAAGTACGATACATTATAGAAGCGGCATGGCCTAAAACTCAAGCATCAAGATTCCCTCACGACTCAATTACAACAAATTCACAGCGAGCCAGACCATTTCCTGCCCAACTTCGGCGCAGAAAGTCACCGCGGTCATCGTAGCGGCACATTGCTTGGATTTTTTGTCTTTATAAATTATTAGTATGTATTCACACCGAGTCAAGTTATCTGCTTTTTCATTGATTACTCACCCCATGGACACCAATCTTTCTGACTGGTAGCGCAATAGGCTTTCTGATTTTTAGGACACGTCGGCTTCGGCATCACGGGCACCGGTACCGTTGCCGGCGCTGGCTTTGGTACGGGCTCGGGCACTGGGACCGGCGCAGGAATTGGCATCGGCACGGGAATTGGCACCGGTGCAGGTATTGGCACCGGCGCGGGCACTGGTTTCGGGACTGGTTCAGGGACTGGTACGGGTTTGGGAGCTGGTTTGGGAGCTGGTTTGGGAACCGGTTCAGGGACGGGTACGGGTTTGGGAACTGGTTCGGGGACGGGGACTGGTTTTGGAACTGGTTCTGGAACCGGTTCAGGTACAGGGACGGGTTTGGGAACTGGTTCGGGGACGGGGACTGGTTTTGGAACTGGTTCTGGAACCGGTTCAGGTACAGGGACGGGTTTGGGAACTGGTTCGGGGACGGGGACTGGTTTTGGGACTGGTTCTGGAACCGGTTCAGGGACGGGTACGGGTTTGGGAACTGGTTCGGGTACGGGGACTGGTTTTGGGACTGGTTCTGGAACCGGTTCAGGGACGGGGACGGGTTTGGGAACTGGTTCGGGTACGGGGACTGGTTTTGGGGCTGGTTCTGGAACCGGTTCAGGGATGGGGACGGGTTTGGGAACTGGTTCGGGAACTGGTGCAGGCTGCGGTATCGGTTGCGGTTTGGGCTTGTCGCAACCACCACAGTCAGACACAACTGCCTTGCATTGACCATTAATCAAGACTGTCCCTGTCAGGCACTGACAAGTGCTCGTATCTATGTCAAACACTTGGTCCACGGCGCATTGGTTCGGATTTTTTCGGTAGACCAAAGACTGTGGGTTGATGGGTCTGGCATACACAGAGGTGGTAGCCAGAAAGATGAAGACTAAAGATGACGTGACGTACATGTTGAATTCTGCGCACCACAGACAATGAGAAGATTTAATAGGGTGTGTAAGTTATATACAAGATCCTGATGTGCTTAGTGTGATGAATAAAGTACGACGAATGTGCCGACTGCAGAGGAGCAGTCTATTTATTAATCGAGCTCTACAGAATGGAGCTTTATAGAGCGGAGCAGTATGAAAAGCATGATTCCAGTCAACTTATGCGTAAAGCATGATAGATAATCATAGATGATGATAGATGATGATAGATGATGAATTTTGTTCGTAGTCGTATTTTTTTGTAATCTTATTCGTTCGACGAGGCCGACTATTTGCCAAGCCCTCTTCATCTGAAGACTTCAAGAAACCTCATTTCTCATACCTCGGTTCGACCACTCGATATGCCCAACTCGTCCAAATTTAAGCTCATTCACAATACTCACTTCAGATAGTTCATAAAACACTCTTATCTTCATTCCGCACCGTTTTACTACTACTTTACGTCATCGTGACTGGGAAGACAAGTACCAAAATAGCATACTTCCGACATAGCCGCACCATCAAACCTTTGATTGTCCTTCATGCCAACTCATACTAAGTTTTCCTTACCAATAATTTCATGCTCGCGAGAATACCTAGTTCTTGAACTTGAAAATAAACTTGGTTTTTAAATTGTCAAATCATTTCCTAAGGTGGCATCGCTGCGGCAGCTGCGGTTGGCATTGAGGTGAACGGGCTATATTCTCTGAGCACAGCCCATCGGATGCCTTTTCACAACGACGCCAAGCATGTATCCAGTTGTGGAGGACGCATGTGACAGCAATAGCTGCAATGATGTAGTCCATCTAAAGTCGATATTCAAGTGTCCAACCGCGTACGAGTTCTCGCGTGTTGAACTATCTACCATTATCAACCCTGCTTGACGCCATGAGATCGCCCAGGCGGCTAATATTGGGCCTGGACCCTCACTCTGTTATTCTGTGTCTTTATGCTTTCACCACCTCGGTGTCAAGAATATTTCTTTCCAACGGTACCTAATCCTAATCATGAATATGTGAAGAAAGACATCCCAAGTCAATAGTTGGTTCTGTTTGGCAAGGGTTTGATTTGTGTCAGGTGATCTTGGTGCTAGTTACGATGTTTGATAGTAAAAAGTGACTATCTCGAGGGCATGTTTTATACTCCTGGGCTGGCTATATACATGTATATCGCACCAATTGATTTTGACTTCCCACATTTACGGGCTGTCAGAACTTCGCATCTCAGTGCGGCTGCCTCACGGTCTTCTTTCTCATCACTGTCTACTGTAAGGTGGAACAGAAGGTGGTTCAAACCCCGACTAAAGTCTTTTGATAGCTAAACCGGCGAGTCATCTCTGCCACGTTAATCCTCATGTTACCTCTGGACCGTGTCCCTGAGAATGGAATCGCCGCCTTATCTCGTATTTACTCCATGCGAGGTGCAACTGGGTTTTGGATCAAATAAATTGCACGCCTCGTCTAGCAGTGACTCCTCTTCCTTCCTAATCCTAAGAAAGCCCCTACCACAAAGTTCGATTGCACCTGTACCAAAATCTTCCCAGCAGGATTCCGAGTCGCTCCCCTCTGTCCGGGCTGCTTCCGCCACAGCATCCTCACGCTTTTGCATGTTGAAAATGAGAATCGGTGGCCTCTCTTTCGTCCTCGCATACCCACTTATCATGATGGGCACGCTACACCCTCAAACAGACCGGCCACTACCTCGATGATTCCATAAACGTCCTTTTGTCCATCTTCAACATGGTATTCAAGGCTTGACTGTTGTTCATCTTGGCATACTGCATAGACCAACTCCAATGAATCTGGTTCGCTTGCCAACGCCCACTTTATGACGTCGTTCGATACAAATATGCAGCGAATGGGCTGTGGGGTCCTTTCCGCGACTCTCGCAAACCATTCGCCAATTACCAACGGACTTTGGGGCCGTTTTCTTGGTTGGTGCCGTCGCTATAGGCCCGATTATCCAACAAGTTATGACGCCATTCGACTGCAGTGTGGAGATCCGAATCGGAAATGCACGAACTTGCCCCGCACGAATCTGACTGATTACGGTGATGCGGCTGATCCGCTGATCCCCCGCATGGGACAAGCTATCTATAGCCCCAGACTGGATGGTTTGGGGTATTGGTTGGGAGTATGGTGATTTGGGTATTGACACTAAATTTATATAGGGAGAGGAGTGCGATCAGCTCAAACACGGATGCGACATCGGTTCCTCTCGATGGCACCCTTTCAACAATACAGTACAAATCCCTGGTCCGGTCCCTTCTGACCCATGAATGCATTTGAATGATGAGCAACATAATTTTTGCAGGTTTATTGTTGGAGTCGTTAGAAAATGTTCTTAGCGTCGATGAGGAGTGCCTCTGATGATAGTTGGAAGTGCAGTCGCTTCGCCGGACCACCAACTTTACAAGCCCCATGCGACAACGGCAAAATGGCCTTCAAAAAGACCCAGAGAACATTCCTAAATATTTCTGACAAAGCAACCCTATGGGTTCTAATACATGGCAGGGACACATACTTGGGACCCGAAATGGGGGAAGTCCTGCACTACGTGACCTGCTTGCACATCATAACGGACATATTTGGGCGGCTCACAGCTGATCTGTTCATTTGTAGTTTCTTTCCCAACTGATCGAGACTTTGTAATCGAATAAAGAAGATTGTCAATCTCTGGGAAGGCATCGAGGAGAAGATGAGACACCTGTGACGGGCCTACTTTCACCGATTGACACCAAAACTTCCTTAGATATAGGCGGCCATGGATTCTGACGATAAGCGATTTCTGTATCTCGATCAGGACGATGGTCTAGGAGAATAACAAGTCCGTCAAGATACCACACTACGTGCAGTGTTTAAATTAAGTATCTTTGAGATCCCTACAGACATGATGCGTACTAGCTGGATTGAGGTGAAGCTTGCCCTAAGCAAATCCATATTTTGACGAGTTCTCACACCATTAGCGGGAAAAGCGTGATAACTAATCGGCAAACACGCCAGCTACAAATATTGATGCGAACCATTGACATGCTTCAAGCAAACAGCCTAGCTGCATGCCTTGACTATTCGTCTTCCCCTTCAGCATCATTTCGCGCATTGGTCAAGCTACACGTCAGGAGCTGCATGTCATAGTTTACCAAAGAAGGGGAATTAAACAGCAAACATATGCCGTATGCCTAAATGTGAGCATGTTCGGAAAGTAACGAATCGCTAATTATTCCGAGTAGTTGCGACTCATCCCCGCGCACCCGCTCCCCAAGAGTATCCGTTTAATGCGCAACGACGTGGTGTGACCAAAACTTCATAGTAAGCGACATTTTGCTGGATACCTAGCGAAGCCACGGAAGTAGTTAAAGTCAATCCTAAGCTGTAGCTGACGCGTAACGCCCAGTGCTGGCCGAGGATAGATAAGCAAGCCTTGCGTGCCGTTTGATGAATGGCATCACCTCGAATGACAGACCAAGTCCCAGCGCATCGCTACATGGGCCAGGAGCTCGGCCTCGATGGCTCAACGTTAGCAACAGCCCAGGTCTCGTGTTGTGTGAGGCGATTCTTGTTGCGGCACCGGCACCGAATCGGCCGAGCAAAAAAGCGCGGGTTTGCTTGCAAGTTCTTCAAATCGTGATTAGAACGATAACGCAAGAACGCCAAAACAGGTGGCCGCAGGTTGACCAAAGATTGGCGCAGGGGCACCCGGCCGACATGGTGCTAGCGACGCTTAAGACGTGGGTGGTGTTTTCAATGCCGGCTCAACGGTAACATCAGAATGGGTTGGGGATCCCATCCGAGAAAAAAGGTGGGGGTCGTTCTCAATGGTCAGACATAGTAGAGTAGTGATGAACGATCTCGTACCTTGGAAAAATGCCAAGAAGTCGCTTTTGTTGGCGAGCTATATCCGAAGTAATTGTACTCGTACTGCAAGAAGTGCTTGGGGAAACCCCACCCTGATCGTCGATTGCAGCACGCAATGGAGCTCGACCTCGATTTTCAGCTTCATCGGTCTCGACCTTGCGATCATCGTCCGACGGAGTCTGTCCCACTGTACTCCAGAGGCACATACTTATATGGTGACAGAGCTGGAGATGTTGACGTGGCCAACATAAATTGAGGGAGCATGCAGACCCAGAGGCGGTGTAATCGGGTGGGTTTCGCTGCTTGAGAGTTCATCTCTTTGGTGTCGAACCTTTTCGGATGGAAGTTGCAATAACGGTCCACAGCGTCCACTTGCTGCCCCCTGTTCCATCTCGGGAGTCTTTATTTGGGAGGGCCGAGATCAACTTTTCAGGGTCGGGTCCAGGAGAGCTGAATAAGGGTCTATGGTTGGCTATTTGGCTGTGAACGCCTGAATCAGTGAAACGCCAAATTGACTAGGGCGATTGGCATGGAATGCTCGCGAAGATCTATCCCTGCATACTTTAAAGCGCCCCTAACCTGCCCTAATGCACGCTCCGTGCCACAACCGGCCATTAGACAGTATGGTTAGACGGTTCCTGGATTGCTTCGTTTTGCACCTCCAAGTCTGTCCAGGGCTTGAGGGAGGGCCGTTGAGTGATGCACTTCCAAAACTTCGCCAGCGCCATAGGGCGATTTGCGTGTCTCGACGAACATGGAACCAGATGAGTTGCAGATAGTTCAGGCGCCGATTGGCAGGTGCTGATTCGTCTTTTTCACATGAAGACAGTGCTAGTAACTGTCTCGAGTTGATCTTCCTTATCAACAGAATTTGGGCAAAGTGTGGGGCTTCCTGGTTGCGATCGCGCGTCATAGCTCTGTGAACCTTGCCCGACCTCCACCCCGTTCCACTGCCCGTTCTGGCGTTCTGCCAGGACCCCCGTTCGCGTCCGTCAGGGTTATCAACTCCTTTTATCAGCTGCGCGCATCCTTGCTGCGGATGAACGAACATCTCCAAGTCGGCCACTCGTTTTTTTTTTCCCTTTATCTCTGGAGCACACCTGGGGTAATTGTTCGACTTCCTCAGAGCTCAAGCCTGGACATTCATCTTTCGCCGGCACCCACCCACGGATTGGAATTATTGGAATATCCTCTCCAGGTTTTCACCCCAAACTATGATCGTGGGATAAAACTTCACACACTCGTTACCCCAGGAGGACCAACATAGTTATTCCATTGAAATAGCTTGTCATGGCGACCCATCGCGATAGCGACAAGCAGTCGACCCATTCCACCGAGACAACTGCTCACGATGACAATGGCACGACAAATGAGAAGCTATATAATGTGGATATGAATCGAGTCAATACGGCCCACGACTCGGTCCACCACAACCATTACCATGGGAATGGGAGCGGGATGGTGTCGTCTGCGGGCGAGACGAGACAAGAGCAGTACCGTCTCAATGATGAGATGCAGTTCTTGGCCATTGAGCGGGCCATCAGCAACCAGGAAGAGGCGGAAAAGTCGGGCAGATCAGGCAAATCGCATTCCATGAGGCTCGCGCGCACACGCTCGCGTATGCGATCCACAGATGAGGATGCCTTCAATGCTCCTGAACCAACTCCCACATTCGAAACGCCAATGATGGCTGAGCCTGAGACCAAGGTAGCTAAGGCCTTCCTTGGAGTCAAGAAACTTCCACGAGCGATTCGATACATATTGTATGCGACGCCTGTAGCCCTCGTGCTACTGGTTCCGGTCTTCCTGGGGCTGTTTACTCCATTGGGAGAGCAAGCTGCTATAGGTAAGCAACAATCGACCCGTCGGAGCATCAGCGGGAGTATCATGGCAGCATCAGTGGGTCCAACATGGCATCATAGGTGGAAGCACCAGTGGAATCGCACTGACAGAAAGAGTTGGAAATATCAATGGGAGAAGCCCTGGAAAATCACTGGAGCAATACTGATGCTGCCGTTGAAGTGACCAGACTGATCTTTGGAGGCAAATGCTAACTGCCTTTATGAATTACAGGTGGCGACGGAGGTGTTCAACTGAAATGGTTCGGCATCTGGCTTGAAATTGTCTGGCTCTCTTTATGGGCCGGACGAGTGATCATGACGATAATCCCTGTTATAATGGGCTTCCTCGGCAAAGCCGCTGGGGCAAGCACAAGTAGGAAATGGAGAGAGATTGGACGAAATCTGGAGATACCCTTCGCTCTGTTTCTCTGGATGCTTGCAACCATGATCTCGTTCCAGCCCATTGTTAACGATCGTGCCCATCGAGCTCCACGAGATGATCCGGCTGCGGATCCCGCCCCTGATCTGGCGTGGGCCCGTCATATTTACAAGGTTAGTATATCGCAAAGATTCTCCATCGCTCCCTTTATCCTACGGCTATTCCACCGTTGCCCCTATTTGCCACATTTGCTACATCGACACCCCCTCTTCCCCTCCAAAGCTATTCCATCTTCCCATATCTCTACTCCGAGTCACCATGCTACTCTCAAGTCTTCTTGGCTAACATTTACAGGTCATCATTGCTGTATTTGTTCTGGCCTCTATGCATGTGGTTGAAAAGGTTATCATCCAGTGGATCGCATCATCTTTCCACAGGCGGACGTACTCTCAACGCATCGAGACGAACAAGCAGAGCATTGCCTATCTGGTCCACCTTTACGAATATTCAAAGGAACAGCTATTCCGCGAAGATTCGATCTATGAAAATGATGGAAATGGTGGATCCGGGGCTAAGACACCTATGGCCGCCCTTCAAAAGACCGCCCGCCAGGTTGGCAACCGTGTTGGAGACGTTGCCCAACGCATCAAGGGAGACTTTACCGGCCAGAAGATCCACTCGAGGAATCATCCTCGGAAAGTCGTCTCGGAATTGCTGCGAAGCTCGCAGACCTCCCAGGTTCTCGCCCGAAGGCTCTTTCGCACGTTTGCTGGAGGAAAAGACATCCTCGAAGCAGATGACCTGAACCCCGCATTTCCCACGGCTGAGGATGCTGAGGCTGCCTTCATGCTTTTCGACCGCGATCTCAACGGGGATGTGCAGTGTGAAGAACTCGAGGCTATGTGTGATGAGGTGCATCGTGAGAAGAAAGCTATCGCAGCCTCTCTTAAGGATCTCGACGACGTCATCAGCAAACTGGATAGTACCTTTCTGGTGATTATCGTCATCATTGCCATTATTGTTCTCATCACCATCATCTCCAGTTCGGCGGCCACGGCTCTCACTTCGGCCGGTTCAACCATCCTGGGTCTCTCTTGGTTGCTCCAGGCCACGGCTCAGGAGTTTCTCCAGTCCATCATCTTCGTCTTCGTCAAGCACCCCTTCGATGTTGGCGATCGTGTCACTGTCTATGGCAACACGGGCGATACGGGTGCTGGCGATGATTACTATGTCACGGCCATCTCCCTGCTTTACACCGAATTCAAGAAGATGCAGGGTCAAATTGTGCAGGCACCCAACTCTGTGTTGAACACGCTCTTTATCCTGAACCACCGGCGCAGTAACGGACTGGCTGACGTCAATACCTTGAAGATGATGTTTGGGACGCCCGAGTCTATGATTGATCTACTAAAGGTGCGTTTATTCCGTGGAATAATTTGGTTGTAACACGTTATTCCGCCCTTCCCTATGCTGTTTATTCCAGCGGACTAATTGAGTGGATAGGACCGAATGACGCAGTTTGTGAAGGCAAACAAACGCGATTACGGTGGTCAAATTATCACAGAAATGACCGGGTTCGAGGATTCTTACGCTGTCTCCGTCAACTTCATCTTCTTTCACAAGTCCAGCTACCAAAATGAACTTCTTCGTCTTACTCGACACAACCGCTTCGCTTGTAAGCTTCAGGTACGTATTTGTCTGTCCTACTCGACTACTCCGTATAATAGTACGTGGTGTCATGACGTAATAATATGCTGACTATTTATCTTCCAGGAGGAAATGGTGGCTGTCGGCATTGAGCAACCTCGTCGCGTGTACCAGATCAGCGGTCGTGATTTCCCTCTGTACAACGCCAACATCGAGCCTCCGGCTTACACGCCGCCACCACCGCAGAATCTACCTCGTGAACCCTCCGAGGAGATGTTCCCAACATTGAGCAACACCCCAAGCAGTGGTACAAACATGAATAACTCCAGAGAAAGCCGCATGAGGGCTGGTTCAAACATTTCTATCACTCTTAATGATCAGACCGTACCGCAGGGGATGGATTTCCAAGACGTGTTTGACTCCCGTGGCACCGCAAACATCAACCCCGCCCTTGTACGCCCAATAGGCTCCATTCGGCAGATGGAGCGAAGAAATCACCATCCTGAGCCGATTATGGAGGACGCCGGCGAAGGCAGCGCGCTTAACCAGCTAAACTCCGGCAGCTCGGCTGCCACAAGCAACCGCAAACGAATGTTTGGTGGGCCCCGAAGGAGCATGACCTGGAGCAAACGAAATACCAGTGAGGACATAGTCTAAACCAGTGGAACAAATGGATATTCCACCTGGCGTGATCCGTGGGACCACGACAGGCGACAGAAGAAACGTTGCCGGCACACTGCCGGATGGCGTCAAAAGGGACTAAAAATGGGATCTACAATCGATTAATTTAGCAGCAGACCTGGAAATCGCTATGCTGGAGGAAACGGTTTCATAGCGGCGTCCAGGTCTGGCTGTGCTTTTTTGGCAGCCGCTTGAGGGGGCTGTGCAATGATGAGACATGATAAGGTTTGCTTTGTACCCTTAGATGTATAGAAATACCCTTAGATTGTTGATAGAGGTACGCGCAAAAGGTATAAACTCAACTCATTACATTCGTACGTAAATGCCGACTTCCCTCGTGATACATTAAAAGTTGCGCAACCGGGCCTAACTTGGTAAGATTACATCAAATTCCACTTGTCTCTTGCCCAGCCACAACCTTTGCTGCGAGCTGTGTCAAGAATAATCCGGCTAACTAAAGCCTCCTGGTCCAGTTGCCCAAATCCCTGCATCTTTGTTGAAATTCTGCAGAAGTCGGCTTCTCCATTCCTTGTGAGCTATTCACCTTCTAATGAGACTGCCCACTCTGATGCAGGACGTCGACTCGGCCAGCTGCTCCATGAGTGGGGAGGGTATTGGCTGCTCTTCTCAGCTGTGTTCCTGCTGTTCTTGGGGCTGTGGTGTCTCCCTTGTTTTTGGCGCACTTTTCTTGAACTGATTTTGCTTGTGAGCGATGCCATGAGCTTTTCTTATTACAGTTCTTCCCAGTCACGACCAGCTAGCGTTTGTATCACTACGTCGCACAAGTTGTCCTTTTGGTCACGAAATTGATTAGTAACATCTGATACCCGATACAAGAAGGAAACCAACGTATCGAGTACAAGGTATTTGGCCTATGGCCTCGTCACGTTGCATGAGAAGAGCTAGATCCGTTCGAAAACCAAGAATCGTTGGCTATTTCTCAGATCATGGTGATACCAATATGGTTTCAAAGAACACTTGGTCTTGCGACTTGGACACGTCTGTGAAACCAACTGCAAAGCCAGTAGCTTAACTGTGGAACTGCTTGGTCTCCTTCGATCGAGATTTGGAAATGGGGAAGAAGACTGTCTTCCATACTCATATAAGCCACTGCAAACCCAAAGATGTTTTTCCGTACATGTATCGTGGATGAACAGTTATATTGATTGGGTCAACGGGAATAATACGTTGCCTGTCTGGCCGCTGCCCGTCTGAAACAATATGTAACAACAGTATTGGAGCCTGCGAGCGTCTGATAACAACGACGGCCTTAGACGGGAATTTCATTGATTCTACCACTACAGCACTCTCCAGCTCCAATGTTATTGGTGTTAGGTCGAACACTATTACCATTCCCACTGTTTTATCATCGAGCACACTAGCTACGATCTGGTAAACCTTCGTAGTGCTGCCTCCTCAAACCAGCGCAACAACTCCTAGTATAGCAAGCACAGATGGACAAACTATGTTTCTTACTAGCCGCATAGGCATCTCTTTGGGGACCTCTGTGCCCTCCACTGCACAGAGCCACCTACTACGGCCCACCCACGGTACCTTTCTCGTCAACGCTTTCCGATGGAAAGACCAGAGTTTCCAGCTCCGGTTTCATCATCATTGGAACGAATATCTTCAACATTCGCTGATACTTGACCCCAAGGAGGATTACCCCGTAGCTATAAATGAGATGAGATAGCTAGCCTAAAAGGGCCCTCGGCCAGCCAGTTAGCTAGCCAACTAAGGTTTCCCATTACAGCAGTTCAGACCCTATATGCACTCACACCAATTCGCACAATTCGTACTGATCTCTCAGTCGAACACAATAGCCACCACATATGATGTAACGCTCGCCCTCTTGCCGCCACAAACAGGCCTACAAACTTCCACCACATCATCGGCTTCACAAACAACAGCCACAGGGAAAGAGACGGCGCTGCTGAGTAAAAAAATGGTTAATCCAGTTATAGCCTAGTGGCATCTAATCACTAAAGAAGGGTAAAAACGGAGGCTTTTACATGCAGGGGTATAGCCGAGTTGTTTTTACTTAGAAAACATAGTAAATTGATATCGCTACCGTACTACTTTATAAGCGTGGATCGGGCCGTAATTCTCGCTTTACAACATATCTATACCTCCGTATAGACGTACCGGCTATATTACAGTGTAATTACTACGCTAGTTAGTATCGGGCGTTAGAATATATAGGCCGACCTCGCGGAATTCAATCATCATAATATTCTGCAGAGCAATAAGTATTACATGGTCTCTCTAATAGTGTATGGCCTCTGCAATACTCGCCGGCGTCACCGCCTAATTTTTCAAGCTGTCTCAAGCCGGTGCGCTCGAAATCCAAGACAGGAACCTAAAGAACTACATCCTATCTTCCGAACACGCCTGGTCCAGACCAACTCAAAAAGGACTCTCTCAGCCAGCCATCTAGAACGGAGTTATCCCCATCCACACTTCCTGTCTGTGGCATTCCCCAGGCAAAACTGGAAAGCTTACCTGCCAAGCTATTGACGATTACTACCAGCTCCCTATGTCTCTCAGCTTCGCTTCGTACCATTTGTAATGGGAGTGAGGATTGTGAGAAGTGTCAGGGCGGGTCGAAGCCGGGTTGCGGTTCGTTCCCGTCAGATGATCCATCCATGATGTATTGTATTGTATGTGTTGGTGGTCAGGTTTATCAGGGGTTGGAACTGCTGGCTTCACGACGGTCAGATTGATACTTCTGCGGGCAATTCGAATGTTAAGAGAAGGTCGAATCTCTATCACTGGAAATCTCTGGCTTACAAAGGGCGGCGCCAAGGTTATCACAAAGGTATACCACTTACTCGAGCTTCCCTATGAAGAAAATTGTTACTATTCGGCGGCAGTAACTAAAGATATGAATGAATACTCCTGACCACTTCCGTCTAAATGCAGTTTCTCTGCGTTCTTTGTTCACTCCATTACCATCGATATGCAATATGTTGAGTAATTGGCAACATATCGATAAACCGTATTTACACAAACTTGCAGCCGGAGCTGCACACGGCATTTAGTTTTCCCACGCTGCCCTGTTATCATGCCATGCAAGATTGTGGATGAATGAATACTGGACCCTGACGATCAACAAGAATTCAGTTCTCCCCACAACGTCCCCCAGAATACAAGGTTCCCGCTTTCTCAGCGTCGCTCGATAGTTAATTAACCCGCCATCAACATTTCTTTCTACCCAAGTTGTGTTTAGTGGCGTGTTGTGATTTGTTTCCATAGCTGTGGCAGGAGCACTTCAACCCTCGTGTGCATTGCTGGAAACGCTTCGAACGATGTAACCTCGCTACGCAACAGCTGGAACACGAGAGGTTGGAGTATACGATTTTTCACGGCCGAAACTTGAATATTTTTGACACATGATTCCGCCACTCAACGATTAATATCCACCTCAGGCAGGTTCATTGGAGCATGCATCCCTGCATCATAGGCGGTTCAAGTAAATAGTTCTGTGTGGTCATACGAAGCTGACTCAACATGTCAGACCACCAACACCTGCCCAACCTGCCATCTTGTTGAATGAAACGTCCAATATCGCGTATACCGGTTCTCGCTCACCGTGCTGTAGGGGTGAGATGCGAAAGACAAGTTTGGCTCTCGGTCAGATGACCATTTCTTATGCGGGCTGCGGACAAATCCCTGCTATCATTCTAACACTGCCGGTATCGATCCCTGCGCCAGTGGAAGCTGGTCGTCGATCGGGGGGGTTGTTACCAAGGAGGTGTGGTACCTGGGTCGAAATAAGTACTCGTAAGTAAGGTGTGCCCAAAAACTGGATAGATAGCCTGGTTGTACGTAAGAAAAGCTTAATATACAGTCCTATCACAATGACTGTGGTCAAGTGAGTGCACCAACATCGTCCTCATCCTTCGGACTGGCCGGTAAGCCACTCCCCATTAGGATGCCATTTGGGAAAGTTTGTAATTCTCGCCATCTTGGCCGGCTTTGACCGCCACCAGGATAGGGGTAATAAATCCACTTGAAGTGGAATAAATCCACCTTCGATTAGGCAAAACAGCAAAAAGTTCCGAACTAGCAACCAGACCATACCGAGCCCCCGAACCCCTTCCCCCACACCACCGAGTAAAAGAGGAGACGCGACGTTTTTCACTTTCCCAGACCGTGACTCGAGTTGCACGAACATCAGAGGTTTTGCATTATCTCCAGTTTGATGGCATCAAAGCGGCGGAGAGGACGGGCCACGGGCTGGTCCGCGATGGCACCTGTCAATGTGTCGCGTGAGTGGGCCTGATAGTCCAAATAGCAAAACGCGAGTCATGGCGGTAAATGATGGGCATTATTGACTTGAGAAACAAGAAGATTGATTCCATGATACGAGAAGATTGGCGTATTAGCTGTCATATTCAGTATCAAATGTGTTGCTTCTTCACACTAGGCTGTATCGATATAGCATTACGTTCTCACAATCATGCAAGATCGTTAAGCTAATACCCTCCCTTGCACGGGCCATCCGACTAGAGTTGGGGTGAAACAGTAATGACTCGGAGAACCCGTCGAGGACGAAGAACCATTACTCAAAACCGCAGACTGAATATCCAACCCACACGCCAAGGAGTCCCCTTCTCGGCGAACCCTTCATGGTGAACCCTATATTACTAAAATCCCATCCAAACTCACCGGTGTGGGCCCAACGTTGCAGTTGCGTTCATCACCTGCAGGACAAACGGGGGCGAGGAAGCAAGCGATCGCCCCCAGCCTCTGCCTACGCTCGTAACTGTGGCGGAGATGGGAATCAGCAATCTGATTATCTGATAAAATCAAGTATTATCACTATCAAGGAAAAGCATTCATGCCTTCACACCATCTGGAATCACGTAGTATAGCCGTGGACGGGTCATAGAACAGAAGCTCTGACCAGATCCTCCGAGTGTGACAGTCGGCGTCCGCACGCCGGTCCATACTTGCGTGGAAGTTCGTAGCCGAAGCTACCAGGAACAATTCGAATGTGTGGGGCAAGAAATGGCCGCGGGTCAGCACAGGACACGCACATGTGACGATGACTTGTTTTATGTCACTTGTCATTTTCATCTACAATCTGGCGCATAATCCACTGGTAATGGGCAGCCTAACATTCGGCGACCTGCAACGTGCAAGGGGACCTCAGCTACTCCGCACACCGTCGTTCTACATGCGTAGTAGCACAAACAAGTGGAAGATATCTAGTTGAAGGATGGATGTGCTCCCATGATGCAGCCATTTAGTCATCATTTCCATCGCAAGGTTCCTAAGTGTCAGGTCCATTTGACAGCAAGGCAAGTCCCGAGCCGCCGACGTCGCTTCAGGGATGTCCAGAGTCTAATGAACCCGAGACAGCGGACTGGGTCGGAGTCCGTGCCATGATTGGCTGAGAGCTGGCTTCAGCAACCCATGAAGCTGCAACCACTTCGGCCCCAACGATTGGTAACGCAGCCGCGGGCCCTGCTGTCTTGGCAGATTGGAATTAAGAAAGAACAAAACAGGCCGGAGTTAGGCCTTGGCTTGGAGGCCTTGGCTTGAAGGTCTTGGCTTGGAAAGAGACGGGAATTGACCTAATGGTTTTGTTCGTATGGTTTCCGAACGGTAGCTGGACGCGACGAGAGCCCTTACGTACCTAAGGGTTAGCATTTGAAGCAGCGGCGACAGCGCTTGCGCAGCTGGCACCGCATCTGTGCGAATCCCGTATCGCTGGTTGGTTGACAACGAATTATCATAAACGAGCGGCACCTGCTCCTAGGGTCGCTCGAAGTCTACGAAGGAAAGAAGGAAGACGAGTGCGAAACAAAGTAGTAGCCTGTGGCAACCGGTCATTCGGACCAGGGACGAATTTGATAGCACATAACGTCGCCGTGTACCTTGTCGCCACCCAAGCCACCCCCTACAACCCAAATTTCGAGATGGTTAGAGAGTAGACAAGATTGTCAATGTTACCAGCCGAAAGTAACGGCAGGAAATGGCAGATGCTGGGATGGCCCTGGACTGCACCGGTTGGATAACACAAAGAAGCTGCGAAAGCTTCTCGTCTTTGCTAACTACCCCACGTCGACTGCCATGAGCCGGCACTCGCTAGCCCAGCTTTGGATGGAACAGTGTCTGACTATACTTGGAAATTGACAGGTAAAGAAGTCTTGGCGAGGTTCATCTCCACCGTCAGTGTTCTCTTGTCTGCTGGTTGCGGCTATGCGCAAGACGTAGTTACAAACACTACTAGCATGCGCTAAACGAAATGGGAAGTCAGGCTTGCCTCTCACGGCAGTGAAACGTCATTTATCTCCAACAGACTGGTTCGAACTTGACCAAAGTGGCTCAGGTGGATTTGTTGTATACGTGTATATGCGAATAAAGCGAAATTGCTCCAAAAACTCAATTTGATGAACTAGCATTAGCTGGGTGGTAGTCCCAGGTTGTGTCAGCCCACCTTATGGACTCACATGATCAGATAAGGTTCGATCTAAGAAAGTCATCAAGCCTAAGGCTGCTTACTTCTACATAGTAATCGCTACGCGGCTCGGCCAGTTCGGGAGGGTTATCGCGGCAATTGGGTAGTACCAGTCTGGATTCGTCATCGTGAAACTATGCAAGCACAGCACAGAGTCGTGCATTAGCGGGAACCTGGGCGATATTAGAAACTCCGAGTCAAGTTGCCAAGCTGCCAAATTGCCAAGAGGCCAAGGTGCTTCCATTGACCATTGTATCCTAGACGTCGAAACAGAGTTGGGCAGTGGTTGATTCAAGACATTTGGCGGAGCTTCGAAATGCGCTATCGAAGGTGACCGCAACCCTGCTGGGGCGCTCACAATTCAATTGACGATAATCAGTGAATGCGACGCCAACATGTGAAGCTCTCTCGGTACGAATCTGCCGACAAATACTGTCATAGTTTTGTTGGAGAGACCGATTCCGCAGCATGCATGATCCGGCCTATGGTTCTGTCGACTTATCGGCGTCACCAGCAATACGAACCGTTATGGACGTAACAAATGCTTCGTGCAAAGTAAACAATAATCTAAAAAAAAACTATTGTTGAACAACCCTGGCCGCATCGCTGATCTAGGATAGTCCACGTGTCGACCGTTTGCTATTCTGTGGGTTGGCCAGGGAGGACTGGGAGGGGGCCGCCCATTCAATTCTGACGAGGTCCAGAAGGGTACCGATACTCCGCCGCTTGGTAACAGGCGACTTTCCAAATTGTCACGCACTGTCCCTGTCTCTTGTGTGCCCAGGTGTTTGCTGCACCACGGACGGGAGCAGATGGTCCTCCCATCTTGCAACACAAACCTTCTGATGCGGCCTTGTCTGCAACCGAGCTGGCCAGTGTTCATGTGAAATATGCAGTAATCCGTGCCGTCATGTACTTCCGTTGGGAAAGGGTCCGGTTCAGGCGCTTGAGTAGCCAGGAGAGTTCAATCCGCAATCCCACCCGGCCTGGGCCGTCTCGGTTGTCGCTATGAATTTGCTCCTGTCAGGCGGGGGCGGTCCTCATCCCGACGTGTTTCATTGTTCGAGAAGAGGCTTGCATCCACTGGAGATCAGCAGGATTCCGATCCTCCCCAGCGGTCGAAGTGGTCAAATTGCAAATGGAGACAGATGCCGTAATGGGGTCCATTTGGCGCTCTGGAAACCCGTTTCTATGGCGTGCTACCAACCGTATCCGTGAACTTACGTATACCAGCAGGGCAAGCATTATATGCCATGCCATTATGGCCCATTGCAACAAATGGATAAGCTACACGGTGAAGGCGATTCTCTCCACATGTGTACCATCAGCGATGCGGTTTTGAACCCCACCAAAGACGCTTTTACCATCGGAAAATAGTGTTCAAGTGTGTGTGTTGCATCTGGGAATAAACTCATTGGACCAGAGCAGCTGTCGCAAAGCTGAGGCAAAACCTAGAAGTAGCAGCCCAAAAGTTGGAACAGGTGCTGTGACAACGCAACAGATTGCCATCATGTAATTACGAGCATTTGCCAATCAAGCCAATAATCTATCCCCCTCGGATCTTTTCGACCTTTAGGGGGGTCTAGCCCAAAGCACCCGATGTCAAATAAGCCATTCCATTCCAGGCCATGCAGGTCAGGCTCGGCGTCAGGCAAGGGTCAAGGATAAGGAAGACGTATATCGTGGATGAGCACCGTCGGTAGGGCGCACTAGAAGAAAAATGCCCCGGCCTCAATGGAGTACATGGCCATGCATGCACAGTGTCCACCTCTAGTCCAAGGGTTCCTAGACAATACCTTCTTTAGGCAACCTGTCAATCCGTCAAGGGAGCGTTGACGACACTCAAGCTTAAATACACCTTCCCATCCCCGACTTCGCGCGCTGAGTTGCGAGGTGCACCATTCCTGGATTGTTCGGCAGAAACATATCTAAAGATATTACTACACATCAACCCTCTACCACCGCTTCTAAGACCGATTGTGTGCTCGACTTGGGTCAGACCGGGCCGCAGCTTCTAGGTTGCAGGAAACGACCCCGAACTTCTGACTTACATCTCATATCGGACCAACGAACCCTCGCCTCCACAGAGACAACTACTATTCACGATGTGCGACTATACAGAGGTACAACATCGACAACACCACCGCAAAATCACTTTTTGCCGACAAGAATCTCAAATGACTAACGGTCAATCTCATACAGCTCCAGTACGGGTGCGACCACTCGCGCTATCGTGTTCAGAGATGGTGTCCGCTATATGAAAAAACACACAAGCCATGCCGACCCAACGTTACCAAGAGGGAATACTGGTATGCATCCCGCCAAACACTCCCAAATATGCCTTTTGCATACTAACAAGTCATCACAGGGGTCATGAAGTATGCAGTAAGTGCCGCCAATGTCAACACCTCCGTTCCGTAGAAACGATTCTCAGGCAGCCCAGCCTCCCACCTCGCTCATTATCCGATAAAACCCCCCTACCACATACATTAAGAAACACGACAATGCCCCGGCGTCTCGATTATAGTCTCCAGATTCTTATTCACTTCAGTTTTATCTTGATTGCCAATTTACTGACACGCCCTCTAGCTGACTGCCGACCATCATCACCGCCACCTTGGGAACACATGATTCGGCGAAGTAATAGCAAGCGTGCTCCGTACGTCTAGAAGACACGGACCGATAATCGAATCCGCGATACTCGGTTGAGCTACTTTTTTTTCTTTTTCCTCATTGCGCCCAGTCGCCATGACTCAGGCCAGGGCCCACCCCGCCCAACTGTACCTCAAACCCGAGCTCGCCTTGCAACCTGAATACGGCAGTGGTTGAAAGAAACATCACATACCTTTCGTTCACCATACCGACCCGACTGTTTAACCAGAGAGCTCGGGGGGTTCAGCGGTGCATGCGGAAACCGACTCGGACGCGGACGTACACGGAGACACGGATGCCGATCAAAGTCAGAAAGACGGAGGAAAGACTGTAACGAGGTGCAAACCTTGATTTATGTGTTTCTTATCTGTCTTGGGTCGTGGGGAGAAGGAAATTATGGATTGGCGTTTCTTATGGGGGCGTGCTTGGTTGCTATTTTTACGCAAAACGGCGTTTCTGGATAGGGAATTGGCAACCTCCAAACTTGTACCAGATAATGCAAGGATATCTACGACGACGGCGTAGATTTGGGGCTGTCTCACAACAGCGTGGTGTACACAACGGCCTCATTACGCCTGGCTTTTTGCATTTTATCTCGGGCATAGGCACGGGGAGTCAGGGGTTGAATAGCGAGCAATTGCAACGAATTACAACTAAAAAAGGCTTAAGAGGCTTCTTTTCATTTCAAACACCTGAGCTACGATACCCACATTAAAAAAAAAGTAGAGCGATGGGTCTTCGAATAGATTACAAAAGTCGAGAAGTGGCCGGTGTCTGAGAAACTGGACCAGCTTGAAGGGAATATCCCTACTGCCGTTCGCTCTTTCATTTGTTCTACGCGCAGGAGAGCAAACAGTGCGACTTCTCTTCGCGGCACCGATGTGGGGCGTGGTCGGCATTGCCTGGCGGGCCCTACCGACCTAGCAAGCCATACCTTGGTTCGTAAAATGTCCGCCAAGTCTGGCGCTGATTCCCAATTACCGTCTCGTTCAAGTCTATCAATCAGTGCTGTCAATGTTGCCGAGCTCCTATGCAACCTGCCGGTCGATGCAGATGATTTGTCTTCGTTTCCCCTAGCTCATGTCGGGCCCCGACGAGGATGTATTGCTTCGTGGCCGTGTCCAGGTCGACCGAGTCTGATTGCCTTTGGCGTCATGATCCGATCAAGGAAGGCTGCCCGCATGTCAGGTACCTGCATTGTTCATTACTGACAAGTCGATTACAGTGTGGTGGTGATGGGCAGCAACACATAATACATACGTAGCTGGGTCCGGCACACTCGCTCTCATACGTTCTCTCACCCAATCTTGCGACTCGTAACAAATCACCTCTCACCACGATCTAGGAAAGCAAGATTTTCTCTAGGTTCTGATCAAGCCACGCCACCCGCGATAACTCAACGGGTTGTGCACCATCGCACCTGCTTCTAATTCGACGCCGCAGTGATACGAAAACTGCTGGTGATGCGGTAGAACTCCTAGTGGTTGTAACTGTGACACCTGGATTGAGCGTACGCATAACCACTGCAGTCATGGAGAATGGCTACCACTGAGAAGGTCACACACAACAACGCCCTGCTCGTCGACGTCTGGGCTCGCGAAACGAGATCAAGAGGGGGAAGCAAAGTCAATCCTCTGTACGTGTACTCGTGCCGCCCACTTCGCATTGCCTCGGTGTGTGGGTGACGGCCCGACGCTGAAGAAGAAAAGCATTGCCCTCGTTTTTGCAACCAGTCACCTCGTTACGACAGAATCCTTCCGCATGCGTCATCCTGTCTAACCGCTGTGTGTTTGTCTTCATCCCCGCCAACTTCAGGGGAGCTTGGCTTTGGTCGATCACTGGTCCTACGCATGCGCCACTCAATGCAATCACGAACATGACAAGTTGGAGAGGCGTAGCTTCCCCGTCCCAGTACTAGCAGTCGATCCTCTCTGCTTTCGGAATTAAGTCTATCTCAAGCTGAGAGCTAGGGAAACTAAGGTACATCCCGTTTTTCTCTGCCCGCGCCGCTGTCTGCGTGGGCCCCCGCTAAAACTGTGCCGCCAGGTTGCATTAGTTGCATCTACACCATGAAATAGATTGCTTGGTATTGCACTTTCCGCAGCGTTAGGATGCCTTGGAAAGCTGCGATAGTGATTTGCTCCTATCTCAGAACCTTTCACGTACCCACGACGTCGTGGCAAGTGCGAAGTGTTGCACCCACACATCTGCCCGTGCCCCGCAGCTATCTCCAGATACTTTGTATGTAACCTGTTTATCGCATCTGCATTTGAGGCCTTATCGGTCTGCTTTATCGGTGAGCTCCACCCATGCGTTCAGACGGTTGATCGAGTTTCGAGCTTCGCTTAATCTCAGGTGGCAGGCAGCATCATGATGCAAAACTCGCAGGCTCAGTCCATCAATTTATCTCACGGCTCGGGAGGCTCTCGCACCCGAAATAGCGCCGTCGAGGTCCGCTGGATTTTCAGTCCCAAGCGTGCTCCAGCACCGCAATTTATGAAGCCTGGTTGGAGTTGGGTTTGGTTACATTGCTTGCAACCGATGCAGGGCCCCTGGTTTTCTTTATGTCGCCCAAACTCAAGCAAGACCTGTACCAGGCTCGCGTGGGAGACGACGCCGGAGACAACTGTAGGCTAGACAGGACCTCGTCCGGGCCATCCTTCTAAGTTGAGACAGACCGGACGGAATGCTCGGCTGTTCCAATCATGCTCGCCAGTACGGCGCGTTAACGTTATACCACCGAATAGTTCCCATCTGTTTACAAGTTTCGGCAGGCTTCCGATAATCTTCCGCCATCGTCGGAGTGTGATGCTCTCCAGGATTCCCCTCACCCTCCGCACTGACGCCGAATTCTCAAAATTTTCTCCAGCTTGCAACCAGGATGGCAAATAGCCTAAAATACCGATGCCGTTGAATTTGCTGCGCCGAGCGGGACGTGGGATACCAATAGGGTCGCTAACCCCCGTCACGCAAAGACTTTGGGAAGCGTCGAACCGACGTGCTATTGGATCTCGACTGTCACCTACTATTTTGGGGCACATCGCAGCACTGTTTCACCGGCGGCGAGATGGCCCAGGTTGCGGACATTACCAACTGACCGGTTGGAAGACACGCGTGTACCCTTCGGCGTAGGTCTCGCAGTCTAACATCTCACATATGACCCGCTCTCACGTTGTCTGTTTTCCGTCGTACGAAAACCCATTCGAGCAACCTAGGTTGATGGGTTGTCACACCTTTCTCCATGATGTCCTCCACGACAGTTGACAACTGGAAGGGTCCGAAAGGAGCTCGAATATGCATAAACTTAACGCTCTAGAGACCGCGACGCCGGCAGAGCATGACCCTCGGTATGATGCAGCTAACCTCGTGTCTCCAAAGCCATCCATCTAAAGAGCTCATCTCGGTTATTCCAACTTATCGACATGATTCCGTGTCTTCACCACAGACATTGCGTAGCGGACAAGGGGGTTCATCCAACGTTCCAATGTTCTAGAATTTAATCCACAATGGTGCGTTTGGGAAATTCTAGCGCAATGTTTGCGATGCAACCTTGACTGCACGGCGGCCACAACCCCGCACATCCGCTCGGTGAGCTGGAAGCTATGAGCACACCGAGTTATATCGCAGCTCTTAAGCACCAACAAGATCTAGCCCCACGACACACGTTCCGGTGGGTAGACCGGATCCGCTGGCAACGCATGATGCTCGTCTCACCAACTGCGGCTACTGAATCTCCGTATTGTACGCTGAACTCGATTTGGCGTAGGATGTGTTTCTTCACCGCAAGCTGCGGCGGTCAAACCTCCGTATTGTACACAGTACTCGTTCTGGCGTACGTCGTGTTTTCTCACCGGAAGATGTACTAGTACCCGGTCTTCCCCCGGTTCTCGGCTGTATTCGGTGTAACCCACGGTAGCGACTGGCACCTCATCAACCACTGCGGACTAAGAGTGACACAAAATATCCGAGGTTCAAACCAGCCTGATATGAAATATTTTCCGCTTCAATAATGAGTCTCTCTTTTGCAATCCCGTGGCTTCGTTCATCAATCTCGTCGCGATTAGGCCCAATTGTCCCCGGGCTCAAATCAGGCACCAGAAGGTGGTATGACGGGAACATAGCCTATGGGATCACGATCGCTTCAGCATCGTCCCCACTCGATGCACATCTGTTCAAATTTCTCTAATGCATGTTCTCGATATCTTCTGGTGTTTGCCTTCACTGGAGCGCTGCAGCGGGCGTCGAGTACCCACAGGTTTGGTTCTACGCCAGCGTCCATGCCTGTCAGATGAAACGATACGCTGACCGCCTTGCGTCTGAAAAACTTCTGCTCAGCCGATATCCCGACTCGACCAATTTCGCCAAAGCAGCCGGCTATCCGTTCCGCGAGGAGGCAAATGAAGGATGAGCAGTTGGCGCTAGCATGGTAGATCGTACGTGCAGGCGCTCTATGTCGAACTCGGGAGCGATGCGGCGGTCGCGGTGTCACAATCAATTCATGCGCAAGGATCGACAAACAATAACAAACGCGCCCAACCAACAGCATCCGCAACGATTGCAACCCTATCATGCCGCATGAGAGCCCGCATCAGCTTTGCTCATGTGACCGCCCATTGGCCCACCCTTGCTTCGTAGGTTCGAGCATGTTACGTGGAGGTGGACGAGCTGGCGGTCAGTGTGCGGGTCGGCGATCAGACAACCTCGAAATGACACAGCCATGGCGCGCAGAACAGACCACTGCGGTGGTGCTCAGGCGGTGGTGCTCAGGAAAGAATGACGGACAACTCGCAGCCAGCCTCAGATACGGGTGACGTTGGAATAACGTTCGGCTTTGGGAGAGGGTGGGTTACATGATCAAAATACCAACCAGCAATATCCCTGTCTTGAAATTCTGGAGGTGCAACGATGTGTGTGGAGTCCAGGGAACCGGCGGCGATTCTGGACGACTCGAAGAAGGTCAAACATACAGCTGCAGCGCCCTCATCTACACATTTGATCGGCCCGTCAATTCGACACCTCAGGGAAATGAGGCCATTACGACGTGTTAGGAGCTTGCTTTGAAGGTTTATTGAGTCCAACAGTCTCACGAAATTCCCATACGAACCGGCACTCTGTAGGTAACGAGTCTAAACGACGTTGTGTGTGATTCCTCCTTAGCGACTCACCAGGGTTTGGGATTGGCGCTTATCAAATTGCCGAGCCCAGGAACGTGGTTCAGCCCTGTCGGCGGCGCCTGATTAGGCACTTGGATATTGCTTCTTCCTGCACGTCGCTCGGAACGGAAACCCCCACACAGCAACGGGTCGCTGCTCGTTACGAATGGAGGAGGCTACGTACAGCCTGACCGGGGGCGGAAAAGTGAGACGACAGCGAAGCTCGATGCACAATTCGACAAATCGCGCGACGGGTGGAAGCAAAGACGATGAATCGGGGGCCAGCAGTGGACCAGTTTTAGGCCTCAAGCCAAGCTCAAATCTAAATGGGAAGCGACAGGCTTTGGCCGCATACGCATCACTTCGCATATGGAAAGGCGGCATACACCCATATTTGGCTGTATCATCCCGATCGACATCCGAAAGCGAAAGAAATCATATGCGCATGCTCGGAAAGTCCGGAAAGTCCGATCAATTCTATTTAGGCTAGACGTATTGGTTGAGTAGCTAACACATCGAGCGACAATATATGATACTTACTCACCCAACGCACTCATACTGTGCCTACTTTGTCGTTGCTTCGAGCCCCCTACTCATACATCCTTAACGTTGGACGGGGCTCAGTCATCGTAACTGGCACATGCTGTTGCGTGTGCCACGCGCATCGTACTTATCTCTAAGCCTCAGCGGTGTATGAAGTACCTTCGAACTATCACAACGTCTTGTCCACCTTACTAGACACTACAACATCGCCAGCAACCAGTCTTCCGTCAGGGAGCATTCTCTCCGTGCGACGAACCTGCCAGAGGAGGAAGGGGTAAGAAAGGTCGCACAGGAGGGACAAACCGCACATGAAGACTCCCAGTGGGTGCAAAAAGTAACCGTGGGCTTCGGGCCAGTACCACCAAAGCAGAGCGTTGCAGAGACCCATGCCGGACACGGAGCCCACAAATCTGCAGAACCTGTCAGGTGTTTGTCAGCCTCGAAAATTTCAGATGAGTTGACTGGTGGAATCCATTGGGGATAACAACGTGGCTATATCCAGCTGTGCAGGGAGATAGATAGTGAAGGAGTTTGTCGACAAAACGGCCTCACAACCTTGGTGAGGATACGTTGCATTGGTTCAAGTGTGATAGCCCCACCGGCCCGATCCGCTGGGCCAAGGCTAGTCCTCAAGCGTGTTAGGGCAGGAGATGCAAAATCCTGGCCTGTCTCGCATTTTGTAAGGTTTGATTCGGCAGCATGCGTGATATTCGGTAATAAAACGTGACGGTAGCAAGATTTATTCCAGCCGGGTCCAGTGGATGTAGACTCGGACCGGGAGAAGATTCGGGAAGCCGGTGGTTTCCGAAAGCCCGCGGGACAGGCAGGATCCAGGCAACGCAGAAGACAAAGGAAACCCGTCTTACCAGATCACATAACCAGTACCCCCCGAGTGTCCTCGCACAAGCAGCATGGCCAAACTCCCAGCACTCAAAACCAGCTGCGACACGCCCGCAGACCAGTATGCCAGCTCCGTCGTGTCGTAGCCTTCCTCGCCATGAAACCACTTGCCCGTTTTATCCCCGACTCCCACGCCCGGCCTCGAAAGCCACCACGACGCGAAAGCGTAGTGTCCCCAACATCCCACCAGCAACATGAAGCCCAATATCCAGCCCATATGCCTCCCAACCACTTGCCTCCCTCCATCCCTCCATTCCAAGGGTGCGTATCGCACCGTCGTGTAGATGACGCCCAGATCAAGTAGAAGCCAGAACAGGAAGCCCGATTTTTCCAGCCAGGCTTCCGCCACGTAGAACCCGTAGATGATCTCCCAGCTCACGTTGATGGCCAGGCCCACGATGGGCATGCCGTAGGATTGCGTCGCGAGGCCCCGTCGCGTCATGAGGATGTACGTTAGGACCCAGAAGAGGACGCCGGTGCCGAGGAAGAGGGTTGAGAGGGGGATCAGCCATGGGGGAGCGTGCGGGGGTGGAATATCTGAGGAGCCCATTGTCGTTTTGGTCCGGTGCGGTGTGGTGCTGTGCTGTGGGGTGTTGATGCGACCTGTGAATTTGTCGATGGATGATTGATTGAATTGCCTATGCGATTGACATGTCGTTGACTCTCAAAGTTGCGCCATGTTGTACGAAGTACGTGTTGGATTTTAGACGTGTGCTAATCGGCTGAGGTGGGATGACTGGGTAACGTTCGGTTGTGCGCCACGGGATCCCGAGATCGTGGCGCTCAACACTAAACCAAGATTTTACTTGTGTGTTTTGACACGTGTAGGTGTTTGATCATTGCATGTATAAGCAATGTCTTATAGTCTTTTACTCAAGGAAGAGTGACAAGAATGGTGGAGGAACACTTCTTTCCTCTCCAGGATACACTTGAGCGACGCTTGATGGACATCTGATGCATGGCTGTGGGTGTAATCATTCAAACTTCATTTCGATTTTCGTTGCCGCCAGAAACGAACATCTTATGGTTTGTTTCATCGGTGAAGTCATATCTCACAATATGTTTACTGTTTGGCGAGGCTTATTATAAGAACTTATATTTTATGTCACGTAGCTGCAATTATATCCACTCTCTGATGCTCCTTTTTCAAGGCCCCTCTCTATCCCCAATCAACCTAGACCTGGCCCCCTCATATATCCAAATAACGTAGCAATTAAACCAGAACCCAGACACAAAGGTGCCTCCCATTCTCCCTTTACCATCATCACGCATCTCCTCCCTTTCTCCAGTCCAGCGAAGCAACACTGTGCCTGGGCGAGGACGCAGGCGTTGTCCCCTCTCCTCCCCCCAAAGCCGGCCCGCCGGCTTCGGAAGGCATACTAGAAGTGACGGGTGTTTCTATGCTTGAAGCGGAGTCTCCTTCGGTCCTTGCAGCTAATATTTGTTTTGCTATTTCCTGACATACTTTTGACGTCATCAGCTCAGCTTCGTGAAGTGTGCGCAGCGGCAAGGGGTTGCGGCAAGGGGATTAAGATGGTGAATACTAACGTCGGTGAATGCTACTCGCACCCAAAATCTTCAACACGGCCATATCTCGGCCCACCATTTTCCATATCCAATTCCGTACATCGACCGCAACAAGCGAGTCGACCCCCAGCTCGGACATGCTCTGGTGTCTATTGATTGCGTCCTTGGGTAACTGCAGCAGCACCTCCAGACGTTCAAGGAAAGGGCCCATGATCGTCTCAGCCATCGGCTCTGCATCATGCAGACCCGACAGGTCATCTTTCAGATTCCTCTGCGCCTTAATATCCTGTACCGAGTCATGCGAGTCAATGGCGACAGTGTAGTGACTGAACCTAGGATCTAAATGCCAATGCAAGGGATTCTCGCTGCCCCACTTGAATCTGCTCAACCCCGTCGTGATGTCGGCAGGCTGATTCGGGACGCCCGGCCTACCCGCCACGATGGCCTCGAGGAACATGTGGTGGAGATCCCGCTCCGAGATCGGTGGGTAGCCTTCCTGCTCGAGCCCGGCGTACAGCTCTTCCTTCTCGCGCTGCAGCAGACCGAGGCCATATATAACGCCGATGTTCAGGACCGAACCCGCTAGTCCGCATTTCCGCCGATTCAGCGCGAGGCCGTTCATGTACATATTGGCAGCTGCATAGTTGGACTGTCCCGGATGGCCCCCGATGGCGGCGAAGGACGAGGTCATGATGAAGAAATCCAGGCTTGTGTCAGTGAAAGCCATGTCCAGGTTCTTTGAGCCGACCATCTTGGGTCGAGTCACGCGGTTCCAGTTATCGATGGTCATCTGGGCGAAGACCCGGTCCTCTAGTACCATTGCGCCGTTAACTACTCCGACTACTGGAGGCATCGACGCGGAAATCCTTGCTTTGAATGCCAGCACATCGTCCATGTCGTTGACGTCCATTTTTTCGATCTTGATATTTGCTCCGTGGGATGACGCGAGTTCGTCCTTCCACTTGGGCGCCAGATTTGGATTTCTGCTGGCGAGGACGATGTTTCGCGCGCCGTGTTGAATGAACAGGCGGCAGAGACTATGACCGAAGTCACGAGTCAGCCCAACAATGGCGTACGTTTTGTTGCCCTGGAGAAGATTCTCTTCGATCAGTGGCTTCACCAGCTGGAATGCGTTGCGTTTGGCTCGCCAGTCAATGATGCTGAAGGGGGATGCAACACCAGTACCCGACAGCAGTTGGGGCAATGGCATCAGCCTAGAGTTGTCGGTGTCTTGCGACTTGATTGATAAGTTCTCTACCGCCTTCGATAACGCTGCACGCCAAACGGGCTCGATCCCTGAGAAGCCATCCCCACCAAAATTCGGACATTCAGAGCCGACGAGAGAGGCGCGGGTATGGTACTCGCAAGTTTGGGCAAGAATACTAGTAATCTTCTCTGCCAAATCAGTCCCTTCATGGAGAAAGCTGTAGACTACAGCACTGCCAGTTGGTAACATCACCTGTAGCTGCCTGCTCGAAGCATAAGGGTGGATTTGGAAACGTCGGTGTGAAGCCGTTTTCGAGGACCCCGTGGTGTATATGGTTACACCGCCACCGTCTTCAGATACCACTTCCTCAACACATTCTGCAAAGAGAGAATCTGGCGCAATCAAGGCAACGAGTTGTCCACAGGCCTGATTCCTGACAGCATAGGCTGCCAGATACCGTGCCAAGATATTAACCAAATGCACCATGCTGACCGAGGCGTCTCCCATACCATAAGCTTGTGATTCTGGGACCTCGATGTACGATGCGTTGCTGGGCGACAGCGCGATGGTGGCCTCCCCGGTTAACACATTGCATCCTGAGCAAACATATGCCGAGAACCCGGGGCTCAGTCGTATCTCATTGACTGAGCTGTAGCTGACTTGAAGTAAAACATGACCAGGATGTGGGTCTCTCTGGGGGATAACGCCTGACTTCTTTGCTTCATACCGGAACGCGCCGTCGACATTCTTGTGCGACACGACCTCGACAGTGCTTTCCAAAGTGTTGACCGGGTTCAATACTACACGCCGTACCGAATTGATTCGTTCGTTTGATGTGCGAAGCGGTAATAGGCGCGGAATCATCCGTCGTCCTTTCTCAATATGAACTTCCGGTTCTCTGGTCCACAATGCCCTCCTACTGTTAGGTTGGGGCTCAGTCAGGCGGAGGAACGTCTGGGCAATCGTACTCTCAGTATTTTCAAGCTGCTCCAAGTTCAAGACCTGAAGTGTCAAGTCAGGGACCTCGGCCGTGATGGTACGAGTGAAGCCAAACGTAGCCGCATGGTCAGGCCTCCCAGACCGTGCGTCGTGCGTGAGCCAGAGTATCGTCATCATCGGCCTGAAGAGGCTCTTGAACATCTCCAGTCGTTGCTCAGTCATAGTAGACATGACAGGTTCGTCAAGATCGGCCAACACAATGGCTGCCGTACAGGTGGCGAGGGTTCTCGAATCGACGCTCTCGAAGCATTCCTTGATTGAGATCGATCCGCACTGCCGTGATAAATGTTGTTGCAGTCCTTGACATAAGCGCCGGGTGTTCTCTCCCAGGCCACCAATTATCAAGAGGCGGTCAGTTATAAGACTTTGTGTCGTCTCGTTGGATTGGATAAGCAGCTGCATCCGTGGGACGCTTGCTTGGCGCACACTGATAGAAACCCCTGAAGCATAGAACTGGTCTGAGTTCCTAGCTACCCGTCTGAAACCACACATGTCCAGGACGTCGGGCCATTCTGGCGGAGTGGCTAGCTCGAAGCCATTGAACTGAATCCCGGTAAGGCGCCGCAATCGATCTTTCAGTGGAGTCCGGGAGTCGTGGATGAGAATCAGAAAGCCGCCGTCGCTCATGGCAGCGCGAACATGCTTCAAAGCTTCGGCCGCATTGCCCGTCTCCAGGAGCGATGTTGAAAGGATGACAAGATCATGCAGTATCTCAGTTGTTGAATCATCACCGGTTTCGCCCTTCATATTGAACGGGGTCATATAGACCTTCTCTCGGATCGAATGCATTTCGGACAGAGTCTGGTCATAATGGTGTTCGGCCTCGGAACCTACCGTGTAGGACAGGAATGATCCATTCAAATTTGACAGAATGTGCCTGGTGAGTCCAAGCTCTGGTTCGACGAGGCTGAGGATATTCATTCTTGGATATCGATGAGCAATCTGCCTTACAATCCTTGCGGTATGTTGATTGGACTGAAATTGATGATGGGCATCTTCGACCACGAGAGGCACCACGCTTGGCAAAATGTCAGGCAAGACACTGCCCAGAGTTGTAATCAGGACCAATGACGTGTGATGAGGAGAGCTGGCAATGAAGTGGTCGATCGTGTCCCTCGTATCTGTCAGCCAGCTCTCTGGCGTGGTCTTTGGCTTCATTCTCTGGCTCCAGCTTCTTGCGAGGCGTCCAAGTGGACTCAACTTGGTATTGTTTCGAGAGAAGAAAGCCGCGACCCTTTCGCAGCTTTCAACAAGGCAAGGATCGACATCGGAAATGGTGTCAATGGAACCTTGGACAATTTCATCAGTGGGATCCACGTCCATGACGGTGTGGAGATACAGCTCGTAGTCATCTTCGGGCCGGGTGTTTGCAAAAGAGGAAACTGCAAGTCCTTCGACCTGGATGGTGGTTTCTCCCAGTTCATTGCAAATCGCAACATCAGTAACAATGATGGCTTTGGAATCGGGAGTTGTCGCTTGTACGTTTGTCAAGTGCGTATCGACCGTCAGAGTCTCATCGTTGGACATGGACGATCTCCCATCGCAAGTGGCGAGGTTAAATCGAATGCATTCGATGTGAGTGGGAAGGAATGAAGTCCATAGAGACCTTTGTTGTTAGATTATGAGGAACACAGGGAATCGAAATGTAAGCGCTCACCTATCACCGGGAGAAGAATAGGACAAGAAAGCCGATTGTAAACAACTATCCAGAGTTGCCGGGCTGATTGAGAGCGTCGTCGTGTCTTCGGGATGCCACCACCTCAATCTAGCTGAGGAGTAATTAAAGCGACGCTCAATTGACTGCAAAGACCTGAAGGGCCCAGAATAGACCAGTCCAGTCGCATCCATCATTCGGTAGAAAGCCTCAGGACTTGCTGGCAGTGTTTCTGAACAACAAGGCTGTCGTGGTGGCAGCGCATCGCCACTGGGGCTGCCCAAACGGATGAACAGGCTGCCTTCCATGTTCTTCTTCATGGTCGTGGTTCCATCGGCTGGGCAGGATGTCAGTGTGAAACGGGCCTCAATCACATCCGGTGATTTGCGTTCCTTAGGATTCGAGACAACGCTTAGCGAGAACAGTACCTCCACCCCTGGCGAGTCGGACTCGACGCTGATTCCATTGATGATGTGCAAATTTCGAATCTCGATAAGCGATGCGGGTCTGCGCTGCAAAATTGCGCGAGCTGCATCCATAGCCATGATGCAATAGGCTGACGCAGGCACGAGAGCCTGACCCTGGAAGCTGTGATGTTCCAGCCATGGTATCTTGTCGGTTCTGAGGATATTTCGCCACCGAAGCTCATAGTCATTGTCGTCCCGTGTCCGAACACCCAGAAGTTCATGCGGCGCTTCCGTCTTGAAATGATATTGACGAGAAATACGAGACTCCCTGTAGTGGATCTGCGAGTGGTCCCAGGGATATGTGGGCATGTCTTTTAAGCGACAATCCAAAAGCGCTGGATCATGAGACTGTTCGATGTAGTGACACAGTTTGACGGCTGAAGGGCCTAGGTGAGACCAAAGAAACCCCAAAAGGTCTGAGAACGCCAAGGTGTCATCCTTAGACCGGTCCAAAGTACCTGAGTAAGGAACTGTTGTCCCCAGACTTGATTTGATCGTTTGTGCGAAAGGTCCCTTGAGTGCCGGATGTGGTCCAATCTCGACTGCGCAGTCGAAGGGCCCATATTCCGAGACGGCTTCCTCGATCGCGTCGCAAAATTGGACCGTGTATACCATGTTGTCTTTCCAGTATCCGGCGGCGAGATCCTCCACTCCCATTCTAGAGAAACGGCGAACACTCGATACCCACTTTGTGCCATTGCCCTCGGCCAGGGGCGAGATGTTGCATCGCCGCAACGCCCTCACATATTCGGTGGCAGCTCGCGTCATGTGAGGTGAATGATACGCCGTGTCAACAAGCAGCAACCTTGCAAACTTGTTCTGCTCAGCCAACTGGTCTCGCGCCAAGTGTATCATTTCCAGATCTCCCGACAGCGTGACACTTGACGGTGCGTTACTTGCCGCAATGCAAATTCTACCGTCAAATGTTGGATCGCGACAGAATCTCAAAGCTTCACTTTCTGACAGTCCTGCTGCCAACATACCGCCTTGCTGGCCTTCACTTCCTCCCGCCAGATGAGCACCTAGGCCTCGATAATAGGAGATTAAGATCGCATCTCGGGCAGTTAGTCTACCTGCAGTATATGCAGCGGCGATTTCTCCAGAAGAATGGCCAATGACTGTGTGAAATTCAATACCAAGGCTTCTCAAGACATCGACAATTCCGATCTGCAGGGCGGTGCACAAAGGCTGAGAAATGGCGGCTTCATGCACCCGGGAGACATCATGGCCGGCCAGTATTTGCTCTTCCAAGCCCCAAGAGGACGGATCGGGGCAGGTTTGGAGAACTTGATCTAGGTTGCGGATTGTCTGCCGGTAGACCTTGTTCGATAGCAACAGCGACCGCGACATAGTCGCCCATTGCGCCCCCTGACCGGTGAAGACGCCGAGAATCCGTTGCTTCTCGTCGACGGACTTTGACCGGACGCCAACGTCGTTTGGATAAGCTGACTTCTCAAGAAGAGACTCCAAGAGCTTGAGGCCATGCGATCTAGAATTCGCTGAGAGAGCAGCTCGATGGGGCAGGGCTGTTCTCCGCGAGAACAAGTTCCAGCTCAGCTCACCGATCGAGACATGAGGATGGGTGTGCAGGTAGTCTCTGAAGGATGCCACGACAGCTCTGAGCGACCTTTCCGAGGTTGCTGAGAAGCAGAGAGGTAAGCAAAACTGCGGTGTACCAGCTGCAATCTGAGTCTCGTGCAAATGGCAGCGAGAAACCGACGTTGTCGAGTTGTCAGAAAAGTGACGACCAACGTTATCATGAATGCGAGGGATGTACGACTCGATAATGCAATGAGCGTTAGTGCCCCCAAATCCAAACGAATTGACGCTGGCCCTTCTGGGCTGATCCACGGGTGTATCGGGCCATGATGTTAGTACTGTGGGAATTTCGAAATGCGTGTAGAAAGGTTTGACGCCGGGGTTTAGTTGGTTGAGATGCAGATTGGGAGGAACATATCTGTGCTTCATGGCTTGCAAGACCTTAAGCACCCCTGCTAGTCCAGCTGCGCCTTCGGTATGCCCAATCACCGTCTTGACCGATCCCACCAGCATCTTCCTAGCTGCGTCGTTCCCATTACCTGTATCTTCAACTGCAGTCTTCTGGGGGGATCCGTTGTCGATAGACCCAAAAAATGCTTCATGTATCGCTGCCGCCTCTGTAGGGTCTCCAGCTTGTGTACCCGTACCGTGCGCCTCGAAATACTGGCATCGGTCGTCGTAGCTTCGCGGATCCAGTCCCGTCTTCCGGTACGTTTTTCTGATGAGCGCTGCTTGGGCTTTCGGATTGGGCATGGTGATGCCCTTTGTTCTCCCGTCCGAGTTGATCCCTGTTTCACGTACGATCCCTTCGATCTCATCGCCATCTGCCAACGCCTTGGACAGGGGTTTGAGGAACAGCGCCGCCACTCCTTCACCACGCGCATACCCGTCCGCGTCGACGTCGCAGAATCGACTCTTACCTGTTGGGCTTAGCATGTGTAGGTTGGACTCGACGATGAATTGCTCGGGCGTGATCATCAAGTTGACGCCAGTGACGCAGGCCATGGTACTTTCCCCTGACCGTAGGCTCAGCACGGCCTGGTGGAGCGTCACAAGTGATGAGCTGCAGGCCGTATCAATCGTCATGGATGGGCCGCGGAAATTGAAAAAGTAGGATATGCGGTTCGCGATGATGGACCGCGCGTTTCCTGTTGCATAGTACTGGCTGGCTGATAGTTCATCGCGTTGGGAAAGCGTGTCATAGTCTGCCGTCATCACGCCCGCAAATACGGCTACATCCTGTCCCGAACATTGTGGCAGTGTGTAGCCCGCCGATTCCATGGCTTCGTATACGACCTCGAGGAGGAGTCGCTGCTGAGGATCAATAGCCTCAGCTTCCTTCGGGGTGATGTTGAAAAAGGTGGCGTCGAAAACTCGATGGTCCTGCTTGAGCCAATACGCCTTGATCGAGTTCGTGGTGCCATGGTATTCACCATCTGGGTGGTAGAAGGCTTTGGCATTGAACCGATTACTCGGTACCTCTCGTGAGAGATCAGCCGGATTGACCAATACATCCCATAGTTTGGATGGCGAAGTGGCGCCTCCCGCAAACCGGCAACCGCTGCCCACGATGGCGATCGGCTCTAACGTGGGTTGAGCATACATTCTGTAATATGAAGATACAATATAATTTGGCCACTGGCATTTATAAAATGTGCCACGAGTCAAGCCCGTGAAGCACAAGAGGCGTCGTGCCGTGAAGACGACAGGTTGGTCGTGGTCAGAAGGATTCGGAAAGAGCTTCGAAGCGGCCACAAAGGGAACTCCTGGATATTGAGACCTCTGTGTGACGGATCGAAGGACATAAATAGGCCGATATTCTGGGATTCTACTTCAATTTTGCCCGGACAAGGATTTTCCACGGCAGCCCCTGATTTGTTGTCCAACGCCGAAGCTGAAAACTACATATTCTTGTCTCAGAATTACTCCTCGGTATTCCGAATATTAAATCTATATTTGATTTGCAGCCTTATCACCGAATGCCGGGTAGGCTTGGCCTCACATGATGTATAACTTGTCTCTTCCTCCTTTTTGCCCCCTCCGTTCGTTGCAGCTTGATGCGGCCGTGTCTCGATATCGTTCCTGATGCATTTTTGAGCAAAGTATGAACAGACCTGCAAATCATTTTGTGAGCAAACGAAATCAAGACTACATTTCGGCATTGTCGTTTAGTTTATTTACACCACTTGTATAGAAGGTACCAGTTTTGACGTTAGGCTTCATGGTGTAGGGCTTCTAGTAGCCGGGTGTCTATACATGTCTCTCTCCTGCTTACAAATTTGAACAGATTGACAACTATCTCAGCGCCAGGCTCCAATTTCTCATCTTCCCGATGTTCCCTTGATTGCTGGGAACCATGGAAAACACGGGCTACCGAGTTGCTCAATCGTCCCAAACATTGTTTTGCCATTTTGATTATCAAGGATAACCGCAGTTCCGGCGAGAATTCAATTTCCATGGAACCCACAATCACTTGGGGAAGCCGCCATAATCTTGATGCCTCTAGTGAGAGTTGATCCCGAGCCCCAGATTCGGTAAGTGGAGAGAACACAATTTCGTAAACATCCAGAATTCGGAGGTACACTGATAAAAGCAACAACCAGCCTGCCACGTCAGGATTGTCCACGTTCCTTGAGGTTTGTCTCATTTCTACCTTTGACTTATAAAGCGTGTCCAGAATCCGAAGGAAATCGTTTGAGAGTTGAAACAGCTCCTCAACCGAAAGCTCCTGCAGGTCCGAAAAACGGTTTAAAAAGCGCGAGGATTGGGTGAAGCCAGCAGTGCTACCGTAATTTGACGTGGCTCGGTGGACAAAATCGAACATTCTGCATATCTTGGCGTTGATATGGTGGACCGATTGCTCCCAAGGAATGCAATTCTGTGTTTCTGTGATAGAAATGCCGTTCGTGGCAATTAAATCATCGTCTGCGTTGAGAAGCTGGTCACTGGAGGGAGTCGGTTCCACGAAAATGCCAACGTCACTTTGTGGTGGCGTGGGCATCGGGCTATTGGCTGTGGTTGTAGAATCTAGCGGCCAAGAACTCATCGAGTCGAAAGTCCACTTTTCGGTTCTGGTTTCTTCGGCCAGGAATTCTTCGAATGCTGGATTCACACCAAGCTGAGTATCGCATGCCGGTGCTATAGGGTTGCAGAAGCCTTCAAGCTCTAATGCATTGCCAAACTCAAACTCAGCTCCATAATCGATAGACGATACCGCGCCATATTGGTCAATTTTTTCCTGCGTAATTGGACGTGTGGCTGAATCATTGGGTACCAAGTCTATTAGATGTGTGTCAGTGCTGTTACTTGTCGAAAGGTCCATGATTGCTTGGCTGAGACTCACTGGTGGTCGGTTGGATTGATATAGGACGCAAACTCAAACGAGGTTTCTTGGTGTCCAATGTACCACTTGTGTCTTGATGACCACGACGGCGTTTCCCATAACGTAGTGAAGGACTGGACGTGCAAGGCCTAGAAGCCCTCTTGCATCGTTCGCAATCGGCATCCCCAGTGCGTTTGCAGATGAGTTTCTGCACGTGGCACATGTCACAGGACTTGCGGTACTGAATACCCGTCATCTTGGGGTAAAGTCCGACGACGTGCCACGATATTACCAAGAATGGAAGATTGTGGCAGACTCGACAAGGCGACCTGGGAGCACTGGACTCCTATAAGTCACACCAGCAGTGGTGCTCAGCCGGCATGCTGCATAAGCAGCCGCACTATTCAACAGATCATGTAGAGCCCACAGGCCTTCTTGGGGGTAAGACGCCAAGAATGATTAGAAAGATTTGACAACGCTAGTGCAATCGGTTGCATTGGCCTCTCAGGTCTTAGTGTGTGCCACAGTGGGGTGAAGCTTTTGACGTATAATGGGCGGACGGCTCGAGCCAGCAGCATGGATGAGTTAGAGCTCTTGAACTACCTAACCTGCAGGATCGGTTGCATCAGGCAAGACATTCAAATGCTATGTGGCGCTACACAGCATACGATAATGCAATTAAACGTCCGTTGGTATATTTTTGGGGCGGCCCCTTTGTAGCAAGTTTACTCAAGTTGCAGGATCGACGCTGTGCAGCTCTATGTGGATTCTGCCAAGATCGAATATCCGACTTATTCCACGTCACTTCAGAGCATGGGCCCGGAGCTTAGAGTTGGTATTTCTTTTGTGAGCTGTGTCCCCTGGTTATCAGAACCAGATGAGGGCCACATTAAGTTATCGTAGGTGAAGAGTCCATAGTAGGAAGAAATATCCAGGTAGGTATAACATTCCGAGGCATGGCTTGGTTAGAGCGCTCTTCCCACATCGAATTCCGCGTGCGGGCGCTATTACTAGAAAGGTGCCACATGCCTAGCCCGAGAAGACTGTGTCGGAGGCAAGGCTAACACCCTCGGAGACTTCATGTTTGGGTCTGACTACCACGTAGCTGGCCGCTCCAGTGTTCCACCAGATCTCTCAGCTTCCCGGAGAGGTAGCTTAACTTAGTGCTACTGCAATGTCTCCAGAGGGTGGTTCCATCCACATTGCGCGATATATGAATTTGCTAGCAGATCGACGCCCAACACTAGGTTACGGAATATTTGGCCTGGTGGTGTCCAACATGTTAATCTCCTGCAAACAACTATCTTTGGGATAGAGCCAGAGGGAACGCAGGGCGTTCGTCATCGGTTGTACGGCTCCAGGACAAATACAAGGTGCGCGTAGTACATGAGCTTGTCTTGACTCAAGTCATTATTGCCAATTGAGACCCGAGGCAACCAATAGCGGGATGAGCTTAATGTAGCGTCAATCAATATAAATGGCTCCTGTTCTCCCTGTCTTGGCCTGCTATTCTCGCATTGCCTGGCTCTGACGAATGTTCGTGTCGTCAAAAGGAAGGAATAGGACTAAGCTGTATGTGGTGAGTGCTGAGAGCTGAATGTAAAGCACCTATCCAGATGTCACTACTTCGTAGTCGATATACCAGCTGCAATGTAAGCTGATAGTGCTGAGATGCACGTGCGACAACGGCGTTAAGCCGTTATATGCATCATGCAAATGCGGGCTGACAGGATGGCTGATAGAACATGGACTGTATGCCATACAAGAGAGACAGAAGAAGTTAATAGTGTGCCATTCACAGATTCGGGCTTGGAGGAGAACAAGCTGAAATCGAGATTTGGCCGAGACTAGCAACCGATAAATGCCACCCCCGAGCGTTAGATGGATTACGCGATGTGCCAGTAGCCTCGATGTCACTTTATACTCAGTCCATGTCATTGATGATAACATCAAAGCGGTCCTGGTCTCCAAAGCTACGGAAGCCACTGCCGTGCACTAACGTGGAGGCCGCGGCCGCGGTTATTCGTGACGGCAGCTTAGGGGTATGGAGACGTCGGATATCTCCTAATGCCTCGCGATCTAGAGGATGCCATGCCGCTAATACAAAATTTAAATCGCTGGCTTGCTACATATCTGCCCAGCGATCAACGTGCACCAAGCGATGACGGAGTAGACGGCCGGGTTCCAGGCGTATGCAAGGAGATTTTGACAAGCGGTCGAGATGGTGTGGTGATATAATATTCGACCCAAAAAGTAACATGATAAGCGCTCACGGCGGTAGGTTACATACAGAACAGTGCATACTATTTGGAAGTGTAACAGTTGCATTGCAGTAGTGTTCGAAAATTCGTAGTGTTAGTCGTCAGTATTTCGCTAAAACAGGCTATTGTATGGTATATAAGCATATTATATATCTAGAGTTAAGGATATTCCATAAAAGGGTAGGTAGGGCTCTTGAGGTCGGCTGTCTCGGGGTGAGCTTCGACGGACGCATGCCTATTCAAAGACTAGGGCTGAACATGACTCTTGACCGGGGACAGGGGACGAACCTAGGTTAGATACTTGATCGAACATTCCTGCCTGTGCTGATTTACCGTCCAGGGGCGGACCACCTGTCCCGACGTCCGTGCCTCTTACCCCAGCCAGCCATGAGCACACCATTGCCCCGTCCACATGTCATCAATGAGGCTCGTGATAGCGTTCGAACACTTCTTCATGCCGCGCCGTTGGTATGACGGAGGCCAAACGCCTCGACCATCCACTGGGACGGTCTCGAAACCAACTAACCAAGCCTTCGAGTGCTCCTTGCTTTCATCTTGCAGTCGGCAATCGGGACAAGGTTCATGCCAGTCTGTGTGCAAATGGCATACGGACGTAGTGAGATGGCGGCTAGTGATGATCTCGAAGCCCTTCTTTCGACTTTCGGAATACTTCCTTTCCACGAATAATGTGAGTCGTCGGACCATGTATCTGATTCGCCCTTGTCCGAAACTCTAATCTCGGCCACTCTACCTGATTTCTTTCTGTTCTCACATCCAGGAATCCTCTATGCGCTGACCAGCCCACCAACCTCCAACGGCGGCACGCAAGCCACACCACCTGCCAATATTTCATCCGACTGTTACAAAGCTGTAGGAATTACATCGAGGGAACTTGGACTTGTTCCTGGAGGGTCTATGTCTGTACCTAAAGCCCGACCGCCAGTCCACACAGACCGCTATGCATCTCATCACGCGGACCATCCGGCAATATGTAAGTATGCACTGAGATGTACCCATGGGCACGCACGCTCTCCAACCCGGTGTGCGACGTGACAGAAATTCCGCGTCAAGAATTACCGACCAGCTGGTCGAACCTTGTGGAACCTACTTGCTACCTCGAGGCCTACCTCCGATCACACTCAAATTCATCGGACGGGTATTGCCGGTGCTGGGTGTGCGTGGAACCATTCCCAGTGACGTGGTCTCGGGACCTTTTTCCAGATTTTGCATGGCGCTGGCTTCCTTGTTGCGATCCCACTTTGCATGCGGGACGGACCAATATCAGATCAAACAGACCTATATGCTTCCAGGCCATGGCCAGCGCGGCCAGCGCATCATTCTAGACTCAATTCAATGACAAAAAAGCCACGGTCATGGCGCCCAGTCTAGGCTGCTGGAAAGGCGGGAAACAGGGCATTCCGAGATTTGATGGTGGGGTTGAGTAGCTGGGTGGGATGCAGGTGGCCATCAGCTTGATTGGATGACAAGCTTGCAGTGTGAAAACTTCAAAGGATCTATGATACATGGCTGGGCCCTCAAATCAATTCCGGGACGACGTGTGTGATGTGTTTTGTATTGTCCCTCATCAGTAAGCCCCGTTTGCGATGTGCGGCACAAACACGAAAGGGTCATTTTCGACGTACTGCCCACTCCGTGAACGAAGCAGTCCACGACATGGACACCGACAGCATGTGTGTCGGGTTGGAGAGGAGAAATAATCTTCGAAGGTCTCAACAATTCTTCCGACCCACTCGAAATCCCGATCTGTCCTGGCAGCCTTGTGCGCCGATCAATAATCACCGCCCGTGCCGAATATCTCCATGTGTATTCGGCTGTCATTCACCCCGGCCTTATGCAGCCATTCTCTCACATTCTTCATGAACTCCTCAGGCCCACAAATGTAATACTCGGCAGTCTGGTCGTCGAGATACAGGCCCGTCTTTCGGTCCATCTTTGCCAAGTCCACACGTCCAGTAAAGTTGAAGTCCACCCCTGAAATATCCGTCTCCCGCACACTGGTCTTGAAGATGGTAGAGGTGACACTCGGGTTCTTCTCGCACGTGCTATGTATCTGTTCGCCGAAAGCCTGCACCTCGGTGCTGTGCGTGCCATGGACCCACGAAACCGGTCTGGTGGACTTGGCTTCCAGGGTGCTGTCCAGAATCGACATCATTGGTGTTGCACCAACACCAGCTGAGATGAGGATGACCGGCGCCGTGGTAGCGGCCGCCTCTGTGTCGACGAAGAAGTCTCCAGTAGGGTGGGTGAGCTCAATTACGTCTCCTTCATCATACTCCTCGTGCAGCATATTCGAGATCAAGCCCGGCAAGCCTGTCTGCTTTCCCGAATCCTTCTTCACGCTAATGCGGTAGTAATCACTCCTCGGTGACTCACTGAGCGAGTACTGCCGGGGCTGCATCGAGTCCAACTCGGGGACGAATAGATGCAAACTGACGTACTGGCCTGGCTTGAATAGAGGGAGGGGCTGCCCATCCTCGGGCACCAGGTAGAAGCTTGTGATCTCAGAAGACTCGGGAACCTTCTTCTGAATCTTAAATTTTCTCCAACCCTGCCAGTTCTCAAACCCGGCGTAGAGGACTTTTTCACGGTTGATGAACACATCTGCGAGTGCAGCATACGCAGCCGTCCAAGCGTCCCCGATCTCTGGAGTCATGGCATCTCCCAGAACCGTGGCGACGGCCGCCAGGAGGTGCTTACCCACGATGGGGTAGTGATCCGGCTCGACTGTGAGACTAACATGTTTGTGGGCGATGCGCTCGACGGTGGGCGAGAGCTTGCCCAGGTCGTCGACATAGCTGGCATAGGCGAAGACAGCAGAGGCGAGTGCTCGGGGCTGGTCTCCGGTATCTTGGCTTGTCTTGTTGAAAATGTTATTGAGCTCAGGGTGAGCCTTGAGCATGTTGTTGTAGAAGAGGGTGGTGATGGTGACGCCATGCTCCTTGAGGACCGGGGCCGTAGACTTGATAACGGCTATTTGGGCCGGGGTCAGGGGTGCGGAGACTTTTTGCTCTACCGCGGGCTTCTCTCCCAGGGGAACCGCAGAGAATGTGGGTGCCGATTGTGCGAGCATCGTGGGTGATGCGGTTGTGGCCTGGTGTGGCGTGGGTAGATGTCACTCTCGGTCAACAGGGTCTGTTTGGTTTGCAGTAGAGTTTATGTGACAATACCTGACGATTTGCCCAAGGCGTCTCTAATGTGGTCGCTTCATCCATCATTATAAGTAGTTGGCAGTCTGCCAGAATGCTCCTCGGAGAAACCACGACGAAGCATGTTAGTTCGGCAGTGCTCCCCGAACAGCGGAGCAGCTCCGACTAGGCGACGGTCGAATGGCGTTTCGCCTCTTAGTCAACATGAATCCACTTGGTCAGCGATTTCCAGTTATGCGCATTTCCAAATGCTCACTTGGGTGGCAAAAATATTACAAAATAGTTTTTGACAATTCGTCCAGCTGAAAGAGACCAAGAACGCCTTGATGTCGTTGTGCATTCTACAGCAATGACAGAATAGAACTGCCTGTACGAGATCCTCGCACACACACTGTGCCCACGGAATATGCCACATAGGATGACCATGTGCTGTCCCAGCGTAACACACAGTGACAGGGATGTCCTGTTCCCTGACGAGTGTAATGAGGAAATAAAAATATCGCGACATCAAGCCGCTCATCAGCTAACCTGTACTCTCTTCCACAAACTATGAACCCATTTACATGGTCATAAATGCCCATAAGAGCACGTTGACCAATACACATAAAACTTTTATTTCCCATGGATATACAAACACCGTAATAATGTTACCATGTTCTCATCTAGGGATAGTTCAACCACACTCAACCCCGCAATTGGGGCTTGGGCACATTTTCATCCCACATCAACCCCAAGCTACCCAAGTGGTCCATTGCATCAGAAGCAAAATCACCCGAGACGACTTTGCAAATGAATTGCTGGTTGTTTCTAGTTGGTTGAGCCATGCTGGATAAGTCTTCACCAGAAATATCAGTCAGGCAGTTGAGATAAGCGTGGCGGCCTCCAGTACTCGCTCCTGTCCATAATCGTGGACCCGTTAGGCAACTTGGATGAATGTGGTTTTCCGTGTCGCCAATTGACCACATGGCTATGACGCTCACTTCACCTGCTGGTATGGGCCGCACAGCAGCCATTCCGACCAGTCCAAGGTGTCCATGAGAGTTTCAATGACTGCTTTCGCGTTCTGGAGCGATGAACGCCCCGGCTCCTCGGTTTCGACGATCATCCTGCGAAGTTGGAAAAGAGAGGCGCAGATCTGGGATTTTGTGGACTCAATAGCTGTGTATATGAGCTCGTGTTTGCATTTTTTGGGCTTGACGCACTGAAAATAGCAAGTGGTGCATCGGGAGGAGTCGATGAAGATATTCAGGAGGTCTCCGACATAAGGCTGCATATTCTCAACAGAATCGACTTTTTCATACATCACTGGAGGATTTTCTGCGTAGCGAGTGACGACCATTTCCGTTACTACCTGCCAGTTGATTGTAGCAATTGGGGACAGCAGTGCATCCCCTGGCTAAGACGGACCCTACATGCCCCCCTACTCACCTCAAGCTACGCCTCAATGGTGTTGGACGACCTAGGAACCTCAAAACATCCGCCTTTGAGTTCTTCAAATTCGACGGATAGACAAAGCAGACACCGTAGCTGAACAATCTACGCTCACCCTCCCCCCACCAATCCCCTGATACCGCAAAGCCGCGGCCCGAACCCACTTCAATCTCCTTACCGCCGGGTCGTGCATCTCCGCCACATTGTCTCGGGCAGGTTGCTGGAACGCCGAGACCAGCTTCAGTCCGCGCCCATCGGCAAAATCACAGTAAATCACCTCGAACCCAGGCTCCATGCGCACGTAGCCGTCCACTCCCCACTGTCTCGCGAGCGCGCATAAACCCTCAGCTCGCTGCGTTTCGTCGTACGCGCCCCGGGTCCGGTGGGGTGCCAGAACGATGTCTTGGGTGTCTATTGTGCTCCGATTGCTTTCCGCGCCTTCATGCCGTATATGTAGGGGCCGCGTTGCAAGGTGGGTATGCAGATACCCTGGCATCGGTGCCCGATCAGTGGTGCTCTGGTAGCTTGCGGTGTGCGGTGTTCAGCGGGACTTTCGCCGGCATTAACTTGAGAACGAGATGATGCGGCGAGCCGCTGCTATCTCCCTTCATCATCATCATCATCGTTGTTGTCAGCAGTCAGGGGAAATAACGTGGGTGGTACGGCAGGTCTGCTGCGGGCGAATGTCTCCGCGTGCTCGATCTCGAACGCGAGCCAAAGGACTTAGGAATGTCCTGAGAGTGTTTGTCGTGGTACAGGAGTGTGCCCCCCGCGATGGTAGCGGGGAATATGGATAGCCCGATGTGATCGAGTGAGGATCCCCATTGTCGCATCGCGTGTGGACGGCTCTGAAGACCTCGGGGTCGTGGTGTTGGGTTGAGTCTAAGCTAGGGGTGGTGCGTGCTGGTGGGTGAGGCGACGGGTAGATCGCTGCGAGTACCGGAGTTTAGGCCCAGCCCATCATGATGTCTCCATGTGATAGCCTCCTTATTGTGTCTGGAAATGGACGAATTTTGAGATGGGGAATCATTGTTTTGATATGAGTTGGGATTGCTGGCAGGCTCGGCGCCCTTGCCTGGTTCAAATTGCTCCGACAGTGCACTACCGATTTATTGGTAAGTCCAAATCTTTTTTAGATTCCACAACATTCTATACGAATACCACAGATGTCGTATGATTTCAATATTTAGGTCTCAGACATCATTGGGTTACGAGAGTATTGACAGTGTACCGTCGGAGTAGGGAGATGTGATTCTTCGGCTTCTGAACTGGCTACTTCAGGAGGAGCCTACGGGCTTGCGTGAATCACGTTACATGGAAATGTTGCTACTAGTGGAACACACTGGACAAATCCTGCCACTTAGAGATCCTTCAAGCCATAGAGTGGGAAAACTCTACCTACTTTAAGGACAGCATGGCTATGGTTCTGAATTGCTTTAAGACTCGTAGTCTTAGTTTCTCGCCATTCATAGCCTGGTTCCTATTAAGAGCGAGAAGCAGTCTTCGGCTATGCATGTTTTTGCATCGTAAAGTACAGTTAGCAACGACATTTTCGGCATGTCTCCATAGTTATGTTATGGTGGTCTCGTACCTCGTCGATCTTGCGATACTAAACCCTTGATGTTGCGTATCCAAAGCCTTTGAACAATTGCTTTTGGATTCTATTTCAGGAGTTACATGTTCCGGTAAAATAGTGTCAGTCACTGGTTTGGGTGATGGTGTTTCCGGACCTTCCGGGAGGGCACCGGTAATCGTTCCTGCCCTCGACATGAAGGTCGACTAGCTACTGTCCGTGTGGTCCTCTACTTCACTGGAAGGCGCACTGAAAAGCAAGTCTGTTTTGCGCTTTCCATCCCGGAATAATTGATCTCGAAGCTGTCGAAAAGTACCCCATGTCTCCACAGTTGTCGTTCGACAGTATCCAGATCAAACATAAGCATTGTAACGTCATTGTTCTGAGACCCAACATTCAACACCCACCCTTGAGCAATTCAAACCCATCAATCATCAGCCAGCTTCAACATCCCCTCCTCGTGTCGAGAATGTCGACCATAGAAGTGGACCCTGCTATTTTCCTCAGTGGGTCGCTCGCGCTGGGTGCCATGATTCAAGCAGACCCTGAGTTGACCCCAGGCACAATTTTGGAACTCGGCGAAGGACAGCAGGGCGTCATTTTCCGACGTGACGCTCAGCCCAAAATCGCTATAAAACTGGAAAAGTCCGGCAACGAAACGAAACCAAAAAGTCTTCGCCACGAGTACGCGATGCACCAAAACGTCGAAGCCGCCTTCAAAAAGCACAGAGAAGTGTTCTCAAATAGCAAGAAAGCCAAAGTGTACGTCCCATCTGTTTCGACCTTGGTCTCCCCACGAACGGAGGAAACAGAATTCCCCCAAGTCTGGAAGAGTATCGACGAGAACTTTCCACAATATCTGGACGCTCGAGGCAACATAGTCTTCATGGATCTAATCGACCCCTTACCGAAAGACGTCCGACGTGCACTGGTTGCCTACTACAACCCCCCCGACTCGGAAGAAGTGCGCGATGCCATTCTCCATACCCCATCGAACATGCATTGCCTGATCCGTCCCTACCTCGGTAGAGAGACCGGCCCCCTCTTTCAGCCCGGCCCTGCCGGTCCCGTCTTCACGATGCGCAACTTCCCGCTGTACCTCTCCAGCATTCTGGATTTGCAACTAGATACCATCACCTTTGCGATTGCCATAGGCAGGGCTTTCGCTATTATGCACTGGGGCGCCGGCATGGACGGCGTCGGCGTCGAGTTCGCCCTAGGCAGTGCACTCAAGCCCGCACATTACTGGAATCAGCACCAGCGGGAGGTGCGTCTGTATCTTTTTGATTTCGGAGAGTGTCAAGAGATCGACTTGATCCGAGAGGACATGACTCCCGAAGTAGTGTATGAGTTTTTCAAAGAAGCCATGGTTAGAGGCGATAATCGATTCTACATCCCTCACTACAGCAGATGGCCCGAGTTGTTTGGTGTATTCAAGAAGGCGTACATGGAAGCCGGGCAGAAAATTCTGCGCGAGGGGGGCCTTTCCGGGATTTTTGACGTGGAACGGTTCCTGGAAGAGTATGAGCAGTATGCCAAGCATATGGGCTTCTAAATGCGCGAAACATATGCAGCTCGCGTTATGGAGATCAAAATGAGGTACCGGATGTTCAGGGTATTATGATAGGTCTTGAGGTATTTTGTAGAAGGTAGGAAACAAGCAGGGTTCTTTGAGATGGACGAATAGAGGTATTTGGGCTCATATGAACTCCATATTACCCGCACCTTCCGCGGAGTATGGGGTTTTCATAGGGGTAAATTATCGAAACCACCTTCAGTACTGCAACTTTCTATGTCCGAAGACAACAGCAACGAAATCAGAACGGCCGAAGGTCAACTCAGCCCCTGATTCCCTTTATTCTCCACACTTGATCCTTTTAAGTAAATCGTAAAGCCAAGCAATATACTGCTACAAAGACGGCCCCCGGTTATCCACCGCGGAGATCCAGTGATTTGCACTTGTGTCAGAGAACAGAATGCCATAGGCACCAGTGGGTGTCAGGACACTGAACGCAAGACACCGGTGGGGCGCCGGAGGGGTGTTTCGGACAAAAGACTCCCGAGTCATGATTACAATCTATGTGAAGCTTTGGGATGACGAGAGTCAAGATCCTTGGCATCGCCGACCCTGCTGTTATGCCGGGTCCAAGCGGCGGCCTAGCTATCTATATAAGGACCATCTCGAAGTAGGATAGGGAAGGAGCAGAGATCAATGCAGCACCGTGGGCACCCCTACCTGAGACCGCCAGTGACCACCCGGTGCTACGTAGGAGGGACGCCCGTTACTCCCCATCACTCTGTACTATTGCCTTCGGCCTAGCCGTACCCTGACAACTTGCTTCCAGCACTGAGACAAATAGAAACATCAAGATGTCGAAAATGGAGGTTTGCCGGTCTTGAGTGATAATAAGAGCCACAGAAGATATCCAGCTTTGTCTACTATAGTCAGTTTGCCGACCAGTCTCGTTATTATACGAGATTGAACGGCGTTAAGTTGGTAGTAATCGAGGTTGAGAACGAGGGAGCTCAGGACAAAACCCACTACAGTAAGCTCAACAGTCATCCCGATCTGATATCTTCTGTACCATATAAAATTTGTGCGCTGTTACGAAAAGTATGTCGTAGTCATCCGCTAACGAGTGACGCTATTTGGCTGATGTATATCCTTTACTGAAAGGTTGGCCAGCTACTGCGAGATTCGTGTTAAAGGGACTTTATCTTGCAGGCCTTGGCAGCCGCGTGTTCTGCAGTACGGAAGGAATGAGAAACCTAACAATGGGTAACCAAGTCTGAGCTACAGAGTGTTTCCTGCCGAAGTTCCACCACATATACAGATTGTCAGATGTAAGGGGTCACGTGATTAACCATTGGTGTGGGGCTAAGATTACCAGCCACTTGCTGCTGCAGAGCACACAACAACAACCAATTGGACCGATCAACCCAAGGTCACATCACAGTCACCGCACAGTCACCGCAAAGTCCGATCAAGGTCACATCACAATCACCGCGTAATCGCATCAAGGTCACATCACAGTCACCGCACATTCGCATTAAAGTCGTAGCAAGGTCACACAGCAAGATACATGAATATCGACAACGGGCAGTAATGCCCGCAGGTGAAAGGTGATGAAGATGGAGACGGACAACAAGATCCTCAACGAGATTTGCTATCAGGGCGGGCAACGGAATGAAAGATCAAGGGCCTTGTCGCTCTGATTAGATCAGCCAAAGTGCCTCGGCATTTACAAATAATCGACTAAGCTTCAACCGGTCCTTGAACAGAATCACCTCAACAGGTCGACAACAGAATAAAGCCTCGACAGACTTGAATCGTCATGAAATAATTGGAGCCTCAAGAGGCAAAGAAAACGACCTCTCGTTCCTTCTCTGCTTGCCGCTGTTCTTAGTGAATGTCACTTAGATAGTTCAGGTCCTTTTATATCCTTGAGCAGCATACTCATTGCATAAATCATCCGAAAACGGAAAAGCAAGGTCCAACAACCCTGTCCCTAAGTCAATATCTGACACAAATCATTATATCAAACATAGCCATAGCTTCAATAAGGTGTCGTATTAGTATGATCCAGCCGGTTTTCAATAGTATAGATCTAACAAATACAACCGTCTATTATAGCGATAAATACCTATCAACCGCTTTTCTTATAAACCAAAACGACTACATATAGTCCTTACTAGACGCGTATTACTTAAGTAAACCTAAGAAAGTTACTAATCCGGACCCGAACAAGCTCTTTGTACGATCTAATGCCATTCAGAAGGCTTGTATTACGATTATAGCTAACAGTATAGCGAAGCGGAAAGGAATAGTTACTTAGGATAAAACTAAGATAATAAATGGGTTTAACATACAAAAACGGCCAGATTATAGTAATACAACAACAACAACCTGTTATAACTAGCTATGGCTGTGTTGACTATGATGATTTGTATGTGCGGTGAAACTTCGGCGGCCATGCCTGTCCGACCACCCCTGGTGTCGTCGGACTCCGGCAGTAAACACGCTATTGCCTGCGACGTTCCCCACTTCAGATCGAGGCACCTGCATAGGGAATCGAAAGAAGCAGCTCGATAAGGTTCAGTCCTTTTTTCGTTCTCTCTTTTACCTGAACCTGTACTAAGCGATCTAGACAAATCCACTCTGTCGGCCAGAACCCAAGCGAGGTGGCATCGAACAAACCTGCTACTGGTGCACAAAGGCGATACCAAGTTGCAGGAAACTAGTTACAATAAAGGCCGCCATATCAAGACACCACAATGTGTGGTGATGATATAACTGCGCGACTATACTCATTTAGCACCATCGTGGCTGGCCTCACAGCTAACTGTAGGAAAATTTGCCTGAAAAATAGAGTATCCAGCTTCACCGAGACTCTTGCGTCTCTCTATGGGTTCTTATGGAGGGTACGTTTTACTATTATTACTTTTCAATTGAGACTTTCTTGTGGGACACGAAACACCTTGGCAATGAAACTATTTTCTCCGTTTCCGCTGCCCGCCTCTAGATTGCTCCGCCAGATCGCGCCTTGCCTGCCCGCAAATAACAATGGGTCCGATCCACACCCCGGATTGCGAAATGTTCAGACCGTGACTCAACCCACTGCTAGCAAAATCCCTTGCTTTTCAGGGCCCAGAACTTACAAGTCGCAGTGCCTTTCAACGTGGTATTCATGTTCATCAGTGTCCACTTGGCAAATGTCTCTACCTCTATTTGGAACACGCCGATTTGTGGACGAATCCAGTGACGTCGATTGTCGCTTCTCCTTCTCTGCATGAGCTCTCTAATGTCTCCAGAATGCAACCCCTCGGACAAGAAGGCCATGTCGGTACTTTCCGTCCGATGCAGAGCAAGGCAAGGCCCTGTCCCTTCTTGAAATCGTCTCGTCTGCATGCGCGACCTCAAAGGATGAATAGGTCCGGCGGCACTTGCCCAATGGAGCTCATGTCTCGGCCACGGGCAGCAAGGATAGCTCCTGGTCTCGCTGAATGGCTGCAGTTTACGAATTTTAGAATGCATCTGCTGCGAAAACTCATTCCATCCTTATTTTATTGTTCCGATCCCACCAGGGTGTTCAGTCTGTCCAGGCATTCCCTTACGATCGTCTTGTCAGAAGCGGATGCTCGGCGTGATCCTGTCCACCGGATCTGTGATCACTACCACGGCCAACTTTCTCAATTCAAAGGTAACAGGCGTGATACGAATTCAGACTCTGTGACCTATGACGGGATGTAAGATATGACGGCTGCCATTCTCGGACCTCCAGGTACAACTGCAGTATCTAACCCTGCCGATATTGTCACTGAAACCCCAAAGCCCACTACCACGTTTCCCTAGAACCAAGAGCATAATTCGTGGAAAGCATAAAGTATTCGGCCCGTCGCCGTTGCAATGGATAACCCTAGAGGCTGGAGGGGTTGGGGCAGAGTTGGAGCTTGGTGTTTGAGCGGGTCCTATTCCGGTTCCTAGCTGATGTATGAGATTCGAACTAGGGAATCTCGGCCGAGACTCTTGGCATGCAGCCAATTGAAATCCCCACGAGGTGGAACTCCCGCATACTTATGAACCGTTCCTGTTATCATCTAAAACCCCTATCACTTCTCACCTTGCTGGGGAGGATCCGAGCCAGGTACGTTTCGCCCAAGCCTGCCCAAGCCTGCCCAAGCCTGCCCAAGCCTGGACGCTCAATGTGACGATGACCTTCTGCCACAGTTGTCTGTTTTACATCTGATCTGAAAACAACCCCCGGGTTTCCCGGCTATCTCCTGCGGCATGGTGCAAGGGCGCAATATGTAAACCTGGACTGGCCCCTTGGTCCTAGCTTTGACAAGTTCGGTTCTTTTCGCCCTTGCAGTCTGTGTACCACTTATTCTCATCATTGGCACCTGAGAGCTTGCTCTCGCCCGCTGTTGGAAGCGAAAGGTGACCACTGAAGAAGCATGGTTCATCAACTTCCTGTGGGCGCCGAGGGGGCGGCGGCCCTGGCTCTCATATACGCCTCCGTCAGTTGGACATGTAGCAGCCTACTGCTGTGGCTGACTTGGGTTCACCAGGAGGGATGGTCATGTAAGATGGCCCTTGGTAGTGTACAGAAACGCAGTGCTTACACACAGCTATCTTCTCAGATATCGCCATGGTTTCGGCGTTTGCGATATTGAGCACTACGGCGTCGATTACCCAGCAGATACACGACATCATATTTTATCGAGATGTCATCACGGAGCAGTTCATGCGGAAGACGACGTTCTTAGAAAACCCGGAGCTTGCTATCGCCAATGGATCATTCGGGCTTGATTTGGTCCTTTACTACATACGTACGTGGCTTAACATCATGATATAGCGGCAAAGGGCTAACATAAATCAAAAGAGTACTACTCTTACAGCGTGCAAGCGATGCTCGTCATGTTTTGGTAGGTCAAGCCCTTGACCGTAATGCGGTAAGACCACGATCTAATATGACATCCAGGGCTGGGGAACTGGCACAATCGGTATACGGACTAGGCGCCAACTCGAGGATGAGACGGATTTGGCGCAATGTCAATACAGGTGGGAAGGCCGTGGCCGTGGTATTGCCCCTGATCACCATATTGCTCCTTCGAATACCCGCAATACAACATGTCTTCGTGGCATTCATCCTGATTGCTGATCTTCCACGTAAGCCGCAGTCATGTCTCCTACTCACGCGTGGTTCTGACCGAACCCCCTAGTCATGATCAGTCTAGCGATTGGTAGTTCGACCATGATCGCCATCTCATGTCGATACGTCCAATCCCGAAAGAGTTTCACTCGCTGGACGCCCCCTCAGAATAGCGACAGTGCCCTCAGCGAGGAGATGGGTACGATGCGAAGCGGGAATCTTCAGAGCAGTACTGTCATTAGTGGTACTTCCCACTCGGGGACGACCACAACCACGGGCCGCAAAAGACCGAGGAAAAGACCCAATGGACTCTACGATCGTTGGTTGATGGTTCGCTTTACGATTGCGTTTGTCATGCTTGCGTACGCTTCAGTTTATGCTGCCCCTATTCGGAACCCACTAACCTAATCGTAGCATCTTCGAGGTCACGAACACCCTATTCCAACTCCAATCTGTAAACAACAACAAAAAAGACACCCAGCTGGCGGAACCCGATTTGACCGTCGACCGGGCAAAAGTAACATTCTTTCTGTTCCTACCGGGAACTACAGCTGGTATCGCACTGTTCATCATATTCGGCACTACGGCAGGATGCAGGAAGAGCATGCAAGAGACCTTCATACCCAAGAAGTGGCGCACCCGCACCAGTAAATCAAAAAGTGGACGCAGCTTCTGGAGACCAGGGAGAAAAGATTCTGCCTTCCCACCGCAGACACAAGAACCCGACTTGTCAAACGAAGATGCGATAAGCGATATCACGAGGAGGAGCCATTACATCAAGAGCGAACACATGAAACCCTTGCCGCTACCGCCGTTATCGAGGCACAACAAGGACTTCGGCTCCAGAAACAGGGTGGAACGTCCATATATGGGAAATATGCGGACAGAATTAGGGGAAGATCCTGGCATTCAGTTGCGAGATATGCAATCTTGGGATAGTATACGCGAGGAGTACTACGAGCCCTTCCCGGATCAAAGTGATGACTCGGGTCCCATTTTGCCGATTATGAGGACTGAAAGAAGGGCTTGAGAAACCCAGCGGGAAGGCGTTGGGATTGAATGAGTGAAACTGATGAGATGAGCTATGATACCGGAAGGCTTGGGAACCGGGAACGTGGTATGTATGGACAAAACATTCTGGGGCTGAGCTCGAGTGTACGGGACATACATACGCCACACTACAGAAAGACTTGGGTAAAGGAGCTCGGGAATTCATTATACCCAGTGCGCGGTGAGTTTCTCCATGTGGTAGCATATTTGAGGTTCTAGACCAATTGATAAAACACTCCGAGAATTGCAAGAAAGCCTGAGTCCGAGATTCCCCGTCTTCTGGCATGGTGTGATTTTCCACCCGTGAAGTTCGTGGCAATAACCATCCACATTGCAAAATAAGTGAGGGGTGCGAGATATTGGTACAACATAGCGGAGCGGGGTCTTAACTTCAGATCATCGTACCTATCAGGGGCAAGGCTGGATTGGCGGTATGACGGCGAAAATTGAACTCCAGGCGCTTTCTTGTAGGTAAAACTAATAATCATGATTGTAAGTCCATCGTTGACTGACCTTAACATTGGCCCTTTCGACTTGCTCGATACTTAATGCTTAGTTTTCCGGACTACTTCAAAATATGGCGCCACAAGTGACTAGCTGGGATGAAGTAGCCAGGATGTCAGAGAAGACCGACCGGGAGACTGGTGGCTTCTGGTATACCATGTTCGCTGTCTTGGACGACGACGACGACGCCGTCTACTACGGGCAGCTGACTATCCCCCAAGTCGACATCACTCTCGAACAACTCACAGCTGCACTCAGCCCCCTACCCGACGAGATCCTGTACCCAGGATGGCCGACTTGCGACGTACAGCTCACTCAAGCTCCAGAAAATTTGCCTGCCGATATCTACATCAAACGGCCAGACGTGGAAATGTACAGCGTCTTCCGAGACCACAATGTCCTGCACCTCATCTCAGCCCAGCTACTTCAAGAAGCCAAAACCATGCAATTCCTCTCGCAACACACGCATCCCAACATCATCCGCTTCCACGGTTGCCGCGTCCGTCGTGGCCATATTACAGGTCTAATTTTCAACCGGCATCCGTACGACCTGAACGACCATCTCAAAAACAACATCGGCCCCGTTCTAAAGGAACCGTTCATGGAAGCGCTCGGGTCGGCAGTCAATCATCTGCACTCCCTCGGCTGGGCGCATAATGACCTGAATCCGACGAATATCATGGTCAATGCGAATGGGATGCCGGTATTGATTGATTTTGGATCTGCAATGCCGGTTGGGGAGAAGTTGGGGACTAGTCGGGGGAATGAGAAGTGGATTGAAGGGAGTATGGCGGATTATGATACTTCGGAGACGAGTCATGATGCTTTTGCACTGGAAAAGATCAGGGAGTGGTTGGAGGAGATGACTTTGAACAGATAGCTGCTGGTGTTTTGCATTGGGCGGGGTTTCAGACAGTTTGATTATGCTGATATTCGGGGATATAAAATGGTATGTACATAGCATGGGCTGTGTGGAAATCACGAAACTGCTTGTCTCCCGATGGTAATTTTCGAGATAGATGTTGTGCAAAGTGCGCAACGTCTATGGGAGCGACCTTATATTAGGTTTTCTTTGTGTGCGGTTTGGGAGATACGAAAAGGATCAGTCCTCCTCGCCGTCTCAAAGTCAAGATGCATGTCCGTAGGGTTACGGAAGGCAGTGATCAAGGACGGAAGTTGCAAAGATACCAAAGTGAACTGTATGTGTCGAGTTCATACCGGCCACCAGTGTTATACGACGACAGGCTCAGCTAAGATATGAGTTGATGTAGGAATTAATTATTTGAAGAATAAACATATAAGACCTACCTAAACGCCAAGATGTGGTCCCTGAATTATAACCTTACGGCCTGAAGGACATGCGATCATCTCTTCCAAATGTTAAAGGGAATTGTGATTATACCCTTCATTTATTCCCGCCGTCTATTCACTCGTCTTTCTTCTGTCCGTCCTTTCTCTCATCCTTCTCATGCTGCTTTTTGCTACCATCATCACCACCCTTGTCTTTTCCTTCATCCTCCTTCTCAGCCTCATTCTCATTTTGCTTCTCACCTTTATCCTCACCCTTCTTCTTATCCTTCTTCTCACCCTTCTTCTCATCCTTCTTCTCGTCCTTCTTCTCGTCCTTCTTCTCGTCATTCTTCACATCCTTCTTCTCATCCTTCTTCTCATCCTTCTTCTCATCCTTCTTCTCATCCTTCTTCTCATCCTTCTTCTCAACATTATCATCGTCTTTCTTCTTATCCGGCTTCTCACCGTCATCCTTCTCGCCCTTCTTTTCACTCGTCTCACCCTTACCGTTGTTCTTACCCTTTTTCTTCTCTTCATCCTCTGCTTTCTTCTTCTTTTCGGCCTCCTCGGCAGCCTTCTTATTCTTCGCAATCTCCTCATGTTCAGCCTTCTGCCACTTCTCCGTGTACGGCTCCTCGCCTTGCACATGCTGATGGAACTTAGATGCCTGGGCCAGTTCTGGCGCAGCATCACCCGCTTTTGCACGCCCGATCAAGCTGATCATAATGGACACACCGACGATGGCCGTCAGTACGAAGCGGTAGCTGCTGTACCAGTACGGAGCCCATCCCTTGGTCGAGGCGCGCGCGTCGGCGAAGTAGAGTCCCACGAAGGCGGCGAACTGCGACGTCAGGGCGTATTGCCAGGGCATGAACATGGTGGGCCAGGCCACCACAGACGCCAGGACTCCAATGCCGTAGCGAAACCGAGTGCGGTCCAGACTAGGCTTCTTCTCGGCATATTCTAAACCCCAGTGGATTGCGCCCAGGAAACTGATGATGACGGCTCCATATCCGAGCTGAATGGGCTCCACCACGCCTAGCCAATATCGTGCCGACTCATTGCTTATGAGGATACTGTTTAGGAAAGACGAGGTCGTCGGCCACTCGTGGTTGATTGCCCAGGACAGGTAGACGGTACTAGCGGAGGTTGCCAGATAGGGTAGAGTGCCCGCGAGACCGAGGAAGTAGGATTCCTTGGGAACGGTTGACAGGGCAAATGTTTCCTTGACAAGATTCTAAATGTAAAGAACAGTGTCAGTGACTTGGAAGCCATTGGTACGGGGCTCTTGTTGAACCACTCACTAAGTCATGAACAAGTCCGTCTTTCATCTCCGGCTCTGGCTGTTTTGTGTTGGGCTCCCAGGCATGTCGAACGCTAGATTCAGTTGAAACTGCTTCTGGATGCGATTCCAGCTTCTGTTCACCAAATTTCTTTTCCTCCTGCGGATCGGAGCCTGCTTGGATGTGGCCGGGGGTCTTGGTTGCATATTGCGACCGGCGAACAATCGGTCTCACGCACAATGATAGAGCTTTGCTAGGCAGTCTGGAATTGGTAGAGATTGTAATGTTTGCGGTTCGAAGTGAAAGCTGCCGTAACGGAGCAAGAGCAGCTCTCTGGGGGGCGATTGCTCTCGCGGAGCCTGTCCACAGAGCTCGCGTGCTTCGCAACATTTTTGAATGGGGTTCTCAAGCACTTCTGGCTGGCTGACGACGTAGGAGGGTATTAGACGAAGCGAAAATGGGTAGATTCTTCCCACATAAGTTGAACTTTCAGCTGACAATGCTCTCTCAGGCAGAGGGAGGGGTATTTGGAGGGGCAATATCTAAAGTTACACAGAATCTGGCAGAGGTATTTGAAACTTGTAGAACAGCTCTATATCAGATTATCAGCATCGTCACAAGCAGGGTTTAATTGTCACTATTGCATCAATCAACATGGAATCGATCGATTTGCAGTACCTGGAGCTTAAAGAGCTTCTCGGATCTGTCAATGACGTATTTGTTGGAGAAAGCGCCAAGAATTCCTCGTTACTTGATGCACACCCCCTTGAGTGTTGATTGTGCCCCGCTCTCGCACTTCGTCACTTCCTAGCTCGGAGGTTTGATAGAGGAGGTTTGTAGAAACACCCAAAGGAATGACTAGAGAAGTTTGCGGAAATCATATGAGTATTAACTGATTGGGGACAACTCATATCCTTCCAAAGAGCAGTTTACAACGCTGAAAGCCGGGTATTTCCTCTAGATGTCACTCACTTTTGTTCTCAACTATTTTCACCCTGATCCGTGCACGCAGTAACCCCCCGAGCTTAGCTCTCAGCTCTCAGCTCTGCCTTGATTACAGTCAACAATTGGCGTCATATACCTCTCATGCCCCCAACCAACATTAGTTGCCGAGCAGTCCAACCCGTGAGAGAGGACCTTGTCCAATCCATTTTTAGATGCAGGTCTGATGGAGGACCACACGGCTGCCTGACTGAAACACATATTTTCAATCCATACCGTTTGAGCCCAGCATTTGCATTGTTGCATCGCATCCGACGGTGCATTCAACAGCCCATTGTCAGGGGACCTACATTCACCACATTCCACAAGACTGTTAACCGTCCCTCAATCCAACCCGACCCGAACCGACCCGACCCGAACACATACCCTCGACCCTTTGAAATCCCATCAACGGAGGCTATCGCATGATTAACAGCGATCACGAACACCGAACAAACGCTGCCCTACTGCCCATGAAGCACATTACCCCGCCTTAATCCACCAGCTATTCCCGGCCCGGGTCACGGCTCACCATCGACAACATGTTGGAAGGCTTAGTTGCCGGTCTGTTGAACCGCTTCCTGGGCATGTATGTCAAGAACTTCGACCCTACCCAGTTGAAAGTTGGTATTTGGTCCGGCGATGTGAAGCTGCGCAATCTAGAGCTTCGCAAGGAGGCGTTGGATCAGTTGAAGCTGCCCATAAACGTCGTGGAGGGCCATTTGGGCGAGCTAACATTGGTGATACCCTGGTCCAACCTTCGTGGAGCACCCGTCAAGATCTTCATTGAGGATGTCTTCCTGCTTGCATCCCCGAAGGAAGAGGCGGCCTACAATGAAGAGGAGGAAGAACGCAGGAAACAGAGATTGAAGATGGAGAAGCTGGACTCTGCTGAGCTTTTAAAGGAACGCTCACAGGAAGGCCTCAGCCAGGAGGAACAGAAGAAGAGCCAGAGCTTTACAGAGAGCTTGGTCACTAAGATTGTCGACAATCTCCAGGTTACCGTCAAGAACATCCATGTACGCTACGAGGATGCGATATCGGCCCCGGGTCACCCCTTCTCTCTCGGTATTACGCTCGAGGAGTTCAGTGCAGTCAGTACCAACGGCGAGTGGAAACCCACGTTCATACAGAATTCGTCTAAGACAACACATAAACTTGCGACGTTGGGGGCCTTGGCTGTGTACTGGAACACGGACACTAAACTGCTGGGTCCTGGTCGCGAAGTACAACAGGACATCGATAATGCTCTTCCACACGACGAACTGATTTCAAAGTTCAAGGAGATGATTGGCAAGGGCGACAACGAGGCTACGGCAGATCACCAGTTTATATTACGACCTGTGAGCGGCCAAGCCAAGATCGAACTGGACAAGTCCGGCGACGTCCATGTACCCAAGTTCAAAGCCAGTCTGCTATTCGATGAGATCGGTGTGGTTCTCGATGACGATCAGTACCGCGATGCTTTGATGATGGTGGACCTGTTTCACTACTTCATTCGTCACCAGGAGTACAAAAAGTACCAACCGAAAGGTGTTACGCCAAAGGAAGATCCACGTGCGTGGCTGAGGTTTGCCGGCGATGCTGTATTGAAGAAGATCCATGATCGCAATCGTCGATGGACATGGGATTACTTCCGTGAACGTCGTGATGATCGTAAGCGGTATATTGAGTTGTTCAAAAAGAAGAAGGCCAACCAGCAGCTTGCGGCCCCTGAAACGGAGGAGATGAGCCAGCTCGAATGGAAGACCGAGTACGAAGACCTCCGCTTCTGGAGGTCCTTGGCTCGCAACCAGTTGAAGAAGGAAAATGCGGAGGCTTTGAGGAACGCACCTAAACAGGAGCAACAGCAAGGATGGCTCTCGTGGGCGTGGGGTTCTAAGCCATCTCAGCCGGCTGACTCCACGGAGAACACCCAAATAACTGAGGAACAACGTCAAGAGTTGTACGAGGCAATTGACTGGGATGAAAAGGCGGCTCTGGCGGATGCGGTAGATGTTCCACGGGATGCGGTGAAGATGGAACTCGCCGCGACTCTCAGCACCGGCAGCTTCACCCTCAGGCAAAGTCCGCATGGGTCCAAAACCGACCTACTGAGCCTGCACTTCGACTTGTTCAAAGCAAGGGGCCTCAGGCGAACCGATTCGGTTCTGGCAGATATCAGTCTTGGCGGTTTCCGAGTCAACGATGGCACAACGCCCGACTCTCTGTTTCAAGAGATCGTCAGAGTCAAGGATGCGCCAGAAGTTGATACGCGGAACAGACTTTCCCTCGTTGACCTGGAGAAGACAGATACGGCTGAACAAGAGACCTTCTTTGATCTACAGGTCGAACAGAACCCTCTGGATGGCCAGGGTGACTTCGGTGTGACAGCTAAGCTGAAGCCTTTGGAGATCGTGTGGAACCCAAATTTCGTCGTGGGTATCGTGGATTTCTTCAAACCTCCAGAACGGCACATGGAGTCCATCAATGCCTTGATGGAGTCAGCGGGCGCCACGGTCGAAGGACTGAGGCAGCAGACAAGAGCTGGTCTTCAATTCGCATTAGAGGAGCACAAGTCGATCAACGCAAAGCTCGATCTTCAAGCCCCCCTTATTATCATTCCCCAGAGTATCAGTACCGAACGGTCGACTTGTCTTATCCTCGACGCTGGTCACATTAGTGTAAACAGCGAACTGGTTGACAAGGGGACCCTGAAGCAGATCCAGGACAAGCAATCTGTTTCGAACGAGGATATCGAGCAGCTGGAGTCTCTCATGTATGATCGATTCCTCGTCAAATTGACATCCACCCAGCTCCTGATCGGTCCTTCGATTGAAGACACCAAGTCTCAGCTAGTTGAGAAAGATGAATCGCGCATGTACCACGTGGTTGAACAGATCAACTTGGACTTCGTGGTTGCCTTATCTATCCTTCCAAAGGCACCCAACATATCCAAAGTGAAGATAGTCGGGCACATGCCAGTGCTGCACGCAGCAGTGTCAGACACGAAGTACAAGAGCCTCATGAAACTCATCGACGTCGCGATTCCAAAGTTTGGGGATGAGCCCCAGCAAAGTAAGGGTAAGGAACCACAGCAGCAGCCTAAGAGACCCCGCTTGTCTAGCAGCGCATCTAACCATTCACGCAATGCACATCGTCGGAGATCATCTGCAGCGTTCCCCTTCCTCACTCAACAGACTGCTGCCATACTTGAGGATGAACTCGAAGACGACGATGATGACTTTGAGGATGCTCAGGACGGAAACACGAACCAGCAACTCAAGATGCAGCAAAAGACATTTGAATTCAAATTCTCTGTGGATAAGCTGCAAGGCTCTCTGTATAAAAGCGATCCGGATGGCAAGAAGCCAGACGCGCTGCTGGTGGAACTGGTCGCCGAGCATTTTGACCTCGAATTCTTCATCAGACCATTTGACATGTCCGCTGTGGTGTCTCTGGGCTCTGTGACGGTAGACGACTTTGTGGATAACCCTCCTGCAGAATTCAAGGCGATTGTCTCCTCTGGAGATATAGAAGATCATAGGGAACAGCGAGAACTCGTCAAAGTGACCTTCGTGAAGGTGAAGAAGGAATCACCAGAGTTCATGCCTAAGTACAACGGTATCGAGACTAACATCGATGCCGCGGTCTCCACCATCAACTTGATTGTCACGCGAAAGACCTTGCTGACATTACTGGACTTCATTCTTGTCACGTTCACTAACAATGACAATTCGAATACTCAGCAGCAGAAGAGCATTGCAGACGTGGAGGATGATGAGGATGATGGAGACGAGGACGCGGTCAAAATTGTCGAACCACCACAACCGCCGCCTCAGAACGAATCAGGGTCTATTCGTGTCAAGGTCGACCTCAAGAGTATCCGGTTGATCTTAAACAACGATGGCATCCGTCTGGCCACCTTGTCGTTCAACCACGCTGACGTCGGCATCTTTTTGTCTGGGAAGACAATGCGAATTGGCACGAAGCTGGGAGATTTGAGTCTGGTCGATGATGTAAACGTCGGGGCATCAGAGGAATCCAGCTTCCGTCAGCTTGTCACAATTCAAGGCCACGAGCTTGCCGACTTCCGCTACGAAACTTTCGACCCGGCTAACGAGAAGGCATATCCTGGATATGACTCTTCAGTCTACCTGCGCGCTGGCTCTATCAAGGTTAACTTCCTTGAGGAGCCGTTCAGAAAGATTATTGAGTTCTTGGTCAAGTTCGGTAAGATGCAGGCGATTTACAATGCTGCACGTCAAGCAGCTGCAAATCAGGCACAGCAACTTCAGCAAAGCACCAGCCGTTTCAAATTCGATGTCATCGTCAACACCCCCATCATTGTCTTCCCAGGGGCTGTCACGCCAGACCGACCCAGACGTGATCTTGTGACGGCCTACCTCGGTGAGATATATGCTCAGAATAAGTTCGCGCCTCTGGATGACTCCGAGAACTCTGCCATCGCGATGAAGCTGTCTGCGGGTATCCGAAACATTCGGCTCACATCTCTCTTCCACTATGCAGACAACCAGTCGGAGGAGCTCGAGATGATCGACCATGTTGATCTTGGGTTCAACATCACATACGCCGAGCATCAGAAAGGCTGGAAGCGTCCAGATATGGAAATTGAAGGCAGCATGACGGACATTAATCTCAAGATCACCCAATATCAAGTCAAATCACTGCTTGAAATCTCTCGCTCTGTACCGGCCGCATTTACTACAGATGCCGAAGCTAGTGGCGAAGAAGCCGAACGGGACGTGGACGAAGGCACCCTTCGAAGAGCGAAGACGATGTCATCAACCACTACCGGCGCAGAAAATCCACTGATCGATCTCGGCCCTGAACTAGGGTCTCGAGAAGACACTTGGACTAAACTGGATCTCGTCTTCACTGTGCATAAGATCGGTCTGGAGTTGATCAATGCCACAGACGGCAAGCCCGTGGGCAATATTGAGAACGCGAGTCTGTCACAGTTCTCCCTGGATGACAGCAAACTGAAGACTCGAATGCTCGCGGACGGGTCTCTTGAAGCCGAATTCGTCATCCACTCATTTACTATCCACGACAGCCGGAGAAGGGATGCCAATAAATTCCGAAGAATCATGGCCTCGTCCAATAAGAATGTTCAGCAGTTCATGGCCTCAGTCTCAATGTCTGCGGGACACGAGCGAAACCTGATTGGGGTTGTTGCCATCGACAGTCCGAGGGTCATTTTTGCTTTGGATTACGTTTTTGCCATACAAACCTTCATTTCAACTAGTTTGCAGGTTGAAGAACCGGTCGTTGTGGAGGAAAGCCCCGCCGAAACTCCTGAAGGTTCAGAAACCGAGTCCAGGCAAGTTTCCTGGTCCGGCGCATCGAACCAACAACTACAAGGAGGGTATGGGTCAGAGGAACCTAAGAAGCCAGAGTCCAAGATGAGCATTGCATTCCGTGTTAATGTCGTCGAAGCCCAGGTGATCTTAATCGCCAACCCGCTTGTCTCCAACTCTGAAGCCATCGTGCTGGGCACCAAACAGGTATTGCTGTCGCAACAGCATGCTTTGACATTCCAGGTCTCCCAAGTCGGCATGTTCCTTTGCCGCATGGATAGATTTGAAGAATCTCGACTGCGCATTCTAGACGACTTTTCCATCCAGATGTCCATGGACAGCTCGCAACCCAGTTTGACTAACATTCATGTCGACATTGACCCCCTGATTCTGCGGTTGTCACTCCGCGATATCCTGCTTGTGCTTCAAGTCATCAGCAAGGCCTCGGAGCTCTCTGAAAAGGAGCCCGAGGATCAACTTAAGGCAAGTGCTTCTGATGTGAAGGCAAAGCAGCTTCGAGGTGATGGCATGAAGCAGCGGTCAGCTAGTGGTCGTGGGCAGTCTACGATAGGGAGGACGAAAGGCACTGCCGGGACCATGACAACCAAGACCCGCAAAATTTCGCAGGGCCAGCATGGTCAGCAAGTTCACGACGTCAACAAAGGCCCCGTTCGCCATGAAGAGCTCACTGCCACCATTGAAGGCATTCGCGTCGTGCTCATCGGAGACTTGCATGAACTTCCGATTCTGGATCTAAGCATCAAGAACTTTACCGCATCAGCTGCCGACTGGTCTAGTAGCTTGAAGGCCGAGACGGCAATCGATATGTACATCAATGTCTACAACTTCGCCAAGTCAGCTTGGGAACCCTTACTAGAACCATGGCAAGTTGGTCTTGGTGTTGCGAAAGCACCAGACACTGGAATGCTTTCGGTCGACCTTCAGTCACGAAAGAAATTCGAAGTGACCGTCACCACCGCGACGATTGCACTTGCATCCAAATCATTCGACTTTTTGACGGGCGATGAAGATGTTCTTGGCAAGCCTCGTGAGACACTATCGCCATACAAGATCAGGAACTACACGGGATTCAACGTGGTGGTGCAGGCTAGAAATCAGAGCAACACGGAGAACATCACTCTCAAGCTCGAGGATGGTGAAGAGGCACCGTGGAGCTTTGAGCATTGGGAGAAGATGCGCGAGAATATCATGTCCGAGAGCAATACTGCCAATAGCGTGGGTGTGCAAATTGAAGGCAGTGGTTTCGACACGGTTAAGAACATTCGCCTCAATCGTGAAGGCGAGTTCCTCTACAGTTTGCGACCGAAGACCGACAATACACTACACCGGCTGCTCGTCGAGGTCAGCTTAGGTAGCGACAACATTAAATACGTGACGCTTCGATCACCCTTAGTTGTGGAGAACCAAACCCAAATACCGGTTGAGCTTGGTGTCTATGATGCACAGGAGGGGCATTTGCTCAAGATCGAGAAGATTGCGCCAGGCGAGAGCCGGCCTGCACCCGTTGCGGCTTGTTATGTCAAGTCCTTACTTGTGCGACCAGACTCTGGATTCGGCTATGCTTGGTCTTCAGAGCATCTGTGGTGGAAAGACCTGCTGAAACGCCCTACACGCACGCTGGTCTGCAAGGGCGAGAGTAGTGATCCGTTCTACTTTCAGATGAGCACAACCTTTGATCAAGGTCACTTCTTGAGCGGGTAAGATGACCAGCCTTCCATCCATCAACATTGCTAACAGACAACCAGGAAATATCCTTACATGAAGATTAAGCTCTCACCGCCCATCGTTCTTGAGAATCTTCTACCATACGACTTCAAGTACCGTATCTACGACAAGAATACCAAGAAAGACTGGTCGAACTTCCTCCGCAAAGGTGGTGTTAGTCCCGTTCACGTCGTGGAGTTGTCCCACCTGTTGCTCATGAGCATCGACATGCAAGACACAGTGTTCAAACCCAGCGAGTTTGCCATCATCAATCCTGGCGGGCAAGAAGACTTCAGAAAAGAGCACAAACTGGTGTGCAAGGACGAAGAAGGCCTTTCGTTAAGTCTTCGACTTCACTATTACAAGGTCCCCAACGGCGGCGGTGCTTTCAAGGTCACGGTCTACAGTCCCTATGTGATCTTGAACAAGACGGGGTTGGACATCACTGTCCGTGGCAAGCAGTTCCTTCAACAGGCCAGACGAGCAGCAGGTCAATCGCCACTTGTCGACAATTCGGATCGAGCCAGACCCAAGGCCCTCCCATTCATGTTCTCATATGGCAATGACGATCAACGAAATCGCGCTCTGCTCAAGGTCGGGGATTCGGAGTGGAGCAAGGCCCAGAGTTTCGACGCCATTGGAAGTACCACGGATGTTGTTCTCCAAGCAACTACCACGAACGCTGAAATCCACGTCGGCATTACTGTCGAGGCAGGTGAGGGCAAGTACAAGATGACCAAGGTGGTAACTCTAGCTCCCAGATTTGTGATCAAGAACAAGATGGGAGAGGAGATCAATGTGAGAGCCCCAGGTTCGTCCAACGTCATGACGTTGCAGCCTGGTGCTTTGCAGCCCCTGCACTTTATCCAGAAAGCACACACCAAACAGCTAGCCCTGTGCTATGGAGGTGTCAACAACCAATGGACCTCGCCGTTCAACATTTCGGACATAGGAACAACACATATCAAAATCGCCAAGGCCGGCCAACGACAACGACTTGTTCGCGTGGAGGTCCTAATGGAGGATGCGACCATTTTCCTGCATCTGAGCCACGAAAAGAAGGCTTGGCCATTCTCGATGCGCAACGAGAGTGATACCGAGTTCACCTTCTACCAGGCCAACCCGAATGTCGATGACGATGGAGTTGAGGATCGGTCGGGCTTCAAGGCCATCAAATACCGACTGCCGCCCCGAAGCATCATGCCGTACGCTTGGGATTATCCGGCTGCCAAGTTCAGAGAAGTCGTCATTAGTGCGTATGGCAAGGAGAGACATGTCAAATTGGCCGAGATCGGAAACCTGATACCCATGAAGTTTGTGAGCGGCTCCGGCACGCAAAAGATCATCGATATCAACGTTGCGGCCGATGGACCTACACAGACTCTGATTTTATCCAATTTCAAGCCGAGCAAGAGTCTCTACATTCAGCGGACCGGGACCGGTTTGAGTACAAGTAGTACGAGCGGGTTCGAAGTGAAGAATCAAGAGACCGGAACTACCATCGCTGCACAACTGAAGCTCTCCGGGATTGGCATCTCGCTCATCAACTCGCAACTCCGCGAGCTGGCGTATATCACTTTCAGGGATGTCCAACTGAAGTACACCGAGTCGCCGATATATCAGACGATCAGTACCTCCATTAAATGGATCCAAATTGACAACCAGCTGTATGGTGGTCTGTTCCCCATGGTTCTCTACCCCAGTGTGGTGCCTGCAAAGGCGCAAGAGATCGAAATGCACCCATCACTGCATGCCATGGTCACCCGCGTAAAGGACGATAGTTACGGTGTGTTGTACGTCAAGTATGCTACTCTTCTACTGCAGCAGATGACAATCGAACTGGACGAGGACTTCATCTATGCCGTTCTGGACTTCTCCAAGGTTCCTGGCGCATCCTGGACTGAGACACAGGAGGGCACGCTCTGCGATGAAAGCCTTGACATCCCCGAGCCGAAACAGCAACAACAGGGCCAAGACATCTACTTCGAGGTGCTCAACATTCAGCCCATGCAGATCGACTTGTCGTTCATGCGCACTGAACGGGTCAACGTCGAAGACAAGACATCCTCTCGCAATCCAATCATGTTTTTCATCAACGTCATGACGATGGCCATTGGCAACATCAACGATGCACCGATTCGACTAAATGCTCTACTACTCGAGAACGCCCGCGTTTCGGTGCCCGTGCTTATCCAGAACATGTCCAACCACTACAGTCAAGAGGTCATCTACCAAATTCACAAGATCATCGGCAGCGCTGACTTTCTCGGTAACCCCGTTGGTCTGTTCAACAACATCAGCAGCGGCATCACCGATGTCTTTTACGAGCCCTACCAAGGTCTCATCATGTCGGACAGGCCCGAGGATCTCGGTCTCGGGATTGCCAAGGGAGCAGCTAGCTTCGTCAAGAAGTCGGTGTACGGTTTCTCCGACTCCTTCTCCAAGTTCACGGGAAGTATCAGCAAGGGTTTGGCCGCGGCGACCCTTGACAAGCAGTTTCAGGATCGCCGCCGCATAACCCGGTCTCGTAACCGACCCAAGCACGCCTTGTACGGCGTCACAGCCGGGGCCAACTCGTTTTTCACCTCTGTCGCATCGGGTGTTGGAGGGACATTCAAAAAGCCTCTCGAGGGCGCCGAACAGGAAGGAGCAGCCGGGTTCTTCAAAGGTGTCGGCAAAGGCGCGCTCGGCTTCGTTACCAAGCCCGTGGTAGGCGTCTTCGACCTCGCGTCGAACGTCTCGGAAGGCATCCGCAATACGACGACCGTCTTCGACGGGTCCGAACTGGACCGCGTGCGACTAACTCGCTTCATCCCTTCAGACGGCATCGTACGGCCCTATAACCAGCGTGAGGCACTCGGCCAATTCTGGCTGAAGCAGGTTGACAATGGCAAGTACTTCAACGAAGAGTACATTGCGCACCTAGAGCTGCCCCGCGAGGACATGGTGGTCATGGTTACGTATAGCCGCATCTTGCTTATTAGGAGTCGGAGGCTGACAACGGAGTGGGATGTCCCGTTGAAGGACGTGCAGACGATTGCGAAAGAGAGGACGGGGATTAGTATAGTGCTCAGGGGAGGAACAAATGGGCCGTTTGTGCCGGTGGGAGAGGAGAGTGGGAGGAAGTTTATTTATAAAATGGTTGCGATTGCGGTGGAGGAGTTTAATCGGAGGTTTAGGGGTTTAGAGTAGGGTTTGATGGATGGGAGATTGAGACAAGGTGGTTTGTTTTAGTGAGGAAATTGACGCTGAGCATACGACGCGCATGCGAGATGATGAACACGAAAAACGTTGGGCTTTGAAGACGGACGATAATGGCCATCTCTTCTAAACATAATACCTTCATTTCTTATGCTAATGGATGGCTGTATTTACGTGAAGCACGCAGTGAGTGAGTCCATGGTTAAAAATGGACAGATGTTCTGTACTGTGGGCATAGCATGCTGCTGATTACTTGAGCTTCTGGTCCGGCATGTCGCCGGGACTTTTACAGCAGCACTGCTCTCACCTCTATAGAAATCGCGGTGACGATCATCATTATGGAGCTTGCTTACTTGCTTACTTACTTGGACCTTGGTGACTTGACTCGGAGTAAGGAACGCATACTCGTGTATTTCCTCTCCTCGCGCCGTCGGTGTTGAACTTCGTCATATGTGGGGGCACACAGATAGATGTAGTGTGTTGTCATTAGCAAATCCAGGCCCTTACCACTCGGAAATCATGATAAGGCCGTGGGAGGATGTCGTATTATGGATGCTATTAGATCAGTGGATCACTCTTGAGAGAGTCAAAGCCCTATCCGCGGAACACGATAGGCATATTCCAGACTAGCGAGCTAGGGCTGACACATTCATACAGCCAGGGTGGAGCTTGACATACTTTACTGTTATATCGAGCTATACCACACTGTTCCACCCTTTCTGCGTCGATTCAATTTGTCATTTGCTTCCCTATTTTGGCAGCATATGTAATCTCACCTCCGCCCCGTTTTTCCCTTCGGGGCGAATCGCATAGTAATTATACAGCCCTCCAGGCAACCCAACGGAAGGGGGTGGTGAGGTTGGGGAAGCCGCCGATATGCTCATCCGGTTCACTTAGCCAGTATATTTGTATGTCCGTCTCAGCCGCTATAGCACCTAAAAGAGGGTCCCCTAAGCTTGCTAAGCCGGCCCTTCTTCGCCCATGCCGCCCATTATACTTCAGGAATTGCGTAGGCGCCAGTGTATTCGACTTCTTCAAGCGCATCCGCGTGATTACCAAATAGCAGTGCCTTGGCCGCTAAGTTAACAGTGTGGCCGAAGCAGCGACCGCGCCGGCGCCGTCCATCGAAACCGAGCTGTTGGCCAAGCCATTCGACTGTAGTATCGTTATTTTCCGCGTTATCGAGCATGAAGTAGCCAATTTTATCCCGGATTCCGTAGAAATCGATGACTTCAAGCACCTGAGCGCCTATTGCATGGCCGGTATGCCGCTTCTGGACTTCTGGCAGTCCGATGACCATCTTCTTCGGCCGATTCATCTTATCTCTGAAGAAAGCGGCGATTCCGTACATCGCGAGATGATTGCGAGAGGTCCAGCGGTCAAATGCGATATGGAGCGTCAGGGCTCCGTTGTAATGTCGACTTTACCGTCTCACAGTGCTTGTTGTACTCTGTAAAGATCCGCTGACGTATGGTCCAGGCCGACAGATGACCACCTTGGATACGGACCTATGGTGAGAGGTAGTCAAAGATAGCACGCAAATTCGCGTCCTCCACTTCGGTAAATGGCCTGTTACCGTCAACAACCCACTGGACAAGCTGCTGAAATTCTGTACGATTAAACGACTCGATGAAGTTATTCGCGATGTATTGCTCTCGCGGATTTGATATATTCAGCGCGAAATAGTTTAATATCGACTCGCGCGGTGCCTTTTTAGCCGTACGCTCTGTACGCGATTTGCCAGCGCCATCCGGCGCCTTGACGGGATGCCTCTTGAAGGAATGATCCATAGCATTCTAGATACCAGTAGAGTTATAATTCGCCGGCTTAGGGTCCCTTTTATCAACACAGAGTTTACACACCCATCGCCGCTCAGTGTCATCCTGGATGTCATAGCCGTAGGCCCACGCCCACGATGAGACCGGCTTAGCGCGTTCAGAACAGGACCAGCCGCGGAAGCACTTAAATAGGTACTCTCTAGCGTCCTGAGGCACTGGCGTGGCCTCAGCAGAGGACTGGCGAAGTGGCGATGCGATCGGGCTTGACGCTGTAGTGGTTGTTTGGGACTCTTGTCAGGGTACGGCTAGGCCGAAGGCAATAGTACAGAGTGATGGGGAGTAACGGGCGTCCCTCCTACGTAATACCGGGTGGTCACTGGCGGTCTCAGGTAGGGGTGCCCACGGTGATGCATTGATCTCTGCCCTCTCTATCTTCCTTCGTCTCGACTCCTTACTTATAGCCAGCCGAGGTTCTCTCTCGGATTCTGGATGTTTGCTTCCGTATGTCTGTGTTCCTCCGACTTCGGCCAATATCTTGGACAGCGGCTCCTTATCTGCAACCAAGCGATTCCCTATCCGTTGCAAACGGCTTCAACGGCTCTCATTCGCCACAAGCGGCTCTCTAGCCGCCACAAACGGCTTCCTACCTGGTGGAAGCCGGCCCGCCTCGGATGACACTTGTGGCTCTGACAACTCCTTCCCTATCCTACTTCGAGATGGTCCTTATATAGATAGCTAGGCCGCCGCTTGGACCCGGCATAACAGCAGGGTCGGCGATGCCAAGGATCTTGACTCTCGTCATCCCAAAGCTTCACATAGATTGTAATCATGACTCGGGAGTCTTTTGTCCGAAACACCCCTCCGGCGGCCCACCGGTGTCCTGCGTTCAGTGTCCTGACACCCACGGGTGCCTATGGCATTCTGTTCTCTGACAACTCTATAGTATTAGGGAAGCAACTTCAGCCGCCAGAGGATCGCTGAGATAACAGCGAAGATTTCTACAGGGCTAGTAGGGGCCTCTAGCACGTGCAAATTACTAAAAATAGTAAGCCCTTAGCTTAGCAACCACTTAGCAAGTAAGTCTCCAAATTGATATGGCTTGGTAACCAAAATCTGGAGAATTAGTGAGTTGGGTTGTCTCGAGGGTTGTAATTATAAAAAATAAAAATAATATTAAATACGCCGTAGGTGTTAACCCTCGGTACCTCTACAAGTACTCCCTTAAGGGGCTATAGATGATATAGCGGGCCCTTAAGCCGCGTCGGGCGGTTATACAGGTAAACTTGTAGCCAAACGACTACTAAACCTCCTGTCCCTCCCTAAGTCTGTGCTACAACCCCTGCCTGAACTACCGATAAGTGTGGTAATGTGGCACTTAAATTCGTCCTCAGGGGTGGGATGCTGCTGATGTGCAGAAGATGCTCGACTATTTTTTGTCGCGACAAGCCGTAATATCTGCTAATTGGGGTTCTCGTCGAGCGTATACATCTCAACCATACGCTCAAGTGGATAGACCGTAACGTGGTCTAGACGCTCGCAAGAATCGCGGCGAGAGGGGGTCCGATAAGGGGTCGGATTAACGATTCGAATACTGGACCGGCTGTCGAGCTATATTCCGCCGACATAGTACTTGACAGTTAACTGGCTAGGATGCTCGTAATCCTAAACTGCACCAATCTCCCTATTATCGCTAGGTAGGCGAAGTCAACAAGGTGGGCAGCGCGCCATAAGGGTTGACTAAACCCCCTTGTGTGTCAGCTGCAGGATTCGAACCCGCGACTCGTCACCGACCCAAGTGGGCGAGGCTCAAATCGGGACTTATCTACCAGCGAAGTGACCAACTACACCAGCCGACTATAAAAAATAAAATAATATTAAATAATATTAAATACGCCGTAGGTGTTAATCCTCGGTACCTCTACAAGTACTCCCTTGTTACGAATCTACGATTCTAACCAACGCAACAGGCCCGATGGCAGGCCCAGTGGATACAGGACAAAGAAGGAGGGGAAAGTCACACAGGAGTGGCTAGCTGCAGGAGGAGCCAGCTAGTGCAAGGATCACAAGTCACGTGACTTACAAGGGTGGATCATTTGGATATGAAATGATCCAACATATCCAGTTAGGACCAATAGTATCCATGAAGGATCTAATGGCCCCAGTTATCAGTGAAGGAGGGAATGGATATATAAGGGACAGGACTCCCAGGCATTTCATAGATAGACAGTCTCTACTTCAGTGATCAATCTAAGCATCAATCTAACCCATTGGTGAGGCAAACTGCCTTGACGACTCTATTCCCAGTTACCCTACTTGAATACTTCAGTTACCCCAAAGCACTATACTCCATACGTCAGACCCCGATATTATTGCTTGAGGACTCCGCAGCAGGACTTACTTACTAGCACAAACCCTTACAGACTCTTTAGTGGTTTACGCAGCTAGACTATTAGAGGTTTCGTTACATCCCTTAAGGGGCTATAGATGATATAGCGGGCCCTTAAGCCGCGTCGGGCGGTTATACAGGTAAACTTGTAGCCAAACGACTACTAAACCTCCTGTCGCTCCCTAATTCTGTGCTACAACCCCTGCCTGAACTACCGATAAGTGTGGTAATGTGGCACTTAAATTCGTCCTCAGGGGTGGGATGCTGCTGATGTGCAGAAGATGCTCGACTATTTTTTGTCGCGACAAGTCGTAGTATCTGCTAATTGGGGTTCTCGTCGAGCATATACATCTCAGCCATACGCTCAAGTGGATAGACCGTAACGTGGTCTAGACGCTCGCAAGAATCGCGGCGAGAGGGCGTGCTGCGCGCCTTCTATCGTGAGGGGACGGGTTCGCCGACGAGCGTTATCGGATAGGCGAGGTCCGATAAGGGGTCGGATTAACGATTCGAATTCTGGACCGGCTGTCGAGTTATATTGTAATTATATAATTAGACCTAATTCCCAGATGATCCAGATATACTGAGTGCTCATGAGCCATTTTCTAATCATCTGGTTTCTCAGAATGGCCTCCTCAACGTCCCACACGACCAAACAATGGCTCCTCTCCTCCAAGCCAACTGGCGCCCCCATACTTACCGGCCCTAACGCCACGTTCACCCTCCAAACACCCACTTTGCCCCCGCTGCGCGAAAACCAACTCCTCTGCAAAGTTCGCTACTTCTCCAATGACACCGGCCTCCGTAAATTCATCCAATCCACCGTAGCACCAGACCGCTTCTACGTCCCAATCGTCCCCGTCGGGTCCCCCATGCGCTCCGGCCTCATCGCCGAGGTCGTTGAATCCGCTTCCCCGTCCTTCAAAAAGGGGGATATGGTAGTAGAATTTCACCAGGGTAAATGGAGCAAACTTGTCATTCTTGACGCGCCAAGTTGTCAAGTTCTCGAACCGCTCTCGGATGGCCTGTCACTGACGCATTACCTGGGCGCGTTTGGAGCTTCCGGACTGACGGCGTGGGCGGGTTTGCATTTCGTGGGGCAGGTCAAGAAGGAGCATGTGGTTGTTATTTCCGCCGCAGCTGGGGCGACTGGTTCTATGGCCGTGCAGGTTGCGGTGAGGATTCTGGGTGCGAAAAGGGTGGTGGGAATTGCTGGGTCCGACGAGAAGTGTAGGTGGGTCTGTGAGGAGCTCGGGGCGCACGCGTGTGTGAATTACAAGAGTCCTTCTTTTGTGCAGGATTTGAAGGCCGCCACGCCCGAGGAAGTGGATGTGTATTTCGACAACGTCGGCGGCGAAGTGTTGGATGCGATGCTGACAAGGATGAAGAAGAATGGTACGGTGGCGGTTTGTGGAGCAGTTAGTGGGTATAATGCGGAGGAACCTATGAAACTGCGGAACTGGTTTGAGGTTGTCTCGATGAGGATCATGATCAGGGGGTTTATTATGTTGGATTATCTGGAGGAGGTTCCAGGGATCTTAAAGAAGCTTAAGGCGGCTGCGGCGGATGGGAGGATTAGGTTGGGAGAGGGGGAGACACTTGTGGAGGCGAGGATTGAGGAGCAGCCTGAGGTTTGGATGAGATTGTTCAGTGGGAGAAACCAGGGAAAGCTTGTCACTAAGTTGATTGCATAGAAATGGAGATTAGGCCATGAAGAGAAGCCGGTCTTTACACGACAATGCAAGTCGATCAACGCCCTAGACATCTCATAACGAAAGGAATTGGCTTCAAGATTAGAAAGAAAAGAGAGAAATCATACAAACCAGAACAAGAGCACAGCGCAGACCCGAAGGCGTTCTACTAATACATATCTTACTTTTCACGCCATAGCGTGGCATTCAGAAACCGATATGAAAATGAAACATACCTCATTCCAGTTGATCTGAACATGTAACTTACATCCCTTTTGATAATATGCTTGAAAAGGTGTTCAAGCCTCCACTCCAGTTAGCCGTCGGTCTGGCAAACAACATGTCCCGTTCCTCTAGTTCAGTTATACATGTTCTCAATCAGATGAATATCGAAGGCCATAATTTATACTCAGTAGCTTGCGGTTGGTCTTGACCTACTAACACTATCCTTGCTCGCCGATATCGCGGCCTGGTATTTTAAGCCACGCCCTTGCAACAAATCTCTGCATGCATTACCGCATAGTATAGCCTCGAGGCGGGGTTGGCCAATCAGGGTTAAAGTACCTCCACAATATGACCAGCAACCTTAAAGCGGACATCGGACATGATAAGACTCACCTTTGACTTATTTATTGTCTCTAATTAGCTCATACGATAGTGACTGCAACTCCTCTGATGATATATCTTTCAACCGAATCTCAAGCTCCCACCACAGACTCCAATTACAGATCGAAGTCGCAACCATGGAGATCCCACCCAACGCAGCGGTATCGTTGCAGGAAATCTCCTTCAGCCATCGAGAAACAGGATCTGCTGAAGCTCAGTCCACGTCCGACAGAACAACGCAGCATCAGATGGGCTACCGAAATAGAGGTGGACAGATTCCTGCTTCGCCCCCACCAGAAGTCACCGCAACCCCTTTCCAATGTCGCCAAATCCCGTCAGACGAAGAAATAGCCATACCCCCGGACATTGACATAGAAGACACCTTCCCCGAAGGCTGTCTTCAAGCCTGGCTCGTCGTCCTCTCCGCCTTCCTCTTCCTCTTCCCCTCCTTCGGCTTCATGGTCGCCATCGGCGTCCTACAAGACTACTGGACCCAGAATCAACTCTCCTCCTACAGCTCCCGCGATGTCGGCTGGATTCCGTCCGTCTTCGTCTACCTTTCCCTGGCGCTGGGGCTCTGGTTCGGCCCGCTTTTCGACCGCTATGGTCCACGGTGGCTTGCGCTACTGGGGAGTGGAGGTTATTTGGGGTGCATGTTCTTACTCGCGGAGTGTGATGAGTTTTGGCAATTTTTGCTGTGCTGTGGATTTCTGGGAGGTGTGACGGGGGCGACGTTGACGACTACTTCGTTGGCGGTTGTGGCGCATTGGTTTAAGATGCGACGGGGATTGGCGCAGGGGGTGGCTATGGCGGGTTCTTCTTTTGGTGGATTGACTATACCCCTTATTTTGAGGTCGGCACTGCCGGCGTATGGGTATCGTTGGTCAATTCGCATTTTGGGGTTCGTCTTCCTCGGATGCCTCGTCATTGGGAACTGTCTTATGAAGGCACGCATCCCGCCTATGAAAGATGCGAAGGGACAGGGGATCATCTCATTGTCTATCTTCGGCGACTTGGGGTTCAGTCTCTTGACCATCAGTGTCTTTGGCTTCGAGGTCGTCCATTTTGGTGCGTTGGGTATACTGCCCACGTTTGTCACGCACAGTACCGAGTTCCCCCCTAACACGGGTTTTTATCTCATTGCCATCCTCGGTGGGGTCTCTTGTCTGGGCCGTCTGATACCCGGTTACGTGGCTGACAGGATCGGACGATTCAATACCCTTCTCATCATGATTATATTCACACTGGCCTGGATGCTGATCCTCTGGCTTCCTTTTGCGGATAAATCCATCGGTGCTCTGTACGCCTTTGCCGCCTTGTTCGGTTTCGGGATGGGATCTTGGATGGCCCTGACACCAGTGTGTATCGGCCAGCTCTGTAGGGCTGAGGAGTTTGGGAGGTACTATGGGACACTGTACTTTATTGCCAGTTTGGCTATGTTGATCTGCATTCCAATCAGCGGAGAGTTGATCGATGTTGTTGGGCCCAAGGCGATGATTTTGTTCTTTTGCGCGATTACGGCGTTAAGCTTGGTTAGTTTGCTCTTTAGTCGGTGGGCATGTCTTGGAAGGCGGTGGACAGTTATGGTTAAAATATGAGGGACATGAGACACGTTTGGTCATGCAATAAAATAGAATAATGCATTTGGATCCAGTAGTAGGTATGGTAGGCATCAGGGATACGGGATCGTCAGCTTCGTATAATGCGATATAACTACTCGAACAGGTATGTGGATTGTTAGAAAAATAGAACAAGGTAGTCATGTGGCACGGCTATTGATTGCACCAATTTCTGGCAACTTCTTGCGGGAATTACTAGGGCTCTTGTACAGAGTCGTGACTAAGTTATGAATGGGTTGGTTGTCTTGAAGTTACGCTGAAACTACCTACGACAGGGACGGGCTGACCTGAGTTGCTTTTCCGTAACAATTAACACCATTTCTATCCCACTACTACCTGAAAAGCCAGCCTCGATGTCTTCGATATTCTGGTACGGCCTCCTTCTTCCAATAGCCTATCCATTCTTCGGACTATAGTTTCTGCAAATGATACCTACGGTGTATATATACAGGGTATCAATCGATATTTCGCTCAGGAGGCAGAATAAATCGAGTATCCTGCTAAATCAGCTGCATACGAAGCTGCGGCGGCATTCACCCCTTTTAAAAATTATCGTGGCCCTCTTCCTCAGTCTTTGATTGGCCTTTTCAGCAATTGCCTCTTCAACGAGTGCCTGCCATACTGCGATGTGTGGGACTATAAATTATCCACTTCATCACGAGGCCTTTTTGTAATATTCTTTTCGTAAGAAATCATGGCTACGTGTGTATCCAGTAAAACAACAAGCCCACAACGGAGATAATGGGACCAATCGTGGCGGAAGGGAAGCGGGCCAAATGGTTGCTATCGCTGTCTCGGTTTGAAATCAGCAACGAGTGTAATCTGAAGAATTGTTGCAGAACGCTTGTCTCCACCCTCTTATCGCTGCCTATTATAGTTAGGGTACTAGAGGTGAATCGCCCAATTCTACTACTCGGTGAAATCTTCAACCCCCCCCCTCCCAAACAGCCACGTGGTTCACCTCTTACGACAGCGACCGGGGTAATTTCTCAACGATGTGGTAGACAGTGGGCACCCTGTCCGGAGGAAGCTTAGAATGTGCCCACACACAGACAGCGCGACCACTCTGACCAGCGACATGGTCGGGTAGGGGCTCTGGAGGTGCTCAATGAGCCATTGAAGTTGGCCAAAAATTACCGGCGAAGAGGCAAAATGCATACAAAACTTTCGCTCTGGCTAACAGTATTACCTTCCCAACAAAGAACAGACCCAGAACACAGCCCCTCAGGCATTGTGTGCATGATACACCAACTCCTTACCCATCAGCTAAGCCTTGCGCGGCATGCGATGTCTCCCTACAAGCTTCGGGGTCTGACAGAAGATTTCTGGAAGAAAACATCATCCACTTATTCCCCTCATCACGGTCAAGGTAACTACAATTGCGTCAAACGATAACCAACAAGCCCTGCCGCCACATAGTTGCCTGCCTCGGGGAACTTCAAGGCTCATTTAACAATATTCAAATATCGGGGGACGATGTGCTACCAGCCATCTCCAAATCGATCAAATTTGTAATCAAACAGCGCGTGGAGAAGTTCAAGCACAAACACAATTTGGCTTCAAAGCTCGCTACACACTTGTAATCCCGTCTGCTCAAGATAACCACCCAACATACCTTTCGGCATATCTAATCTTCGACTATCTTGACAAAAAGTGTTATAAAAGAACTTGAAAAGATATAGACGAATCTATGAGGGCGCTACCGGTCAACGTCGAAGAGGTGTACGAACAGATTCTCAGCTAATCCCAAGAAAAAGGCTTATTTACAAGGGCCATGTGCATCGTTCTGACTGCAGTACGATCGTTTGCTTTGCAAGAAATGAATGAAGCAATGACAGTCCACCCCTCCTACATGATCATGGATATATTAGACATGGAAGAAACATAAAATTCTCTCAGGCAGCTATGCGAATTATTCTTATCCATATATACATGAGACTTTTTCAGTCGTTCATCTGCCATGGCACAGTGATATGTGGATTGGGCAGTCAAGTGCTTCAAGGCGGTTGCCAGAAAACATCGCTTCCTCGCTTCTCTAGCAGGGAACTGGCATTGGCACATCGTACAGTCTGGAAAATATCAGAAATAACTCGCGTTTACAAAAGCACTGCATTCAAAGAGCGTTAGGTATTCTGCAGCTCAGAGTAACCAATCGATCGGATACCGGTCCGGACCGGTCCGATATTCCGATATCGATACCGATCGGTAGCACATTTTGTTCATTAGATCGATACCGGTACCGGTATATCTGAGATCCTGCTCGATCGATCTGACCGGACCGGTTATATGGAGGATTCTGAGGGCATCGTGACCCTTGTTGTTGACCCTGGTTTTATCTAACCTAATACGGTTAGGCGTTGTTTTAGGTAGGAAAAGTGAAGAGCTGAGTTGGCGTGAGCATTATATGGCTAGGTTGAGGAAGCGTTGGGAGGGTGACTATAAAAATAGGTAAGTATAATATCTAGATAACTGTTCATCTCTAACTGACCCTCGTCTAGGCCCCTTCCTGAGACCAACCCTTTAGCTGAAGCTGAGAACCAGCCAGTCCTTACGATGCTTCACCGCCGCAAGCGTTTTTATATGAGCGACGCCGACTCCGAGGTCCTTGATTCGCAAAGTACACAAGATACACAGCCAATAGCAAAGAGAAGGAAAGGAAAGGGCAGAAACACCAAGCCGGTGCCGATTAGGCAGGAAGAATCACAACAAGACGAGCTTGACCTCTACCTGGCAGAACCTGTGGTTAACGTGGACCAATATTTAAAGGACCCAGTAGCTTGGTGGCGTGATATTGGCGCAAAACGTTTCACCAAACTGTCTTATATGGCTGTTGACTTCCTTACGATACCTTCAGCGCAAGCAGAAACAGAACGCCAGTTTAACAGCGTAGGAGAGATGGTATCAGCACGAAGATCTCGCCTAAAACGCCACGTTATTGGGGCATCAGAATGTATCAGGTCATGGAGTTTAGCAGGCGTTTATCAGGCTGAGTTGCCACTCCATCTGCTTTACAAGGTATCAAACGTTGAATTGGATGGTGAGGTTTCACGCGGATTAGCTAATTGGGCGCAAAACCGTTAAAAATAAACAACTCCGTACAACCGCTATTGATCGATCCGACCTCTATCTGACCGGACCTGTTATATGTGATCGATACCGATCGATACCGGTTGCTTAGTAATCTGTACCGGTACCGATCGGATGAATATGATGTTGATCGATACCGGACCGGTATCGGTATCGGTGAAGAATCATGATCGATATCGATCGATTGGTCACTCTGATTCTGCTAGAAACTTGGCTCTTATGCCTATGCCGGGTTGTCGAATGCTGTTAGCGTGTTCATAAATGGTGAGGAGGGTTGAACGGACTGTAATCCCGAGCCGACTGCTAACTTCATACTACTATGTGTAGCTTATCTAAGTGGCCGAATGCATGTGCCCAAGCTCCTACCAAAGCGAGGCACCGATCTAGCTCGGGAGGACAGCCATAGTTGGAGTTGGTCTGAACATCTGAGGACGTCGACAAGATAATACCTAGTACATGACACCCTCCGAGAGACCGGAAGATATTCTCGAAACAATAGGCATGGTGAAGATCCCGAGGCCAGGACGCAGGCGTGGATCCAACTTTACATAACATGCTTGATGCGTGCAGAAAAAGTATAATCGGGGTCGGGACATTGCGAGCCTGTTATTATCCAAACGTGCTCAGACTGGCTTCACTGATGGCCGTGGGCGTTCAGCACCACAAATCTGTAGGAGCCGGAGTCTGACGAGACCTTACTCACCCATGGGACGGATCCAACATAAACAACGACCAGGGCACGACGCCGCTTTTCTTTGCTGGAGGAGATGTAGCGGAGGCTGTGCTGGCTCATGGTGCAGACATCAATGCCACTAACGTGAAAGGCAGAACCCCCGGACATTGCCTAGTTGATGAAAACAGCAAAACATACGAAAAGATAGGTCTTGCTATACAAAGACGTACGTGGATTGACCCTTCTCCATTGGGTTATATCTGCAGAGAAATACAGGCTTCGTGACGTCGTGGACACGCTTGGCCAACTCGGCGCCGATAGGACATCTGATCACCAAATTCTTGAACGTACGCGCAGGGTCCGCCAAGCACATTCACCAAGCGTTGTTGGAAAAGAAATCAGGTCATGTTTCTCAGACAAAAGACATCCACGAATCAATTAGAAAGGTTAAAATGGGAAGCTAGAGCAGAAAGCGCAGAGCCCTTTCGTGGCATATGTTGGAAGATGCCCCGAATTAAGACATCAACGAAGACCCCTTCGACAAAGTTTTGGGCTTTGATTCGTTGCTTGGCCATATCGGTGGACCACTGCGTGAGGATGAGCCCTACCTACATTTCATATGACCGGTGGAAATGGACGAAGCCGAGAAGTACCTGTGGGAAAATTGTAACCCAAAGGGCATGAGTTAGAATGTCCACCCAGTGCCGTTATCATTACGATACAACGTGAACAAGGACGGAAATGATCTTCTATGGGGTAAGATGACTGGATATTCCCAAGGTTAGAAGTACGGATATTTTGAAGAGAGCGAATGCCATCCAAACAGCAAAATGGACAGCCCATTGAAATTTGCAGATTCAACGTGAGACCCAATAGTTTAACAGCTGCTCCGATAAGTCGAATGAATCTGAGTTTACAATTAGCTAGAGACTCGAGCGGCTTGGTAGCGCTTAGGTAGTATGTATTGAGATTAAATTATACGAAGAAATGTAAGACTCCATGTTGCTACGGCTTAATTTGATAATATACTTAGGTATATTTGGGCTTTCTTGGTAGGCTAACTTAGAAGAAGGGGGGGTGGCCGGCACAGGGAAGTACTCCAAGTGATAGTGGGATCACACTGGAAGTAACCCTTATGCACTACGGAAAACAGAATATTCCAGCGAATTAAAGAGAGCCTTTCGCCCTGGAGAACGATTTTCGACCAGAGAAATTACAT